TCGACGGTGGGGCAGCCCTCACCACCATTGGAGGGTATAGTTACCCTACGGGGGGAGGGTTCTTTTATACTTAGCTTGGAGGGCCATTACTCTCGTCCTCCCTCGAAACAATTGTTCGAAATTTAGGGACCCTTTGAAAACATGATGGTGAAGTCAAGTCCCCAATGAGAACCAGCATACCCACCTGCATGACCACGACCATGATGAACAGATAATGTAAATGCCAAATCCCCACAAATGTTTCCCTTTACCAACCTATACTACAATCAGCTGTGGAGACAGAAATATTAACAAGAGAGTTGAAAAATTGACGTTCAAAATCAGAGTGGAGGTTAAAGCCCTAGCACCCACTCTATTTTACAAATTTGTTACAAAGTTTACGTATAAATTTATACAATTTTGAGAATTGAGGGGAAGCTATAACCCCTCCTACCAATAACGTGACTCCGCCGCCACTAACTTCAATACTAAATATGTAGTAGTAGTTGTATGTAGCTGTGTGTTCGCCAAGAGAGTTATTGCCCCTAATTTACTAGCTATAGGGTCATCAACCCCAAACCCCATTTCCATTTGATGATTGGCTAGGGTTCACTGATCGATCTCATTATATGTTATTTCGGGGCTTGTTAGGGTTATAGAATCGATTAGAACAGTGGGTATCTGATGTAAACAATTTTGTTAGTAATGTTCCTTGTAGTTAGCAGGAATTTTATGATACTGACATGATACAAATATCACTGTACACAGACAATCATGGTTTAAAAATTAACTCTCTTTACGGTTTATAATATGTTCGAAACTCCGAGATCCCTTCATGTTATAGTAATAAACATTAATTACATCTAGTAGTTTTATTATATCGTTATTGAGTTCAAATCCAAGGGCACTCTTTCACCAATTGAAAACAACGATAATTATGTGCATCTTCCACACATTAAAAACCCCAAATATCAGCAACATAATAAATAAATAAAAAGAATAGAGCCATTACAATCCGATATTTCTAGAAAACTAGATGTCATTAATTATTTTAATAATAAAATAAAAGGTAGATGGGCTTTGCTTTCGTCACTAATAATGAAAAGGATATTGTAACCACATCTATCAACGAAAAAACATAAATAGTATATAACCCTAGGCAGGGTGGCAGTTCGGTTATTTCGGTTATAACCGGTAATCGATCGGCCGATTATCGATTAACCGAAATAACCACTCCTCCTATCGAAAACCGCCCGAAATAGATTTTGGTTTCACGGTTATAGGTTAACCAAACCACTTTTAAGACCAAAAACCATTTTTTCCAGTCTTCGATAACCAATCAAAGTTCGGTTACTTCGGTTATTGATTAGTGGATAACCGGTAATGTACTGCCACTCCTAACCCTATGACAGACTTGAATTTAAATTTATTAATTCCTTAATACCCCCATAAATGGAGTATTGGCTGATTTGGTTCATTGTTACTTCTTTTTTCTATTGTCATTTTGTAAATTTTTTTTGTCTTTCCGTTCTTATCAAGTCCATTTCTTCTTTTCATTATGTCGTAGGCATTCATCATCGAACTAGTGATGGCAATTTAAACTCGTCTTGCGGGTATTACCTGATCTGATCCGTAATGGGGCAGGTATTACCCGACCCGCAGCAGCGTGGGACGAGACATGAGTATTTACTTTCGACTCGTCCTGCCCAGTCCCGCCCCGTTCTAGACCAATTTTATCTCAATTTCTTACGGTATCTATACATATTTCTTCTATTTTGACTTTTATTCAACTAGTTAGAGTCAATATTTCACCTTGTTAGACTCAATTACCCATTCTATTATCAATATTTTTCTTTAATAAAGTGTTTTTCCTTTTGTTTTATCGTAAAAAGTAAAATTTGAGTGTATCTTTTTCAAATAACATGTAAGAGTGGGTCGACCCGCCCCGACCCGTAGTAGCGTGAGACGGGGCATGAGAATTGAGGTACCCAACCCGCCCCATTGCCATCACTATCGTTAACAGTGATTAATCATTTTTTCACAAAACTTGTAAATAATTTAGCATAAAAAAATTAAAATTATAAAAATATATTTAATTTCTAGCACACTTTATTATTACGATTAAAAGACCGGACAATTCACCACCAAATACCTCTCCTAACGGACCAGCAGGAAAAATCTGCTTATTTGTGGGCATGGTTTTAGTCTTTTAGAATCAACTTTAGCAAGGTATCGATTACCAACAAAAAAAAACTTTAGCAAGGTATCAAATATGTTAGACCCAAGTGTCTTTGGGGCTTTAGAGAATACATATGGCCATAATTGGTCCGCAGAGCCCATAACTGGCCTAATTCTTTACGACCCATGGACAAGCATCCAATGGCCCAATTTGCAAAGTTAAATATATAATCTATTCATGCAATTAGAATCATTAGGATTAATTGAAGTTAAATTAATAGCTCAAATGTCGAATATTAAAGTTATGATAATTCTCAATATTAACAGCTCGATTGATTTTGAGTTAAAATACTTGAACGATTATAAACCAATTATCATGAGAATTTGAACACAATAACCCGAGACGATACAAAATATGACTGTAAGGTGACTGTCAATTTCCTTATACTCTGGTGTTGGCTACACTACTATAGACCTAATCAATCATCTAACTACAATTAAGAAACATTAATAAGAAATAAGAGCCCATATGGTAACTATCTATATACATATTCCTAAGTAATTAAATTAATAGTTGATTAGTACTTTTATGGTACAAGTGTAACCACGGATTTAGCTGGGATCATATGGGCAGCATATGTTGACAAAACACAGTAGAGTCTGTGTCAGCCCATATGATTTTAGGTTGGCAAGATAAAACTAATTATGATTAAGTATGATTAGAGAATATTATTAGCTATAACGCACTTGGTTTTGTTTGCCTCATCATATCTTGCTCATTATTAGAGGACAAATTAGTGTACTCTTAATCTGTCCCAAGTAGTCCAGAGATGCAATTAATTAACATATCAATTCAATTGGCAAGAGCAAATCAGTCGACTAGGATCACATGATGAGCGACTAATCATGATTAGTGGGGGTATTAAGATGGCAAAGAATGAGTAGTTGTATTTATTTTATAATTAACTCCTAAAGGTAATCATATCCAATGTGTTTTAAGATTGAAAGAGTAAGAAAGTAATGTAAACTATATCAGTTGCAAGTTTATTATATCGAATGTACTATAACCTATAACGAGGTTTATTAGAGTATGGTGCCTCAATGTGATTTATCATGTAGTCCTTGTATAAGTTTGAAGTTTTCTTATCAGTGGCCTAAGACGTGTGGTTCAAGATCCCTCACCTCGAAGTATAATTGTTGGTCTTCAATCTGGGAAGATCTCTAATTCAAATTCCTTAAATAACTTCTAGCTACAATAATCAAACCGACATAAAAAGGTATAATTGCATATGAAATTTTATGGAAGTAATTTTCTAGTTTATAGAAGAAATGTAGTGAATCCATTAAACAAAGTTGGCTATCTTCCATTTGAAGAAGAATCTATCTACTCAACCTTTAGAAACTACTTAGGAAATACATGTTCATCACAATAAATTATGTGTCTACATTGTGCATTGTATGATCTACTCGAAATTTTATTCTATGGGAAGGCACTAATAACTAGCTTAAACCATTTCAATGCAACTACCCATATTGCATCTCATCATGACTCATCAAGAGAGTAATCATTGCACCATTCATTTCCCTAGTTCATCGACTCCATTGGGTGCGCGCGTAAAATTAAAAGCTCGAATCAATATTTTTTATTCAGACTCCTCTAGTAACTAGAGTTATCGAGATTAGGGGTGAGATTCGGTCGGTAAACAATTTACCGTTTACCGGTTTCGGTATACCGAAGTTGGCCAAACTGGTTACCGATACCGGTTTGTAACTGGTTTATCGATTACCGAATTACCGGTAAACGGTTACAAACCGATATTACCGAAATACCGTGAGAATCGATTTCAGGCGGTTTTTCGGTCGGTTTACCAGGCTCCAGGCTCCAATGTTTACCAGGTTTTTCGGTCGGTTTTTCTTACCTCCAGGCTCCAGGCGACCAGGCTCCAAGGACGGCAGACGGCAGGAGGCGAGGACGGCGAGGAGATGGCGGGGCGGCCTGGCGGCGGCGGGAAAGCCGGAATATGGCGACTGCGTCGCGTAGCGCGTCGGCGACAGCTGGGCCTGGGAGAGACGAGACTCGGGGATGGCTGGGGAAGCGCGCTCGCCGTCGCTCGATGGTCATCGCCGCCAACAGAAGGAGAGGAAGACGAGAAGAGGAGAGCTGGAGAACGAGCTGGGTGGCTGCGCGGCGGGTCTCTTCGAAACGAGGTCGGGGCTCGGGGGCGGGTCGCTGGCATTTGGGTAGGGTTTTTTAGTTTTAGGGTTTGGGAGGCCAGGGCAAAACGCAGCGCAACGGCAGAAATGGGGAGGGAGGATTTCGGTATCGGTAATAACAATTTACTGTCGGTATTTACCGATACCGTATCCAGTAAACTGAATATCCCAATTCACCGCTCGACTGCCGATACCGCCGGTAAACGGTAAAACGGTAAACCGTTTACCACCCCTAATCGAGATGAATAGATTCTTTTTAAACCTAACAAACCATTCTTTAACTCAAACCATTCTTTACCCCCCCCCCCCCCCCCCCCCCCCCCCCCAAAAGCCCAAATTAAAATAACCTCATGTACATAGAAACCAAAACCCGCCACTTGCAATCAAACCATTACAAGCCCTCCAATCCAATGACGAAGCCAAAAAAACATTTGGACCTATCTGGAACTTTCCAATGAGCCTTCCCAGATACCCCCTGTTTTTGCCGATTCCTCTCTCTCTCTCACTCTCACTCTCTCTCTCTAAATCTCCAGATGTACACTACGTCAGACTGTAACCTCTTTTGATACACATCTTCTTCCCCCAATAATTTGTCTATATAATACCCATTTCCCCTACCTTAATTATAAACCAAATTACAGGGGAGAAAACAACGACATGGAGAACTACAAGCCGGAAATGGCCATGGCTGCCCTGCAGTTCTCTTACGCCGTCGTTTCTCTCGCCGGCAGGGCGGCCCTTTTGGAGGGTTTGAGCCCCAGAGTGTTCGTCGTCTACAGGCAGGCCATTGCGGCTCTCACCGTTTCTCCCATGGCTTATTTCTCCAGCAGGTGTATACATGTATACAGAGGTTTTCAATTAGGTTACTCTGTTTTCTTCAGAGTTTTTATTTCATTTTTCTAACTCGAATTCTGTAATGGTGGGAAGGAGGAAAGTTGCAGGCGGTGGCGGCGGCGGCAGGGGTTCAATTGGGTTCAGAAGCTTTTCCTTGATATTCCTCGCCGCTCTCATAGGGTATGTGGATCGTAACCTAATAGATTGTGATATATGGAATCGTATTAGTCTGTTGTATTGATTTAGATTATTCAATGATCAAAATTGATATTGTTATCTTTGATTTTTAATGAGTTATTTCTGTTATGCCTTGAACCCTAATTTATAATCTTTAATATGATTTCACAATTCATGGTGACCGTATTGACGTTCAAGTATGTAAAAGGCGTATGATAAAAATATAAGAAAAATACTTATAAAGATATTATATGTTCGAGATTATTTAGGGGTCGTTTGGATGTATCAATCTATAAATGAGTCAATTTGATCAATTGTCTGGTTTTATAAACGAGGCAATTAAAACGAGTCCATTCGAATTACCTGCCCCCACCCCAGGTAATTGAAATTGACTCAAAACGGATCAATTCAAAATACCTCATGCAGATTGATCCATCAAAATTTTTTGCTGGCAAATGAGGCAATTTGACACAATTATCTCATTTTTGAGACAATTGTGTCAAATTGATCCGTTACAATTCCTCATCCAAACCACCTTAATTTTTTCACGAATTGCTTAACCTAATTGATTTTTTTTCTTCTTTTGTTTCCACCAATTGTGCCTCTGCAGGGTGACAATCAACCAGAACCTCTATTTCGAAGGCATCTACTTGGCATCCTCTTCAATGGGGAGTGCAACAGGGAACCTAGTCCCGGGGCTCACCTTTGTCATGGCAACCATTTTCGGGTACCGAAAATGAACTTTTCCAGCAACAAACTTTTCCACTACCTAATCTTCTCATTTCTCACCAAAATGGCAGGCCAATTTTTGTCCCCCCCTAACAGATTAGAGAAGGTTAACATCAGGAGCCTGAGAAGCATGGCCAAAATTGTGGGAACAATCATGTGTGTTGCTGGAGCTGTGACAATGGCTCTAGTCAAAGGCCCAAAGCTCTTTGTCACCAACCCTTCAGCAGGGGGTGAGAATTGGCTTCTGGGCTGTTGTCTCCTCTTTTCTAGTGCTTGTTGTTGGTCCATTTGGCTCATCTTGCAGGTACTAAGAAACCTCGGCTATGTTTTGTGCACGACTGATCGATCGATATCGTTGAAATATCGATTCGTTCGAGTTCTCATTCTCGTTCTCGGTGTGTGTTGTTTGATCAGGTTCCGGTTATGTCCAGCTACCCTGATCCATTGGGAGTATCGGCTTGGATGTGCCTTATAGGAGCTTTACAATCAGGGTTCGTGACGATTTTTCTGGAGCCAGAATTGGAAGCGTGGAAGATAACATCGTATCTCCAGCTCTTTTCTTGTGTGTTCACGGTAATTTCGATCTATGAATGCTATATATGGTTCTTTTATAATGCTTTTTTTCGTTACGCTGATTCGTTCGAGATTTCGACAGGGTATCGTTGGATCAGGGATCGCCTTCTTCGTTCAAGCGTGGTGTATTGCAGAGAGAGGTCCGTTGTTCTCTGCACTGTTCAACCCTCTGTGCACGGTTATAGTCACCGTGTTGGCCTCGTTCCTTCTAGACGAGAAGATTTATGTTGGGAGGTAACTTTTGAAACAAAAAAAAAAAACATACAATCATTTGGTGTCATTCTTTTGTTTTGATTTAGACAGTGCAAGTTGATTGAATAATGTTGTTTTTCTATGTGTTCTTCAGCCTATTAGGTGGAATTGGGGTGATTATTGGACTCTATGTGGTGCTATGGGGGAAATCCAAGGATTATGTGAAGGTAAGTAGTAATCATGAAGGAGAAATAATTGATGATCCCAAATCGGCCAATGGTCAAACCCAAGTGGTGAAAATCCAGCTAGATCAAGAATGTGCAGGTGAAATTAGGTGTAAAATTAATGACCTAGAGGAACCATTTTTGTGTACCAAGATGAAGAATGACATTGTAGAGGACAATAGTTACAGTGACTCACATGAAGAACCTTGAGTGAGGTGGTAGAAACGTATTTCCTTTGTATGTTGCTTCATATTTCAGGTTTGTAATCTAAATTTGTTTACTAGATTGAGTTGTAAAATATATAAAAAACTCTTCCAATAAATAACAAGACATAATAGTATATCGGTCTCTGATATGATTTGATAAAATATCTGTAATAAGTATATACCCTCTCTGTAAGTATGACAAAGACTAATTATATGCATCGAATTGCATAGATAGTGGTGACATGTATAGGTAATGACCTATTGACCTTTATGTCTCCTGATCTAATTCGTGAAATTATGATGATCAACATAGCCAAATTATAATGACCTATTGACCTTTATGTCTCCTGATCTAATATTCAATGAACGTCATAATATATCATACTGATTGCTTGCATTTTACGAATTGTTAACCAAATTGTAATTTTTCTAATTCATCTAACTCCGACTAAATGTTTACCGAACCAACTAATTAATATAATCAATCGATAAAACATCAGGTCGCATTACCCAACAATTTTCGAACCGGTCCACTTTGAACCCCAACCAAAAACTCGATCCCTCTCATCAACTCCATATGAATACACTAATGGAGTAATTCCAAAGATGAACTGGATTTTAAATTCCCCTCCAAAAAAGCTTTATTTCCAACTCAAAGGCATGTCAGTCTTAATCTGGATCCCAATAAAACCAACATTATTAAATCCCACTACACTGACTTTTTGTTGCACTCTTTTGATGACTGATTAGTAACAACAATCATAAGAAATTAATTAGCTCAACTTAGCAATGCTTTCAAAAGCATATGCTAATAATAGTTCAAACAATACAAAGCATATACCAAAAAACATGTACATCTGTATCTTGATTATACCTTTCTTCCTAGTAGAATCTTTTTTTGGGTTGGTCGCATTCTCTAGGCTCATCTCACCGCGTCACCATGATTTAATTTAAATCGTTATCCTACCATCATTGATTCAAAAAAGAACAAGCAAGGTGGTGATGATGCCTTACTCATGTGGTCCTAAGTTCGACAACATAATTGAAAGTGAATCATCAGTTGATACTATTGTTGTCGAATAGAATATCCCTACATGCCGCGGTTTGATCGGAAAAACCGATATCGAGCAACAAAATGGTTTGAAAACTCTTGGTTTGCGACCATGGTTAGAATTGGGAATCAGAATGCGTATTTCCACGGGATCAACTTTGACTTCTTTCAACTTCTTTAACTCCAGATCGGGTGCTTCATTTCCTTCTTTTTATGTCTCGATTTAGAGACAAAAGAAATTGTCATATAACGAGATCGATTGCAACAAGATCATATGATATCACACTAGATATTCTTTTTTTTATATAGATAAGGGTGATATATATTTATGAAAAAAAAAATTTTGTGATTAGATACTACTTAAGGGATCGAACCTTGGACCTTCAGGTTCAAGGCTAGTGATATCCTCTAGATATTCATATTACAGAAGTCGTAAGTCTCGTACCTCAAACTACACTCATCAAACAACACACTCCCACCAGCCCGGCCGGCGCAGCCGTCTCTCAGCCGCCTGAGGGCGTCGGCGTAGCAGTCCTCGCAGGGCCGGCCAATCAATTCTGTAGGCCCTGTTCCATAATGAAGATGTGGCCTATCTTTCTATTTTTATAAAATAAAAATAATTATATTGATCAAATAATTTTTTTTTACATTGATTCAGATTTTTTTTTTTACAATGTTACTTAAAAAGTAATATCCTTTTTGCATTGTTTGAAATAAAAGTATCTATAAGCTCTTCGACTTTTACATTCTCCAGGAGATCATTCTCAATCGCCACCATAGCTAATCCATTAAGCCTTTCTTGTGTCATTGTAGAACGCAAATAGGACTTCAGCAACTTCAACTTAGAAAAACTTCTCTCTGTAGTAGCAACAGTCACAGGGATAGTTAACAAGATTCTATATACTATTGTGGCATTAGGAAAACAATCAACACGTTTTAGAAAATTCAAAATTTAAATTGGTTGTAAAGCTTCCTTGGGCAAAAAGTCATGTAACAACTTAAGCTCACCATATAAATCATTGCCATCAATATCAGAATGCTCATTATTCTTAAGTACTTTTTCAATATCCATGCACGAAGACTTAAGACATGTGTCACTCAAAGAATACAACTTCTTATAGCTAAACAAGAAACCAAAAATAGACTCAAAATGTTTATATTGCTCAAATCTCTTAGTAAGTGAAGAAATTAATATAAATACTAGACGCATCTAAATAGTTTACGGGAGCTCGATTGAGTAAATATGAGAATAGTTTTAGAAAAGTAAAGAGGAGAATCAAAGAACAATGAGAAAGATTGAAAGATGAGTAGAAGTAGATTGTTTGAATGGTATACTAAATATTTATACCAATGCTATTTTTACCCGTTGCAAGGCAACGGCAATATAATAACGGGAAAGTAAGTTTAATTCCCTTGCAGTGGCTATTTTTACTTTTGTTACCGTTGCCACTTGGTAGGGTGAAGACGTGGGAATGGGAGATTGAGGTGATGGAAAAGTGCAGCCAGAGGCCCACTTGTTATCAGACCAATCAATCCCTTCTCCATGGTCTTGCTTTATTATGAGTGGGCTAAAAAAAAGAAGCCCTAAAACTAGAAGTCATATATAATTAGGAGATTTTTATCGTGGCCCATAACATTATAAAAGGCCCAGAATTTAGTCAATCAATTTAAGCCTACTACTTAGTATTATATTAGATGGAGGCCCCCAATTTTATGAGGCCCTGTGCGGGCGGGCCTGTCCGCACAGGCCCATGGCCGCCCCTGAGTCCTCGCAATGACTAACGGTCCCGCTGCAGCAGTAATAGGTGTACACAGCAGGAGCCACACCAGCAATTTCCATTTTCAGGCAACCGGAGACCGTGCCCTTCAGATAGTAATCCATCCCGAGCCGGTCGATCACGGCCGCTTGGAATTTTATCCCGCCGTCGAAGTACTCGTGGTTACAGCGGCCCCTGCTGTCGCTTCCCTTGCAGAGGCCCGACGGGTCGTTGGAGTCGCACAAGCGCTCGTAGGAGCTGCTGCTTAGCCCGCAACAGCGACACATTATGATCGTGACCATCATGACTACAGCGGATGTCGACGATGATTGAGCGGACATTGTTCTTGCATCATCACCGCAAGCTTAATGAGACTCATGAGATATATATATATATCATGAGCGAGCTAGCTAGCACTTCGCCGGCCAGCAGACAGGAGCCAAACATTAGATTACAAAAATGGTGGCTAGGATGGGTAGGGAGTGTGGGAGAGTTTTGGTCTCGGCGGGATCCTTTCCCTTGCAGCCATATGACAACTACGAGAAGACAAGTAGGTGCGGGTCAAAGAAGAAGAGAAAGGAAGTGTCCTGAGAAGTATAAACTTGTTACTTTCACCATCGAATCCCATGATACATAATCATCAAAATCAAAGGAAATTAAAATGATCTTTCGAAAAAAATCGCCAAAAAATTAAGAAAATCTTATTAGAAAAAAAATCCTCCTAAATTTGTGATTAATAGACTTTATCATCGATGGAGAATAGTTTAAGATCGAATTCGTGATCTGTAGCATTCAAAATCCAAGAAAAATGACTGTTCAAAAAAATTGTCTGGAATCTATGATGGTACCCCCTTGAAATGTGTCAAAAATGGACCCCGAAAAGAAATTCACCAAAATCGGTGCTTAAGAGACTTAATTGTCGGTGAAAAATAGCATCAGGCCAAATCCATAATTTGTAGCATTCAAAATTCAAGAAAAATGGTCTTTTAGAAAAATGGTCTGAAATCTGTGTTCACACCCCTTTGAAATCTGCCAAAAATGAATCCAAAAAAAATCGCCAAAATCGTTGCTTAAGAGAGACTGGTAGAATTCGTGATTTGTAGTTTTCAAAATCCAAGTAATATTACTTTTTGGAAAATTTCGTCCAACAATTACGAAAATGCCCTCCGAATAAAACCCACCCAAATATGCGATTAATAGACTTCATCATTAGTGGAGAATAGCCCCAGACCAAATTCGTGATCTGTAGCCTGCAAAGTCTAAGGAAAATAGTCTTTAGAAAAAATCGTATGAAATCTACAATGCTACCCCTTTTCAATCTGCCAAAAATGAACCCGAAAGAAAGATGTCCAAATCGTTGCTTAATAGACTTAATCATCGGTGATGAATAGTCTCGGCTCCAATCCATGATTCGTAGCTTTAAAAATCCAAGGAAAATGCTCTTTTGAAAAAAGACCCTAAATATTATGAAAATAATTTTTTCAAAAAAATTATTGCTTAATAAACGTAGTCATCGGTGAAAAATTGTCTATGTACCACCTCATGCTACTGCAAGTAAGGTAATACCCGCTCCAAACCATCGGAGACAGGTGGGACTACGCGAATCACAATATAAATTGATATCAATACATGTTAATGAAGCATATAAGTTGTGTTTGTTGCTTCAGATAAACAATGTTTAGGCAAAATTTTCTCTGTTAGCGTGCATTTCAACATCTCCATCATGATTTCCCTTTTCTTTTCGAGAAGTCATTTTGTTATAGAGTGGAGTCCATTGTTTTCTGGTACTCCACATTTTTATCTTTACTGAATTTGTCAAACTCGATGGGTACGAAGATTACCCACGTGTATTCTGAAATCATGGGTACGAAGATGAGTTTGCAAAATCTCCCCGCGTGCGAGTACAAGTATCCGTACTGGATGGGGTGCCCAAAACTATTCTAGAAGTGTATTCGTCAATTATTTTTGTGAGAGTTATAACCATCATCGTCCCATACTCAATCACATGCGAAAATTTCTCGTGTTAATTGGGTTGATGGCGATCGGATACCACCACGGTTGCAGTTTTATAGCCGCCATCCTCGCTGGCCATCACAACACAATGTTCTATCGTTTTCATAACATAAGAAGAAGTAAAAAAATATATATATAGGGGTCGTTTGGAAGTTGCGATTGTTAAGTAGATGTATTGTTTCTCAACTCAACTATCTCAAGAATCACAACTAAAAGTTGAGATATACATCACAGAAACAATCCATGTATTGTTTCTGCTAAAAAACAAAAAAAGGATGCATTGTAAACAATACATGCATAATGACAATCTCAACAAAACTATCACAACTTCCAAACGACCCCATAATTTATTGAAATCATCATTACAGAGAGAGTCTTAAAGATAAAATTACCATCATCATCGTTATCATGATCTCAACAGAAGCTTTGAAGCTCATACCTTAGACTACACTTATCAAACAACACACTGCCTCCAGCTCTGCCGGGACAGCCGTCTTTCAGGCGCTTGATGGCCTTAGCGTAGCAGGCGCCGCAACCGGTGACGAACCTGCTGCAACAGTAGTAGAAGTACACCGGAGGAGTAGTCGGCGTCTGTACGCATCCGGAGCTCCTGCCGCTGTTGTAGTAATAACGATTCCCGACGTAATCGAGCAATTGGGCTTGGAATTCCACGGCCTTTGTCTTGTCAAAGTTGTTTGGGTTGCAGAGCCCGATGCTGTTGCTTCCACTGCAGTAGCCGTTGGGATCGTTGGACTCGCATAGGTTGAGGGTTTCGGCGCTGATGATGGTCACTAGCTGCAGAACTACTACTACTACGAATATTGTTGACGATGATTGAACACGAACAGACATGTCACGTTGTTCTTATGTCGCCGGCCGGATGAGGTGTCTGATCGATGAATGAAATGAGCATCAAGCTTAGGTCATCATATATATATATACATATAGGCTAGCTGGGGTGACTATTTGGTCCGAGTTTTTTTTTTTTTTTTTTATTCGAAACCGGACCGTATAACATGGATCGGGATCCGATCGAGACCTGATAGCAATCAATACAATCTCGTTTTCGGGGTTAGATTTGACGTAAAGAAACCCGTCCGGGACCGGATCGGAAATCGGATAAAGACCGGATAAGAGCGCAAAATACCCAAAATCTAACCAACTCCTCACCCTTTTAATTAGGCCTCAGGCCACTCAAAGTCCCACAAGTTCAATCTAAAATTAAAACCGAATAAGGACCGAATCGGGTCAAAATCAGACTGTATCCAATCCAATTTTCGGTCCTCATATTCTCGAAAAAACTCGTACAAAATCGAATCAATTCGAGTCAATTTAACCGAACCGGACTGTATAGCCAGCCGCCACCCCTACATATAAGCATGCACTAGCAGCCAGACTTCGCCGGGCAATAGATTCCAAAAATAGGGTGTGAAAAGTTTTGGTCTCTCGGCCATAGGACTACTACGAGACAAGTAGGTGTTGGGTCAAAGAAGAAGAGAAAATGAAGTGTCATGAGAAGTCCAAACTCTTTTACATAGATTGAAATTATCTTGTTTTTTCTAGGGAATGGCGAAAGATGTTTTATTTTCTTACTGATCTTTTCCAACAATATGAGTTATTGGGACCGCAGTTGGTTCATAACTTGGTATGAGAGCTGATTTGTGTTTGGAAGGTAACATATTCAAGTGATCACGATTCTCAATACTAATTGTTATCTTAAAGCACATGCCACATAGTATGAGTGGATTTGTATAAACTTCAAGTTAATAAGTTGGCTTTGAGAAAATGTGTAAGAAAGTAGTTAAATATCATATATAAACATCTCCAAACAACTCGAGTTGTTTGAAGACGGTTGGTTTATGACGGTATTTGATGAGTCTTCTGAGGGCTTGTAAAGAAGTGGTTAACTTTTAATGGTTGAAGCCCCCAATCCAGTAACACTACTGGCATCGCTCACTTACTTCACCTCCTCTCAAAATTTACATGTTTATTAAGTTTCGCTACATTAAGGTAGAGTTATGATTGGATGAGCAGAATGATTATTATTCATGGTATCCAAAAATCATTGGTATGAAAATGAGTTTGCAAAACTATACTAAGCGTGCGTGCATCCGCGTCAATTATTTTTCGTGCGTTTTAATCATAGTCGTCGCATACTCAATCAAATGCGAAAACTCCTCTATCGTCGATTTGGGTCGGATTTTATATCCACCATTCCCCGCTGGCCAGTAGTACGACCCTAGGTCAGGGTATCAAAATGTTCGATTAATTCATACCATGAGAAGAAGAAAATTAAAAGAAGAGAGAAAAAACACAGATTATTATTTAATTAAACTCATGGTCATGGAGTACAGAGTCTTAAGATAAATAAATATTACATTTTAATTAATTATGATCATTTCAACAGAAGCTCTTAAAATCGTACCTTAGACTTCACTTATCAAACAAGACACTGCCTCCAGCTTTCCCCGGACAGCCTTCTTTCAGGCGCTTGACGGCGTCAGCATAGCAGCCGCCGCAACCATAGACGAACCTGCCGCCGCAACAGTAGTAGAAGTACACCGGAGGATCGGTCGGCGTCTCGATGCATCCGGAGCTCCTGCCGCCGTTGTAGAATTCCGGATTCCCGACGTAATCAAGCAATTGGGCTTGGAATTCGTGCGTGTTCGTCAGGTTGAAATCCTGCACGTTGCAGATCCCGTTGCTGTCGCTTCCGCTGCAATAACCGTTGGGATCATTGGACTCGCATAAGTTGCGCCATCGTCGTAGGAGCTGCTGCTTACCACACTGATGACGAGACTCGTGTGTGTATATATATCACTAGGCCTGCACCGGCCGGCGGACAGAATCTGCATTAGTTTCCAAATTTCATAGCTAGATACGGTGGAGGAGTTTTGGTCCGGCCGGGCCGTATTATTTCCCCTTTATGTACCTACATTCCGTCGCCGGCCCGGTGCATAAAATATATGAGACAGAAAAGAGGAGGAAAGAAGCGTCGGTCGAAGTCAAAACTCCCTAATATATAAAAGAAAGTCATGTTATGAATGCTAGAAGTGGCTGGCATATTAATTAACCTACTAGCTTATAACCCGGCCCGTTGGCCGGAATGTTTATATTTGATTATTTATATTTTATGTTAAGTGTAAGTCTATCAAATCGTTTAACTTTTTTGACAATCCTTTGATCGAAATGATACATAAAGATACAATATATAGGCCGAACACTTGAAGAAATACCATCATCATTTAAGAATATAAAATATAAAAAATGTATCATTGATTTCATTTTCATAATTATAATATTATATTGGTTAGTTGATTGTCAAGAAAGATATATAAAAGCTCATTGGAATTACCACACGACCCATATCTTGTTTGAAACTGAATCTGAAATCTCACAATCCTACACAAAGGGTTCTATGCTCTCCTTTTAAGAACAATATACCACTAATAAAAAAGAAATGGAGAGTTGTTAGTTCAAGTCAACTATATACTAAAAACTAAGCTAAGAGGGAACCATCAAAACTTGAGAGCAAACGACAAAATTAGGATTACCTCCAATATACTAATAGACTTGATCAAAGTCATAAGGCACAAAATTAGATACTCTTTATCTATCGGTTTGAGTAGGTTAAATAAAGAATCGACCTATTTCAGTAAATCAATCAATGACTCCTCGTTTTAAGATAGAAATAGGTTGTGGTAGCTGCAAAAACATAAACCTAAAGAGCCAATAGCCACCATTCTCCGTTGAACGACCAAATTTTTATCCACTCTGTCTTCAATCTCAAGAGGCATATGTTTCAACCAAACATTCACTTTTTAACTCTCCTTTTGCAACTCCATTTTTGCTACTTTGATGGACCTTCTCTCTGTGGCCCTCAACTTCTCTTCTAGTTGGGGTTCTTTGCCAACTCATCTTCCTAAGGGGCAGTTGTAATAAGTTCGCTAAAACAAACACTCATCTCCAATTCCATCAATATGTTCATCTCCCCCTTGCCTGCCTTCACTTGTTTCAGTCCACTTCCATGCCCTTCAATACCCTCTCCATTTTTATTACTATGCTCATCATCCCTCATTTCTCTCTCTTTAACTCCTCCATTTTCGCTTCCATGTCTTTCAGTACCCTCCTAGATTCGCTCAGTACTCTCTTCTCCGCCTTCACCTGTTGCAGTGGAACTTTACCTGCTACTAAATCCAAACACAATTTCTTCCCCCCGCCACTTCCATTCTCAAACTCAATTCCAACTCTTCTACTCCAAGTTCAAATCCATAACTACTTGATCGAACTCCATTCTATTCGCCATGGATTGATATCGGATTTGAAATTTTCTGTTTGCCCAGCTTAAATCCCTAAGAATAAAACGGTCGTGCCAAGAGAAACCGGAAGATTAATTTTCAAATGCGCCCCTTGTACTGGGAAGTGAAAGGGCCAAACTATTGCATGATGGAGGGACTTTCGGAGGAAGTAAGAAAGAGATAACACGTAGTAAAAGAAATAGTTTCTTCCATGTTAGCCAATTACAAATTTAGTAAGCAAAAATTAAAATTACATGAAACTCTACTATGGAAATTGAAGTATTAACTATTAACTTAAGCACCATAAAAATACATATGGTAGACTTAGTGGGCTTGTTGATCATGATGTAAAAATCATTCACTTTCCAGAGTTTAACTTAGTGTATGTTTTGTATTCAAATAGAAACAATAAATTTATTTAGTGTAATTGGTTATGATTGTTGTCTTTGTTTGAAAAGACCAGGGTTCAAATCTTGGTATTGATATTTTTTATTTGAAATAATTAATTAATTGTAAAGACAAAAACGTCCTTCCTACTTTCACTCTCGTTATAGAAAATTTGAAATGGAAAAAATTACACAAAACTCTACCATATATTAATGGAGGATATATATATTATTATAGTCCGACCCGTGGGCCGAAAGAAGATGTTGTGAATTTGGTAAATTGCAATCTAACATAATACATGTGTTGTGAGGTGTCCATATGCATAACTAATGCATATTAGTGATTGGCATTCACCTAAGATAAAAATAATCATAAAGACCTCTATTTTATTAGTTTGAAGATCACTATTTGAAATTTTACATTTTTTATATGAATTACGACAATAAAAAAATATGTTGGGTTCAATTGGAATAAAAACCTTTGTGTACAAAATCATGACTTGATACGAAGTGTGAATAGCTCTAATGGAAGAGCTAGCAAAAGCAGGCTTCTCAAACCGTGACCGCTTTGCCACCACTGAGTTCAGTCCATCACAAAGATCAAAATCGTCTATGAAATTAAAATAGACTTGTAAGGTGTGGTTTGGATTTGGATTACATAGTTAAGCAAATGAAAATTGACAAAAAAAATGACATTCTTTTTTTGTTGACCTTGCCTTTGATTTTGATTCCATAAGCAAGATGGAGAAACTTTATATAACCTCAAACTTTATATGACCACATTTTGATCCCATAAGGAAGAGAATCTAATAGTGTCATTAGGAAGCTCTTCTGAGAGCGGCTCCGTAAGTTATTTCCTCTTGATGCATCTAACTTCATAATATTCACAACAAAAAATCACAGTCACGCTTGTGAAATTTGGATCCATCTCTTGAAGTAAAGTGACACAAACTCTGTTTCTTACTTCGATCCATCATTGTACTTGTACAACTTCGCAAAAACCAGTTCCCTTGTGACATTTGGTACATCCCCAACTCTGCAGTTCATTTCCAAAAGTTGCCGACTTTGGTTAGTAAACAACAACTTATAGTAAACATAAACCTGAATGGATGATAAGATGTAACTTTCAAGCAACAGTTAATAATGAAACTAATTTAAAAGGAATCATCCATCTGTGTTTCACCTATTCAAAGGGCCTAAACATAACTTTTAAGCAACATCCTAAAAAGCATAACAAAAGGAAAAAAGAAGAGTTTGCAGAATTGCAGCTTTAAAAACGACATCACTAAACACTGAAAAAATGAAAACAACATGAATAAGGTATTTAACCATAACCATCATTTTGGAGAAAATCCATAACCATACTCAACATCATATTACTCTCCCAATTGAATGGTGCCAACTATAGAATCAGTCACCAAAAAGTACAAATATGGAGTAAAAAGGTTATTCTGGACATGGAAGAGTAATTATCCCCCTTTTATCATGGAACCACTACTGCTATTTAAGCTAAAAAGGTAGCATGAGTTGAGTTGCTCACCAGCATGCATATGAACAGGGAAACGCCAAATATAAGAACCAACTCATTCCGAACCAATAACTCAACGCAATGAAACTTAGTTTTGAATTAAACCACTACTTTGATGGCAAAAGAAACATATTAATGTGCATTTGTTTCATGTTATCTATTTCTAACATGGTTCAATTAACGTATCGTTCATGTTCCTATTAATTTCATAGAACCGATAGCATCTTTCATGCAAATAAGAAACATCTAATTTGAGTTCTAGTTTGAAGCTATATCATAAAACTGACATTAATAAACACAAGTAGTTGTAGGCCTAAAAGAGGAAGAAGTTGTATGGCAGCGACAATAAGAAGCGAAACGAACACTGGAAATGTAAAACCCCGAGAACAACGATGGGACAACAGCACAAACAACACATACGTAACTGACAAAATCAATCGAGACATGAGGATCTAGTGCAGAAGAACATAAGGTAGGACGGAAGACTGTGTAGAAAAACAATAGGAAGGAGAAGAACAAATTAAAGCACAAGCTATTTAAATCCAAGATTAATATAAAAAATATACCATTATATGGATTACCTCCTTGACCTGCTCTTACTTCTAGTTCTGCTCATAACACCAACTGCAACTCCCCTGCAGCAGTAGAGGAACAACACACATAATGTAGCTTAATTTCTATAATAGTATCCTGTTTTTAGAATGAACCAACTAATAATTCTTTCATACTCATAATGACCACCAAAAATCAGAACAATGGAAGAAATGTAGGGGAAAACATCTCAGTAATGCATAGAATTTCCATATTCTTAATTTCCACATCTTACAACTAACTCACACAGTAGCAGCCCTGGGTTTTTCTGAGGTAATGAAATTATGGAGGAAAAACCTGAGCGTCCATCTAGAGAGTAGAGAACTCTAAAAGCCAGCCGGTTTAATTGGGGGCCTTACATTCCAGGAATGGGGAGACCGATGGATTCTAATGGCGGAAGCATTGATGGTGCTGAAATGGTTGGCCCTGAACTCAGAACATTATGCAAATCTTAAGGCTAACATGTATCGAAACTCTAAGCACAAATCCTCTTTTTTCACAATCTCATACAACCAACCAGAGGCAATGACCCAGTATACTAAAGGAATTCTTATGATCTGCATTAGACTTGCTACTGGAGAAAAAACTACCTACATTCTAACCCAGCTCTCCCCACAATCCGCAAGACCAGAACTTATTATCAAGAAATGGGAACTACTTGTCTAATTACACATATCCAACAAAATGAGATCCTAATAAGAGGTCTGCTGTAGTCTTACAGCCAATCTGGAATTACTAACTTATACGAATCAAACCCCAGTGAACAAATATTAATAAGAGGTCCATCAAAAAATTTCTTGTTCATATGAATTCAGCAACGTAACCACAAACAACTTAACGCACAAAGAATGCTTATTTCTTTTAGTAGTCATGGGATTAGTGCTTCCTGACTACTAAAAGTGTTGTATTAGACCTCAATACAAAGAAACCAAAGACAACAAAAGGCATAACACAGGGATGGACACTAAAAGCGTTTTAACCCAAGGAAAAAACAAAGGAATGCATATAAACCATAAAGAAAAGTACGAAAATTCAAGCAATTACTTTGACAAATAAGGAATGCGAGGTAAGTGATTCTAAAATGCATGCACAAATCCCTATTAACAACCTGATATAACCTACCAATTCAAAACTTAAATACTTGGGGATATGAGCCTGGCAAAGTGAATCGCTGGTTTGACGAATCTTCCTTCCTATTAACGACCCGCCCCAAGACAGAAACTACTAAAATCAACCCTCCTGTGTGCTCGCTAGAGTGAATGATAATGGTAGATTGCAAAATAACAGCTCAGAGAAGTGTCCTATGCGCATGAAACCCCAACTCCCCCTTCTTCTTAAGTAATGGGGAAAAATCAACATACCTCAACATAATATATGGGCAAGGAAAGCCGCCAGTTCAATTCCAGAATGTTGTAATGCCTCGGACCTTTCTTTAAGGACGGAGAGATCAGTGACTTTGTTGACTGGGAAAAGCTTGTATAGTTGGTCCAGAATCCATGAAACTGCAAACCAGAGCTCGCAAGGTACTGACATCACCCATAGCCACATCACATGGCGGTTTGGTTTTCGGATCCTCGATGTGATGAACAACCTGAGTGCTTCCAGGGTGAACACAATGAGAGCAGCCTGCAATGATAAATAGGAAAAATAGATTGCCACATTCATTGAAATACATAAAGCAAAGAGAGAAAAGGAGCTAAAAAACATCATAATTGAAATACTGAAGCCCCAATTTCGACAGTTAGCAACCTGAATCACAATTTAGGTTGAGAGAGAGTAAATCGAGGATACTTGTCATGACTGGAAATACATCAGAAACATAGACTGTTCTGCTCAAATCCATTAGCTTCGCGGCCAACGCCATACCCATCTTTAGGCCACACAGCGTTACCATACCCATAAGTTCCATTGGTCTCCAACAACCACCTGGTGCGCTTAAACTCAGAGGGTGGCTCATTCGCTTAATAGACTTCACCAATGGAAGTCTTGTGTCCAATTTGGACAGAGATAGAGCTTGATCTTCCTCCTCGTCTTCTCCGTGGCATTAGTAATCGTTCTACTCATTCGCCTCCTCATAATTGTCAAGACCCTTGTGGGCTCTTTACACCCAAGACAATTCCCGCCTCCATTAGAACCCACGCAGCCCAAGTAACAGTCTTGACAAATCTTGAACCCACACTCGCACTTCCCTTTGGTTATGGCCTTCTCATCGTATCCCCTCATCCAGCAGACCTACGCAGATTTCGAAGTGGTCAGAGGTGAAATATATTGACATTAAAATTGATACATCTGTCAATGGAAAACACGAACCCAGAGAAACATAAAAGCAAAGAATAACTTACCACAGTGAAGTGATGAACCGTTCGCCAATTAGACCGGAATCGCGGGCAGTCGGTGCGTCGGAGGTGTGAAGGTCACTCACTAAGACTGGCGTAAATTAGATGGGAATCGTCGGCGGTGGGTGTGTCAAAGGAGCGGGCCAATAGGAATGAACTTGCTTCGACGTCTTCCACCTCTCGCTAACACTCTCAATCATGGGCATTTTGTTACCACGGATAGGGAGAGAGAGTGAGATCGAGAAAAAGTGGGAGAGATTCGAAAAAATCAAAAGCATCAAGGGCATACATAGGAAGGAAAACCCACCAGCAAAACTGAAAAATCACGATTTTCCCCGAAAGGGGTTCCTGAGCGCCACCGGCAATGTGGCTGTGCTGTTAAAGAATACAGGAGTCGATGAATGTGAGGAGTATGTTCTTCGACAGAGAGGAGCGGAGCCGAGGAATTGGGGTGGTGATTCGTAGAGATGGATTGTCCGGAACGGAGGTAGAGAAAGAGATTTGTTGTGGGAAGAAAGAAAGGAAAAGGGAGGACTATTGCGGTTCCACGAAGGGAAGTGGAAAACCCCGCCTAAATGTCCAGGCCACGTCAACTCCGCAAATCACTCTGAGAACACAGAATTTTGAATGGTGGATGCAGTTTTACTTTTCCACTATAAATGATACTGTAGATATATGAAAGGGAAGTTTTATGCTAACAGTGTGGCAAAATTCCACATTAACCTGTTGAATCTAATTAGTGATATGACTTGAATCAGATGATATGTTATCAATTAGAAGTCACTAGGATCTATGGTGCATGTATGGGGCTATGGTACATGTTTGGAATTCTGTACTGGATCTCATTCGTGAACTTATTTTTTACCATATTGGATTAGGGTTAGGTCATTGGAGAAGTTCTACAAATATTTATCATACTCCTCGGTAATCCATATCTCATCAAATATAGTGAAGCTTGCTCTCTCCTGACTAACTCACGCTGTGTAAGTGAACCACGTCTGTGTGTTCTTTACTCTCTTGCTTAATATTGTCTTTCTTGCATTGTCGATTACCCCGGTACGTGAACGATTTTGTATAATGATTTATCATAGTCTTCAGTATTTCTGTATAATAATTTTGGATGTTAATTGTGAATTAATCACAGATATTGTTAACATAAGAAAGATGGATTTGTTGATAAGTCTAAAGCAAAGTTGATAGCTAAAGGTTTTGCTCAGAGGCATGGATTTCATTATACTGAGGTATTTGCATTTGTGACCAGGTGAGACACAATCAGAACTCTTCTCATCCTACCATGGTCTCACAATATGCCAGCTTCATGAGAAAAGTGCTTTCCTTCATAGAGATCTTTTTGAAGAGGTCTATGTTAGGCAACCACCTTGATTTGTGGTTGCTAGGGAGAAAGAGGAAGTTTGAAGCTTCATTAAGTTTTTTATGGCCAGAAACAGGTTCATAGGCCTTGTATAGCAAGATTGAATCTTGTTTCCTCTGGTTCGGGTTTGAAAGATGTACTTATGAACATACCTTGTTCATAATAAAAAAAGTTGTTATGACATTCTAATTGTCCGTCTTTATGTTGATGATTTGATGTATGCAAGCATTGATGAAGGGATGGTAGCATATTTCAAATCATCCATGAAAGCAGAACTGGAAATGACGGACCTGGACAGGATGCACTACTTGCTCGGAGTTGAGGTGCTACAGAATGAGAAGGTAGCATATTTCAAATCACAAAAACTGTCAATTTTGGTATCTGATACAAGAAAGGGAACTGAAGAAGGGTTGATTGGCTATACTGATAGGGACTATGCTGAGGGATGCTGATGATATAAAGAGTACAACTGGGTATGCATTTTTTCTAGCTGTATCATGAGCTTCAAAGAAACAGCCTGTTGTAACTCTATCAACTACAGAAGCTGAGTTCGTGGCTTCATCATAGTGTGTCTCGCTCAAAATGATCTTTGGAAAAAAATGAGATGGAAGAGGGTGTGTTAACAGCAACAATCATTTTGTGTGATAACAGCTCCACAATCAAGTTCTCCAAGAATCATGTGCTCCATGGAAGGAGTAAACACATTGGCATTCGATTTCATTCTTTTTTATAGAGTTGGTTCATGAAGGAGTGGTGAGACTGGAGCACTGCGGAACCCACTAACAAAGCCATTGAAGCCGGAGCTGTTCCAAGTACCGAGAGTCTTTATTGGCAGATTGGGTGTATGTATATGACAGTGAAGAGTTTTCTGGCAGCAACGGAGGGTTGGCGAAAGTTTTCTGTTTGAATTCCGCGGCTTCATCTCAGGGGAAATGTATATTTGGTCCAGTTTCGGATAAAACCAAAAAACTCGGACCAAATAGCCAACTCTAATTCCTATTAGCTAGTAAATAGTAATGACCTGGGCTAGAGTATCACAATGAAAATTAACATATCGTAAAAACGAACAAGGATTTGGTCTAGTAGTAATACCACTAGCCTAGAACTTAGGATCCCAGATTTGAATCTCTTAAATAGTATCTTAATGAAAAAAATGACATATTATAAAAAAATTAACATATTGTAAAAAAAAGCATATAATTTATTAAATATTTATGCCACAGAAGTCGTCGGTCTCGTACCTCAGGCTACACTTATCAAACAAGACGCTGCCACAGAACTTAGGTTCATGTTCTCGTAGGAGGAGCTGCTTCGCCCACAGCAGCAACACAACATGATGATCATCATCATCATTGCCGCCGCCGTCGGAATTATTACGTACTAATTAGTAAGGGAGTTGCTAAAGGTCGCCCTTAAAATTGCTAAATGTCGCCCTAAAAAACATCAAAGTTACAAATTTAACCTTTTAGCTTCTTTACTCTTCCTTTAGCAAACAAACACCACTTAGTAAAGAAAATAAAACATTATTCAAAAGAGAGAATCCATCATCGTCATTCTGGAGTTGGAATCGTCGATATGATGTCTGAATCATGACTAGCGACTCTAAATCGGTAAATTTCACTCAAAAAGTTGAAAAAAAAAACAAAAAAAGGGAATCGTAGCTCATTTGCGGTTGCACCATGGGTCAACCGCAGCTCACTTGCGGTTGCACCATGGGCCAACCGCAGCTCACTTGCGGTTGGTCCATGGTACAACCGCAGCTCACTTGCGGTTGCACCATGGACCAACCGCAAGTGAGTTGCGGTTGCACCATGGACCAACCGTAACTTGCCTTAGGTTGAGCGTTTTTTTGGAAATTTCGTTAGAGAATGGGCGACGCCGACGGCGGAAAAGACGCCGACGAACTGGTGCGTCGAGAGGAATTCGCGAAGAAGGCAGATGAGGGGTTCAGTTTGAGAAGTTAGGGACTGTTTGGTTTGTTTAAATTTTAAAATTTTATTAGGGGTATATAAGTCATTTATCATTAGAGTTAGGGCGACCGTTAGCAATTTTAAGGGCGACATTTAGCGATTCAGATTAGTAATTATTTAACCCAAATTGTAATGATGCACGGGATGTGTGTTAGAGAGTGGTATAAGATTCACGATTGAATCTCTTTCAACAACTCGAGTTATTGAGATCAACTGGTTCTCGACATGGTATCAGAGCCTAGAACCGAAAGGTCATGTGTTCGAATCTCCACGACCCTCAATATTAACCGTTGTCTTTCAAGCACATGGCATAGTAGACATGTGCAAACTTCAAGCCCATGAGTTGGCTTCCGTTTGAGAGGGCGTGTTGAAACTCCTATGAATCCCTAAATCAAGACTTCCAACTTCCAAGGGTAAGAATGAGACCATAAGAAAATCACAATTTGGGTTGTTACTAATACAGACGACTTTTACATAAGAAAGCCATAAAAATTCAAATCATAGTTCATTTGGGATGTCAATATTATAGTCACGCTAAATTGAGACCTACATATAAGTTAGTATGGATCGGTATGGGTTGAAACTTGAAATTTTTTCATCCAAGATACTAAGGATGTCAAATTATTTAAAATATCCATGTATACAGCTTAAACTTTGGTTAATCTAAGATGGCAAGATCACAGATTTTAAGATGAATACCTTTCAATTTTTTCCCCTTTTGCAATGAATTGAATTCAATTTTTTCCCCCTTTTACAACTCAACTTTGATACATTTGATGGGCCGGATTTCAGGTTACTGGGCCGGATAGCACTCCGACGTGGCCCAATATCACGTCCCTTTGAGAAAAAAATTAAAACTAAAACAGACACTCAGAAAAAAAAACGGAAAATCCGCGAAAAAGAAGGAAAATGAGAAGCTTAAGCCGAGCATCTGCGCTCTGTAAATCGAGCTGCTTCCTCACCCCATCATCTTCACTCGCTCTGCCTCCCACCACTCGCTTCCGGTTCAACTCGTTCGAATCCACTTCCCAGTCTCGCTCTAATCGCCATCGCATGGCCGCCGCCGCCGATACTCCTCCCACCGACGGCGCCGCCGCCCCTTCTCCTTCTTCCTCTTCCGCGGCTTCCGCCATTGATTTCCTCTCCCTCTGCCATCAACTCAAGGTAAAGCAACCCGTTATTGCCTGGTTGGCGCTCTGTTTGTAGAAAGTTCAGTGCTTTCAGTTATATAGCTGCGGATTGATTCGGGGTTTTTTTTTTATTGGGGGTATTTCAGACGACGAAGAGGGCTGGATGGGTGAAGAGGGATGTTAGGGATCCGGAATCCATTGCTGATCATATGTACAGAATGGGGTTAATGGGTTTGATTCTTCCAGACATTCCTGGCATCAACCGTGACAAGTTAGTAGTTTTTTTTCTTCTTTTCTTGTTTTGATCTTGCTGATTGATTTCAGTTTCGATGTTGAGAGCATTTGGTTGATATGTGCAATTCATGATTGGTTTCAGGTGTGTGAAGATGGCGATTGTTCATGATATAGCTGAAGGTATGATATGATAGACCTTTTTACTCTTCCTGAAAAATTAGGCTGAATATGAATTATTTGTAAGGTTGGAGATGGGGGAGAAGCTAATGAATTGCTGTCCAATGTGTTGTTGTCTTTTCTTTCATCAGCTATTGTGGGTGACATTACCCCATCAGATGGTGTTCCAAAGGAAGAGAAGAGCCGAAAAGAGGCAGAAGCTTTGGATCATATGTGCAAACTGTTAGGTGGAGGGTCGAGAGGTAAACAATCGAATGAAATCCATGCCCTTGGTGAATTTGTGATCGGTTCCATTCATGTGCCTAAATGTGTAACCGAGATTTTTTTTCCTGTTGTATTTTCTGCAGCTGAGGAGATAGCACAGTTATGGAAAGAGTATGAGGATAATTCTTCCCCTGAAGCCAAGATGGTGAAGGACTTTGACAAGGTACTTTCTTCAATTTGTGCTCTTGGTGTGTCTTAGATATGTTTATGATAATCCTAGTCGAATTTCGTTCTTTGAGCATTCCTTTGCTGTTGAATGGTTGTGGTGGCTATGGTGAGAAGCTTCAACTTTCATGGCTGATTATAGCATTCAAAAAGAGAATGGGATTTTTCGATACTTAATAGTTTAAAAGCACGTTCCTTTGTTCTTTGTACAGGTGGAGATGATACTTCAGGCTTTAGAATATGAAAATGGTGAGTTCTCTTTCATGTGCCTTCCAAAGCGATATGTCGTATTTCGTAGCTTATAGAAGTTGATTTTAGCCCTGTCTACTAAAATTTGCAGAACAAGGAAAGGATTTGGAGGAATTCTTCCAGTCAACTGCTGGTATCTAAAACTTTCCTTCTCTGATTCCACCCTATTATGTCAGTGGTGTCTGTCTATGTCTCATCTAGCTCTGGACTTTTAACGAGAGGACTAATGGAATCGAATGTCGGTTTCTTTGTCGTGTGATTTGCAGGCAAGTTTCAGACAGATGTAGGCAAAGCTTGGGCCTTGGAGATAGCATCCAGAAGGAAAGGTAAGTAGCTGGAAACAGGAGCACAGTTAAAACTTGCATAACCTTTGCTGACCTTGAGCCCAAAAGAAAAACACCCTGAGCTCTTACTTCATGACCATTCACTAGTTTTCTGTTACTCTCTTGTATGCCTGAAATTCTTCATTACAAAAAAATGTTACTGTTTTATGCATCGTATAAGATTCAATTCAACTGATCTCACTTTGCTCCACGCACTACTTGCTACGAGAAATAACACTCTAAATACGCGATTGGAGTGCGACCGACGGTCTCAATCCTCGAACAACCGGAGGGTTCACCGACGCAAACTCGAGCAGCTCCTCGTCATTCTCCAGCATACGACCATCATCTTCACCTGTAGAAATCAGGATCTCGACTGACCGGTCGATATCTTCGATGAAAATTACGTAATTCTTTATGATCAAGTTGGTGAAGACGACCCAAGCCGGCTTCCCCCAGCCGAAGTCGATGTCATAGAGTCGAAATGACGAGAGCAAGCTGCTGAAGCTGTAGATATCCACGTCGCCCCTGGTAGTCACCTCCTGGACTTCCCTCACAAACTCGATGATCCCCTGCGCCTCCTCTTCGGCTAGGTTGTTCCCCTTCATCATAGGTTTGCCCGATTCGGCCTGCCCTGCTCTCAGGTACGCCGCCAGTGCTTTCAGGTCCTTGCTGCTTCCTTCCTCTATCCGACACACGAACTTGCCTGACAGGTTGCCCACCAATGTCCGTGGCAATGGTGGGTCGAGCTGCTGTCTCCAGTTCGTGGCTTGGATGAGGATGGACTTCTCCTATTAACATCCAACATAAATGGTGTTTAACACATGTTCGCTCAAAGAAAGAATCATAGGATCAGGATATTCTACCTTATGACCTTGACGTCCGGCTGCGATACGTTTGGCTCGGTTGATCTTCATCAACGACCTCCAAACGATCGCAGTAAGTGCCTCGGACCGTGTTGGGCGCTCCACGGCGTCGCTAACACACCGAGCTTGGATCCGCTTGATTGCCTCCGCCTCGATCACAAACCGCCTTGTCGTAGCCTTGATCTGCTCTTTCTGTGCCGGTGGTAAGCGAGGCAGGGGAACCGCCAGGTCGCTCGAGGACGGTACGATCGAATTGGATGCGAATGTTGGGTGGTGCTCCGACGAAATAGTCGTCGAATTCTCCTTCGCAACTGCGGCGGCAACCCAGGCCCGAATGAAAGCGAACATGGAAATGCCGTCGCCGACCTTGTGAGTCATACTAATAGCCACTGCCAGACCGCCGCAGGAGAAGGCGAGTGTCTTGATCTGGCCTCCTACGTAGCGATCCGCGGAGTTTAGGTCGTCGATGGACAGGAAGCTGTCGAGGAGGTCGAGGTCCGGGCAGCGAAACACGACGTCGGAGAGGGTACCAGCGACGTTGCACTCGACGAACTCGATCCCAGCATCGTTGCACTCGATCACATTGCTCGCCCTGAGCTCGCCGGCGTAAGGGTAGTAGAGGGTGAGGGCATCGGCGAGGGAGGATTTAAGACGTTCGGGCCTCGGAACGGTGACGTCCTGCTGACCGGCATCAGGCGCCGGGTAAAATAAGGTCAGCGGCGTGGCCGTGACGTAGTTAAGCTCGTCCATTATGGAGAGCTTTAGCGACGACTTCTCCGGTGGCGTTGGGGAGCTTGGCTTTATCATTTGCCTCGAGGTGACTTCAATTTTCACGGCCTTGGCCATCATTGTTTAGTGTTTCAATCACCAATCGATTTAACAAAAATTCACTGCCTGTTTGATTATGTGTTTAGGTTGGGGATAGCTTGTTTAAATCGTGAAATTAGGGGTTAAGTTTCATTGATTGTGAATTTAACGAATGGACTTCGAACTTCTAAACTTAATTAGTGTAAGTTTCACATAGAGATGATGATGATGTATGTTACATTATTATGATAGCTAACTCACTATCCATATGTAAACGTACAAAATGTTACATATTACATCGAATATCATTACGCAACAAACTGCTCTCGACATTGTGCAACCAAGTTTAACGTCGAATATTTTACGTTCTTTTGGTGACTCTGAGCTTCACACCATGCTTGAAGTTGAGAACTATCCCGTACTCGAGTTCCAACGGCTTCTTCATGTTTGGAGAGTGCCTGAAAACGTAGTTACGGTACAAATGGATGAGTGAGAGCTTGATTTCTTGTATGGAGAATTTCTGGCCAATGCAAGCTCTAGGGCCGATCCCGAAGGGAATGAAGGCATAGGGATGCCTCTGTTTCTCCTCGTCGCCGTTTGGATCGAATCTCTCCGGCTTGAACTTCTCGGGCTCCGGGAAGTTCTTCGGGTCTTTGGCTAGAACCCCAGGTGCCAACCAAACCCAAGTGCCCTGTTCCAAAGACATTACAAAATGAGCTCTTCACCATTTACCACATAGGTCTACATGTAACACAATTTATTCACCTTTGGGAGACGGTAGCCTCCAATTTCCACCTCACTTGATGTTTCTCTTGCAACTAATGGCGAAACCAAGTAATACCTTAGAGACTCTTTCACAACCTGCCAAAAACAATCAAAATCAATACTCGTTACGACGAGTTTGATGTTTTAGTCGAATCCAGTGTCAAATAAATTTGTTACGAGAGGCTTGCCTGATCGAGGTAAGGAAATTTATGTTGAAGATCGTTCGCAGTCGGGAGGACATCACGAGGCCCGAACGCATCGATCTCGGCCACCAACTTCTTCTCCACCTCAGGGTGTCCGGCGACCAAGTAAAGCGCCGACGACAATGTGAATGAAGTGGTAGCCGATCCGGCCAAAAGGTGCTCGTAAGTCACCGCACTTACATAGTCAGGAGCGAACACGGTTCGAGCCACTTCCTCGGACTGTGTCTCCTTCGCCTTCAGTATGAGCGACAGGAAATCCTTTGAACTACCTCGGTTTTCTTCGTTCGTTCTCCTGGCCACGATCTTGTCTAGCCGACCACTTATGTCGACGTTGACATTCTCCACCCTCCGGTCCATGGTCCCCGGGATTCGCTTCAGGAGCTGCCTGACGGGCTCCTGAAGGACCGGGAGGAGCAGGCCGAGGATGATGGAGACCGAGCCCGAAAGGTCCATCTTGAGTTGTGTGGTGGAGTAAATGTGTTGGTTGATGAAATTCGTGACATCGTCGTCATTACCAATTGTCTTGTCTTTTTGTTGCTGCTGAGGTTTGGACAGGCCGAAATCGACACCAAAAGCGGCCTGTCCAATGACGTCCGTAGCAAGTTGGAGAGAGAGGTTGGAGAAGACGATGTCGTCTTCTCCTTCCTCTCCTCCTCTTCCTTCCCCTGAAGTGGGAAGGAGGTTTTGTGTCGCGGCTTCGATGTAGGATTGCATTGTCGGGATGAGACTGGCTAGGTAGGATGGCTGGTAGACTGAGAGTATGGTGTTTCTCATGATTGACCACCTCGTATCTCTGCCGAGAAGTGAACAGTGATTTCAGAAGGAGAAGCAGAGAGGGTGGTGAAGAAGGCCAGGGATATGAATTTCTTAGGAACTGACCTTGTAAAGAAGAGACCTTTCTGGTGGAGAGGAGAGGAAGCAATGGGAGAAGGGATGCTTCTGTTAGGGAAGTGTTTGAATTTCTTGATCCCAACTTCTCTGCAGAGCTCTGGATCAGCTATGATCACCAGAGGCTGTCTTCCCAAATGAAACCTGCACCAACCCAACAACACCAACTACAAACTTGTAAGGGTGCGATAGAAGATAAATAATTAACCTTCTCCTAATAATTCGAATTATTGTAAGCAACTGATTCTTGACATTGTCAGAATTGATTTTGGCTAAATGATTATCTGTTTGAATCTCCACGCCTCCAATTTTAACAGGTGACTTAAGCACAATGTATGACAAGCCTGTACAAATTTCAAGTCCATGAGTTAGCTTTCGTTTGGTGAGACATGTAAGAATGTGATATAAGGTCCATAATTAACTTTCTCCTAACAAGTCGGGTTATTGAAACCAATGATTGTGAAACCTTGCAGAGGTTATAATAGAAAAGTCGGGTGGCAGGGTATCTTGTACTAAAACATGATTTAATGATGGTTTAGACGTTTCCTACCGCTAAAACTGTCTATTGTTATGAGTCCAATATCCAGTATTTACGAACCAACCAACCAATACGGTTTAATTTCTCAAATATTGATTGAGACCAATTGATGGGTGACCGTTTTCGCTTAACATCCCATGGTTGATGGTTCCCTCACTAATTTCGTCACCAAATTCGCCTTATTGTATGGAGTTGGTGACCAGAAATTGAAGAACTGACCTGAAAATAGGCCCATATCGCTTGGCGAGAACGGAGAAGACGTCGGGCCCGTATTTGGCCATGAGAGGAATGTGCCCCAGCAGAGGGACGGTTGGTGGGCCGGGGACCTTTCTGACTCCCCAGTATGGGCCGTACAAGTAAGCCACCGTCCCCAGCAACATCGCCACCGCCGTCGACACGACGACGGGGAGGAAGAGACTCGACGATGACAAGACTGCTTCCGCCGCCGCCGCCGGTAGCTCGGTGTCCATTCTGCCTGATTGAAAAAAAAAACAGTGAATGAATTAGAGCACTGAGGCTGGATGGGCATGCTGTAGGGAATATATGGGAGCGGATATGGTGACTATAGTCACCTTAGCAATTAAGGATAAACTGTATATGAGAAAAAAATTATTTATTAATTATCTTTTTTAATAAGTTAGATTTTTGGAAGCTATAAATACATATTAATTATAATTTCATGTCTCTCACTTCAGTAGTTTCTGACTACGGCTCTGTTTCATATTGAGAACTACTTTAAGTATCGCTAATGTCAAACTCGGCTCAATTCGAATGAATTTAGCCTATCGAACCCAAGCTCGAAAGATTTAAGTCTTAATCTCAAGAGTCTGAATGTCACGACATGACCAAAAATCAAATAAGAATCTTCAATAATGTATTAGGGGTCGTTTGGAGGTTGAGATTCTCCAAACTGATGTATTTTTATCAATTTGTGTATTGTAATATGATGCATCGATTAAATGTATGAATTTGGAAAATACTTTGTTTGGAGGCTTTGATTGTGTTTTTGCTATAAATAAATAGTAGTACACTTTTCAAAATAAATAACATATTTATCATTCATTTACTAACGAAAAATGGGGCTGTAAATACATCACTTAAGGGGTCGTTTGGAAGTTGCGATTGTTAAATAGATGTATTGTTGAGAATGCATGTATAATATTATACATGTATTATCGAATTTGATGCATTGTAGAATACAACGTTTGGTATGTGTGATTGTGTATGTCGCATCAGCTAAAAGCTGAAACAAAACAATCTCAACTCAACTATCTCAGCAATCACAACTAAAAGTTGAAATATAACAATCACTCAAAATGAGTGATAGTTTCTGTAACATCACATAAACAATCAATGTATTGTTTCTGCTAAAAAACAAAAAAACGATGCATTGTAAACAATACATGCATAATGACAATCTCAACAAAACAATCGCAACTCTCAAACGAACCCTTAGAATCCAACTTTCAACCGATCTCTACGTTACCTCCTCATTTGTGACGGATGCATAAATATAGTATTTAACTTTTGTTAATCATAGTTGGTGGGGTAGGTAGCTGTCCACTATCTGTTTTTTCTTCTATCACTTAGAGCTGGACATAATATGGGTATCTTCGCCACTCTCTTCCAAAAACAAGAAAAGAACAGCATCTCCAAGCAACCTCCTGTTTGGTCTCCGGGGAAAATAAAGTGATGAACTTTCCCTTCTGGATCTCTCTTCTTTGACAATCCAAGAACTGGGTTTTGGTGGGTTTTCTACGAACTCCTCTGCCCTCTTTCTTCTCTGGTTCATGGCTAATGTTTATATGGTCGAAATCTATGCGCGAATTCATCACTTTTTCAATGGTTTAATCTCAACATACCATAGAATAGAACACTTAGAAACACACTAGAACAGGAGGTAAAGGGAGTGTTTTTTTGCAGTCGAAAGAAGGGCTGTCATAAGCAACAGAGTGGTCACGAAAAACCTCTTTAGCGACGAGTTTATGGTCACCAAAAAGTTTTTTTCCTGTCAATTTCAAGAGTGAAAAAAGATTGGATTACTTACTTGATAACAGCAAGACACACTTCAACGATCCTTCCACCTCGAAAGCTTCAACCTTCTGTCAGATCTGATCATACGATGATAAAGAAAAAGGCGGGGGGTTTTTGTGGGTCTTAATCTGCAGTCTGCAGCCATTATATAGGTCCAAGCTAAGCTAGCTAGCCGGCCATCAATTTTAGTGATAAAATAATCGCACTAGCTAGCCAGAGTTGTGAGCATATAATAGAGCCTCTCTTCTTATAATGGTGGGATTCCTGCTCCAGATTCGGCCGCATTGAGAGGCACAAGACGACAGAATTTTCTCCCACAACAAGAGCGAGAGTTCATATTTGTCGGGATATGATCATATGACTGAATGATTGTAGAGAAGGAAAGCGATGCCCGGCCATTAGCTTCCACCTCCCAAGGGAAAAAGGACGGTGACGAGTTAGACGACAAACAACAAACCACATGATGTTCATTGCTGGAGTGGTAAATCGATGGTGGTGGTGGGTTCTATTGGGTTAAGATCAGGGGCGGAGGGAGAAGGTTAGAGGATGGTTGCAGGAACCCACCCTGGTTCGGGAGGAAAAATAATAAATTAGATATAATAGTAAATCGGGTATGAAAAATAACACGTATTTAAATGAGAATAATTGATCTTTCAAATATTTGATGAATGATATAAGTTGTGTATTGACATATATAATGTTTTTATAACGAGTTATGTACAAATGATAATGGTGCATATGATCCACCCAAAATTGAAGATGTATTGGTTTAACATCTCGAACAAATTTTCACCAAATCATAGCTAATTTATAAAAATAATTTTATTTCAATCAGAGGTAGAGAGAGTGTAACGGGTGGCTCCTAAGGACAAAAATGAGTAAAATAGTATAATGTTTAATTGAGAATGAAATTTAAGACACTTCTAATTGAGAATGGTTGACCGAGAGATCATGTGTTCGATTTTTGGCGACCCCATTTGTAAAGTTCTAATTGAGAATGGTTGACCGAGAGATCATGTGTTCGAATTTTGGCGACCCCATTTGTAAAGCACATGATATTCGGATTTGCGGAAAATTTAAGCACGTAATAGTTGGTTTTCGTTAGCGGGAAAGTGGTAGTAACTGGTCTTGACGAAAAACATTGTTAAATAGTATAAGTCTATTATTAAATCTTTCACAAAAACTTGAGTTATTGGTACTAAATGGTCTTGACGAAGAACACCATTCAAAAGCAAATGTCTAACTAAATCATTAATAATTGGTTGATATATACAGAGTGATATTCTTGAGAGTTTCGACCTATAATTAATTTATCAAATGTTTGTAAGTATAAAAGTATATCATGAATTATTTAAAACGCTAACAAAACTATTTTATCGTATTTTTTTTTAAATGGACCTACCCTTGACAAAATCTTGGCTACGCCCCTGGTTAAGATGGCGACCTTTTATACTTGTTTGAATCAATGTGGAAGATTGACGAAGAAGTAATGACGCTTTTGGAGATTACTATATTAGACTTTCTTTTTCTTAGAAATATTTCTCTTTGTATCGTGAATTTTCAACAAATAAGTCAACTGTACTATGCAGACATTTTTTTTCCATTTTCCAAGTCTCGAAACTATGAAAGTTGTCCAAACACCAGATTTATTTCTAGCTGGGGGTCGATATATATGATCGGTATCTATGCTCTAGATAACTTGTACGTTAAACGATGGAAATCAATCCCTTAGCACTAGCGGGATTTCTGTCTTAATGGTTATTACGATTTACGGGTTCATTCCTAATTTGATGTCGGATACATCAATATGAAAATCTTAAGTTAGCTATCACCACAAAGCTTCAGGGTCTTGACAAGAAATTAAGTAAAAAACACATAGATTTACGTTGAGCAGCGAGATTCCCGTAACTTCCAATACTCGCGACGCAAATAATATATTTTGCAACTCACACTTAACAACAAACATTTTCCCTAAAAACAATCATGAATTTCAACAAATAAGTCATTCGTATTACATCAACTTTTTTTCCATTTTTTCGGTCTCGAAACTATGAAAGTTTCTCCACACATATGAAGTCAAAGATATGATTTGTATCTGTACGTTTCTAGATAATTTGCAGATGGAAAATCAATCTTTTACCATCCAAAATTTCTCCACTTTATTGATTATTACGGGTTCATTCCCAATCTAACGATACATCAATACGAATACCTCAAGTCAGTAATCACCATAAAACCTCCAACAAGAGAAAACACAAACAAGCAACAAAATCACAAGGACGACAAAATCTTCGCCCCTCTTCCCTCCCTCTTCCCTCCTCCTCCTCCTCCACCTCCAACCGGAGGATTGAACAACGCAAACTCGAGCAACTCCTCATCCTCCTCCAACGCCGCCGCATCATCTTCCCCAATCGACACCATCGCCTCCACCCCGCCGCCACCTTTCCCCTCACGGCCGCCACCTTCAAGAAACAGCACAAACTGCTCCAAAATCAAGTTGGTGAAGACCACCCACGCCGGTTTCCCCCACCCGAAATCCACGTCGTGGAACTTGAACGTCAGCAGGCTGCTGAAGCTGTACAAGTCGACGTCGTCCCTGGCGTGCATCTCCTTGAACTCGACCGCGAAGTCGATGATGGCTTCCACCACGTCGTCCACCCCGATCTTCTTCCTGCTCGTCTCTGCGAAGTGCCGCTCGTGCTCCGCCCGCATCTCGCCCCGTATGTATCCCACGAGGGATTTCAGGTCCTCGTCGGGGCCGTTTTCGGCGCGGCAGATGAGTTTCCCGGAGAGGTTGCCGACGAGGTGGGCGGAGAGAGGCGGGTTGAACTTCGTGCGCCAGTTTGTGGCCTGGACGAGCACCGACTCCTTCTTCTTCTGCATCGGAAAAAGATGTCAAGAATCGGTTGATCTTAAAAAGTTTCTAACTGTGAATTATATGTTGTTTATTAACAAAAGCAAAGCAAGAATATAGTAGCAATGGTAACCATTTTTTAAATACGGGAGACAAAAGGATACATTGGACTTTTTTTTTCAAAATATCATTTGATCGATAAAAAATAAATTTATTATATGTTTTTATGAATATAAAAGATAAAAGTTTATGTAATTTATTGAATTCAAGTGTAAGATCGAATTTAGATATTAACGTTAAATTATGTATTTAAATATGATTATTTGTTGTGAATATATACAAACTTCAAATATTCGTGACTTTTGTTTGAGAAAATATTTTTATGAATCATTCATTATATGATTTATAAACCTTTTGTGATTTCATAAATAAAATATATAATAATTTCCATTTACCAACATTAGCGACCAGAATTTTGGTCTCAAATAATTTATGTACATACCTTCTGATTTTGAAGTCCGGCGGCGGAGCGTTTGGCGGCGTTGATCTTCATCAGCGACCTCCATATGACGGCGGAGACGGCCTCGACCCGGGTCGGGCGCTCCACCGCCGGGCTGGAGCACCGGCGACGGAGCGGCTCGATCACCTCCGGCCGGAACACGAACCTCCTCGTGGTGGTTCGGACCTGCTCCCTCCTTGCCGCCGGCGGCGTCGGGAGGGGCACCCCGACGTCACTCGACGACAGGATGATGGAGTCGGACGCGAACTCCGGGAATAACTCCGCCGGAATCGGCGTCGATTTCTCCCTGGCCGCCACGGCGGCCGCCCAGGTCTGGAGGAACGTCTGCAGGGAGGCGCCGTCGCCGATCTTGTGCGTCAGGCTGATCGCCACCGCCATGCCGCCGCAGGAGAACGCGGTGGTCTGGACCCTGGCACCGACGTAGCGACCGCTGCCGGCGAGGTCCTGAACCAAGAGGAAGTTCTCGAGGAGGTCGGGGTCCGGGCGGCGGAACACGGCGTCGGAGAGGGTCCCGTCGACGGCGGCCTCGACGTACTCGATGCCGGCGTCGTTGCAGTCGATCGAGTTCCCGGCGTCGGTGAGGACGCCGGCGTAGGGGTAGTAGAGGGTGAGCGTGTCGGCGAGGGCGGCCTTCAGGAGCCGGGATTTGCCGTCGAGGTACGAAACGACGTCGTCTTCGGGACCGATGTCGGCGGCCGGGTAAAAGAGGACAAGTGGCGTGGACATGACGTAGTTGAGCTCGTCCATTACCGAGATCTTTAGCGACGACTTCTCCGGCGGGGTTGGGGAGCTTGGCTTGATGTATTGTTTTGAGATGATTTCAACTTTTACTGGCTTGGCCATCTTTTTTGTTTTTTTTACTGTGGTTGGCCAGAGATTTTTTTTACCGGTGGGTTAATTTCTGCTACGGGGGATTTGTTGAGGTCTTTTTAAAATGTGATATGAAGGTTAGAGATTTATGTATGTAACATATGAGTGAATACGTTTACCCCTTATGTTACATTTGGATGAGTGGTTTTTTTTTTCAAGAGATGGGTGAAATCGTAACACCTTGGGGGAGTTTGCTAATGGGTGATATGGAAAATAACATTTAGGGGTCGTTTGGATTGAGTATTTGGGGGGTGTTATTTGAGGTCAAATAACACAAAATCTGTTATTTAACCCCAAATAACATGTTTGGCTGACAAAAAGTGGGATGTGTTATTTGGATGTAGTGTTTTGCCAAATAACAGGTTTGAGACCAAATAACACAAAAAGTGTTGTTTGCCAAATACTTGGGAGGGGGCAGGTATTTCCCAAATAACAAGTTTGAGACCAAATATCACATACCAAATAACAAGTTTTATATTATGTGGTATTTGTGTGGTAATTGGCCCCAAACAACAAGTTTATCAAATACTCAATCCAAACGACCCCTTAGGTTTCGTTTGGATTGAGTATTTGGGGGTGTTATTTAGGGTCAAATAACAGATTTTGTGTTATTTGACCCCAAATAACATGTTTGGCTGACTAAAAGTGGGATGCGTTATTTGGATGTAAGTGTTTTGCCAAATAACAGGTTTGAGACCAAATAACACAAAAAGTGTTGTTTGCCCAATACTTGAGAGGGGCAAGTATTTGCCAAATAACAAGTTTGAGACCAAATATCACATACCAAATAACAGGTTTTATATTATGTGGTATTTGTGTGGTAATTGACCCCAAACAATAAGTTTGTCAAATACTCAATCCAAACGACCCCTATACTCAATGTAGTCAAAATCCCGATTTTAATCTTAAAATCTTACGATTTTACGATCTTACCTATGGGTTTCGATCCTGATTTTACTGTAAAATCTTTGAACCTTAAAATCCCATAAAATCCCGATTTAAAACTCTAAAATCCATAAAATCTACGATTTCTACGATTTTGTACGATTTCAAGGTTCATATCAATTGGATCAAAATTAGGCCGGTCAAGTTGGGTTATGCCCATGAACCGAGTCAAATTTACTTTCCCCAACCCAACATAATGAACAAAACAACCCCAACCTGAGAGTTAACTCTCAATTTATTTTCATTCTCTTCCTCGTATCTTCCTCTTTCGCACGTCGGCGCCCTACTCCTTTCATCAACGATATCTTCCAGCCTCCCAATTAGCTTGTAATTTGTTCCCACCACCCTCACAATAATCCAAATCTCCATTACATTGCAAGCTTTTGTTCATCTCCCAATCCTTCAGCACCACTAACCCGACCTTTTATCAATTAAGAAGGGAATGCATCAATCAATGAGTTATCTTTTCCAGATGATGATAATCAAGGAAATATGGTTAATGGTGAAAGTACTTCAAGTGATCATAAGAGTAATGATATTAGTCCTTAAACAAACAAAAACGATTAGAGTGAGGGTGAGGTTGAGGATGATGATGATGATGTGTCAGTGATGTTAATGTTGATCCTAACGATCTTATGTGATTTTCTACTCTTAACAATTAATTAACAGGGATATCTATAATGTTTCAGGTTTCTTATTTGTGTGTTTCTATTATGTACAAGAAAAATATATGGATTAGTTGTGTTTGTTTAGCAAACAAACTTATCTTGGGAAGTAATTATGCTTTATGTGGTTGATTGTTATTCAAGATATGCATTTTTATTACTATCTAGTGTTTTAAGTATTTATTTTAATATGAACCTTAAAATCTTACGATTTTACGATTTTAATCTACGATTTCGATTCTACCTCAGTTTGCGATTTTACTTAAAATCTAGATTTTGACTGCATTGCCTATACTCTAGAGAGGTAAACCCACTTGATTAGCCCAAAGAAACAGGGCCGATTTGGGATTATATATTTGGATTTTGGGCTCAAAGTAAACCCCAATAGTGATGAAGTAAGAAGTAGTTTTGTTATAAGCCCACCATCTAAAAGCCCTTGAAAGGTCCACATACTGAAGTATTTCAATGACAATGAGCCCTTGGAGAGGTAACGACGTTAGGGGTTTTGACTTTGAGTAGTTGCTACTTAGCAAGGAGACGCTTGAGAATGGTAGCATGCTGGGTCTGGACTCTGGAGCCAAAGGATCCTAGTAAGGGTTTTGTGTGCAATAAGTATGTGTGAAATTTTCATGTTGAGTTTGGTTAACCAAACCGTTAACCGCGAAAATTGAAAACCCGAAACAAACATTCTCATCTTAGAATGGAAACTAAAACCTTTAGAATGGGTGCAAAACGATTCAAAATCGTTAATAGATATCGATAAACTGAGCCAGATATTTTAGTTTTCGTTGATCCAAAATACACAAACCCAAACTGACAGTCCGAGCAGGCGATAAGTGATCATATGTGATATTACGTGCTCGTTAATGTACAAAGATTAAAAAGCTATCAGTTATGAATGAGTCGGAAATAGGGATGGCAATGGGTCGGGTTGGGTCGGGTTTTGCCAAACCCAAACCCAAACCCAAACCCATGGGTTTATCCATGAAAAAAACCCGGGGTAAAACCCACTGGGTTTGAAAAACTCAAACCCAACCCAACCCGCTGGGTATCCGCGGGTTCATGGGTACCCACGGGTTTTTGTCGTAAAAAATTTACAATAACAAGTTCCTATCAAAATTAAACTCAAATATCAATCTCTCAATACAAATTATCCATATTTAAAACACCATTCTAGAAAATTCAAGCAAATCACAAATTAACTATACAAATTGTTCAACACCAATCTAGAAGACTCAAGAAAATTGAAATAAATCATAAATTATCCATAAATAACATGATTAATTGAAGGCTTCTTCCTTTCAATTAAGTTTCTTCACTCTCCACTCGATAACACAAACTTCATTCTACACCATTAGAAAGAAAAAATTAGACATGTCTCCACAAACATAAATAAGATTAGTTGTTTAAAATATTAAATATACCGAGAAAATTAATTATATGTGTGGGCGGGTACCCACGGGTCGGATTTACCAAAACCCAAACTCAACCCAACCCGGTGAATAGTGAACAGGTTTAAACCCAAACCCGACCCAAAACCCGTCAACACGGATTTTACCCGCGTTGACCGGGTTGGGTCGGGTGGGTACCCGTGGGTTCGGGTTTGGTTGCCATCCCTAGTCGGAAACCACGGAGAACAAGGATTTACATATGTATAGCTAGCTGTGAGGTGAGACACTCACAGTCGAAGAAACCCCCTATTTATCATGGTCCATGAAACCGTACCGGAGATCGTACCGGAAAAGTCAGCGGTAGGGTATTTTATGACAAAACCGTGGTTTTACCGTAGTTTAACCGTTGGTATCGTTAAATATCGCATACCGATTTAGCCTCCAATACTGGTATTTTGTGATTGAACCGCCGGTACGGTTTCATGGACTATGCTATTTATCCTCTTTCTCTCCCTCAATCCTCTTAAAAATTCTCACTATTCAAATCAATTTTTAGAATTTTAGATGTCAACAAAACATTCATAAAAACTTCTTATAAAACTAAAATGTCTATATCATCACCTGAAAATCCATTGTCTTAATTTGGGATCAAAACCCAAATCTCTCTACGTGTCGGCCTAGCTACCACCTCTAAACATGATCACATGATCATGATTAACGATCCAATATACCACAATGAAAATACGGCGGCCTAAACCCTAATTGGAGCCGTTTGCTATAATGGAAGATGGAGTGCTTGAAAGTATAAGCCTATAACGTGAACCAGTCGTTTTAGTCCACCAAACCTATGTGGAGCCTTTCTTCTTCTTTTTTTTTCTTTGCTTGAAGGACCTACAAAACTGTCGGTGGTGGGACAAAAACAAAAAGTGTTACATCTTGCTTTGTTCATTTATGCCACCCAAAAATTAAGGGGGAAAAAAACCATAATTAATCGAAGTGATATGTGGACAAATGCCTATTTTGCCTTTGGCAGTAGTGCTGCTTAATGCTTCCAATGCTGGTACAGTTAAGGATAAGTTTAGTTTATGATATGGTGAGGTGGGAAATGAAGAGATGTGGGTCATTGTTTACACTATGTTTGAGGATAATCTCTTTCTTTTGTATGCATGAGATTAAAGTCGAAATGTATAGGATGTATTGATCTGCACTCTAACATTTAGGTAGTTTTATATATAATCTTAGTTTGAAAAGGATTAGGTTAGGGTTTCTTGATTTGAGCTCTTTACAGGATGTAGAGGTGTGACTCACTAGGTCCGAACTTATAAATTTATGTTGTGTAACAACATAGAATCGATCACAATCATATATATATCACAAGTGTCATATATGATTCAAATACATGTATTACATCTAACAATATAAACAATCATTGCATAAATTTCATAGAACCCCCTAAAACATAGAAACAAATTGATCAAAACCGAATAGAACTCTCACGTATGCTTCATTTTTCAATTTAATTTTACACTTAGATTCATCTTCTAGTCATATACGATCATCGCGTGGTACTTAATTTCACTCTGTTGAATCATAATATGTAGACCCCAAGGCCCAAACAAACAAAAATACAAGCACAAATATATGTGCGAGGGGCTATTGTACTCTTGCTAACTAATTAAATAAAAAATCTCTTTGGGAGGTGGGATTTAGTCCTAGTTTTTGGATTAGCGAGAACCAAACCCACATGTTTAGCCAAATCAAACAAACACACATGTTTCATCACAATCATCGTTTGGCTCCCCCCACAAAACTGTCGGTGGTGCACTCTATAATTAAACACACACAAAAAACCTCCACAAATTTCAGCACTTTCCGTTGGATTCCCTTTGCATAAAGCCAAACAAGCCGCTAAATGCCACATCCATTTATCGTATTATTTGTTACTCCCAAACAAATCTTCGGTTTTCTTCAGTGCAAATGTCCCTGGGGACGTCAAGGATCATATCATCGCAAGCATTGGCTTTGCTCCATCGAACTGCCACTCAAAGTACCTTGGAGTCCCGACTGAGTGGGGAAATTCGAAGAAAGAAACCTTTAATTTTCTCATTCAAAGGATGGAAAAAATGGGGGAGGCGTGGAAAAGCCTCCCGCTCTCTCATGGTGGTAAGAAAGTCCTTCTGAAAGCGGTCATACAAGCTATTCCTTCTTACATCATGTGTCTGTTCCATCTCCCGAAGGCTCTCACAAAGAGAATGGACTCTCTTCTCAGTAACTTCTTTTGGTCAGGATCTATGCAGAAGAGTAGTCTACATTGGTGCAAAAAGGAGATTATGTGTCTACCGAAGGCAGAGGGGGGTTTAGGCTTCAGGAGCTTCAACGATTTTAACCTAGCCCTGCTTGCAAAGCAGGCTTGGCGCCTCCTTACGATCCCTAACTCTTTATGGAGCCGTCTCCTTAAAGGTCTGTACTTCCCAAGAGGTGATTTTCTTAATGCGAAAACGGGAAGCAAAGCATCGTGGATCTGGGCCAGTATTTGGGAGGCAAAAAAGGTGATTGGGATGGGAGCAGTTAGGGTGATTGGATCAGGAGAAGACACGTGGGTTGATCAAGACCCTTGGATCCCCTTTCTGGAAAATAATACTCTTTGGAGCGGACCCCAGAATCATCAGAAGGTCAGCGAGTGGATTGATCCGGGAGATAGGAAGTGGATGTCGGATGTTATCCAGGGGAATGTGTCAGGCTCAGAACTTGATGCTATCCTCAGGATCCCCATTGGGGAAGAAGGAGCCAATGATTTTTGGGCATGGAACTACAACAATGATGGAAAGTTCACAGTGAAATCGGCGTACCATTCGATTCATAGAGCCACTACCAATGCGCAACCTAGCGGGAACACCGAAAAATGGAAGTGGATTTGGAGCCTCCACCTCCCCCCGAAGCTGAAATTCTTTGTTTGGAGGTGCTGCAGGAATGGGCTTGCTACGAAAGAGAGACTGCTCCAGAGAAAATGTGCTCCCAACTCTACGTGTCAGGTGTGCCAGAACCCCATCGAATCCATCAATCACTGTCTGTTCCAATGCCCTCATGCCAAGGCGGCATGGAATGCTCTATTTTCGTCTCTCCCCCTCGCCCCTCAAGGAACCCTGTTCCTTGACTGGTTCTGCTCCCTTAAAGATGTTATTCAGCATAGCTCCTTGATCCATTTGGTGTTCCTGTGCTGGAATATCTGGAAGGCAAGAAATGAATGCTCTTTCAAGAATAGAAAACTGTGGCCCCCGCAGGTGTGCCAACTTACTTATAGAGAGCTTTCTGAATGGAATTCATGCCCGAGGCACCCTCCTCCCCTGCCTTCCCTGCCCACTCAGCTCAGGGGATCCCAGTCTCATACAAATCCACCGCCAAGTAATCATTCTTTGGTGATTCACTTTGATGGGTCGTTCATTAACGACTCCCAGCCGGCGGCATATGGTGTTGTGGTTGTTAACCACCATGGACAAGTATGTGATGGGCGAGCTGAGGCTCTTCTTTGTTCCACCCCGATTGAAGCTGAAACTAAAGCCCTTCTTGAAGGAGTAAAATTAGCTCAAGAATATGGATCCGAATGTACGGTCCAGTCCGATTGCCAGGTGCTGGTGAAGCCTTGGATTACGATCGCTCCCGTTGGCCATGGAAATGTGCAGCATGGATCGGGTCGATTGTCGCAATCCTTAGGACAAACCCTCTCATCAAAATCAAAGAAGTGCCCCGAGCACTAAATGTCAGAGCTGATTGGGTGGCACGATCAAAAGCTCGAGCTACTCTCCCTGATGATTGGATTAATATTCTTGACCTCATTTCTGATCTTCTTTAAGATTTGTAACCGAGTTTCTCGTCTTTCAGTTATTTGGTGGAATAAAAGTTGGTAACCTTTGTCAAAAAAAAAAAGTTTTGATAGGCGCCTGGTGTATCTGGCAGTAGTGAACGTTAAACCAAGCGCCTAGGATGACTCTTTTGCATTAAATGAGGTGATGACGTGGAGGTCCGTACGGAGAGGTTCAGGTAAGCGATGAATAGTTATAAATAGGGAGGTTGATAATCATTTACTCAATTTGGCTTCTCTCACTAAACTTTAGAGAAAAGTACTTCTCTACTTCTCTCTCTAAGGAAAAGACTGACTTGAGCGTTGGAGGATTAACGGGCAACGAGGCCCACCTCTGTGTTTGTAGGCGGGATCCCTGCAGGTGAAGGAAGTGGTACGAAAGGGAAGGTTGTAGATCGAGGAGGCTTCAACAAGAGCACTACTTGTATTGTCCATCTACTCATCGTGTAAGAAACAAATTGTCGGTGTAAAAGATGAAGGACAACGAAAGAAATCATCTTTCTTATAAAAAAAAATCAATACAAATAGTATAAAACTACAAAATAAACTATTGGTGTAAAAGATTAAGGATAAAGAAAGAAATCATCCTCCTTATTGAAAAATCAACACAATCACGTAAAACTACATCAAACTTGGTTCATTCTCTGCACGTACGTATCCAAATTCTCCCTAAAACGAGTGAGTGTTTCTCAGCCAAATGACTATCTTCTTTACATAAGAAATGGGTACTATTCCAAATTGAAGTAAATTGACCTAAAATTCACGTGAACTTATTCTCATACTCATACCCTAATCGCCATCAATGCTAATAGATACCGGCATTGTCCGATTCGAGCGAGATCAAAAAAGAAAACAGAAAGCATCACATGAACTTCTTCTCGCGTACTCATTTTTTCGTTGTATATTATCAGGGTATCCATCAACGAACGACAACAATGACTAGCCCCTCATCATAGAGTGCACAAAGCAGTATACGATGATCATGCAATAAGCTCGATTTCAATGAAACAATATCAAACTCTTTATTGTCATCGTATATGATTGAAGAACACGACAACCACGGTAATTATCCGTATATATGTTTGACTACCCCATTGCCAAAACCACCAAATATGGGCCCATGCAAGAAGGAGAAAAAAAAAAAGAAAAAAATGCCCAAGGCCCCATATCACCGGGCCCACCCACCACCACCAAGAAAGAAAGAAAGAAAGAAAAGAATACCAAATATCTGATGGATGGGCATGAAGGATGATTGTCGGCAAAGTATAAAGCTTTTTAAGAAGACGATAAACATCAACAGTCGTTGTTCAAAGATAACACCATCAATAGTCACCAATCGTCGTCCCCTTTGCTTCCCTCTGCAGACTTCCACTCCACATCACCATACAGCTCACTCTGCCACTGTTCATTTATTCCCCCCGGCCGGAAAATGCTTTTTACAGCTAGCTAGCTAAATAAGCGATGGCGTGATTGTACGAATTGCAATCCTCTGCTTCCCTCTGTTTCAATTCACGACCTCATTTATTATTGAAACTGCCTTCTCTCTCCCTGTCTCGAACCGTATATCACGGCTGTTGTCCTTTCCTCCTTTTCCTTGCCATTTTTCCCTTTCATTTCCACGCACACTCGTATTAGCTGTCTGTCTCCTTCTCATTTCCCCCTTTCTGCTTTTGGGCATCTCGTCGATCTGTCAGCCAGGGAGTGAACAGAACAGAGTCGGGGTTTTAAATTCGCCGTACCATGGTTTCCCCCAACCAACAATCCACGGCTTTGTTTGATTTTTTTTTTTTTACAATAAGGATACACTTTTATTCCACTTCCAATTCGAGAAAAGCGAGAATACACTCTATCAAAGGAAATCCGAAATTAGGTCAAGAATACTAATCCAGTCAACAGGGAGGGAGGATCTAGCTAGAGATCGTGCAACCCAATCAGCTCTAACATTGAAAGCACGTGAAACTGCCTTGACCTTCACTTGAGGGTTTGTTCTTAAGATTGAGACCATTGATCCAATCCAAGCTGCACCTCTCCAAGGCCAGTTTCTTGGCTCGTCCGAGAGAGCTTTGACAATCTGCTGGCAGTCTGACTGGACAACACATTCAGTGCCAGACTTTGTTTGATTGATTCCCCCATTATGCCCTCTTTCGGGGGCGGAGTGAAACTCTCACAACTAGTACGACGTGTCGGTGCATTTATGTGAATGATAGGACCGGACGGAGATTTCGAGCTCGATTGAATCGAGATGTATGAGTGTCGAGGAACATAGCTTTCACTGTCGCGTGAGGGACAGATTTTTGAGAATCGCAGTGTTTTTTGTCTCGAGGTATGCTTTCGTGATCGATGTAGTCTCATCGGTCGGGCAAATTCATCGGGGTCAGTAAGAGAGTTCGATTCGTTCATTGGTGAGGATAAGTTGGATGAAACAATCTGACTCAATTCAATTGACTCGTGGGGGGTGGGAGGAGAGAGACCATGACTTTGCTGCCAATGATGATGAACGTGTTCCTCAACAATTAGCACACTGGCGTGAACAACGAATTCCGGTTGTAGATCATATGCATGGATTTGTGATTATAGGAACAAATTGGGTCAAGGTGTATCCAGTGACTATGAATTATCTTTGTACACAGATTCCTCTTTGGTAACATAGCCTCTCGCAACAGCGGATTTGTATTGTTGCTAACTAAAAGGCGAGAATCAAATTTTTGGGAGGGAAAGGTCATTTTAGCTCCCCTTTCATAGACAATTGATCCTCATAAGTAACTAAATCAAGTGACATCTAATTGTATCGATCTTAAAAATAATGTAAAGAACCACTTGCTCTCACTCTCGTAGAATCCAACTTTTCCAATAGAGTATAAGACTATAGACCCACCTGAAAACTCAATTGGATGAAGATTGATTTCTTCACAAGGAAAGAATTCACAATGTGCCATTTTTGCCAATTTCTTGAAAGACAAGAACAAAAAAAAATCTTGAAAGTTTGATCTTCTTCTTCACATTTGGACATTTCTTTCCCTCCCCCAACACGTCTTTTTTTTTTTCCCTTTTTCTTTTCTCTCTTTCAGTCTCCTAAAAACAGTACACAAAAAAAAGGGAAAAGAAGAAAAAAAGATATTCCCCACAGAAATTCGTTTTTGTTAATTTACACCTTTCCCGTGATTATAGCCGTAATACGAGAGATACCATTTGACGAACTTCTTCAACCCGGTTTGCAGATCCGTCGTCGGCTTGTACCCGAACTCCTGCCGGGCCATGCTGATGTTCGCGTGGGTGAACGGCACGTCGCCGTTTCCGGGCATCTCCACCACGTTCTTCTTCGCCTTCACCTTCAGATGCCTCTCCAGTATGCTCACCAGCGCCGGCACCGTCACCGGCGACGTGTTCCCGAGGTTGAAGATCCGGTACGGCGCCGGACCCGACTTCTTCCCGCCCGACCCGGTGCTCTTCCCGGAGGTATCCAGCGACCCGAGACACCCTTTCACGACGTCGTCGATGTAGGTAAAATCCCGGGCCAAATCGACCCGGTTCTTGCCCCGATACACAGTAATCGGCTTCCCCTGCAAAATGTTGCGGGTGAAGGAGAAGTACGCCATGTCGGGTCGGCCCCAGGGCCCGTAAACCGTGAAGAATCTCAACCCGGTGATGGAGAGGCCGTAGATGTGATTGTAGGTGTGGGTAATTTCTTCTCCGGCTTTTTTAGTAGCGGCGTAGAGGCTCGCCGGCTGGTCCGTCCGGTCCGATTCGGAGAAGGGGGATTTCTCGTTGAGCCCGTAGACGGAGCTCGAGGAAGCCCAGACGACGGCGGGCTGGGGGTTCGCCGATTTGCAGATCTCGAGGAGCGTCACCAATCCGGCGATGTTGGAGTGGACGTAAGAATGGGGATTCTCCATCGCGTACCGTACCCCTGCCTGCGCCGCGAGATGCATCACGTGGGTGAACGCCACGACGTCGAAGAGCTTGGCGAGGAGCTTCCCGTCGTTGATGTCGCCGGCCACGACGAATACGCCGTGCTCCGCCAGCATCGATTTCCGGGCCTTCTTCAGCGACGGGTCGTAGTAGCTGTTGAAGTTGTCGATCCCGACGACCCCGTCGCCGCGCTTCTTGAGCGCCAGGGAGACGTGGCTGCCGACGAATCCGGCGGCGCCGGTGACCAGCACCGACATCCCGCCGCCGCGGTGGATCTGGGCCGAATTCCTCACCTGCTTCTCCCACTGGATCCCGCCCCACGACGCCGCGAAGTACCTGCTCCCCGAATCGACGAAGCTCTGGAAGCTGAGGTACGACGCCGTCAGGGCGATCAGGAAGAGCGCCCACAGGAACATCTTGCTCGTCGACGAGAAGCAGCGGTGGAACTGCCGGTGGTGGCCGCCCCCACGGTCGATCTTGAACTTCCCCGGCGTGGACGGGAAAAACTCCTCCTCCAGCGACGGCATCCTTGCTTGTTGTTCTTCTCCTCCTCGTTCCCTCTTGGTTTCCCCCGCCGCCGCCGAAGTCGCCGCCGTGGGGTGGTGGTGGTGCCTGAGTCGTCGATCTGCCGGATTGCGGGAAGAAATCTTTGATGGGTGGGGAAGAAGAAGAAGTCAATGAGGAGAGGGGATTCGCTATTTAGCAGCAGATGCAGGGAGAAAACAATGGCGGAAAAATTGGGGATTTTTTGTTTTAATTTGAGCGGTGGGGGATTTTTTTTTTTTCTCCTGCACCTGCTAAAGAAAGGGAAAGAGAGAAGGAGGGATATATATAACGGGAAGGAAGGGGGAAGCGACAAGTAAAACGCGTGAACGCGTTAAAAAGAAGGGGAAAATTAGTATCCTAATTCTACTAGAAATTTGTTGTTTATTTAACTATTTGGTTTTTTTAGGGTATTTAGAAGGAAATACTTGGTTTTGGTCATTGGTGGGTTTGATTCATTTTCACTAAATTCCATAGGGGAACTCTATTAGGGTTCATATGGTATAATTTGTTTGTTTGTTTTTTCAAGTTTTTTGGATGGGTGTGGGGTGTATAGAAGGATCAAAGAGAACTATAAAAACCATATCAAATTTGCCGACTTGATTTTCGTTGATATATAATAAGTTTTTGTTGGTAAAAAAAAATGTTTATAGTGATTTTGTAACTCCGAACAAGAGACAACTACTGTGACGGAAAATATTTGGTTGTGATCCTTTTGATGGTCGAATAGGTTTTATACGTGGAGACTTTGTTATAGTTTTTGGTACGATATGTTATGTGTATGATTGATTGTGGTATGTAATACGATGTCATGTTCAGTCTTTGATTGTTGACAATCATTATGTAAATCCAAACAAAGGGTATATTCAAGGAGATTTACATGTGAAGGGTGAATTTGATTGGAACCTATATCCGGTGATTCCAAACATCCTAAATATCACTTAGTCCCAATATTATTGACGTTAATGATATAGTTCTCCACATATGTGAAAGTCAAGAGTGTATTTTAAACATGTGCTAATTACCGTCGATGAAATTTATCACTAATTAGAGCAATGATCCCTGATGTGATATTTCTTTTTATATTTGGTATCGTCGTTAATGACTGAGATTTTTTTTTATATACATTTTTTTGGATTTGTATGGTTAGTGTGTCTACACTCTACACAAGTAAAATGCTAAAATGGGTTGTACTACTTTAGCAAGTATGAGTAGTTTTTAGTAACTTACTAACTACTACATGCGACCTCAATAACAAATATGCAAAGTTCGTTCCAATTTATAGGGCACAATAAGAAGAAAAAGGTTGGTTCTTTTGTTGGTTTTTATAACTAAATAAGTTGGGTTGTTGTGGTTGGAGAAGTGGAATCCAAGGGATTTTTATTGTAATTTATTTTATTTTAGGGCATGATGATGATTATGATTCAAGGACTGAAGTGGAGGGTTGTTTCGCTATTAAACACCATAATTAAATCCAAATTATTACCTTAGAGGAGAAATTAGAAAAACCATGGTGGAACTGTGGAAGAACATGGGGCGCCAAGCTAGCATAGTGGGAACCAGAATGGAAAATGGGTTCCATTAGAAATTTTGTTTTGATGTATTTATTGTGAAGAAGGTTCCATAAGAATATATATAGAAAAAGAGCCCCTTGACTAGAATGGAAACCAACTCAAATATTTATGCCATTCTTATTCGATTTGAATAAGAGTATTATTGGAAAGAAATTAAAAAAAAAATTGTTGACATATCTATTTGAGGGCTTGAACGATAGAAATCATAGAATACAAATATCGATTGTGCGATTGAAATGAAGTTGAGTTGAGTATTTGTGTAGAGGTATGTAAGAGTGAGATGGATCATGCATCTGATAAATAAAATGTGATTACATGAATCTAGATTTCTCGGACGCTAATATTCCGACAACGAAATGTTCAAACATTCATACGTCTTCACATATTTGTACTCGAGATGTCGATCTGATTTTGAAAATCTAACAAGCCCACTAGACGTCTTAATCCAGGCACACCTCTTTCTTGAATCTTGTATTTAGTCGTCATAAAATAACCGGTACATCATCTTCACTCGTGTGAAAGGGGAATACTTCCTGGTCCATTTCTGTCGCGCATAAATCCAAGACAGATAAGGGCAGAATGAGTAAACTATAAAGTATAAACCATATGATATAATTAGAAAACCGGGTGTATCGCCGCCCCGCCGGCCGACAGCCTGCGTCGCCGGCGGTTTCCTTCCCTCTAAAATTCCTGAATCAATGGATCTTTCGTGGGGCGGTGGGGATCCATCCGCCTTATTATATTTCAGAACAGGATACCTAAACTTTTATGTATAGTTATATATATCCGCTAGTACCCAACTGCCCTTGGCAAGGTATAAATTTGTCCCAAGTAAATTAGTGCCCTTATTAGTTAACCCATTAACCCATAACGAGAAAGAAAAAAAAGAGCGCCCAATCCACGCATCCATGGAGGTCGACCTTTTAGAGTTTTTTAAATTCCGTTCGTTAGCAAGTTAAAACGATGGATCATTTAGAATGAGCAAATATCATTAAATATTTTATTACATTTATCGCAATACATTATATTTGGACACTGACTTTTTCAAAAATGAATGCATCCGAACAAAAAAAGATGCATGCACTCAGATTTCGAATCCGTTCTTACATTTCAAATCATTCATCCGCGAGAACTAGTTGTATTTTGTCGTGGAGGACGTGATCATCAAGTCAATACGTGATGAGGCATGAGGTTGAACCTATCCGAATGTGTTTTTTTTTTTTGTGTCACCTCTGGTTACTCGTAGGATACTTGCTTGGTGACTCGGTGTGGTGGAATAGACATGGATCCTTTGAAAATCAAGGCCATGACGAATATGACACCACATGGAACTCAGAAGAAAATGTGAGCTTTCCTCGAGAGAATACTATTATCCCACATGGTAACACACCCTCTCAAACGAGAGCCGCTCGTATGAGATTGAAGTTTGCACAGACATCATACACTCTTATTCCACATACTAACATCCCCCTCGAACAAGGGCAACTCATATGGACTTGATAATTGCACAGGCATCAGACACCATGTGCTTACAAATGAGATCACTGGGATTCGAACAGAAGATCAATTGTTCACAGAAAGTTCTGATATCTTGTCAAGAAACAATTGGTTCAAATAACTCAAATCATAGAAAAAAGGTCTAAAAATTAATCTTATAGCACATACTAACGGTGGTTAGTTTCACTCTCCAAATTTGAATATACTCAAATTATATTCTCTCTCCAAATGAACCACAATTTAAGTTAGTTCCAAAAGGGCTCATCCACCTCAACTTGTATGCTAAAAAAAATGTCCACTAACAAGTAACAATCGAGAAAGGCACAAATGTTTGTCACCCTAGCTCCATTATTGTTAGGCACATTTGTGGGATCATGATCATGATTTCCCTAATTAACATTTCATTTCTGCTTTTTTTTTTGGGTGCTAAGTTATATCTTTTGTCGATTCAATTATTTCTGTTAAGGAAGACGAGGAGGCATTTTATATGGGAAAACTGGTTGGCGGATCAAGGGACATTGGATCTCTCGTTCGTTTATCGTAGACTATTAATTAATTGCTGATTATTTGGTTTTGCGGTAAATACAAGGATCTAGCCGGACTTTTCAGGAAGCTAGATATATGGGTCATGTATGTAATGGAATGATATATGACTGTTTAAAACAAGTACTAGGATAATGTGAACAACTACTTGTTGACGGGCTGAATATTTAGTGTGCTAAGTGGGAGAACATAAAGAGTAAAGAGCGAGATTATACATTTGTCTTATATAATTTGTGTTTAAGGAAGAAGACACCATATAAGTCTATAGTTTCTTCAAGACCGTGTCTCGGGTAATAGTAATGTGTTGTGGTATATTATCCACGATTGAATATCTCCTAACAACTCGAGTTATTGGGATCAACTGGTTTTTGACATTGTATCAGAGTCTTCTGTCAATTCTGGTAACCCCCATTTATTAAGCACATAGTATTCGTACCTGTGCAAATTTCAAACCTTTGTGAGTGGCTTTCGTTTGAGGGGGCGTATTAGTGTGTGGTATATGATCAACGATGGAAACTCTGTCAACAACTCATATTATTGGAATCAACTGGTTCTTGACAGCCAATTCATACTAGGGGGTTTGAAGGAGCCGAACTGCCGTATTTTTCCAGTCAATGCCCGTTTATGTAGTAATTGTTTGGTTGTTCTTAAAGACCGACTTTGTGCCATTTGTGTATTGGTGACAATATAAGGAATTTAGGATAATAAATATACGGGCAAATGTGTCTCAACGTTCTCTTCTCTTTTTCCCACTAAAAAATATATTGAGATCGACATCTATCATCGAATAAAATCAAACTTGTTTTAGATATTGGACTTAATTGTTTAATAACTAAACCCTAAATTAAAAAGAAAAGGAATCTCATTGAGAAGCGTTGCAGGCTACCGCCATGACCGACTTTTAGGTCACATATATAAGAAGAGTATTTACTAGTTACAAATGGAAGCATATTAAGAATCAACACTTTTTTATAGCAAAAATTGTGTAGAAGAATAATTCTATAAGCAAAAAAATTCATATAGATCCAATTTTATCTAGGAGGTCGATCGTACATTCATTTGTGGGCTCACTTACATCACAGCTGGTATCCTGTCGGTGCTCTTATTCAAGTACAAAAATCCAGCTAATAACTAACGCATATCCATCAAGAGGGGGCAATCTCATTGTTGATTACCTCGCCCTTCGGGATCATGAATCTCTCACAAGATTTCATATCATAAATACTCAACTATCATCATCTTATAGAGTTTTTCGTATAACATTGTCCAAATCTCCGAATTCCACTTGATTAGTAATATAGGTTAGTATGCTATTATACACTCTAAATGCTAATGATTCATATATTAATTTGACTTAGGTATTTATGGTCATTGGAGTTTCAGAGTATAATGGGGGTGTGGATCTTATTAATAATCTATATATGTACCCACAGTTTCGAGGAGACAATTAAGGAAGACTCCCCTAAACCCGATTCGTTCTGATAATCTCCATGAGAATTACATAATTTGCTTCGTGATTAGAGGCAATTAATCAAACAATTGTAAGATGATTATTAAAAACCAGTCTTAGGTTGAACCCACTTTTGTGGGCTGGATTCACTGAAAGAGAGAGGAGTAATAATAATTGCTGGCCGGAAACACGGCTCTGATCGACCTGTCCAACATGTGCATGGATCCTGCTGGATTTAACAAAGGGAAGGTTTGAGAATTGAAGAAGTAAAGAGTTGTCAGTATCATGCAACTACCATTCAATCACACTCCATTGATATACAACTTGTATGTAGCCTTTTTTATTTGGGTGTCCAACATTTCAATATTTGGGGGTTCTTGAAAGTAGTTTAGATGTATTCATGGAGTAGTAGTAGTACACTCCACTGAGAGTAATGATTTCAGCGTGATGTCGATAACTCGAGTTGTTTACGAGAAAGTACCCACAGTCGCTTATTGATATTATATATCACTACATTACACGTCCATCAAACGAAACAAAAGAAAATCATAGACTTGAAAGTTTGCGTCTTTGTACTTATCGTGTTCAACGAAGTCGGGATTAGGAATCAAGCTTTGTCAACATTAATGCTCCAACCCAAGCTATGGAGTTTGGGCAGCAACAGTAGTTGTATAACTTGCATGTCGGCCTGTCACTTTTGCTTCTCAATAATGGCGAGATGTTATAATCCATCTTTTCAATGGTTCAATTGCTTCGGTGCCACAAATTATTTTGAGAGGGTTGATTTTCAAGTTGCGACATATCATGTCAATCTCAGTGCCGTGTGTTGAGTTATGATAGATTGGCTGGTTAGCTGACGACAAGGAAATGGAACCTGCCAAGGTGATATAAACATGTAAGATCACTCTCTCTCTAATGTGTCGACCAACCATCAATCAAGTGCCAACGTAATTATTCGTCATTCAAATAACAGATAGATAGGGGGGGAACATCCAATTGATACGTTAATAAAATGGTAAATGATTAATAATTGTAGTGGAAGCAATTGGTTGTTGATATGGTATCGTAGTCTTTAACGATCGAGAGGTTTTCTGTTTGAATACCAATGATCTCATTTGTTACCACACATACAATCAACTGTCATAAAGCGTCTAATAGGTGATCCGGCAACTGCACTTCCCTATGAATACGTTCTCACATATTGGGATGTGATCATGGGCGGATCTAGGTCCCCCTGCGGAATTATAAACCCACGTATAATTTTCTACAAAATTTGGAGAAATACTTATAAATACAATGTTACGTATAAATAGTTTTGTGCTCTATATGATAACATAACTTCTTTGAGTATTTCTTTGAGTAATTACGATTTATTAGTCAAACCTTTTTTGAATTCTATTTTATTAGCCAAAGTTATTGAAATGCTATTAATCAGCCAAATGTTAACTTCCAATTAGCAATTTTGTTAGTAATATTGACTTGACAGCATGATACTGGCTTGGAAGAGACCGATGAAGGTCAATATTCCAAAAATTTAGTATTTTAACTAAGAAACGCGTTACAGAATTAGTAATGATAATGTAAAAATGACTAATATTTTAATGTATTGCAAAAGATTTGGCTAACAAATAATATTTTAATAGGTTTGGATAATATAAAATAATTTGGAAAATATTTGGTTAATAAATAGTCATTACCCAGATTTCGACTCCCAAAGGGAGAAAGTGAATTATATTTTAATTTTCTCTCAGTCCTTGCTTTTTCTTTCAAAAAAGAATTATCCCATTGATCACGAGTGTCCTTAATAATTTCAGTTTTTTGTTTACTTTTACCAAATAGTTAGCTTATTTTATATTTTTACAAGTTCAGTCATTTTAAACTATACCACTTTAGTTTTTAGACTTTTGAATAAGTACTTATTGCCTTCGTTATATTAATTACCTTCATACATTAATATATGCATATATTTATTTTTCAATCATAAAGATATTGAAATATATGCTATACTTTGGAATGCATTATTTTTTTCATATAATGTAATCACTTGTTTGGCACGTAATATCATAGAAAATTATTTTAAGTTGATATAATTTAATCACGTATTTATATAATTCAACATCTTTCAATAGTAAATTAAAACAAATTTCACCCCGAAATTTAAATCTTGGCTTCACCACGGGATGTGATAATATTAGAGGCAAGGCAACAACACCAACTATACTCAAAGGAAAAATTACCATGTAAGTTCAGAATGTGTCAAATGATTCAGAAACACTTATTTAAGTTCGAAACTCGTGGTCAACAACACAAATGGTTTTTAGTGCGAGCACCCGTTGATTTTGCACCTAACGTGAAGTCTTTTTTGGGCCGATTTGGAGTGGCCCATGAGGCCATGACAAGTGATGCGTTTCACAGAATAATAAGACTTCCAAGCCCAAAAAAGGACGCAACTTCCACAATGATCCATTAATCTGTCATTTAAGGCTTAAAGTGAGGGGATACATACATTAAAACGGATAAGGAAGTTCATTAGGCACATAGTTAAGCCCACAAATACAAGCAAATGAACATAAACTCACAAGGTACCAGGATAATTTTGACCAACACACACAAACTAAATCACACTTATTTGGTTCATCAAAGAGCTAGAAAACACAACCTCACCATTTGTAGCCTTTATTCATATTCATAATTTTACTTTCGTCTTGGCAACACCACCATCGATCTAGCTTCATCTCCCATGTCCACCACCCGATCCGGATCCTTCACCGTAACCCGACCCATGCCCGGACCCACCTCCTTCGCCCGAACCTCCTCCACCGCCACCACCACCCCCGCCGCCACCTCCACCACCACCCCCACCGTTTTCCCTCGACCCCGACCCAGAGCCTGCCCTGGATCCAGCAGACGAACCGGCTTCAGACCCAGCACCCGACCCTCCACCACCCGACCCAGAACTCGACGATGAAGACGAGCTGCTAGAGCTCGAGCTAGACGAACCGGCTGACCCTGCTCCTGCTCCGGAGCCTGACCCACTACCACCAACCCCGATCCCCAACCCGACTCCAACTCCGAGCCCAATTCCTCCAAGGTCCAAGCCCAAGTCCATTCTAGCGACCCGGCTCTCGATGGTCCCAACCAATAAGCTAGAAACAAGCAAGCCCAAAAGAGATAAACACTCCAACCTAGCCATATTTGGATCAAATTAACTCTCAAGAAAACAGCAAAGACTTGAAAGGGTTTCTATTTTGTGAGGGACATGGAATGGAGGAGCACATATTTATATGCGTACTAGAAGTGGGAAATTTTGGTCCATACTATAATGATTAGTGGGTATAGTAAAATGGCCGCAAGCGTGGAGCTAGAGATCACTTATGATATGCATGTGTATGCTTTTGCAACACCATGTAGTGATGGGTCGTGGACAGCGGCGGATCCAACATTGGGTAGAGCACTAGGGCCACATTTTGAAAATAGGCAGAGTGGGCTGGGCCGTAGCTCGACGAATACTTAAACGAACACCAAAAATAAAAAAATTACAAGTGCTATACTAGCTTTGATCAAGAGGAGGGCTGGTCGCGGGTAGGGGACGACCCCCTAGATCCGCCGCTGGTCGTGGATATCCATTGTCATCGGTTTATGCGATTTATTAAATAACCATTTTATTTTCATAATATGAATAGTAACATTTGAAGTCATCACATTCAAATAATAAATAAAAAAAATTGTTTTAGAATTATAAGACTTAACATTTGAGGGTTTTGATGATGTAACATGATTAACGTGATCATATAATCTTATTTACGGGGATAGAGTTCGTCAGTCTCATCCACATTTTGTTATTAGAATGACGATACAACTCATTAATTTGTCTCTTGATCACAATCAAGTGTCTACAAAAGAGTTCATTAATGATCGAGTTTTTGCACCTAATTAATTGTACCATGACGAATGTTGTCGCGGATATAAATTGAATTCATTTTATATGTGTTAATTCATGGTGACGTGGTTATACATTTGTTTTGAGCCACAGAAATGCTGGACAGCATATTGTAGGAGATTGGCACCGGCCCATGAATCTCCATTGCTAGCCATGGAAAGTGGGAATCCGATTGGCGATTCCTGGTGTAATTTCTTGATAATGGTAGTAATATGAACTTGGTTGGAAGTGTATTGAAAAGGAGGGAAATGTTTAAGTCTTTTTTAAACATGCACGTTACTAGCTAGCTAGGTAGCTAGTTGTATACCTAAACAACAATTGGATTACAACCATGAATTGCATTTGCAATGAATGAGCTATAACATGCAAGGGGAAAAACTGGTATTGTGATGTGAAAGAAACCGCAATCAAATGGATACCATGGAAATTATTTACTGCGCCATACTTACAAGTTTTATCATCTCTCATATGACTTAATCGTCGAAGAACAAATAGTTAACACTAACTTCTCGTATGTGCAGTGGCGGATACATGGTCCTTTAGGGGTGTCCCGGGACACCCCTAAATTTTGGGAACGCGATTATTCAACCCCTCTGTAGTAGTTTCGTATGGACAAACAAAATATAATTAGTAATCTGGGACACCCCTAAAATTTTAATAAATGATTATCTTACCCTCGATAGTAGTTAGCGTGATTAAAAAAATATAAGTGGTACTCTGTGTTATTCAAATCTAGGACACTCCTATTATTTAATATCTTCTCCATTAGGTTATAACTCATTTGTTGTTCTATTTTAAACACTATGTAATGTTGAAAACACGATTTCTTATCCCCAGGGGTACCCTAATTTGAATTGATTTTATGGTTACACTGCAAGTGTTGAAACAGTCTTTTCAACTTTGAATTACATCATGAACAAGGTAGAAATTGAATATGCGATCTAGTAGGATATACCGATTTGTTGAGCAGTGTACACATCAAATCTATCTTATATTTTTTTTCGAAATTGAAAACACATCTTGGCTTTTTGTGAACATTTATACTAATTGGATATTTTATTATTTATGTATTATTTAATTTAATTTAATTTTTGAAAGAGGACACCCCTACAAAAAATTTCTGGATCTGCCACTGCGTATGTGCATGTTTTCTTCTTACATGTCACGTTCTACTCTGTAAAGTGTCGGGAGATGAAATCGAATAACATTTCTTGAGATCTTTCTTTGTTATTTCAGTAGAGAATCATCATAAAAGAAACACAACCAAGAATTCTCAAACCATCGAAACGGGGTTGCTTTCGAATGTTCAGTCCACCAGATAGCAAATTTTTAAACGTAATATTAACCAAAATCCATCAATAATAATGTGTGAGCTAATCGATGGGTATATGTATGATATCAACATGATAACCTATTCATACTATCACCATTGCCATATATATGACATGATCCAAGTGTAATACCATCATCTCTTAATTAATCTTCATTTGTCTCTTTAGTTGATTGGGTTGCTATAGCTAGACATTGACTTTATGAGCACGTCGACATAATATGAAACTATGAGCATATCTCCTTCCCCTTTAGCCGATAAAACACTTGGTAGTGGGAATATATACATATATATAGTGCATGCACATGATCTCGAGTGAATACAGAAATAGTTGAAGGCATAGTGCGTGGGAATGTTCGATTTTGGTCAGATTTTGCAGCACCTTCAGACCGTAGTGGGTGATCATATCACTTGCTGGATGGATCAGAATTCAGAGCTCGAAGAAATCAATGGAGGCCATGGAAATCTTGGACACGTGTCTCGATCCTTCTGCTTCATTTTTGCCTACTCATAACAAATGCACTTACATATATAGTTACATGAGTGGAGTGCCATGTCGTGCTCAAGCAACTTTGGGGAACAAATCCAGACTTGGGATTTAGATGAGTTTCCACGAACCATAATTGGTGAGATGATCATTGAGGTGGTCGATGGTAAGTATGAATTAATGAACTATGATATGATGTTATAAACCAACTAGTCTGAATAATTCGAATTGTTGGAACTTGGAAGATTCAATTATGAATCTTATATTATTTACTAATTATAGTTGGTCTCTATCAAATCAAGTCTGATACTGCATGTAAAAAATCAATGGATTTTAATAATTTCAATTATTATAAGAAGTGATGTATAAATCTTGAACACTTTCTTATGCATGATCAATTAGCGTGATTGTGATAGATTCATGATAAGAAGCCACAGCATAGGGAAAACAATAATTGTGGTTTTGTTGTTGTGGAAGAATGGGGGTTGATTGCCTTGGAACAAGCCATGGACTTAGAAATGTTCTAGGAAAATTGCAAACTTCTTGCCTTGGATTTATGAAACTTGTAAAAGTGAAATTTAAACGTGTTGTATATATATTACAACATGGTATGACAAAAATATAATTTGTGTGCTTGTTGGATTTGAAGAAAAGGGTTTTGAGTTTTAAAACTTTTGAATTTATTATGGATTTCTTACATTATGGATTGGAAGAGTACATTGTTTGTTTAGTTAATTTTTATCATGGATTTATGATGAATTTGTCAAACAACTTTGCCTTCAATTATCAAATCCCCAAATGAAATGTATGATTTGCAAATCTGCTCACGGGTTTGGATCTAAAAAAAGGGGTCCAAATCCGAGACCCCAACGGATTTGTGTCCTTTAACAAACAATGGATTTTGTGCCAAGTCCTTGATGCTTGAGATTTGGATACAAAAATCCATCACCCAAATCCCACAAGCAAACAATACCTGAATTATATCTCTGAAGATATGGTAGTTTTGAAGGATTTTTTTTTTGCAATTATGGGATTGAGATCTTAATTGGCACCCTAACGAATCACATAGTAAACCTACATTGCTCCTCTTATATTTCCAAGTTTGGGAGGATATGTAACTTATTTGGGCTTATGTATTATCATTTTCTAAAACTTATAAATTAGCATAGTGAGTAATTCATTGGATGCTATTGAGAAAATTAGCTAAATATATGATAATGCAATTGGAGAAGGGAATTGAGCATGCTAGGTTTACTAATTTATCTAGGTATGATTGTTGGTGGGTAGATTTATTTTGCTAATTAAACTTGGGATAGGATTGAACTTGAATCCTTATTTTCAGTTTTAGTTGTCCTTTTCTTTGGATTAGTTTCGACGAAAGCTATGATAAACGTTTTTTTTTTTGGGATTATATCATAATATTTATTTATTAAAAATTCATAATCTAAAATTGGATAGCACACCAATTAGTATCAACTTTGACTACATAGTATTCAATTATATAAGGCATACATCTTGTAGTGACTATAGTGCCACATAGATGGCAAGTTACACAACTATCAATGACCATGGAGAATTGATATGCTAAATACCAACCTATGGCACATACCCACATGACCAAATTTATTTTGTAGACACTATCATACTTGATTACCAACTAAAACAAAATATCATCATACAATAGTTTCAATTTTTCTTAGATTGGAGAAGATGTTGGTTCAAATATTTAGTTCTCATCGCCTTCTCCGGACCCCTCGCCCCTACCATACCCTTCTCCACGGCCCGATCCACGTCCACGCCCTCCTCCACGTCCATCAGACTCAGCTCGTGAAGCGGCAGAGGATCCAGCTTCAGAACCTGCGGACGATCTCCCAGACCCGGATCGAGATCCAGCATACGATCCAGCTTCAGACCCTGCAGATGACCGACCCGACCCAGAGCTCCTGCTAGACGAGGACGAGGAAGAGCTCGAGCTCGAACTGAACCCACCACCACTACCAGAGCCCGAGCCAGCCCCAGCTCCAGACCCCGACCCACCACCGCCCAGGCCCACACCCACACCCGCCCCGACTCCGACCCCAATCCCGCCAAGATCCACACCCAAGTCCTTCCTTTCGTGGATTTCTCTAGTCTCAGTCACAACTGCCCACATGGCTAGAAGCAACGCGATAGAAACGGCCATGGACTTGGTTGCTGCCATTCTTATTCTGACAAAGTTTCTGAATCACTGGACTTCTTTGATTGACTTGGAGCTGGCTGATGATTTTGCTAGATGGGAAGTGTATAAGTATGTTGTAGCTTCAAGGTTTGGGGTGCTCATAGGAGGAAGGGAACTTGTGCTATTTATAGACGTCACGACCTAGCAAGCTAGAGAAGGGATGACACATACGTGTTTTCTGCAATAGTTGTTGCCTAACCAGAACTTAGTGGCTTAGAGGAATGGAGTTGGCTTTGAGGTGTGGACTTTGGAGGGCTATCGACACTTGTTCGAACGTTGGCCGATCCATTTTGCCCCACTAACCTTAGTGGAATGGGTATTGGGGTTGATCCTTTGGGACATTTGTACGAACTTATATATAGCTTCTGGTTTTTCTTCTATTCTTTTTTATTGGTAAGGTGAATCATTGAGCATACACGTGGCCTTCTTTTGTTCAAATTCACACATGTTAGTACTTAATTACTAGGTATACCATTTGGTGAAATTCTAGCTCAGGGTTCAAGTCTAATGATACCAAATCAATGTCGTATACTCTTATTTAGTCCTACTAATTGTCCATCAACCTGTTACCTGTTAACTTGTCCATTATCTTTCAAGGGTAAAATCATAATTTACAAGTGTCTTATAAGAATACTCAATACATCAAACACCAAGTCATTGATAACCGCTATCAATGACTAACCTCTCGTCATGGATGTGCACACAAATAACAACTGGATAATCTTTTTCTATGGATAGAGATCGAGCTATCATAGAGCTTCCCATATATCGAGAATCTGGTTGCTTATGGACTATCGAATTTGATTATAATCAATCTCAATGACTAACCTCTCATCATGGATGGACACACAAAGATGTAAAAAACTAACAATCGAATAATCTCTTTCTATGGATAGAGATCGAACTATAATAGACTTCCCATGTATCGGAATTCGGAAGTCCGATTACTTACGGACTACCAGATTTGGTTAGAGTTAACCTTATAATGGAGTGCCTTGGAAAAAAATAAGACCAAGAGGCATATGAAATACCCAGCAGGATTCATTAGACCAACAGGCTCAACAAATTTATAACTCAGTATTCCTCCTTATTATTGCTAAAGGAACGGGCTGGACCAATAGGCCCATGGTGTTTGAGCATGGCTTGGGCCGAATGGAAAACAAAGCCTCGTTTAAATCATCGATGACTTTTTGATCTGAAAAATTCTTTTACTCGCTACGGTGGGAAGGAATAACTCCGACGAGGAATTTTTGGGTGATCTCCTCTCTCCGGGATTCTTCCTCCGCCAAATTAGCCCGTCGGAAAGCGTCGTCGCCGGCCTCTGAAGCCACCTCCCTCTCTCTCCTACCCTCCGGCACTTCCTCGATAGCTGGTACCCTCTCTCTCTTCAACTCTCTCATGTATTCGCATTCAGCTGAAGAGCTTCATGGTTTGCCCCTTATCGTGTTAAATTGCTCGAAATATTGCTGCTTTAATCTTATGTTTGCTTCGTTCTGTTGAGAATCCAATTTAGGAATTTCAATTCTACTCTCTGGCGCTATTATCCTCTGGAATTATCCCAAGTCTGAAATGAAATTCTGAAAATTTTTCTGTCTTGCCGGAGTGGTTTAAAATTCCTCATTTTTCTTGGTGGGTTTTGTCTGATTGGTTCCAAATTTGGTAAAGATTCCAACTTTTCCTAGCACACGGGCTTGTATTAAAATCTTGGATATCACATACCTTGTTTTGATGGTAATTTAGGGGTCTATAAACCCCAATGCTGATGCTGGAAGTATTAAATAGTTCATTACCAGTTCCGAAAATGGTTTTCTGGGTGATTATATTAACCGAAAAGTTCACAGGATTCAAGCAGAATTGAGTGCATTTGCTGATTGTTTCCTTTCAACAGTGTGGCTAAACAGGGTTTGGGTTGATTGTGCAAATTCAAGCCACAATGTGGGTCAGAAGCTAAGTTGTTTTTCATATTAATGGCTGGAGGAGGGCGTTACCCACCTAAGTTAGATGGGCGTTCGTCTCTTCAAGCTACCGGGATGTTGAGGCACGGGTCGTTACCAAATGGTGTACGGCTGTTGGATCATTTGTCTCTTCCAGGTCGCTTGGAGAACAAAGTTGCGGCTCAGGCTGCTGAAATTGAGCAATTCACTAATGATAATCAGAGATTTGCAGCAGGTAATCAAGCCTTGAGACAAGATCTGGTAGCTGTCCAAAACGAGGCACAGCAACTCAAGGCACACATTAGGAGCATCCAGACAGAGAGCGACATTCAGATCAGGGTCTTGGTGGACAAGATTGGGAAAAGGGAAACACATATTAGGGCTGCTGAGAATGTGAAGGAAGACCTTAAGCAGGCGCATCACGAGGCACAGAACTTGGTCAGGAATAGAAAGGAGCTAATTAGTAAAATTCGACAGGCCTCCCAGGAACTGCAAACTATTCGTGGAGACTTTAAGAGCTTGCCCGATTCAGAAGCTGAGCTCGACGATTTGAGGCAGGAGTACAAGAGACTAAGGTGAGAAGTTTCCCCCTTTTTCTTCATTTGAGTGAAGCTTTCTTTTCTGCTCATACTGTTCATTTACTAATTCCTAATTGTATACATAGGTTAAGTGTGAGTGACATAATCAGCACTGTAGATATATCCAGAGCTAATTGTTACGGTTTTGATTGCTTCAATTATTTTGAAGTTAAGCTTAGTATTTGGAAGAAAAATGATGTATACTTATCGGTCTTAAACATATCAATTTGGAGTCATAAGCCCCTGAGTAATTAACCTAATAGGGTGATACTTTGAACCTTATGCTGCAACTGATCTCTCTCTTCTTTTTTCCTGCTTAAATTGAAGGGACGCATTTACTTACGAGAAAGGGTTCAACATGGCCAAAGTAGAGGAGCTGAAGTCGGCGGAGAAGAACTTGATTGAGATGGCAAGTGATGTAGAAAAGATATATGCTGAAATCTTGAACACTGAGAAGAGAGCCCGTGGTGGTGAGTTGAAATTCAAAACTTGCTGTAGTATGCTCCATGTAGCTCCTTGTTATTTACTCTTTAGATGTCACCTTATCTTTTGGCATTGCAGCTGCTCCTTATGCTGCTAACTACGGAGTAGGTGGTGGTGCGTACGTCGATTCATATAGAAGACCTCTCGGGTCCACTGGTGACGGGATGATGAAGTCATATGGGAATAGCAATGGCATAGGTGCAAGTAGCGGCGCTGGCCACCATGATCAATAGAGACCAATTTGTAAGTAGAAGATGGAAAACTGCACTTTCTGGAGAAAGGAATGAAGCAATGCTGTTTATTTAATTGGTGTGATGAGGGATTTGATAATGTGGGTGCTTCGAACCACTCTTTAATATTCTCTTTGTTGTGCAGATAATAGATTAGGTGAATTTAGAATCTCCTGCTAGCTGATTAATCCGTGCAGAATGCATATCGGATCTCTCAATATGTCATCAAGCAAGAACTGTTTACTGCCTGTAGCTTGTTGTAGGAAATGAAGAGAAGGTATGGTCTAACTTAAGACCATGTCCTTAACTCGTGTATTGTACAAAGAGGAGAGAAAAGTAGGTAAAGTGTTCTTGTGCTGCTAATCATGGTTTCTGTTGTGGATATGTCTCAGTGGTAAAGGCACAAAGTTCAGCTGAGTTTATTCTTGTATCTTCTTCAGACCGTTGAGTAAATCGCTTATAAGTGTAAGCGATTCGTGTCGAACACGCGAAACTTAACCTAGCAAGGCAAGTAAACATAGACAACGACGAAAGCATAACACAAATTGAACATCACTCAGCTTCGAGTTATACTACAAGGTCTGTAACCACATATCATGAGGATTGTTCTACCGAAACTGAGATATTGTCTAATCGTTTCTCTAATGCTAGAATCATTGTTTATATATTGGGATTCATGTGAAGTTGTGCTGAAGAAAAGTCAGAGTTGAACAGCGGGAGTAGCAGCCATCACGCCATTGATTGGAAGTCAAAACTCTCTAAAGCCATGTTTGCGGTTTAAGAAGCTTTCTCTTAAACTAATGGCATAGCCATATATCTCTCCCTCTGCTGTCCAACTGAAACGGTCAAAATGCAGCAACCAAAACCGAACCACAAACCCAACCGCACCGCGTGGCTTTAACTTGCATGGATTCCTTCGAGCACAGAGATCGGTTGGGGGTTTCTTTGCTTTGCTTTGACCTCCCTGATTACGATGCGACGACCCACCCACTCCATTAAAAAAAAGATACAGAGCCTTTCTTTGTTTCTACTTGGCAAAAACAAAGCTTTCTTCAATCGTGAGAAAGCTCTGCCCCTTTTAATAAAAGGGTTAAATACCAAAAGGCTCTGCTCGTTGGTATTGGCCTGACAAGTTCAAATACTCTGTTTTCTTTATTATATCGTTATTGAGATGACAACGATTTCTTTCATTGAAGATGACAGAGAGAGTTTCAGTCATTTCCCAACGAGGAAGTTGCTCTGACTAGTTCAAATCACTCTGATTAATTGGTGTTTTACATAGAAATCATCCACTCGATCTTCCTTGCAGCAGTATTGTATATTTTGACCAGGCAAATGCCCGTTATCTTGGTGTAGATTCCAATGCTCCAACCTGCTTGCATAGAGCTAATCCAACTTGAAATTGATCATCTTGATAACTAACATACAACGAAATACATCCAACAATCAGATCACTTGGAGTATGAAATACTACATGAGTACATACACCAATCGTTACCATCTTATAACGACTGGTGTACTTCTGTAGTGTATATATCATACTCCAAGTGATCTGGACGTTGGATATAACCTTGTTGAACTTCGACAAATCAGAAGTAACAATTTTTATTATATATTAGATTCGTCTTCGAATTTTGGGATTAAAGAATCGATTTCTCTGTGTTTCTATCTATTAGAAGATAGAGTATAGTATCGTACTCCGAATTGGATTTAACTCATAGTCTAAACGAGCATCTCACTACAAGTACCTGAAGCATTGTACGAATATAATCATCACTTTAAGTTGTTGATTATTATTCGAATTGGGCATCTTAATAATGCACATATTCCACAATGGGAAAGGTACTATGGGAGGTTGAAAACATGGTGTAAATAGAGTTTGCTTAGCAGAAAATATGCACACGTTTAGGAAAGATTTGGCAAATAAGTTGGGTGGGAGTGGTGAGTCGTGTTTAAGTAGACCACGAAACGCGTTCTTCGTACATTTCCCTTCTCTTCTTCTCACTCTTTTTACTAGCCGTTTAAGCTACCAAACAAAACCAACCGTTTGGGGACCAAAATAAATGTATGGTAACAAAATAGCCCGATATGCCACCAATCTATGATATTTGTTCAACTTCATCCCTTTAAGGTTACCTTCTTATTGCTTAAGTCCCTTGTAAATTAGGTAACACTAAGAACACTTTGACATGAAACTAGGCTAGAGATTTGTTGTATTAAAGAACAAATATTTGATAATTTTTTTATGTTTCTGCCGGAATCATATTGTTAAGACTACTATATCGTGCTATAGGGTCGAGATTCAAATATGATGATGTATTATTGAAGACAATATGTTTTGAGATTTTATAGTGTCCTGGCGTATATACCTTTTGATAAATGTGATTATTGCCCATGAAAGTTAAGAATATGACAGCTTCGAAATCATCAGTCGCAACTAATTATAGCTCAATATCAGTCGTTACCTACGTCACAAGTGTTTCTGATAGACACAACCTCAATATTCACATTCTTATTAGCTACACGACAATTGAAATAACTTATGGTTATGGACGATAACATAAACAAACATCAGAAAATTATTGTTGCTCAACATCGTTTTGAGTGTAAAACTACTTCTATGTTTGTCCTTAGGGCTAGTAGTGAAATCAGAAAGGACTCAAATGGACAAGGAAGAAAGTGAAAGGATGATAATGAAAATAAAGCATTAATTATGCACCAAATTAAATACGGACATATTTGCCGCCACCATACGCGTCCCCACCAGCGCGTGAGCCGGTAACCGTCTCCCTCACCACCGTTCACTTCTTCCGTTCTTCGCCGTAACTTCCTTCTCTTCTCTTCTCTTCTCCCTTCTTCTCTCTGCTTCTCTCCATATATATAACAAACTCCCCTCTGCAGATTTTCCTCACACCAATTCCTAACAGCAATCAAACAACTAGGGCAAGAAGTAAAGAACCCAAAACCCCAACCGCCGCCATGTTTCGCCTGAGCAACAACCTGATCGGAATCCTCAACTTCATAACCTTCCTCCTCTCAATCCCCATCATCTGGGCTGGCGTCTGGCTCCGCAACAACGGCAGCTCCGAGTGCGAGCGGTTCCTCGACACACCCGTCATCGTCATCGGCGTCTTCCTCCTGCTCGTCTCCGTCGCCGGCCTCGTCGGCGCCTGCTGCAAGAACTCATGCCTCCTCTGGATCTACCTCGTCGTCATGTTCCTCCTGATCGTGCTGCTCTTCTGCTTCACCATCTTCGCCTTCGTCGTCACCAACAAGGGCGCCGGCCAGGTGCTGTCCGGCCGCGGGTACAAGGAGTATAAATTGGGGGATTACTCCAATTGGCTGCAGAAGAGAGTGACGAGCGGCAAGAACTGGAACAAGATCAGGAGCTGCTTGGTTGATGGGAAAGTCTGCTCCAAATTCAACGAGACTTACCTTTCCGACACCGTCGAGCAGTTTTACACCGAGCGATTGTCCGCTCTTCAGGTAGATTGACAAGAAAAAAAAAGGCGATTCGCTTTCTGGGTTTTCTAATTCGGTTTGGTGGTTTTGCTTTTTCTGCCCCCTTTTGTGAACCTTTTGGGTGCCGCTTTTGACTTTCTGTTGTGGATTGGGGGTTTTGGTTGCTTTTAGTTTAGGGAAAGGGATTGATGAACTGCGGATTTCTTTCCTCCAGAAACTTGTGGAATTGTTTCTTGTTGCAGAATTTAGGGTTCCTTGATGATATTGACTAGCAATTGGGATCAAATAGAGATTGAAAACTTGGTTGACTCTGAACAATAGGATAGTTAACCTTTCGAAGACTGGATCTTGGTCAATTTTCAGGGAATTTATCTCAAAGTTGCTTCATTTTGCTATTGAAATCTTGTCTGTTTAGACTCTAAAGGGTGGATTATGGTCAATTTCAAGTCTTTGTAGCTCAACTGGGTTCATATAGAATTGCAATAGCTCACCATTTCGAAGGCATTTAGCTGAAGTTGCTCCATGCAAGTGCATATGGTATCTGTTCTCAGTTGCTCAAACTCTGCATTTAGGAATGTCTCTGATGAACTGGGTACTTATCTAAATTTTCATTATTTTTTTCTGCATGAAAATTCATTCAGTGTCTGTTGTTGGTTGTGTCTAAACATATGCATTTTGAGGTATTCCACTGTTTGATGATCTGGACACTGATCAAAGTTTGTTTCTTTGTGTGTTCATCAGTCTGGATGCTGCAAGCCATCAGATGAATGCGGCTACACCTACGTGAACCCAACAACATGGACCAAGACCATTACGAACTCATCAAACCCCGACTGCGCCGCTTGGGACAACCAGCCTGATGTACTCTGCTTCAACTGCAACTCTTGCAAGGCCGGTCTTCTCGACAACCTCAAGCGCGACTGGAAGCGTGTGGCCATAGTCAACATCGTCTTCCTCATCTTCCTCATCATCGTCTACTCCGTCGGGTGCTGTGCTTTCAGGAACAACAGGAGGGACAACTCTTACCCCGCTGGATGGAAGGCTTGAGATCACATCACAAAACCCTCTGGCTGCTGGTTTTTCTGATGTAATGCTTAGTATGGAGATAGTAGTTTGTAGTTTAGGCCGATCATGATTTGGATTGTTGCTGCTACTTCCTTTTGATTTTGTGTATAGCATTTTGATATGCTCGACTTCCATGGCTGCTTTAGAGCATATATTGGGCTGTATATGTTCCCTATTCCCATCCTGGATAGTTCTTTGTGCTATGAATAGATATTCATTCCCATCTCTTTCCATTTTCTTCAATCTTATCATCAACTTGGCAGGTCTTATCTGTCTCTTCAATGGCTTCTAACTTCTCCGGCCAACTTATGGACCCATATGTTTTAATCATTCATTTATCCCTCTTCTTTTCACGAAAGGTATAGAATTTGAATGTTTTAAAGGGTAGTTGAAAACAAGGTAAGGAAGAAGATCACATGGCTTGGAATAACAATAGTGTCCAAGAAGAAGCATGTGGCCATGGAGACACAAAGTAGACTTGAAGGAGTTGTTCACCAAAAAGAGGAGAAGACTTCTAAATTTTAGAAATGATGTATATAAGAAGAATTTAATCAATTACAAAAATTGTCAATGACCTTCATATTATTAAGAAAAATCCATTGCCCTTTCCTATGGACTTAACCAAGTTTGAATCAATCAAGGAAATAAATTGTTTGTCCATTTTTATTTGATTTTTTTATTCTCACCGTGTGTATTATCATATAGAAAATATCTCAATATTAAAAATAATCAAATATAGATGCATGTAAACCACTATCTTAGTTAATCTAAACTCAAGCAATAATCTTTCTAACAACCAAGTTGCAAAAATTCACTGTTATTAATTTTATATGCCCAATAAAGATATTCTTTAAACATAAATCTTTTTTTTATCCAACTACACTTGAACAAAATGACAATTTGGAGATCGTTGGTTCAATTTATAATGATTTTTGTCATGTTAATGCATTGTGATGATTAACACTCCAAGTCATACTACTTATGGTGTTAATCCATATCCAAATCATCATTAACCACATAGATGATCATTTTTTTTAATAATATCTCCTCGACATTTTCAAAAGCTAATTAAATAGGTGAAAGTGAGCCATTGCCCAACATGGATAAACAATGGGAGATAGATGATGACATGGTCACGACAGTACAAAGTGATAAAAGCCAAATTTGCCTTTCCTTTCATTCCCGGCCTTTACCCAAACATGTTGGTTGCTCTTTGATGTAACAATGACGTGAAAAAGAGAGTTTTGATGTAACAATGACGTGAAAATCGTTTGTGTTATGAAAGGTCCTAGATACAACATTTATTAAAAAGAGTAGCGGTGGTGTATTGTGTACATATTGTAATCAGATCGAAAGTTAAAGAGTAGATGTTTAATCTGGTGATATCTACGCAATAGAAGGGATTCTATTTCAAGAAAATCTTAGTTCGGGTGGTGTTGGTATGGACTATTATACGATTGTGTCCAACAACGTGTGACATGTTAGCCACGTTTTATTTTGTGTTGGTGTCGAATTTACATTGATTTATTGCACCGTGTCAATATTTCCTAAATCGGCTGGGCTAATTGAAGCTTTAGATTTGCAGAACGTGTTTAGGGTTTGATTTCAATGTGGCCGTGGGTACTTAGGGTTTTGTGTTGAGTCAAGGCCAGGCATTGCACGATCCACGGTTGACAAGCCCACCAGTCTAGCTTGTTTCTAGGCCCATAAACCCAATTCAACTTGACCCTCATCTCTACAGCGGGCTTGAATGGCGCCCGTGAGCAGGGTTACGCATTGATCCAGTTCGGACCAAACCAGATCAAAACGACTGTTTTTTTTTTTTTTTTTGTCAAAGGACTTTGAGAATCAAGAAAATGACAGTCAATTGGAGTCTCCGGCTCCTTCTTCCCTGCCGCAAGCAAGCTCAAGCCTGCCTCTCAATTTCCAGCCACAAGACAAGAATCGGCCAACCATTGGAGCGACTTGAGGAGGGACGGTGGCGATGGATCTGGACCAGATGAGAGAGAACGAGTCTACTTGTTTTATTTCATAAAAAGGTAAATTTACACGGTTTGTTAATACAATATATACAGGCTGTAAATAAAAAAACTAACAAAATAATACACAAATATAAACCAATAGTACAACATGGTCCTTAAACTAATTCTAGTTTACAATATAGTCCAACACCCCCCTCAAGCTGGAGCATGAATATCAAGAGTGCCCAGCTTGGCATGCAAAACAGAGAATACTGCAGTAGGCAAAGACTTTGTAAACAGATCAGCAACTTGGTTAGAAGTAGAAATATGCAGCACCTTTATCAAACCAGAAGCTATCTTATCGCGCGTTAAATGGCAATCTAATTCTATGTGCTTGGTACGCTCGTGTGCAACCGGATTTTCAGCAATGCGAATAGCAGATTGACTATCAGAATATAAGACACTAGGTGCAGGAAAAGAAACACCTAAAGCAACAAACACATAAAGCAACCATTGAATCTCACAAGTAAGGTTTGCCATAGCCCTATATTCAGCCTCAGTGGAGGACCGAGATATAGTTTTCTGTTTCTTGGAATGCCAAGTAATCAATGATTTACCTAAAAAAACGCAGAAACCTGTTGTGGAACGTCGGGAATCCGGGCAACCAGCCCAATCACTGTTTGAAAAAGCTTTTAAGAGTCAGTTCTGAAGTACTAGGAAAGAACAAACCAAGACCAGGATTACCTTTCAAATAATGAAGGACTCGATAGGCTGCTTGCAAATGTACATCAGTAGGAGCACTCATGAATTAAGTTAACTGATGTACAGCAAATGCTATGTCAGGACGTGTATTACATAGATACAATAAACGTCCTACCAATCAACGATAGACAGAGGCATCATCAAGTAGAACCCCAGATTTCCTAGACAACCTTATTCCTGGATTACAAGGTGTACTAACAGGTTTGGTAGCTAACAATCCAGAATCAGATAAGAGATCTAAAACATACTTAAGTTGGCAAATAGAAATACCGGTAGATTTTCGCGCAATTTCCAAACCAAGAAAGTATTTAACATGTCCTATGTCTTTGATTTTGAATGCAGCATCTAAACCCTTCTTAAGACTTTCAATTTCAGACAAGTAATCACCAGCCAAAATTATATCATCCACATATACAAGTAAAGCAAGAAACTGCCCATCCTTTTGTTTAGTAAACAATGAGTAATCAGCTTTTGATTGTGTGTAACCAACATTCAAAAGGAACTCCGTTAACTTGTCATTCCACTGCCTACTAGCTTGTTTTAGGCCATAAAGTGATTTGTTCAATTTGCATACAACATCACCAGAATTAGGAGGAAGTTTTAAACTTAGAAGTACTTTCATATACACATCCTCATCTAATTCACCATGAAAAAAAGCATTATTTACATCTAATTGATGTAAATGTCATCCTTTTATGGAAGCTAAAGCAAGCAAGGCCCTAACAGTTGAAAAAGTATCTAAATAATCTATTCCTTCAGTTTGAGTATACCCTTTAGCAACTAATCGAGCTTTAAAACGCTCGATAGTTCCATCAGGGTGGAATTTTACCTTGACGCAAGACATTGGTCCATGTATTGGTTCTGATGAGTGCATCCAGTTCTGTGTTAACTGCAGCATTCCAGCGTTCATCCTTTGCTGCCTCATGATAACTAGTAGGTTCTGAAATAGAACTTGCTGCATTAACAAGACTAGAATGACCATTAGCAAGGTTAGTATCAGAAATAACAGAAGATAATGGATATGGAATAGATGAGTTGACCGCAGAGTTGCATACATAGTCTTGCAAACGAGCAGGACGTTGTCTATTCCTAATTGGACGACCTGGTGGCTCATTATCAAAAACAGGAAGATACTCAGGAGGTGGGACTCAATCATCCTCATCGGAGACAGTAGGAGTTGTGACTCTTATATGTTGGTCGGGATCCAATGAGGGGACTAAACCATCTACTGTGTTGGCACCATGAGGTGTAACTGCAGCAAATGGAGGAACTTGAATGACAGGAAATGAAAACTCAAACGAATCCAGTTTTTGACTCTTAGAAAAGAAAGGGAAAATAGACTCATGAAAAACCACATCACGAGATTCGAATATAGTATTGGTAGCTAGGTTATAAAGCTTGTAACCTTTAGTGGCAAAAGGAAAGCCTAGGAAAACACAAGGATTTGCTCGTGGCTCAAACTTCGGGCGATTATGAGACAAAGTGGAAGCATAAGCCAAGCAACCAAAAACACGGAAACCACTATAATCTGGGACAGAATTATGGAGCAATTCATAGGGAGATTTATTTCCTAAGACTGGACTAGGAACTCTATTAATCAAAAAAGTCGCATGTAAGACAGCATGACCCCAAAACCTAGAATGAAGTGAAGACTGAAACAAGGGAGCTCGAGCAACAGCAATGATATGCTGCTGCTTGCGCACCACCCGACCATTTTGTTGAGAAGACTCTACACAAGTAGTCTGATGAACAGTTCCTAAGGAATCAAAAAATGCATGTATCTGAAACTCTTGACCATTATCCGACCTAAGTATTTTAATTCTAGCATTATACTGATTATGTATGTAAGCAACAAAATTTTGAATTACAGATCGAGCTTCAGACTTCTTATGCATAAGATAAACCCATGTATTTCGAGAATAGTCATCTACGATAGTTAAAAAATAACGATGACCATAAGTAGTAGGAACACTGTAAGGACCCCAAATATCTGTATGCACTAGATCAAACATATGCTCAGCTTGGGACTCACTTACCATAAAGGGAAGACGTTTCTGTTTGGACAGTGAGCAAACAGAACAATGTTTTGTACACTTTGAATCAATCCCACTTATTCTAGAAGCTAAAGTTTGTAAACGAGACAAAGATACATGACCAAGGCGAAAGTGCCAAAGGTCAAAATCATGAACATTCTTATCAAACAACACAGAAAAAGCGGAAGAATCTGGACATGATGAAGATATTGGTAGAGGCAGAGGAGCTGAGTTGTGCACTTTTGCTGAAAAACAATAAAGTCCACCGCTCTCTCTAGCTATACCAATCATCTTGCGGGAGGCCAGATCCTGTAGTAAGCAATGATCATTAAAAAAACGTCAAGGAACATGACGAATCCTTGCTTAATTTTCTAAGTGATATCAAATTAAAACCAAACTGAGGTATCAACAAAACTTTCTTAAGATACAACTGTTCATTTAACCTAACTAATCCTATATGTGAAACAGGCACTCGAGAGCCATTTGGTAGAGACACAAACATATCACACACAGAGTAGGTGATAGCAAGCAAGCAATATCAGACACCACATGGTCAGAAGCACACTGTCTAAAATCCACTTAGAAGCATTGTCAATCAGAGAAGTGGCAAGAACAAACTTACCTCCATCTTGGCTTGAGGAAGCAGCTGATGAAGAAGCCAGGAATGAGGAGTGCATTGGATAAGACTGCTCAACACAGACTCCAGTAGTGACAAAATTCACAGTAGGGGTTGGAGGTGGAAGAACCTGAGGGTGACTCTAAGCAAACAAAACTCTATACTACTGATGTGTCAAGACAACAGAATCGGAAGGAGCACTTCCGTTCTCACTAGAACCAGAACTGTTAGTGTCAATAGACTCACTAACCACAACATTGACTCTAGAACGTGGCTTATAACCTGGTGGATAACCATGTTTCTTGTAGCAACGATCAATAGTATGCCCAGTCAAACCACAAATCGTGCAGACAGGCCTTTTTGAATGGTTATTGCCCTTATGTGGACCAGATTGTACATCACAGACCATAGGATTGACAGAATTAGGGTTGGGAGTCCTAATTTGACGCTCATGCTGGGCTATCATAGAGAAGACCTTGTTAATGGGAGGCAGAGGATCCATCAACAGTATCGAACACCTAACAGACTCAAAATCCTCATTCAGACCTCTCAAGAACCTAATGACCTGATCTACTCTCATGTACTCAACACAAGAACATCGAGGAACACATGCACAAGATCGCACAGGACGGTAGGTTGTCAATTCATCCCAAAGAAGCCTAAACTTGGTGAAGAATGCACTTACAGACAGACTTCCTTGCTTCAGCCCGCATATCTCATCTTGGAGATCAGCGATACGAACCAGATCCGCGATGCTGAAGCGCTCCTGGAGATCGCGCCAAACTTCGACCGCAGTGTTCAGCCAGAGAACGCTCTGTGCAATCTCCGGCGAGAGCGACCGGAGGATCCAACCAAGCACGAGCGTATCACACATCTGCTAAGTTTGGAAGAGCGGATCGCCATCTGGAGGCGTCGGGACGGAGGGATCGACGAAGGAGATCTTGTTCTTCAACAGGAGACCAAATCGCATGGATCTGGCCCAAGAATGGTAATTCGGCCCGGTGAGAACGACGGAAACAAGCTGCGACGTCGATGAGTCGCCGGAACCGATGTAGTAAGAATGATTTGGTGCGAGCGTCGCCGAGATCGGCAGCGGAGGTTGGAACGCGGCGGGAGTCGCCATGGAAGCGAAGAGAGAGGCGGAAGCGAGAAAAGGAAACGAGAAAGCCAAGAAAAGAAAACTCTAGAAACAGAAAGTCTTTGATACCATGATGAGAGAGAACGAGTCTACTTGTTTTATTTCATAAAAGGTAAATTTACATTGTTTGTTAATACAATATACACAGGCTGTAAATAACAAACTAACAAAATAATACACAAATATAAACAAGGGTAAATACAATTTAATATCCAAATCTTTCATTTTATACAATATAATATCCAAACCTTTTCGAAAACGATCTAATATCCAAATCGTCAACTTTCCGTTCGTTTGACCGTTAGTTGAGACTTCAAAAAAGTTCGAAGTACGACGCTTCATCAATATCCATTAATATCTTCTCTGAAAAACCACCAACATATCGTGGTTCCAAACCCGAGAAGTCCATGACTCCACCATGATGGTATAGAATATCTAAATATTCAGTCATCTACGATGCCAAAACAAGAAAACAAAGTTGTATTGTGACAATTTCCCCTAAACAAAGCTTTTTTGAAGTGTCAACCAACATTCAAATGGACGGAAAGTTGACGATTTGGATATTAGATTGTTTTCGAAAAGGTTTGGCTATTGTATTGTTTAAAATGAAAGGTTTGGATATTAAATTGTATTTACCCTATAAACAAATACTACAACATGGTCCTTAAACTAATTCTAGTTTACAATATAGTCCAACAGGACCGAGAGAGAGAAAGCAACGGCGGCACCGCGACAGCGGTGGTAGGGAAGACGATCTACAGCAGTTGGAGCCGGATCTACAGCAGGGGAATCGGCTTGTTGATTTCTGGGTTAAATTTATTAAGGCCGAATACGAGCAGGGGAATCGGCTTGGAGATTTTTTTAGAAAAAGAGAGGGCGAATTGGTAAAGAATAAGAATAATGGGATTTTTTTAATTTTGGCTTAATAATATAATTGAATTTACATTTTATTTTAATTTTAACTTAATTTTTATTTAATTTGAATTAGAAAAAAAAATGAGGTTAGTGACGCCACATCTACGTGGCAGCCACATTCTTTGCCACGTCATCAAAAGTCAACTTCGTGTTGACACTATTTGGTCAACCGTTATCTTAAATGGTCAACGAAATTGACAGAATACAAATGACACAAAGTATTATAGTTAGGGAGCACTTCTACTATGCTATATAGCATTGGTGCTTTAATGTACAACTCAAAGTTGTACCATAACATAAAATGTATAAGTTTAGGTTGTACCATAAAGCAATTTGTACCATTATGTTATGGTACAACTTTACAACTTGAAGTTGTACCATCACATAAAGGTACAAGTTCAAGTTGTACCATAAAAGAATTTGTACAAAAAGTATAGGTACAATAAGAAGTTGTACCATAACGTAAATGTACAATTTTAAATTATACCATAAAGACAAAAATCTATAGCACCAATACTATATAGCATTGTACAATTTCTCTATAGTTAGGGACATGAATGAAATTTTGAATACAATATGACACAAGTGATATTTTTGCGATAGTTCGAATACTATTAGTAAAAAACGTATTATCCAAACTCTCCCCAACGATAGATACACCTTATCCATTCCAAGATGATCCAAAAGTCCAAACAATCGTCATGGTGGATCGCTCCCCGCCAGAGCCAACAAAGCGAGAAAAACTAATGCGAGACCATTACGGCCAATATTACCCGCCATTTCTTCGCCTCCTCGTTCTACAAACAGTTGAAACCCCCAACTGAAATTTTCTGGGGGAAGAAAAGCCACAATTCACCATGTACGAACTAAGGCCATTTCACCACCATCCCCGCCCTCCTCCTTCCCACCCAAACCCACAGAACTCCAAACTCAGAACACATTTCCATGCTTCTGTTTCCTTATCCCAGGTTTCCACCACCCTCGAAGTCGCCCCTCATCCGCCATTGTTGCAGTCCTCAAGCTTCCAGCTGACGGCCAGCTCGACTGATGCCAGGAGCGTCGTTCCCATCAGAGCAAGGCATGCCCAGATGATAAAATCACCCAAAAACAGCGATTCCGAGCCAAAGGCCAGAGCTTTGGTCACTTCTTACTTGGAGCTCGGCGATCGTGGGTCGGCTGTTGTGGGGTTTCTGTTGGGTCTGGAGGGGAATTACGCTTTATGGATTTCTTTCCTGGAAGAATTTGAGAGCTCGGGAGGCGATTTGAGGGAAATCCTTGAGGTTTTCCTTGACTTGAAATGTAGAGGCGGCGTGGGTTTTGGCAGCAGGGTTGTCACTTTGATCTTGAAGATTTGTGCTTCTGTGCATCATTCATGGATGGGTTTGGGAATTCATGCTGGTTTGATCAAGATGGGACTGGATTCAGATGTTTACATAAGCTGCGCCTTGCTAGGTTTTTATAGCAGGTGTTTTGGTGTGGGAATTGCCAACCAGGTGCTTACTGAATTGTCTGAACCAGATGACCGGTTGTGGAACCAGGCAATCATCATGAACTTGGAGGGTGGTGAGTTCAGTCAAGCTCTTGAGCTCTTTAGAGCAATGCAATTGGGCCCTTGGAAGACCAGTCCTCGTACAATTGTGAAGCTGTTGCAAGCATGTGGGAAAGAAGGAGCTCTGGATAAAGGGAAGCAGATTCACGGGTACGTTCTAAAACATGGATTGGAATCCAACTCTTTTGTATGTAACTCGCTGGTAACAATGTACTCTAGAAATCATAAGCTGAACCTGGCTACTAGAGCTTTTGATTGGATGGAAGATCCCAGCTCATCTTCTTGGAATTCGATTATTTCTAGTCACGCCTTGCATGGCCATTTGAGTGATGCGTGGAATCTTTTTCATGAGATGGAATTCTCCGGAACGAAACCAGACACCATAACTTGGAACTGCCTGTTGTCAGGGCATGCTCTTCATGGTTCATATGAGGAAATCCTTACCATTCTGCGACGCATGCAAACGGCTGGCTTTAGGCCAGGTTCCAGCTCCATTACCATCGTTCTTCAAGCTGTTATTGAGCTGGGCCTCCTGACTGCTGGTAAAGAAATTCATGGATATGTGATGAGAAATGAGCATGAGTTCGATGTTTATGCGGGAACTTCGTTGGTGGACATGTATGTAAAGAATGACTCTATGTCCAGTGCACAGGCAGTTTTTGACAATATGAAGAACAAAAACATATTTGCTTGGAACGCACTGATATCAGGCTACTCGTTTCAAGGCCAGTTTCAGGATGCTGAAAGATTACTGGCTCAAATGGAGGAGGAAGGAATTCAACCTGATTTAGTCACATGGAATGGACTGGTTGCTGGGTATTCCATGCATGGCAAGAATGACGAAGCTCTGGCTGTGATTGATGACATCAAAAGTTCAGGTTCAAACCCAAACGTGGTTACATGGACTTCTCTCATTTCAGGTTCTTCTCAGCAAGGCAACTACAGGAAATCCTTGAAACATTTTATTCAAATGCAACGAGAAGGGATTCTGCCCAACTCTGCCACAATTTCCTGCTTGCTTCGATCTTTCGCAGGCCTCTCCCTTTTGCAGAATGGTAAAGAAGCTCACTGCTTCAGCATTAGAAATGGTTACACTGACGATGCCTTCATAGCTACAGCACTGATCGACATGTACAGTAAGTCAGGTGATATAAAGAGTGCATATGCAGTTTTCAGGAAGACCAAAAACAAAACCGTACCCTGCTGGAATTGCATGATGATGGGATTTGCAAACTATGGTCTTGGGACAGAAGTGATTTCGCTTTTCAATGAAATGCAAGGATCTGGTCTGCTTCCAGATGCCATATCATTCACGGCTGTGCTCTCCGGTTGCAAGAACTCGGGTTTAGTCAGCGAGGGATGGAAGTACTTTGACAGCATGAGCAAAGCTTTTAGTATAGAGCCAACAACTGAGCATTACTCTTGCATGGTGGATCTTCTTGGAAGAGCTGGGTATCTTGATGAAGCTTGGGACTTTATCCAAACAATGCCATTGAAACCGGATGCCAGCATGTGGGGCGCTTTCCTCGGGTCATGCAGAATCCACCGGAACCTGGAGTATGCAGAAAGTGCAGCCAAGCAGCTTTATGAGTTGGAGCCTCGTAATTCGGCTAATTATGTTGTGATGATGAGCTTATATGCCATGTCAAACAGGTGGGGAGACGTTGATCGTATAAAAGATGTCATGTACAACGAAGGACTGAAACCTGGACCGATATGGAGCTGGACACAGATTGATGACCGGGCTCATGTGTTCTATGCCGGAGGGAAACCCCATGAAGATGAAGGGGAGATCTACTTTGAGCTGTACCAATTGGTTTCTGAAATCAAAGAGCTTGGATATGTAGCTGATAAGGCGTGCGTCCATCAGCAGGTGGACGATGATGCTGAAAGGGAGAAGTTGCTTCTGAGTCACACTGAGAAACTGGCCATAACTTATGGACTGATGAAGAGGAGAGGCGGCAGCAGCGCGCCTATCCGAGTGATCAAGAACACAAGAACTTGTTCCGACTGCCACACGGCTACGAAGCTCATTTCCCTTGCGAGAGGCTGTGAGATTCTCCTCAAAGATGGCATACGTTTTCACCATTTCAAGGCAGGGAAGTGTTCTTGCAACGACTACTGGTAGTAGAATTCACTACTACTCTCTTTCTCCATGTTAGGAATATACATGGCCCAGATATATGGATCTCATGCTCTTCAGTGATCATGTTGGCTCGAGTTCATAATCTTAACCATGATTCAGTGTCATGAGGTGAGCAGAATTATATAATAGTGCAGAAAGTGCAGATGCAAAAGAAAGAAATGTATATGATGATGAAGGCCACAATTTACATTTCAAGAGCACAGCAAAGGCCAACCAAAAACAAAAGCACATGGAGGAAAACAAAATTAAAGAGGAAGACTCAAAGCCAGCAGAAACAAGGAGGTAAAAGAGCACATCAAAACCGGCTACACAGATGGCTTGCATGTGAGAGACAATGGAAAGACCAACGATGACTGCTGTGCTGTCACTACACAACCTACATTGATATGACTGTCCTTACTAGATTTGTTCTTGACATCACAACAACACGCGGAGTAGACGAGGATGAGGAAGACGAGGATGAGGATGTTGACGGCCTCAACTAGCTTCCACTCTCGTCGAGGAGCGAGACCGGTCTTGCAGGAGTTGCAGTCGTACCAGAGAAAGAGAGACCAAGGGCAATGTCGTTGTCCGTGATAAAAGCATACAGAAAGGGGCATTCGCCTCCCTCTACAGGCTTTGGATGAATTTCAGACAAGAAGATTCAGCCCACGGTGAACCATCCATTGGCAGAAGCACAAAGAAAACATTCCTTGATCACAACTAATTGGCTGTCTGTTTGGGTAATCAGATAGGCCACATTCCCGCCAGTTTTTGCTGCTGGAAGGAAAGGAAGAGTAATAATCCCTTTTCTACCCCTTCCTTGGTAAACAAGAAAATGAAAATGGGTTTCCTTCGATTCGACGGATGGGCCAAAAACCGTATTTGCTAATGGGCTGGAACTAGAAGTGGCCCAATAAATTCTGCTATTACTATGTTGTAGCTAGCTTGGCAAACATTTGGCACAAAAGACAAAACAATAAAGGAAAAGTCAAAAGAGAGCGTGAGCCAATTCCATTACCCTCTTCTCCAACTCCATTCATTCGAACTCAACAAGGTGAATTTTAGAATCATAGTTCATAGAGACCATCCATTACTTTCTTCATTCATAACTATAGACTTCTTGTACTCCTCTTTCTTCACTTCCCTCCTCTTACTAAACCATGCGGCCAATCTACAACTCTAATCCCTGTGCATGGTACGTATGAGTGTTGTTAACCAGTAAATCGGTATTTTCAAAACTATACCGTAACGATGGTCTGATCGGAAAATCCACTTGTTGGAGTCCAACTTTATAGTATGTTTACGTGTATGATAAACCATAGTTTAAATACAAAATAGTGAAAATACCCTACCAGTATCTTTTTCGAAAAAAAAACTTCTAGTACGATTTCACAATCCTTACGCACAGACTTTGAAATCAAATCAATCGTTCAATAGTATTAGGTATGTTACATTTCTAAGACAGTGGTACATATAATGCAAGTTGGATTCATCGTAGGCAGAGGTCCCATTTTTTCAGTTGGAGCATGTTGGGAACGTGCGAGACAATGACTAGATAGCCCTAATGCGGTGGAATCCATTAATGCAAAACAACACTACACGTTTCTCTTCTTTTGATCTTGTCACGACCGACATTTTTGTATTATTGCCATTTGCCACCACCACCAGTGGTTGAATTAATTTCTTATTAGTACACAATCCAAAGTCCAAACACGTCCTAAGATTGTTCATTGACAAGTCCATTTTATAGCATTATCACGAGTTGGAAAAAGGCCATTATAGGTCGATTAAAATATAGAAGTTTGCATTCGAGATGTTCGAATACAAGTGGTTTAAAGTAAGTGTGTCTTTTGGCTTAGTTTACAATCTGACTATTTTGGCAAATAAGTATTTAACTTTGAGATTTCATATATGAATCGTGAACGAATAGTTAACCGTCGAAACAAACCTATATCATTCATACAAATAAAATATACAATCTGATCATTTTAGTTGGATTGGGGACCAGTGGCGGACCCAGGATTCTCGTAAAGGTGTGTCAGTTGATAAAATTGAATAAAATAATAAATAAATTTTAATTATATTTTACTGTGTAACACAACGAGAAGTGGGATCGAAAGAGGCAAAGGGAACATTGGAATTTTTTTTATAAGATAGTAGTCCATATGCAACCAGACTCTCGATGAAAGAGTATTTTTTGTCACTAGGTGGACAACTATGTGAAACCTACAAGGATCAAGAAGAAACGAAACTTATTCAGGTAGAGAGAAAAAAGAGAAAACTTCCTTACGATTACTCATGCCTAAAACCTATAAGCAATAAACCCTTGCATCTAAATGCTTAAGTAATGGAAAGAACCCCAAATTTGTCATAAGTTAACTAAAATTTAAAATAAATAACATATATTTACGGATTTTGGGAACTTTATGACACTACATTAATCGTAGTGTATTAAAGGTGTGTCAATAACAATTATTCAAGGTGTATCGAAAGTCCTAAATTCCAAAAAATTATACCGACAAAACATGGGTCTCTCACAAAATATTCGTGCGGAGGTGTGTCGCTTGACACACCTCTCTACCACATGGGTCCGCCTCTGTTGGGGACATATAGGCTAGGTGTACGTATACAGCTCGATGTATTGGTTATCAGTTTGAAACATGGTTGATGGCGTATGGTAAGATTTCAAACGCAGAGAATGATCTATTGTGCTATGTCGATTTCAACAATAAGGATCTATAGATTGTTTTTTAGCTTCCATCTTGACCTCTCTCTCTCTCTCTCTCTCTCTCTCTCTCTCTCTCTCTCTCTTATACGTTCATTCTTCACAACTTTACTTGTTTTTTCGAATTAATTTGATCCGTTTTTTCATAATGAAATTCACAAAATTAACAAACCCTAATTCGAATTTCTCTCAATAATGAGTATTATCTTCCATCAAGGTAGAAAAATCACCAACTAGTGGCTAAATGGGGTAGATCTATAAAAATAAAAAAAAAACTAAAACTTGATTGAAAAATATACATCATATGAAAATTCCATTCCAATTAATAATGGCCTCTCTATCCTTCCTTGAGAAAATCCCTGCAAATCTTCTCCCAGCGATTCCTGTCCGGTTCATCCACCTCCAACCCAGACTTGGCCTTCTCAGCAAGCTCCCTCTGCAAAACCCAACAACACCACAGAAACGTAACAAATTTCAAAACCTGCATGTCTTCAACAACTTCTTATTATTGCATCATAACTAAACCATTTTCATTCATCTTACCTCGATGAAACCATCGTTGAGAAGACGATCGATGATGCTAAACAGGATGTCCTTGGTGTACTCGGGATGACCTTGAATGCCCAAAATGTGACCTCCAATGGCGAACATCTCCACGCCGGTCTTCTCCGAAACCGCAACCACTTTCGCCGCCGGCGGGACCTCCCACACTTCATCCTGATGGCACTCGATGATCGACAGAGACGGCGGCGCCTGCATCAGATCATCCTCCACCATCTCCACTCTCCTCAGGCCAATGTCCCATCCATTCACCGCTTTCCCTACCTTCCCTCCCAATGCCCTGCACAGAACCTGGGGGTAAAAAATTTCGTCATAAACCAACCATTCCCAATAACTCGAATTGTCAGGGGAAAAAAAATAAGTGATTACTAGCTCTCATATTTTCGTATTATTCATAGGAGCCTAAAAAATAGTCATAAAAACCAGTTTGTTTCAATAACTCGAGTTGTTGAGAATGTTAGTTATGGATCATATGATCATTCTCTTACTCGCTCAGCAAACGAAATCCCAAATCATGAAGTTCAAATTTGCACGGGCCCGTCATATTTTGTACTTAAAAACAAATGTGTTATATTAGGATCTTGGATATTCGAATACACAACCACTTTTGGCCAAAATCAATTCTGATCCATATCGTAAACCGATTAATTCCAATAATTTGAGTTGTTACGACAAAGATTACTTATGAATCATATACCGCTCTTTTTTATTTTTATTTTAAAGCAACTTTTAAAGAAACCCAATACGCTAGGTACGTATCACAAAAAGGAGAAAGTGAAAAAAAGTTAACAAGGGAGCAACGAGATCATATACCATTCTCTTATTCAATCGTCGTGGATTATGAGCGTGACACTGATATCGTGTTAAGAACCAATGCAGCGCGAACGTACCTGGTGGCCGAAGCAGATTCCGAGGACCTTCTTCTTCATGAAGTCGAGAGTTTTGAGTAGGAAGCAGAGCTCGAGGATCCACTCATCGTTTCCATAGGCATCATAAGGGCTACCACTCACCACAAACCCGTCGTAGCCATGGAGGTCGTCGACGTCGGGGAACTCGCCGTCGACGACCCTGAACAAATCCCATCTCTCTCCCTTCTCGCCGAAGGCGGCGAAGAACACGTTGAAGTAGCCGCCGTAGGCTTTCTTCACGTAGTCGGAGTCCCTCGCCGCCATCAGCAGAGCGTACCTCTTCGTCGGCGGCGGCGATCCCTTCATCTCAACCACCATGGAAAACGGCGAGAACAGAGGTGTACTTGTTTTGTTTTGCTGTGTGAGTGAGGAATGGGAGTGTTTTATATAGAAGGATGTAATTAATATGGGGGAAATTAATTAATATTGGGTTTATTTTTATTTTTTTAGGGAAAGCCAACACGATGAGGGAATATATATAATTGGCTTGTGGGATTATGGGTACATAGAAGAAAGAAGAAGGAGAAGAAGAGGATTCATTATTTTAGGATATGGTCCATAATAATATTCCATTTGGGGAATTCCTATTTTCCCTTTCCTTTATAACTTTCAAGTCTTCAATGAATTGAGCTAATGAGGAAGTTGATGCCATTATATTATTGGGTCCTATATATATAATTTGAAGCAGATAAATTATTTGCAGTGGACGTTTGTACTAATAGTTATTTTTTAGATTCAAATGTAGTGACATATATCATTTGCATTCGACGGTGAAATTGAGAACAATAAATTTTGTTTGATTCTACAAAATAAAAGGTTTTTTTGTTTGTTTGTTACGGTTCCTTGATTACATAGTTTACGAGTTTTAATTTGTGATATTAGATTTGGATACAATTATATTTACTTTCATAAAATATATTCTCCATAAGTATTTGTCTCAAATGTGGTGACATAAATAAACCATTTGGAGGCAATTAACGATTTCCGGGCAAATCCTTGTAGGTGTGTATCTCTTTTTAGGGTGCAAGGAAATCACAATCTTTGTAATACTATTTATTAACCAAAAATTCCCGAATAACAACGAACTTTATTGCTCAGTATTGTGACTCATAGGCTTTAATAGGTAAAAGAAACTTAGTTCAAACTTTGTATTAAGCCGTTGATATCCAACTATTAATAAGCATAGATTGTAGATTCTTCTAATTAATTAATTGTCCAAAATTTTGAATTACTAAAACAAATTCAGAATGGCCCTAAGGTTGCTTATCATGTTTAATAGATAGTAAGCTCTTCAGCCGTTGATGACGTAGCTGAAAGGCTCTCTTATACGACAGTCAATGTAGATATCATTATTCAACTACGTTATTAGCGACTAACAAGTGAATTTAGTGGTACCAATCAAAATATTTTATGATCAAATGAGAGTGCATATGATCCACTCGTCAAGTAGTCAAATGAACTAGTATCCATAATGGTTCAAGACTACGACTGGCCGGTTTCTTTGGAGAATAGCAGGCCATCAACGATTGGGCCTGGTGGAACGAGAGCCTTGCTGAAGCCCACTACAGAACAGAAATTGGGCCGACTTTACCATTAGATCGATGCCTCCGTTATAATATTGCTTGAAGGGAGTTAAAACTTAAAAGATGGAAATCGTGTTGTTGTTTACTCTGCCGAATTGATTTCTGTAACCAATCGGAACCGAACCAATGAAAATGGTTGACTATCTTATCCGGTTCAATTACTCCAACCACGATTGTCAAAGTGTTGATTGGCTTGTAACTTCTCGATCGAACCATCCAACTGGCTCGCCAAATTAAGCAATGCCATATTTTCATCATATGCACCCCATAGCACCAGCCCCCATATGTTTTCTGAAATGCTAAATGTCGTCCTTAAATTACTACCCGTCGTCCTAAGTTAACTATATAAATGACCTAAATATCCAACTTAAATTAGAAAACCAAAACCCACCAAACAACCTTAGTCCTCCCTCGTCCCTCTCTCTCCTCTGAACGAAACCCTTCCCCTTCCCCTTCCCCTCTTACCTTGCCTCTACCTCCAGACCTTCCGCCTCCATCCAACCTGTCCCGCACACAGCAAGCCGCCGCCCGCCACTCTACCTCTCACCAGCTCCGGCAAGTCACCTCTCTGCACAAATCTCGCCGGCGACGAAGCACGAGAAAATTGAAGCAAATTCTCTCTTCCCCCACGGCTTCCCCTCTACCTCCGACCCAACCACCTCTCACCAGTACACACCCCACCAACGACAAGCTCGGCGAAGTCGACGACAACACTTCCCCTTTGCTAAGCCACTGCCTCCGCCGGCAACTGAAGCTCATGCTTTGTTTCAACTTCCAACCTAGCCGACGACGAAGAAGGTTTAAATCGAAGGCCACACGTTCCCTCTGCCTCGCTCTACTCTGTTCCAGCCTAGCTTACGAGGAAGAAGATGAAATCGACAAAGAAGGTGAGTTAGAAGGGATGATGGATTCGATTGAGTTTCGCCGGTAGTCTATGCTCTGAAAGCTGGAAGCTTTGATTTGTTTTCAGCCAAGCGAAGGTGAAGAAGACCTGGTTGCCGGATTTTCCTGCTACCGGAGAAGGTTAGTCTTAAATGGTTGAACGAATTGAGTTTTGAGGTTACACCGGGGCAGAACGTTGGAATGTCCTTGTTTGACCAACGGTAAAAATTTGGATTGTGCTTATTTGACCAGCGGCTCAAACCAAATTAATTTGCGGTTCAGCAGGGGTCAAATCCAGTTTTTGCTTCGTTTGACCGCAGGTGTTTAAGACCACGGATCAAACCAAATATTAAAACATGTTGACCACGGGGTCAAACACAATACTAGAATGCTTTGCCTTCTGGTCAAACACAAGTCCACAATGGTTTGTCCATAGGATCAAACGCTGCCAATATTTCGTTTGGCCACGCGAGACCGACGTTTGACTGAGCTCTGTCTTACCTTCTCCACTGGTGCTCTCCGGCTTTGCAAGTGGCGGCGAACCGTTGACAATGGTTGAGGCAACAACAGATTGCTGTGACGGCTGGGAAGGGAGGAAGAAAGAACGCAGGAACGGAGTCGTCGTCGAGCTTCTTCTCCGGCAACAAGTGCGGCACGGCGAATGAGAATGCACATTATCCGGCTCTACGTCTTCTCCGGCAATGCAGGGGCAGAGGTGATGGCGGCGACCGGGAAGGCTGTGGCGGGAATAAGTAGCGCAGCCGTCGACGAGAGGGGTGGGCAGACACGCCGGCGAGAGAGGTAGGGTGTCGTTGCTTCTGGGTTTGACAGGCGAGGTTCATGACTTGGGAGAAACAGAGGCCGGCGGGGAGAAATAGAGTTCGAGGAGCGGCCGGCCTGTGCGAACCCACCGACGAGATGCGTGTCAGAGGCACGGGTCGACGAGGTGGGCCTTTGGGAGTTTCTTGAGAATGCAGGGGAGAGGGAAAGAAGATGGATTTGTCAGCTTGGGAATGCAGGGGAGAGGAAGTTGGATTTGTCCTTAAGAGTCAGGAGAGTGAATCGAAAGGGAAGAGAAAGTATGTTTAGATTCTAGTGGCATGTTTGATTTAGAATATAATTTAAAATTGGTAATTGGACAAATAGGTAAATTTATTTGATTTAGGACGACGAAGAGTAATTTTAAGGACGTCATTTAGCAACTCCCTATGTTTTTTACACAAGTTTTTCTTGTAGTGTCAGCTGTAACCAAAACTTGTTACTCTAAATAATAAAAGCTAGGTTTCAAGGCAAGAATATCTATCTTTCATGACAAGCATCCGAAGATCCTAAAATATTTGCATTTTTTCTATTTATTTTTACAATTAGGTCATTAATATCTACAAGTCACTATTTCCTCCGCTAAAGTGAACTTAAAATTTAACTTCCCCATCTATAGGCGCGCGTGTATCCAATTAGTATACTAAAAAAAATAATATTATTTACTTTCTCCTCTCTTCCAAAACATAAAAAAAAGTCGTATACTTTTCTTCGTTCAATGTATTCGTCAAACATCTGATGGGTTTGAAATACATCTCTATATCATAAAGATATGTTCATTCTATCTCGAGAGTAGGTGGCTACTTCGGTGCACTCACTTTTTTGGGTGCACTCAGTGCACCCAACTTTAAAAGCGTCCATAATACATAAAATTTTGAATTTTAATTAGTACTCTCAATATAATATGATGATATGACATAGAATCATAACAAATCAATCCATTGCCCTAACCCCTTAACATTCAATTTTGAATCCCAACCCAAAATCCCAAATTGTAAACCTAAACCCTAACCTAAATCCTTCGAATTAAAGTAAATTTTGAATGAATTTTTTTCAAATTCATGTGCTTCTTGTTCATAATATCATAAGCAACAATTGATATCGTTTTGACATGAATCGCATGGTCAGAATGACAATTATGAGACGGGTGCATTGAGTGCACCCGAAAAAGTGGGTGCACCGAATACGGCACCCTCGAGAGTAATTGTTTTGTAATCTTAGATTTCAAAATTGAGAAACTTTTTTTTTTCAAACAAAAAATGATGAAGTATATTGACTCGGATGGTTTATTTTGTTACAACCAATTCCTTGTAGTTTCCACATTATTTAAAAATGGAACATGTTGGGATTGTGTGTGGCATGCCCCCCCTAACTCCTTCCTTATGCAAGCACACTACACGTTTTCTTCTGTTCGGTTTTGCATATTTCCTCGTTGGAAACACCTCTACATTCCCACTCCCACACGAAAACATTTCTGCTCTTATTAATTCATTTCCTCCAACTATATTCCATACTATAAAATATCTTTCACGTCCCCACATTTTCTTTTTCTTCGTATAATCCAAACATGTCCCTACGAACGTTGTTCATCCACACATAAAAACATTATCTCCAAAGTAAAGGTAGAGTTAGTTAGCCACGCAGGCTTTTAGATGGTTGTTGGCTCCAAAATTTGAATCCATCGTGTAACGGATAAGAGGTGTTTGTGAATTGTGAGTGGCAAATGTTTGGCTTAGTTTACAATCTGATCATGTTGGTGGAATTTGATCTAGCTAGGAGTATAAACGGGTCGAGAAGTACTGATAATGTAATTGATTGATGTTCTTATCCTATTACCACTAAACTAAAACCTAGAGGTTTGCCAGGTAGGATTCTGGTTAGTTAGTAAGCATAAAACTAGATTTGACAAGGGGGATTTTTACAAGTGGCAGTATTTGGCTTAGTTTACAATCTGGCCATGTCGGTGGATCGAATTCGGTCTAGCTTGGGATACAAACGGTAATTTGCACATTTTTCCCCCCTAATGACGTACAAGACATTTTCTATCAAGATAGAAGAACCACCGACACGCGGTTGGTTACATTAACAAGATAAACATATCACATCCGAAGTCACGTCGATTCCAATCTCGTATATCTTCCCTTTAGAAAATTCCTACAGATCTTCTCCCAACGAGCTCGGTCCGGTTCGGCTATCTCCAACCCAAACCTAGCATTCTCAGCAAATTCCCTCTGCACATGCCACAAGAATAACACCACATTGTCAAGCACTTCCTTCAATCATCAAGCACATACATAAAAAAAAAAACCATACATCATTTAGCTATTCATCACTTAAATTCATTACCTCAATGCAATTGCTATTGAGAAGTCGTTCGATGAGGCTGCACAAAATGTCCTTGGTGTACTCAGGATGACCTTGAATACCCAACACATGATCTCCAATGGCGAACATCTCCACACCAGTCTTCTCCGAAAACGCAATCACCTCCGCACCAGAAGGAACTTCCCACACTTCATCCTGATGGCACTCGATGATCGACAACGACGGCGACATCTGGCTCAGATCCTCGAGGAACCTCCCTGAAAATGGTGGCAGAAGATCCTCCACGATCTTCACCCTCCTCAACCCAATATCCCATCCGGTCATCGCTTTCCCCACCTTCCCTCCCAACGCCCTGCACAAAACCTGAACAAAAAAAAAAAAATAGTCGTGCAGTAGCTATCAGTATCTGCATTCGCGCCAGAAAGACTCTAATACCATGTTAACAATCAGCGGTACTGGCATGGTGGAGCCACGTTACAACTAGGAGGGACAATAGCTTGTAGCCCCCCTCGGCTCTCAAAATTGTGTGTAAAAATTCTGTAACGACTTTGAAAAATAGAGCAGGTGGTAAGAGTACTTTAGCTCTCCTCCACTGCTCAAACCTGTTAAACGTAAATTTTAGTCTGCCATCCGTTTAGATTTCTGGCTCCGCCAGGTACGTTACCTGGTGGCCGAAGCAGATTCCGAGGACCTTCTTCTTCATGGAGTCGAGGGTTTGTAAGAGGAAGCATAGCTTGAGGATCCACTTGTCGTTTCCATAGGCGTCATAAGGGCTGCCGCTCACAACAAACCCGTCGTAGCAATGGAGGTCGTCGACGTCGGGGAACTCGCCGTCGACGACCCTGAACAAATCCCATGCCTCTCCTTGCTCGGCGAAGGCGGCCAAGAACACGTTGAAGTAGCCGCCGTAGGCTTTCTTCACGTAGTCGGAGTCCCTCGCCGCCATCAAGAGGGCGTATCTCTTGTTGTCTCCACCTTGTTTCGTCGGTGATGGCTCTTTCATTGTGCTTTTTTTTTTTTTTTGTCTTTGTTTTGTGGGTGTGAAATGGAGTGTTGTGATGATGATGATGATGGATTTGGTTGGGGAGAGAGAGGGGGGAACTTGGAGGGGGATTATATAGAAGGGATTTGAGGAAATGTTGGATTTGTTTTTTTGGGGAGAAAGAAAGCCAACACGGTGAGGGAATTTTGGCTTGTGCATTATATGGGTATAGGAGAAATTATTATTTTATGTATGGTCCATATTCCATTTGGTGGGGATTTCCCCTTTTTCCTAGCTTATTGCTTTGATGAAGAAGGTCCATTATATTAGTGGTATGATTCCATAAACTAGGGGGTGGCAAAGATAAACAAACTAGATGCTCTAAAAGGAATATGAGAACAAAATGTGTGTGTATATGTATGATGTAATCTTTTGATATTCTTGTGACAACTAGTAGATACAAATGATAGGATTTACCTCTTTTTCACGTGAAAACATGCATTTTTCTTGAGTTGACGTAGGGTTAGTTGATCGAATTACTTTTAGTGTCGGAAGTAAATTTGAGTTAGAGAGAATAACATGCATGCACAAACGTTTTATGTACTTATCAAGTTTACATTCAGCAAGTTACTTCATCCGGTAAAAAGAACAAAAAAAATTTACCATTAACCAACTTGTTCACTTGTGCTGATCACTAGCTATCTCCGTTCATAATGCTAAATCATTACGGTCTCGACTCCTTGGCATTTCGACACTCCAGGGTTGTTCTAGGTTGTTCTTTTCAATTCGATATGATTTACCCTTTTTATGCGAAAACATACCATTTTTTTTTACATTGACATATGGTTAATAATCAAATTATCTCTACAATCAAAGCATATACTTGAGTTTGTGAATAAAGGACATAATTTTTTTACCACTAAGAACATAATTTTCACTTTCGTTCAGTAAAATAACATTATTTTTCACTGACACACGTTATTGCATTTTATGGGTCTATATGAAAACTGTGTATTCTATCTAAAACTCTCACCATCTCCAATTCTCCATTCATCGAAGGCTAAATCATTTATTTATAGGTCTCACTCTCTTTTCCACTTGATGGGTGGAAGACTTTTAGAAGGTACGTTGGCCATCAGACGACGACCTCTTTTGTTTATGTTTAAAATTTCTAAACGCGCCTAGCTAATTATTCTCACTTCATTAATAGACGTAGACCTTCCTTCCTCGCCGTCCGGTCCATTTGTATAAACCGCCGGCGCCGGCTGGTCAAACTCAAACAAAGTAAAAACACATATATAAATTATGAAGAAGAAAAGCTCCCTTCCTTCGCAGCGTCAGCGCCTCTCCCTCCCTCCATTATTTAATTTACGTACGCTAACTCTGACTTTCTCCCTACGGCCGCGGCCTGCTGTTTTTTCGTCTAACGCGATGTTTGTGAAGGAAAGTAAGTAACACGCCGCGTACCTCAAAGATAGAATTAATTAAGTACCTAGTCGCTAATCTAGGTTAAGTGCATCAATCTCTCATCTTCTTGGAGAATACTAACGGAACCAGTCAAGAAAAGGACAACAGCTAGGGTGCAATACTTAGCAACTGTGATTAATTAGCTTAATTATTCTTTCCCGTTAAGTAACAGAGATAAAACCACACAGTTTACTGTCTACAAAAAAACCTTCCATGCTTCTTGTTTGTTCTATACCGGTTGTCAGCAGACAGTTCCCTTTCAAGGTACCAATTGAGTATGGTATTGTAGCTGATTATCTGGACTGACTAGACATTAATAGGGTAATTTTGGGTTCAGCTTGTGCCAAGGATTCAAGCTCTGGCTGACGATCTCGATCGATCTTCTGATGAACGAAACATGTTCAGATGTACAACGGTTCGGTCACAATTTGTCAAACAAGACAATGTCAAGTTCGTATAACGTATTGCATGTTTATGTAGGATTTAGATCGAGGAAGAAAATTAAATAGTATCAGATGTTTCTCTTGAAAGGTATTAATTCGCTCTGACTTTGTCGCTCAGGTCAATATCAAGTAGAACCGTTGGCTTGCACTAACCAAATAATCAATCGCCATACGCCAATTGAAAATGTCATTTATAATTGTTATGTTACGACTTACAAACAACATACGACTCATGATAACACAGATCTAGTTATTTAACCATATGCAGCTCTGTATGCAAGATTTGAAACTATGACTTCGTGTGTCCTATTTTCAGAATATAATTAAATGTAAATAAAACTAATCACATCCAAGTAATCCATTCATAGATAAGGAAATAACCGTAAAAACTAATAATATCCAAATAATTCATTCATAGATATATAGGACAATAACCAATTAAAACAAACAATCACCAGTTTTCTTATCAACCACGACGCGCGTTTTAATATTAGCCCACCAACAAATCTAGCTATATAGGGTGCATTATATTAGTGTTTGTGTTGACAAATCAAGCCAGTCAATAATCTTAAATCAAGAGAAAGAGACCGTGACCTTGATGAAGCAGCATTTGGAAAGAAATATGAACGAAGGGAAAGCAGATTTGGAGAATCAGAAGGATTGATTGAGACAAGGGATTTCAGGAAGGAATTCAAAGGAGAAGACCTACCATACTTGGAAGACAACGGCTAACCAGCATGGAATACAAATAGCTCGCTCAGAATCAAGAAGAACACACTTTTCCAGGAGATCAAATTACACAGGAAACGCTAGGGACATAGCAAGTGTGATTGATAGTGAAAAGGGGTTTTAGCATTGGTTCTGGAGTGAAACAGTGTTAGAGAGAAAGAGTGTTGGAAAACATAGAAGCTGGATAGCTTGGGATTGGGTTTAGTTGATAGAAATCTCGATCAACCATCCAGGATTGGTTTGGTTGATCTCGTGAGGGTATAACTATCATAGATCAAGAGCAGCACATCTAGTGAATCGTTGGAAGTCACAAATCGTGATTTTCCAACCGTGGAGTAGTCAATATTGGGATTCATTTTCTCCCAATACTGGAAACCACGTAAAAACTGAGCCCGTGTCTTTCAATTCAGCACTATATCGTTTGCTTGGGCAGCTATTCTTTGTTTTGCAGTGGCAGGGGAGTTAGAGTCTGTTCAAAGAAATCAGGTCGTTGCGAAGGAAGAAGAAGGCGCTGAACAGGAAAGGTAAAACGAGTCGTTTTGCTAAGAGGTGAGTAATTCGCAGGCTTATAATTTGAGTGGGTCGGTGCAGTTGAGCCCAACACAAGAAAGTAATCCCTCGGCCTACAAACATATACTTGAGTTAATTTCCAAATTGTTTTTGATTCAACAATCGTCTCTTGTCACCTACACTTGATCTTCCCGAAAGGGAGTTTAGGGTTCGCAGGAACCAAATTACGAATCACGCAAAGGAGGCGTCTCGCGCTCGACGCCTTTAACACGTGGTATCAGAGCCCCGTTACCAGTTGGAAAGAGTTTCACAACCTCTGGTAGATTCAAGGATGGCATCTGGGTCAGCAAGCAATGCACCACTGTATCTCGCAGATGGGTTCTCTCATAATCGACCTCCAAGGTTCGAAGGAGTAAATTACGGGTATTGGAAAAACAGGATGGAGCTGTTTGTCGGATCTACAGACCCTAAGTTATGGGCCAGAGTGATCAAGGGTCCCCATGAGCTCAAGGACGATAAAGAGAAATGGTCAGATGAAAATTTCGAGAAGTTTCAGCAAAATTGTAAGGCGACAAATTTGATGTACTGTGCCTTGGGACCAGAGGAGTATCACAAAGTGGCTGGATGCAAGACAGCCAAGGAAATCTGGGACAAGTTGCAGGTCACCTATGAAGGTACTTCCCAGGTCAAAACTTCTCGTATAAATGCACTGAAACATCAGTTTGAACTGTTCAAAATGGAGGAAGGAGAGTCGATTAGGCAGATGTATGAAAGGTTTACCAACATTGTGAATAGTTTGGAGAATTTAGGAAAATCATATGAAAGTGGTGATCTAGTGAGGAAAATCTTGTGGTGTCTGCCTGAGAAGTGGACTCCAAAAGTAACAGCCATAGAAGAAGCAAAGAATCTTGAGACATTAGCCATAGACGAGTTGATTGGGTCACTGGCTACGCACGAAGAGAAATTGGTAAAGGCAGGACACGAGAAGGAAACCACCGAAAAGGGAAAAAGAGGAGTGGCATTTAAGGCAACTAGCCTTGTTGATGATCCTGAAGAACTCAAGGAAATGGAAGACGAAGAATTAGCATTGTTGAGCAAGCAGATAAGCAGACTACTTAGAATTAGAAAAGAAAAGAAACAAGGTGGTTATGGAACTAAGCCTAGAGATTTTGACAAAAATGATGGAGGGGGTAAAAAGTGTTCAAGGAAGAAACTTCACAAGAGGAGAGCCTAGTTCAGCAACGAAGGGGGTAAGCTCAACAGGGTGTTTTAAGTGTGGCAGAATGGGGCACATCAAAGCTTAGTGTCCTCAGCTGAAGAAGGAAAGAGCCTTAGCAGCAACATGCAGTTGCAGTGAAGATTAAGACGAAGAAGATGACGAAGTAACAATCCACAGATCATACATGGCAGTCGCACAAGTGGAAGAAGAAGATGAAGAACCTGCTTCTCCTGTATCCTTGACCCAGGTAAGATCTGCGCAACTAGAACAATTATATAACTCTGATGATGAGTTGTTGGGTGAAATTATCAATGATATTCAGACAGAGTTTGAAAATGTTAAAAACAAATATAGTAAATTGAAGAAGGAAAACAAAGTGAATCTTGTCAGATTAACAGAATTAGAGAAGGAACTAGCATCTAGTAAAGTTAGAGAGAATCGGCTCAATGACAATTTACTGAAAATAAAGGTAGAAAAGGAAAATTTTCAAAAGGAGTGTACAAAACTTAAAAGAGAATTACAGGAAAAAGGGAGACTTCATAATTCTGGAAAAAGAATAGACAGTAATCGAGAAATGGTTGAGTGTTACTATTGTCATTCTTATGGTCACAAAATTAGGGATTGCAGAAAAAGACTTAGATCAGAAACTGTGAAAAACGTGAACTCACATTGGTCTCATGGTCTAACTAAACAAGTCTGGGTAGTCAAGTCAGAAATTGAAAAGAAAAATGGCACATCCAAATGTGGTCAGTTTGAACGATATTATGATTCAAAAATCTCAAATGCACCCAAGAAGATCTGGGTTTGCAAAACAAAATGAATATTGTGTTTGCAGAGTTGCCTTCAAGTGAGCATGGAGGTGACTAAATGGATTATGGACAGTGGATGCTCACATCATATGACAGGTAACAGACACCTCTTCTCATCTCTTAAACCAGGAAACTATGGTAAAGTTTACTTTGGTGATAACAACTCTGCTGAGATAATTGGTAAAGGTCAAGTGGGAATTAGTCCCTGCATAAGGAATGTAATGCTAGTGGAAGGCTTGAAACATAATCTAATATCCATAAGTCAGATGTGTGGGAAGGATAACAGAATTATCTTTGAGTCAAATTGCTGCTATGTGGAAAATGTGAAAAGCAGACAAATTTTATTTACAGGAAAAAGGGATGGGAAAATATATACCATTGATCTAAACGACAAGAGTAGTTTTAATGAGATGTGTTTGGTTAGCATGGAAACTAGTGAACAACAAGACTGGCACAGGAGACTTGGTCATGTTAATGTTGCTGTCCTTTCCAAATTGGCCAAAATGAATCTAGTTAAGGGTTTGCCAAGAATCAACGAGAAGAAGGATTTCTTCTGTGATGCTTGTGCTCAAGGAAAACAAACCAAGTCTAGCTTTAAAAGCAAAACAGTCTTGTCCACATCTAGAGTTCTAGAACTACTGCATCTTGATCTTTTTGGTCTTGCAAATGTTGTTAGCTATGGTGGGAAGTCGTATGCATTTGTCATCGTGGATGACTACTCGAGGTTTACATGGGTGCTATTTTTGGCTAAGAAAGATGAAGCTTTTGAGAAATTTAAAACATTTATTAAAAAGGTTGAAAATGAAAAATTAAGTCAGATTGCTAGCATTAGGAGTGACCATGGGGGGAATTATGTTCTGATATGTTTGAACAACTGTGTAATGACTCAGGAATCACCCATAATTTCTCTGCTCCAAGAACTCCTCAACAAAATGGAGTAGTGGAACGAAAAAATAGAACCTTAATTAATATTGCTCGTACCATGCTTCATGACTACAATCTACCTAAGTATTTTTGGGCAGAGGCAGTTAATACAACATGTTACGTAACCAATCGAGCACTAATTAGATCAAACTTAAATAAAACTCCTCATGAAATTTGGAGAGGAAGAAAGCCTAACTTAGGATACCTTCATCCTTTTGGGTGTAAGTGTTATGCCTTGAACACGAAAGATAATCTAGGGAAATTTGATGCTAGGTCTGATGAGTCAGTATTTTTGGGTACTCAAACTCTAGTAAGGCCTACAGAATCTTTAACAAGCGGACCCTCAGGGTTGAGGAGTCCGCCAACGTGATATTTGATGAGGGTGTTGTTGAGTGTCCAGATGTTTTTTATGACAATGAGGACTTTGGACTTGGAAGAAGTATTACTCAAAGTAAAACAGGAACAGCAGAAGAAACTCAAGGCAGAGCTACAAAGCAGCCTTCTTCGGATGAAAAGGAAGTGTCATCCTCAGATCAGCCAAATGAAACAGAGAACGACATGAAGGATGGATCTGAGGGAACTTCAATACAAACCCCTCCTCATATAGTCAAGCGACATCCTCCCAGCCAGATTATTGGAGGATTAGACCAAGGTATGACAACTCGATCAAGAACTTTACCTTCTTTAGCAGCTTTTGTGTCGTTAATCGAACCTAAGAATATAGAAGAAGCTCTTCAGGATGAATTCTGGACAGCTTCAATATTTGAAGAAATGAACCAGTTTGAACGTGCAAATGTATGGGAATTGGTACCTAAACCTGAAAATAGAGTTATAATTGGAACAAAATGGATTTATAAGAACAAGTCAGATGAGATAGGTACTGTGATTAGAAACAAATCTCGATTAGTGGCACAAGGATACTGTCAGGAAGAGGGAATAGACTTCGAGGAGACATTTGCTCCAGTTGCTAGACTAGAAGCAATTCGCATGCTATGTGCGTTTGCTAGTTCAAAAGGATTTAAATTGTTTCATATGGACGTAAAAAGTGCCTTCTTAAATGGAGATTTAAAAGAAGAGGTTTGTGTGTCTCAACCCCCAGGTTTTGAAAATCACAGCTACCCTAATCATGTATATAAGTTAAAAAAGGCTTTATATGGGTTAAAGCAGGCTCCCAGAGCCTGGTATGACAAACTTAGTTCTTTTTTTTTTGGAAAATAGCTTTAGGAGAGGCAAGTGGACAAGACTCTATTCATTAAACATGATAAGGAACACATTCTGCTAGTTCAAGTGTATGTAGATGACATTATTTTCGGATCAACAAGTGAAAAACTGTGCAAAGAATTTGAAATAAAAATGAAGAGTGCTTTCGAGATGAGTTTAATGGGGGAATTGAATTTCTTTCTAGGACTTCAGATAAAACAAACGTATGCTGGAATTTTCATTTGCCAAACCAAATATCTTCAAAACATGTTAAAACGCTTTGATTTTGGAAATTTAAAGACTGTTGTAACCCCCATGGCAGCAAACACTAAGCTTGATAAGGATGATTCGGGAATACCAGTTAATGATAAGTTATTCAGAGGAATGATAGGATCCTTGCTGTACCTGACTGCTAGTCGTCCTGACATTATGTACAGCGTGTGTGTCTGTGCTAGATTTCAAAGTTCACCTAAACAGAGCCACTTGAGTGCTGTTAAACGAATTTTTAGATACCTGAGTGGTTGCCCTGATCTAGGGTTATGGTACTCACATGAATCTAGTTTAGAACTTCTAGGTTATTCAGATGCTGATTATGCAGGGTGTGTTGTAGATAGAAAAAGTACCTCAGGAACTTGTCAGGTCCTCGGTACTTCTTTGGTGTCGTGGTTCAGTAAGAAGCAAAACTATGTTGCTTTGTCAACAGCCGAAGCTGAGTACATTGCAGCTGGCTGCTGCTGTACTCAGATTCTCTGGATGAAGCATCAGCTTCAAGACTATGGTCTGCTCCCTAGTTCAGTACTTGTGCTGTGTGATAACACAAGCTCAATTAATATGACCAAAAATCCAGTTCAACATTCTCGAACAAAACATATTGATGTTCGTTATCATTTTATTCGTGAACTAGTAGAAGAAGGCCAAATAGGACTAGAATTTGTCCCAACTTCATGTCAATGGGCTGATATCTTCACAAAGCCCTTGGGCTCAGAATCCTTCATTCGCATTCGTCGTGAACTAGGGTTATTCACATTACAAGATATAGCTCAACTGTCAACCAAGCCCTAGGAATCGTCTTGCTGATCTGAGTTACCTTCTTTACCTTGATTCCATTAGAAAATCTTAGGATCAAGAATCCTCTTAATCAGTGATCTAATTTACCTTCCTCAATAATACTTTCCTTGACTCTTGGAATTCTTCCGGATCAAGTTCCTCACGTTCCTTATTCAGACTTCACCTTCTATTAATGAGTTCATCATTCCACTTTAAAAAGGGATCAGAATTGTACCCTATCTCTCATTCATCTTCTGCAACCCAAAGGCTATCATGGCTGCCCCAAATCATCACATAGCTTCTCTGCGTCTAGCTCAAGCTGCCATTTTCAATGGGAAGGGCTTTGAAGATGCAGCGGGGTATGCTCGCTACCTCCACCACTTCCAGGATCGTTCCTTGCATCCCTCTATCACCCTCGATCCCTCCAGATTCAATAGGTATGGGATGGATGTCCCACGCCTAATCACCACTATTGGATGGGGGGATATTCTTCCAAATCGCAACTTTGGGTTTCGTCCTGAGGCAGTTCGGATGTTCTATGCCAACATGAAGTCGTGCCTTCATATCTCACCCCCATGCTTCACAACGATAGTATACAACTATCTGATCACCATCAATGTGGAATTACTGTCTCTGTTGCTTGGAATTCCCATTGCATGAGCTGAAGTCATGAATGAAACTGACTTTCATTCTGTTGATTTCAATGAGGGAGATGCTATGCGGCTGTATACCCGCGACACTGGTCGTTACAACCGCTCTGAATTTCATGCTGGTCGACTTCCTGACGATCTTAAAGTGTTGCATTTCTACATAACCCGTTGTTTTCTACCTAGATCGTTTGGGCTCAATAAAATTTATCCTTCGGATCTTTGGATCCTGGCTAGTGCCAAAGAAATTCGAGTGATCAGCTATCCTCACCTTATGTTCGACCACATGTTGAACTTCCATGCTGACAACTATGCTGCCGATCTTCCTTACGTACCACAGATTACTCAAATCCTGCTGGCCTTAGGCATAGATCTCCGTTTTAAGGTGGCTCGTGTTGATATTCTCGGTTCTCTTCGTGCTCAATTCGTTCTTCGTAAGGTGGATGCATCGGTTGGACGTCGTGGCCCCCGAGTCAATGCTCCAGGGGGAGAAGCAGCAACTGCTGGAGTTCCCTTTCACCAGGACGGACTCAGTTTGTCTGAGCTAGGAGGGGATGAGGCAGAGGAAGGACCAGATACAGACATGGCTGACAGAGTCGTCAGAGATAATGGGAAGCGACCATTGGTGGACCCGTTGGAGGATGTTCGCGCCATGTTCAGGCAGGAGGAGGCAAGCAGCAGCAATAGGGGTCTGATGATGGAGGATGATGATACCATATCGGACTATGTGCCGTCACCTAGGTTCTCGTTTTAGAAGGGATATTAAGTTTAGGGGGAGTCAGAAGTTTGCAGAGTCAATGTTGAATAAATGCCCTGTCTGGGCTTATGTCAATTTACTTTTCAAAGTATGTGTCTAGAGTGCTTCGAGTCTCTATTTCAACAGTCAATAAAAATGGTCTCGGCTTGGAACTTTATTTTAGTTGAAATACTTGAGCACAATCTTCTTCAGAACAGTCTGCACGTAACTATGTGCTAGAGTGTGTGCAGGAACTCCATCAGCAGCTGAGAGGATCATTGACTGACTTAGGGGGAGATTGTTGACAAATCAAGCCAGTCAATAATCTTAAATCAAGAGAAAGAGACCGTGACCTTGGTGAAGCAGCATTTGGAAAGAAATATGAACGAAGGGAAAGCAGATTTGGAGAATCAGAAGGATTGATTGAGACAAGGGATTTCAGGAAGGAATTCAAAGGAGAAGACCTACCATACTTGGAAGACAACGGCTAACCAGCATGGAATACAAATAGCTCGCTCAGAATCAAGAACACAATTTTCTAGGAGATCAAATTACACAGGAAACGCTAGGGACATAGCAAGTGTGATTGATAGTGAAAAGAGGTTTTAGCATTGGTTCTGGAGTGAAACAGTGTTAGAGAGAAAGAGTGTTGGAAAACACAGAAGCTGGATAGCTTGGGATTGGGTTTAGTTGATAGAAATCTCGATCAACCATCCAGGATTGGTTTGGTTGATCTCGTGAGTGTATAACTGTCATAGATCAAGAGCAGCACATCTAGTGAATCGTTGGAAGTCACAAATCGTGATTTTCCAACCGTGGAGTAGTCAGTATTGGGATTCATTTTCTCCCAATACTGGAAACCACGTAAAAACTGAGCCCGTGTCTTTCAATTCAGCACTATATCGTTTGCTTGGGTGGCTATTCTCTGTTTTGCAGTGGCAGGGGAGTTCGAGTCTGTTCAAAGAAATCAGGTCGTTGCGAAGGAAGAAGAAGGCTCTGAACAGGAAAGGTAAAACGAGTCGTTTTACTAAGAGGTGAGTAATTCGCAGGCTTATAATTTGAGTGGGCCGGTGCAGTTGAGCCCAACACAAGAAAGTAATCCCTCGGCCTACAAACATATACTTGAGTTGATTTCCAAATTGTTTTCGATTCAACAATCGTCTCTTGTCACCTACACTTGATCTTCCCGAAAGGGAGTTTAGGGTTCGCAGGAACCAAATTACGAATCACGCAAAGGAGGCGTCTCGCGCTCGACGCCGTTAACAGTTTGTTCATTTCATTTAATGGTATGTCTTGTACCATGTAACGAAATTCTATAAGTTTCATCACAAAATATCTCAAAATAATTAACTCGAGTTATTAAGACATACGGATCTCTGACACATGTAAATGTAATTTTTAATGTAAAAGTACTTCATTATGACGTGCATGATATGTTAATAAATTTCATTATTAGACCTTCTTCGTCAATTTAAAAATGTCACATCTACGCTTCGTTTATACATAATAACGCACCTGTCATTTTTTAAATTAATAAGATCGGGATCGCCTAACAATATCACAGATTGAGAATTGAAACGAGCTTTACAATGCATGTGAGTCATCGAAGACATATGCCCAAGCAATTGGGAATAAAACTTTGGCATAATTTGATATATCTCTAGATTCACTTATAGTAGTTATAACTACTGGAAGTTAAACCTACCCTGAAAACAAAGCATAAACGCATTACATAAAGTTTGTACACGCAAAAACAAAAAGGAAATGGAATTGGGATCTGCATAAATATGGCATGTGGGTTAGTGGGTACGTGGCGGTGATGAGGAGGAATTATCATCTGATCCACCACTAGGGGTGTCAATTCGGGTCGGGTGCGGTTACTCGAACCGAAACCCGAAAAACCTGAAAATTCGAAACTAAAAACCACTAAAACTGAACCCGAACCCGATAATGACTTGCAGGTTCCGGTTACTTGAAACCCGAAAATTCCTTGTCGGGTTCGGGTTCGGTTAAAGCAAAACCGAAATCCGAAAACCCGAACGACTAAGAATACGGGTTGATTTCTATTCATTGGAGGTTTTTAGCCGGAACCCGAAAAATCGATAAGCAAAACCTAACCCGAAACTGAAAAACCTGAAACCCGAAACGAACCCGAACCCAAAAAACCGAAAATGTATATAATCGAGCCGGTTTCGGGTAAACCCAAAAAAACGAACCCGAATGGACACCCCTATCCACCACAGTGCAAATTGCATGGCCGTACGTAGGCCAGATGCTATAGCTGCTGACATAAATCGCAATGACGACTGACGAAGATGTCTCTGCAATCTGCATATCAATCGAATCCATGCAATCAGCAATTTTCCTGGATAAGACTTGCATTTTCGATCGGTAGGATCGCATATAAACATGATGATGATGAGCCCATGAGCCACAAAGAACCTGAACAATGGGAAAGATTCTTAATTTTCCTCCACATAGTCGGGGAAAAGCGTGGCTCAAGTGGTAAGACAACGAGATGTGTGATAGTTGGCGCGCGGTATGCTTTTGGATTCAGTTTTTTTTTTTTTGGTAATGTCTACTCTTTCGAATATAATAAATTGAATCAGATTCATGATGGTTGGCTACTACTAAGATAGTAGGGTTTTAACTCTAAGTCTATCTCTATAAAAAGTTTAGCTACGGTCATGTCGGAAGCAAGCAGTCAAGATGTAGTCGTTCAATAAAACGTCAGCCGTGAGCTCTTTCGAGCTCACCGTGGATTAATCTCGCGATCAATCAATCGATCGAGTATACCACGTAAAATCTCTTGTCTGATGATGTTTCATCTTCCGCATCATCAAATTCTACATACCTGTTGCAACTCGGGGCGTTTTAATTAATTTCTACCGCTTATCATTATTGAAAACAGTCAATCTTTTGGTATGGTTGTATAGACAACACTAACATGGTTGTACCCGTAAGATGGAATTCCCCGTTCCTATAAAATTTAAAGAGCCCCGAACATATGCATCGATAAAATTCACATTTGGGGAATCTTTTTAAGATATTGTTGGAAGAGATCTAGCTATATATAGCCAATTTAGGTAGATTGTTTCCCAGGAGAATATATGTTAGCTAGTTAGCACTTATCTTAGTGTATGTTTATGCACTAAGCTTGGTCGGCTAGCTAATTTTGTTCCTTAGGGTTGTTAGATATGTGGAAGAATCTAAGTGTCCAACTAATCACATTAATGTTCGATTCCAAGTGCCTAATATACTGTGTATCAGCTCCTAATTACCACATGATTGGTGATGGAATAACATACAATGAATGTGTCATAACTGGGCAGCCCATTAGTACGATATTGTCCGCTTTGGGCCAAGCCCGCACGGATTTACTTTTGGGTGTCCTCCCCAAAAGGCCTCGTACTAATGAGCTTGGTGGACACTAATATACAAGGGTTCCTTCCCTTGTATTTCTGATGTGGTACTTGGATTGTCTCATAACAATCCTCCCCTCAAGCCAAGGACCACGAACATCGTGTCCTCACCTCAGCGATTATCTTGATTCGCCAGATGCCTTCTATCGATGGGCTTCTCGATACAAGGACTTTACCAGACGCAGAACTCTCTTTGATCTGCTTCCCAAATGCGGAACTCTCTTTGATCCGCCAAGCCCAAACATGGATCTCTGCTGGATCCACCAAACCAGATGCAGATCTCAAACCCCGAGGTCACCGAGCGAGGGTTCACCGAATTGACGTCCACCGCCCCGGATCTGCCGAACCAGGCTCTGATACCACTTGTCATAACTGGGCAGCCCATTAGTACGATATTGTCCGCTTTGGGCCGAGCCCGCACGGTTTTACTCTTGGGTGTTCTCCCCAAAAGGCCTCGTACTAATGAGATTGGTGGACACTAATATACAAGGGTTCCTTCCCTTGTATAACCGATGTGGTACTTGGATTGTCCCATAACAGAATGATCACACAAGATGATGATGAAATAACTTGTTTTTAGATACCACCACAATTTTTTTTTATCTAAAAATCTCAATTTGAAATTTCAGGATGCACTTCCCCTCCTTTCCGCCTTTTCAATACCACTAGCCTATAGCCCGGCCCGTTGGCCGCATTTGTTTAAGGAAATGGAGTTACAATATCTATAATGATAGTGTCGAGAAATGAGTCTTGTTTTATATTATCATAAGATTGTTGCAATTTTGCAATTCGTTGAAGACGAACATGTAATATGAATGAACATTCATAATAAGTTAGAAATACATTTGAAGATTAGCTAATCACAATAAAAATACTTACATGAAATTTTACTAATCACAAATCTAATCTAGTTGAGTATTACGACAAATAACATGCAAGTCCAAAATAAGAAAACTCAATACATTGTCTCATTGTTCATGACATGGTACTCAATTCAACAAAGGCAAAAATAATTTCACCAACACAAGTTCACAATAACCAAATGCATCGTTCCAGGGACCGACTGTGACCATGACTTCAAATGTCTGTTCTCCAAGCATGTTCAGAAGGGCCATATAGTCAGCATTGACAACATCTGCATGACTGAATACAGATTCAACAATCGTTCGTAAATGTGATGACGGGAAGACGATGTCAACACCAATGAATTCGTCCTCAATTGTGAGGTGGACGAAATGGATTCTGGATGCAGGGGACCAGGACGTCGTCAAATTCGTTACACGTCCGGATAACAAAAAAGAGGTGCCCTGATGTAAACACAGAAACGAATATTGTCAAAGCAAATCGATAAAATGCAGCATGCCACAAAAGGCGTACGATTAAAAAGAAATTTATTTGTTTAGTTACCTGATTTTCGACATCCACTTGCAACATAATGAGATCGATGGTGTCGGCACGCTCACAAATTTCAAGAGCATCATCATATTGCAGATTAGCAATAAAACCATGGGGAAGCCTATATATTGGACTGTAAGTTTTGGCATTAAGTAGTGAAAAAGAATCGAAATTACATGATGTAGTATTTGTTGGATGCATGAGCAGTACTTACTGATTGAATTGAGGCAGGCCCGCCATATTGAATGCAATTCGCACGGTCAATGGAACCGAAGTGTTTTGTATGGGAAGTAGTAAACGAAAATTGTAACATGAGAGAAAGTGGTATCTCCATTATATAAAGGAGAGAAAGTGATTCTACACACGTGATTTACTTGGCCGCATGCAGTGGAGTACGTGTGTGTGTGGAAAGTGGGATAGTGGGGGAGTGGAGAAGGATTTGTGGCCTCGTGGGGGAGTGGAGAAAGTTGGCCATTTAGAGTTCAAGAGGCGGGTGTGTCACGTAACTCACGACCCACCTTTTTTTTCTTTTGAGGGAAACGACCCACCTTCTTAAAATCAAACATGCGCTTTCCTTTTATTTTGTTGCAATTAAAAATTCAAAAACAAAAGAAGGTAAGTACAGAATAAAATATAAAGAGAAGAAAATTCAGTTCACTTTTCCCAAAAAAGACCTAGCAGCCGCCCAAATTATGCTTTTTCAGTTTTAATAATTCTCACTTTATTCTTTTATCTCCAATAAGTGAAACAATAATTGTAAAAAAAATAATTGTTAAGTCTACCAAGTAAGTCAACACCGGTTTATGATCGGTTTTTAATATCGATTAACCACCGGTTATTTGATAAACCTTGAACCCTTTACTAATCCAGATCGATGTCCGGTTCCGTTTTAACAACATTGCTAATTGCGACTGTGTCAACAATTCTTGTCCAAAATTGCCTCTCAAAGTTGCTAATTATTATTTGATGCGCCAACCCGGCCGGCCCGGCCCACACCACCACTGATTAACATGAAATGAAAATCATAATGAATGTATTTAATAAAGAAATAATGGCTTGGAATGCGGCAGCCTTCACCTCATAGAAGATCCAAAAAAATCGGATACTGGGCAGTAGAGGAGGTGCGGGAGTGGGGGAGTGGAGAAGGATCCGCCCAAGGTAGTGTAGGTTGGCCTTTTTTTATGGGAATAGGTTGGCCATTTAGTTTCAACAAATCCGGTTGGGCATTCCCTCTCTAACTATATTTTATTTAACTGAACCATGCTTGGGTTGTTTTGTGGGCTGGGTTGTGGTGTTAATTTAGTTTAGTTCAGTTGCGACTATGGAAGTTCTTCTTCGTATTGCAATATAACGGTCACACTCGCATACCCTTCGGTAGAGTAAATTGAGGTACAATTAAATATAAAGTAGTGTGCATAAATCACATTTCATATAATTGGCTGTTAAAAACAGGAAAATAATTTGGACAAATTGAGAACTCAAGATTCAAATTGTAACGACCCGATAAATTTGACAGTCTTAGTCCTCAAATCGAATAAAACATAATACATCAATAAACCACTACTCAAAAATCTCAGTGAACACAATGTTCTGCATAGTCTTCACCGGTTTACCTTGAGAGTCACAGCTAAGAATCTTGAGTCCCCTTTCCGACGTAACTCGAGACATAGCAACATACAACTGTCCATGAGAAAATACTTGTCTTTGCAAGCAGATGCCAACGTGATTTAATGTTTGACCTTGACTCTTGTTAATTGTCATTGCATATGACAGTGCAATTGGATATTGCCTTCGAACCAGAGTGAAATTTAAGCTCTTGTAGTGGACCGATAGACTTAGGCGTGGTAAGAAAACTGTATCACCAACATGTGTCCCGGTCAAAATTTGGACCTCAATAAACCACTTACCTAATCTCTTAACGATCATCCGAGTTCCATTGCAAAGACCAGTACTCTGATCCAGATTTCGAAGCAGAATAACAGGGCACCCCAACTTTAATTTCAACTCATGTTCCGGAAAATTCCCAATCTTTAAAGAGTTCAAGAATTCAACTGTGTAGTCCCCTTCTTCAACATGCTGATTCTTGGCATCAATCTCTAGCGAATCCGAACTAAAATAAGAAACTTCTTCACCAGGAAATAGACCCAATACATAATTGTTAATGGCCGCAACAGTGTCATTATGAGGGGCTAAGATAGCTCGCTCAACCAAATAGGTTGACATATTTTCAGTGGAGAGTAACTGACCATATATTTCAGCAACAATATCAGGAATTGGATCACTGCGACGGGGAACACAAATGTGTAGAGGTATCGGGATAATTGATTCTCTAAAAATATTACTATTTGTACCATCACCAATTTCCAAAAGCCATTTGCTAAAATTTGAGATTGCTAACCTGGCCGATGCTTCAGAATGAGGCAATTTTAATCGCATGTTCTCGGTTAGCTTCAATACTGTCATAGACCGCCACAAATAAGATCTCTTTATGGAAGAATTAACAATTTCAGTTCGTGTACCCTTCGTGATGATAGGTAACGTCTGTCGGAAATCACCTCCAAACACAATAGTCATACCTCCAAAAGGCTTCAACTCAGAATCAACATGCTTAACTCGGAAAATATCCCTCAATGTCCTATCTAGGGCCTCTATGTTGTGTTTATGAGCCATCGGTGCCTCATCCCAGATAATAAGTGAAGCATTGAGAATCAATTCAGCTACCTCAGAACCTTGCTCAATATTGCAAGTTGATTTTGTATCACAATCCAGGGGAATGTGAAATCTTGAGTGTGCAGTTCTTCCATCGACCATGAGCAGTGCAGCAATACCAGATGAAGCAACACATAATACTATCCTCTTCTCAAATCTTAATTGCTCACTCAGTACCCCCAAATCCATCCACAAAAAAGCATTTACCCTCATTGGTATAAACAGAATGTAATACCATATCGTAAGCGATTTGTTGTTCTCCATTCAACGGTCTACTATGTCGATCCTCAGAACAGTCTAAGTCATCGGGTCCATAATTCATCTCCATATCTATCAGCCTGTTTACCGTATGTGAACGCAAACACTGATCGGGAACAGGCAACCCAGGGAAATCTGCTAATGACTTCGAAAATCTCTCCATCAATTTGTCAATATGAATAAGGCACAACTCCTTAATTTCATCCTCTGACAAATTCAACTGGGGTAAATTCAACTCTCTACGTCGTGAATGCAAAATGCCTTCACTTAGTAATTTCCAATTCTTTAACCAAAAAGAAGTCACATCAGCCACCTGACAATGAATAAGAATTGTGACAAAAAGTTTTCTAAGTTTATAACCAGAAGCCCAATGCGAAGCTTCTTGGACACAATCATTCCATTCAGAATCTCCTAATAACAGTCCCCGAGCATAACATGCTTTTTGGAATGTTTCATATACCACCCCATTCACTGTTATAATATCATCATAAGAACAACAACCCCTAACAACATGCAATAGCATTCGCAAATAGTATCGCTCCTTTGCGGATGGGTAGCAGTAATATAATCTAGCAATGCAGGTACCTTTTTTGCGCTGCTGCCACTTCTTGTATTTTTTATTCCATACATAATATTGTGGCATCTCTGCAAAGGTATATTTCCGTGCATCCATTGACTGAAGATTGAGATCCATCCATGCTAACAACATTGAGGTTTGGGAAGTGCTAGACTCAACCGCTTCCTCCACGTTAGAATCAACATTTGAATACGCTGTATTCTCACCAGGCAAATGACTGGACATACGCAGTACTGTTGGAGAGTGAGTGTATATATCAAACCTAAAAATTCTCCAACATGCTTCTCCCGATGTGATGTAACGGGCATCCATGAATGCCTTTATCTCATCGATTTGCACAACCGTAGTTCCACGATTCCGACCATCCATAGCCGAAGCTGTTTGTTGTGCAGCTACAGTGACCATTGCACGATCCTCGGGTTTGTTGATGTACTTAAACAAATATTTCACAGCCCTATAGAAACATCAAATAAAACCAAGTTGTAGATGTTAGATAGGGAAGTAGGAAAAAGTTGTATTACATTTTTTCTTAAATGTGACTTGTATTAAATAAGAAATCAAAGTACAGAGAACAAAAGGCAACAAATGGATCACAATAGCTTATCCAAGGGGCAAAAAAAAAATGAAGGAAAACACACCAAAAAATATTACAAAAATTACAGAGTTCCGGCAAGAAGTCACACCAATAAGATAACACTGGGTTTATAAAATAACTAAAAAAAAAGAGAAATCGCACAAATATTGGTTTGGTTTTTATTCATCTTTGGAAATTAAATCATAATTCATATGCATGCATAAAGTTAATAATGAGTGTAGCATATAAATATACATATAGCCTGTCATTAAGAATATGAGTTTGGTAATATAATAAAGGAAACAACAACGTCATATAGATAAATACGATTTACTTCAGCCATACCTTGTCTTGTTACAATATTCAATATTGATATGCGCTCCAAATCGTAGTAACAAATATCGATTGTAGGGTACAACCCATCGATTATCCAGATCAACGCCGCCACAGTTGAAAACTCTACCATTGTTCCGCCGACGATATTTAGCAAACCCAGTTTCATCAATAGTTGTTTGAGAAGAGTATTCCTTGGGGTAATGCTTACTACATTTCTCATTCTTCATGCACACATTATTATGACGTACTGTACCACACGGGCCATGCATCATTGAACTTGTGACAACTGCATACAGTTCAGGATCAAGATCAGGATCCGGAATTTCAGCACATATTATGGAATCAATAGCCGCAGGACCATGGAATTTATTCTCCGAGGCCAAAAAAAGCAATATGTGTGCATGAGGGAGACCCCGCTTTTGCCATTCAATTGCTTTGACATCTGTACAGCAAGATGCAAATAGTGGAAAAGGAATATTAGTTCAATGAGGTAAGAGAGTAATGGATGAACATTAATAGATAAATAACGAATGAATAAGCACACATACATGCATTGATTTTTCCAAATATTTGTTTCTCGCGAATCTCTAACATAAACTCATCAAGCTTGATTTTGAAAACTCTGGCGGTGATGTCAGCCCGGTCAGGATCTTTGCCACTGTACCTTCTAATCAAATCAACCATTAACTGTATCTCTGGCCAGTTAGAATTGCAAGTGAATGTTATAAACAAATCAGGATAACCAGTGTGTGAGGCAGCTAAAATAACTGGCTTCCCAGAAAGCTTGATATCACTATCCCCTCGCAAATAAGAATTCAACAAATCCTTGTAGTAGTGTCCTCTTAGCTTCGACTGATGGGTACGCATCTAGTCTAAGCGTTCAGCCTCAATTAACGCAAATGCATTCACCATATATTGTTGAAACAATTTACCAGATAATAACAGAGAATTCGACTCCTGGAGACGGGTTTGAAGACGATATGCATAGAAATCACACTGGGTTATCATTTTATCTCCAACACTGATATTAGAGCTACTGTGACTATAGCTAATGCAGGGATGCCACCCATCCTCGCCATATGGGAATAAAATTGGATATTGTAATGCCATCATACTTGGATGGTATACGCTAATCCTTTCCATTTCTGAACCCTTCTGTTGAACAATTATATCTGGAGAAAATGATTGCTCTCCTGTTTCATCTACAATCAATGCTGCAATCTCATTCGCAGAGGGCAAATCATATTCTCTACTATTAATTTCACGCTTAGCCAATAGTTTCAGTTGAAGCTCCTGGACACCAGAGTTTTGTATCCTATCTCGCGCAGAATGAAATGTACGTACCGGGATATTATTGTCATCAAACATATGCTGGAGGCCTTCAATAATACACTGGCGCAACGGATTCTTGGCAGGATCAGTGGAGTAAAAGTCCATACGATTCTGCACCTCGTTATCTGAATCGTGAATGTAAAGCTGTGCAAATTTCGGACTATCCCCATCACCAGGAACCAAACATCCTATTCGATGATAAATCTGACCACCGATTGAATATACATAAACTCCACGACCATCATTAATAGAGTGATTGACTTTACCTCCGAGAGAAATAAAGCAAAAACCCCCCATTATAGGCTCTGATGTTAGTACGAAAGTGACGCGCTAATGGTGTATCCCCTTCAAGTAGAGTTTTAAGAAATTCGGGCACATCTCTGCGGGGAGGCAATTTCACTTTACCATGTTTGCAACATAAAGGAAATGCAGGCAACACATCATTCCGTTTAGATAAAGTACTCTCGAACCGCCACATAACTGCTCCACAATGTTGACACGTCGATGAAGGTGGACCAATATGAAAAAATTCAACCAACGGAAGACCTAGTGAAATAGATAAGTAATATTAATAAATTTTTGTCACAGTAATTCATAAATTGAATGAGATTGAGAAACTGTGAAGCCAATTTAGGCGCGCTACAGTAAACACAATTATTAAAATAAATGTTCTCAAGGCAAGATAGATTGATATACCGCTCATTTTAAGTAAGAATAAGTCAAATTTCAGGAAACACCAAAGTTTGTTCATAACACACAAATTTGCCGTTGACACATCAACATCTAAAAACAATCCACTATTTGCATAAGGTGACATGAAGCGTACATCACTAAATTATATGCATGGCATAAATGGGTACATTATATGTTCTAAAACCAAAATAGAAAACAAAATATGTTGACCAGAACACAAAAACATATATCCAATGTACAAAAACTAAACCAAAATAGAGATGAACCATTTCATGTATAATAGTGGCCATTAGAATCCACATACTTTGATTGACTTCTGTAGGAAAGAAACTTCGGCCACATCTCTTTCTATGCAGATGAATACGTCGAAGTAATCGACTTTGCTTTTGTAATAGAAATCTAAACTCCGGCTCCAAAACTATGAACAACACCAAAACACATACGATATTAAAGAAATAAATAAAGATTCAACAATCTAGAATAGCCTAATTTGTAAGACTTGCTACAAAATTTAGCAAACAACAACCTTGGTGTTCAAAAGGCAAGCCCCTCCTATGAACCTTCTGTTTCAAAATATGATGTCTTCTCTTACGGGCGACTTGGGATAGTATTCGCCGAAGTTGAGAGAGTTGGAATTGTAAGGCAGCTTCTTCTGCAGAATTTAAATATAAAATCATGTATTACTCATTGAATAGATGAACTAATTAGAAAAATTAAAACACAGATAACACACCTCTCTCAAATGCTTCTTCCTCTTCAGCAGATAAAACACAGCGTTGGTACTGATCTTCAGGATGAATAAACACTGCTCGACGTTTCCCTAAACAAATGAGATTCAAGGGAAAATATTAATGTCAGTTTGCATTGAAGCAGTTGCGTGCTAAACCATGACACTCACATGGTACAGACGATCGATAAATCTGTGGTTGGGCAGATGGGATGACATTTGCACTATCCATATTAAATTCTCCAATAACCTGATGCAATCTGAAATAGAGGTCGTGGTAAATGATGCACCCGTTCCAGTAAATTTTGCAGCTACCATTCATATAAATTAATTAATTGTTACAACAGAAGTTGAACTCCTCACCAATTATAAATTGGTGCGAGTTAATGACACATACAACACACCACACAAACATAACAGTCGAAGAAAAATATAACTATATAAGGCATAATTTAAATTGATGAACAAAACACATATAACAGAATGGCTTCCAAGCTTTGGGATGCAAAGGAAGAGCGAGAATGACAACAATGTAATGGCCAACACAAATATAATTCAAAGGCATCCATAAAAACCATATCCAAAGAGAAGTTTGAAAAAGAAGCAAGCTGGCAATAAGAAAAGCACTATATGTGCTTACCAATTCTAGTTCTTCCAACTATACCAAGCTTATCCCTTCTTTCAATTATGCAGTTTACGCTTTGTACTTTTAGCACAAATGGATTCCAACTCTAATGTCACAATACAAATACAATGCAAATGAAGTTGAAGAACAATAAAACAAACTAATGGAGTGAGATAAAACTGTCCAATGATCTTATGTAATAACGGGAAAAAAGCCTGGTAGAACCAATACACTAACCAGTGGAGCATGCTTATCAATACCGCCTACTTTATACTTCTTTAGTGATTAGAGCTGAAAGTACATTATCAGATCATAGCCAGTCCCATTAGATTAATTAACCTAGAAACATATGAGAGAAAACCTTACTGATCAAGTTGGATTTCTACATTTACCTGCAACAGAGTTAACATCAGAAAGTAAATTGATTATGTCTCATACGTGGTGGCGGGTGGGGGACGGCGCGCCAAATTTCGTCGGCGATGGGCTGGTTCTGGACTGAAGTAGGCTGGGCCTCTGAAGTATGGGCTGGCGAGAGAAATGGATCCCCGAGGCCTTATGGTTTACGCTTTCCTTTTCCCCCGCCAGGCCAGCGGTAGTTTATAGCCGGCCCTTCGGTTTACTGACCCGGAAAACGACCCGGACGAAGTACCTGGCTGTCGCCGCCGAACGTCTCTTTCTTTCCTCATCTTTCTCTGCAGCCCGGAAAAACTCAGCTCAAAATCGGCAGTCGGCTGCTCTCTGGAAGATAGTCTAAGCAAAGTGGAATTTAAAGTAAGCAGCTTTGTTACTTTCAAGAGAAAGGGAAAAATCAAAAATCCCCTTTTGATCTCTAGAGAATCCAATCAACAGAATGAAGCGAGGAAGGTAAGAGAGAATAAAGAAAACGGAATGAACCAAAGGTAAGGGAGATGAATCTTTGCAACCGAATCCCTGGAAAAAAAAAACCCCAGAACCCGAATCCCTAAAACTTAAAAGCAGCGACAACAACAAACAGAAATCCGAAAGAGGAAGAATAACTTACGGCAAAACCAATACCGATCTAACGCTTAGAGAACGGAAATCAAAGGTAGATGCAAGCACATAAAAGAACCAGATGATTGAGTCAAGGTTTGGTTTTCTGAAGGCCAAGAAACTTATTCGAATGAGGTGAAAGAGTGGAAGGAAGGGAAATCGGAAATAAAAAATACAAATTAATACAAATTAAATGAGAACGTGAGCCTGGAAGGAGAAAAAAGTGGGTAGTGGAGAGTTTTTTGGTTCTGAAATCAGGCGGGACTCTTTTTTTCATCCCGCTTAACACTCTGCCACATCAGCTTCCTAAAATCACTCTATGGGCAGGAAATTTTGAATCGGGGTTGCAGTTTTACTTTTCAGCTATAAATTATACCGTTGATTGACAAGAACTCAAAAAGGGGCCGAAGGCATGAAGCATGATGGCATCGGGCAAATATCTTGTTGATTGGGCCGATGGCCCGCTTTTTCTGACCTCTTGCTAGAGTGGGCCAAAAGACCCAGACTGCTATCAAGTTTTGCCCGGAAATTTTTCCAGCTTTCATGCAGACTGCAGAGTGAACGCCAAGCGATCTATGGAAGAACAGAGGAATCTCTATTTGTTGAGTGGAAGCATTCGCTTACTTGGAGTGCTAGTCACCCTTTCCTTTCCAATAAGTTACAACAAACAAGATATATGATAATGATGCTTTATGGGATGTTGTAAGAATCAGTTGATCCCGATAACTCGAGTTGTTGAGAGATGTTTAATTGTTGATCATATACCACTAACTAACATACGTCTTCAAACGAGAATCTACTCAAATGAGTTTGAAGTTTGCACATATTTGAATGTCGTGTGCTTAGTAAATGAGGGTCATCGGGATTCGGAAGACCTCTCGGTCATATAAAACTCTGATACAATCATTTTAAAGTGAAAATATGTATAGTTCACCTCGTACTTTTGCAAGTTACATATATGATCAGTTCGATATTTTGAAGCAATCACACCTCTAGTTTTGAACCAACAGTATTGCTAATTAGAGATATAACACAACACATTAGGTGACTTCAGAGTTGTTCCAAATGAGGACTCGAATGTCTCCACAGCTAAGCTACAAGTACTGAAATTGAAATGTGAAGGAAATGGAGGATCGATCTGAACAGAATCACAAATTAGAGGGAAAGACTGCAAAGCAGCAATCTTTGTGGCGGGCACTCAATTATTTAGCCAGTCAGTGAGTCAAATCAGTCCGCGGGAAGAGTCCCCGCCGCGCCACCGGCCCACCACCGTTGAACTCCTCCCTCCTTAAGGCACGTGTGAATCGCCATTCCTTCCCGTGGTCCTTTCTTCCTCCCCCAAATCTCAAAATTCCAGTTGGTCCAATAAATTTCCTATAATCTACTTCACTCGCTCTCTTCTCTGCTTTCTCTCTTCCTCCAATGGCCGCTTCTTGCCCGACGGTGGCCGCTGCTCTCACTGCCGTCGCCGCCGGTGGGAGAAACGAAGCGGCTTCTTCTGGGTGCTTGCGTTTCTACTCCGCTGCGGAGGGAAGAAGCCGGAGATCGCGATTCATCACTCTCTGCTCCGACCCATTTTCTGACTCCTCGCCCTGTTCGACTTCGGGTCGAAATGCCCCGACCCGATTCATCAAGAGAGGCGAAATTGGGACCGGGTGGGCTTCTTCCTCGGTCGAGGAGGAGGCGTCGGCGGAGAATCCCGCCGGCAATGAGGGAGGCGGTGGTGCTGGCTCGATCTCCGGCATCCAAAAGCGGCCTTTGTGGAGGAAGATTCGGTTTCGCTCCAGGAAGTTGAGGAGCGTTCTGCTGCTCAATGTCGTCGCTGTTGTTTACGGTATTGTTTCTATTTCTGCTATGACTAGGCTTTTGTAAAATGAGACGAACTCTAGGAACTGAATTAATGGGTTGTTTTCTTTCTGAATCGCAATCAGAGTGTTTGGGGGTCTTTGGTTCACTTTTGCTGATGCTGTTGAGAGTAACTCGACTTGCTGGAATTGGGGAAGAAATTTGTGAATTGAATGAATAATTCGTACCAAAGTTTAGTTCTCTCTAGCTGATTAAGGCAAATGATAACCCATTGAATTGTTCTTTGGCATTTACAGCAAGCGATATCTGTATGGTGAAAGCAGTAGAGGCAACAACTGATCCAGCTGCCTTCGCAGCAGTACGATTCCTGGTGTCTGCAATCCCATTTGTGCCTTGCTTGCTTCAATCAAAAGGCGACAGTCATACCCGAAACGCAGGATTCGAGCTCGGATTATGGGCTAGTTTGGGTTACCTTATTGAAGCAGTTGGTCTACTCACTGCTGATGCTAGCCGAGCATCATTCATCTCCTTGTTCACTGTAAGCTCTTTGCCTACAACGGTCGAAAACACGACTAACTGGTCATTGCACTAAACAATATCTGCTGTGTGGGTGAACAGGTTATTGCTGTGCCATTGCTTGATGGCATGTTAGGAGGGATAGTTCCAGCTCGTACCTGGTTCGGAGTTCTGATGTCTGCAATTGGTGTTGCCATGTTGGAAAGCAGTGGGTCTCCGCCTAATGTAGGGTTATCAATCGAGCTTACTGCACACCGTTTGTAAGAAGTAATTAGAAGCTTGTTCTGGAAGTAACGTGGGGTGTTTGCAGGTTGGAGATCTATTGAGCTTTCTGAGTGCTTTATTTTTTGGGATTCATATGCTACGAACTGAGCATTTCTCGAGGAAGATGAAGAAAGAAGACTTTTTGCCACTTCTTGGATATGAGGTATGCTGAGCTCCATCGTCGCTTACAAGATTGAGCTTTGGGGTTTCTAGAGATGTTGAATGAGAATCGGTCGGTTTTGATATCTAGGTATGTGTTGTGGCCATGTCATCCACGATTTGGGTCGTGATTGGAGGATTGCTCGACGGAAACCGAGAGCTTAGCCAATCCTCTTGGAGCTGGTTGATGATGTGGGATTGGGTTGTTTCATTTCCATGGATGCCAGCTCTTTATACCGGTGTATTCTCAACTGGATTATGTTTATGGGCTGAGGTAATCATGGTTCTCGTAACCTGCACAACAGTCTTGTTTTCATGAATCATAACAAGAAGAAGCTCCTTCTATGCAGATGGCTGCAATGCGTAGTGTCTCAGCAACTGAAACAGCAGTAATCTACGGGCTAGAGCCCCTGTGGGGAGCTGGTTTTGCTTGGTTCTTGCTCGGGGAGAGGTGGGGAACTGCAGGATGGATTGGTGCTGCTCTTGTTCTTGGTAAGTGAATGTATAGCTAAACTGCTATTAGAAGAAACATCAAGTTCAAGTACATAAGATAACTGATACATGCCTTCTGGTAGGTGGAAGCTTGGTGGTGCAGATACTCGGAAATGTGAGTGAATACATCAAGAGTGAATCGAAGGAGAAGAAAGTCGGTCTGGTTTTGGTTCCTGAAAAGCAGAGAAACCTCTCAGCTACACCTATACTTGTCAGGTCGAAGAAGGATGCTACTGATTTGTTGAAGTGAATAAGAAACTCTAGCTGCTACCAACTATATAATAGCATAATATAAGCATCCATTGAAGCAGCTGCAAGAGAAGAACGTATGAGAATCAGAATCCAAAAGAAGATATGAGTACATTCAGATCAGAACTGTATTGCATCATCTGCCTGCACCTCAGACGAAAAGAAAGACAGGAGTTTGGAAGTGCAGACCATCTTCAAATACTCGAGCTGTGGTTTGTAATGAGAAGTGTCTGGTAAGAGGCTATCCATCCTTAACTCTCATAGTGTTCGAGCAGTAACCTGAACTCTGCAATATACATAGGGAAGATAGTCAGTGTACAGATTATTGTAAGTAAATGCATAAAGAAGTGTTCTTTTCTTTGTAACATGAGAAGATGAGTAGATATTTCTATATGTGATAATATATTCTGCCTCCCATTGATCCCATCTGAGAGTTCACAAACTTTCATTACATCCTCTAATCTGATTGTCTCTGTAAATTTCTCTCTCCTAATACAAGAAAGAAACTAGCTAGGAAGAGGAGGTTCTCTTTTGTCTTTGATGGTCCCAGAGCCCCCCATAAAAGGAGGAGGCAAAGCAACCTGCTTTCAAGTTAATGGTGCTGTCATAATGAGCAGATTAAGAGATCAAATCTCTCAATTGAAAAGGAAAAAGTACATTACAGCATCCATTTTTTTATTATGGGGTGAAGAATAAACTGATTTCCATTTGTAAGGAGACACACCCAGCTTTTTGCAGTGGGCTTTTTAACATATTGGGAAGTTGTTAATTGTCCCATGATTATAATATTATGTAACTCTATGTTTAGAAGCTCAGTTCACATGGGGCTGGCTTGGTATTAGTCTATTAGATATCAAATATGGTAGTGACCAGTGGGAAAGTAAAAACATCTGCCACCAACTTATGGTGAATTACATAAATAACTGCTACCATTTGAGTTACCTCCTCATTTATTTCGACTATCGGATCAAGTTTCGAGTTCAAATTGCTCATAAATTATTAACTCATTTATTTCGACTATTCATGTATCTATTTATCTGAATTCTTAACAAAAAAGAATGCTCTCAAATTAGCAATCAAGTAGGTAGGGTAAAAGAGATTCAAATAGTTGGTTGCATAAGACCAAATTTAGTGAAGGATCAAAAGTCCAAATATTTGAAACTAATGCACTTTAGTGGGATTCTAAAAGTCCAAATATTTGGATTGGTCCAAATTCTGGTTCCAAATTTGGACCACAAGAAGACAAAGAATTCTAAAATTGTGGGATCCAAAATGCAAGGGACGAGTGATGGGCGCCAATAAGGGAGATGAGATGCACTCATAGCCGGTGTAGGTTTCTTCTTGTCCGTGGCTGCCGCTGCCGTCCATGCATGGGTTTAATTGGTAGCTCTCTTAATTTGTAAATTTTTTAATTACCTCTTCGTTCTCACTTCACCATATAAAAACAAAAACCTTAAACCTATTTAATTTGTACATGTTAATTGAACAAGAATGATTGTATTTTAGTTAATTAGGGATAAGCAATAATTAACAAAAATCGTGCTAATTAAGATGGGTATGAAATTTAATGATGAAATTTTTATGTTCAAATTATAAAAAAATATATCGAAATGTTCGTCTTAATAAATTATTAGTACCTATCTAAAAATAATGAACAAATTTTGTAATTAGAATGATAAAATCTACATTAAACCGAAATATGAGTTAATGCCAAATTCTGAAATTTTGAACTTTTGGAACTATGCACTAATGCAAAAACACTTTTGGAGGGGCTAGAATTAGAATTATAGCCCCAAATTTTGGAACTTTAGGACCATGCACTAAAGATGGTCTAATGGATTCAGAATCACGTATTCAGTAGATTAGGATTTGGTATGAGCTAAATTGTTATTCACTTTGATTAGTTAACGTCTATGTGATCGTGAACTCATCTTACCTACTGATTCAATGTTAGGTATTGCTAATTTGGGACAATCCACGAGGAAAACCTGATGAACACCAACAAACTGACTTTTATGTTATCTGAAACATCAATGACAAGTATGCTAAATACTTAAACTTAAGTCACTGATTTGTGAATGGCCCCAAAACCCTTCCTTTCTTCCATTTTAAAAAAGCCTACACAAATGCAACAACAAAAAAAAGCCTACACAATCCCTGGTGGTGGGCTGGTGGCCACCTTTTTATGGGTTTCTTCTCTTTTGTTTTTATATCATTTGTTTATATTTATATATCTCTCTCACTCAATCTACTGAAACTAGATCAAACCCCAATCTCATCTCCACAGTCACTTTTTTAACCTTTTTATATCTATGGCAGTTTTTGCAGAGTGAGAGCAGCAGCAGAGGGAAATAAAAACCAAAAGAACTCCCTTCTTTTCTTTCCCCTCCTCTAGTTTTACTTTTTCTTTATGCTCTCTTCTAAGTTTCTTTAGTAGAAGTCAGATTGCGACTGTGGGAAGAAGAAGATCAGAGTGAGACCCTTAACAATGACAGTTTAGCCTCTTTTAGTGACTTAAGTACTGATTAGTGGGCAATTAGTACACATAGCCCAAATGTGAGTTCAAAGTCTTACACAAGATAAGTATCAACTTGGTCTATAAAGGGATTAAATTTTTCTTAATCCTTTCTTTTATCTCTTGCTTAGAATAAGATTTTACTTTGTTTTTTTGAAAATGGACCAAATTACTATGATATCACTGGTTTTAATAATTATATTATATAGTGCTGCTGTAAGCAAGTAAGCAAAGTCCATAAATAAACCACCCTTACACATATCCCCTTTCCTCTCTCTTTCTCTTCTGCCTTTCTCTCTCTTTCTCCACTTCCATATCTCCATTGCTTCTCCGAGGAGCTCAAAGTTTGAAGCTTTTCCAAGCAGCAAACAGCTGCTGCAACAGAGAGCTCTTTTGGTGGCCTCTCCACCATTCACACATCAACAAGGTACAAACTTTGATCCTCCTTTTTGGCACCTCTTCCCCCCTCCTCCTCCTCTTGCCTCACAATTCTGTGTTTGTAAGAACTGTAAAGATTGCACCTTTTCTCTGCATTTCTGCAGCATTTCAAGATCTGGGTTTTACTCAAAACATGGGGTTTTAGCATATTCAAAGCTCAAATCTTTCTCAAAACTGTTGCCTAGATTGAAACAATGGAGGCATAATTACTCCCAGATTCATTAGGCTCCTTTTCATTGTTCCTACTTCTTGTTTCTGTTCCTCATTGTTCATTGCTAATCTTGCAGGGTTTTGAGGAGGAGGAAGACCCATTTGACTTAAACCCAGTTCTGCAATTTAGGGGTTTTAGTGAGGGAAGTAAAAGAAATGTGGACCGTTTGATCAAAGTGGGATGGATTGGTGAAAAAAAGAAGATCATCATCATCAATTCATCACTAGTCAAAATCACCTTCCTTCTTCTTTGTCTTGGGTTTGGGAGCCCTACTTTTCTCATCAGGTACCACTCCCTCACTCATTTCATCTCATTTCTTCTTCTTTTTTTAACTTTTTACTTTCAATTTCAAAAGTGTGTCCAATTTCGCTTTTCCCCTGGCTTTTTCCTCAGACATTCTGTCTCTTGCTGTTTCTCTCTTGCTCCCTTTCTTTCCCTTTCCCTTTTTCTTTTCCTCTTATATCAAGGATTACATATTTACATTACAGTACTGCAAGTCTGCAACAATGCAACATATATATATATATATATATATGCTTGGATGTTGCACCCTGCCCTTATCACCGTACACGTGTCCAAACATACATCGTTGATCGACCCCCACCATGTCTCATTCCATTCCAAAGCCCGACCATCCCGGATTCCTATGTTGGGCTTATATGCATTGCATGCAATCTTTGTCTTTGAACATTGGGGAAGGAGGTGTTTGTTTGTGTTTTCAAGTCAATTTTTTATTCTTTTTAAGTTTAATAAGTTTATTTGTTTTCTTGTCTAGTTTTATGCTGTAAAAGTGTAATCTTTTTGTTTGAATTGGGACGATGTGACTACACACAAACATAGAGTAAAGACTTGTAGTCAGAATTACTATCATAAATCCATTTGGATTAACTATAGGTCACTTAAAGATCAATATTTTGGGAAGGGTGAGATCAAAGTTTTCAACTTTCATGAAAACCAATCTCAGATCAGGTCTTGAATTGCCCTGAAATGTGGGGGGTGGTTGAATTTTGAGAGGGTTTTGGGCTATTGGAGGTGGTTGCTTGCAGTTTACTAAGCTTAGGTCCTAGCCCTCATTAGGGTTTTGGAAGTTCTGAACTTTTGTTTGGCCCAAAACAAGTGTAGGAAGGGGAAAGGAACAGTTTGCAGAACTATGTATCTAGCAAACTGCAGGAGCCAACAGCCCTAGAAAAGAGGGGCATTCACATTCACCATAAGGTTCTGCAGAACTTTCTGCCCTTAACATGGATACCAAAAACCCGGGGGACTTTGCTTTTCTCCCACCCAATTGCAACTTGCAAGTGGGAATGCCCTTTTAAGGGGTGCCCTTAATTTCCAACAGGTAGGGCAATGAACCATTTTTTCCAAATAGTCCTAAGCTAGAAAATCTGTTATTAGGTTAAAGAAATAGAGGTAGTAGGTACTTTGTTATAAGGCTATTAGCTGTTTGCATGTTCTTTTTTATCTTTTTGGTGGCTGTCTCGAGAAAAGCTTTAGGCTTTGACTCTAGTACAAGACCTTGTTTCCTTGGGACAAGAGATGAGTCAGGATCAATTAAAATTAAGAAATAATAATAATTTGTAAGACATTTGTTCCAGGCTGGAAACACATTTGGTTTGAACAAAAGGATAAGGGTTTGATTTCCGATACGCGACCGACTGAATTCATACGAATTATATCGTACGAGTTTAATAATAGAATAGTTGTCGAACTACATCAATTCGATTTCAATACGTGGTTGAATGAATACGACCGGTATAGTGGGGGGTTCACAAGGACCACTTCTTTCTTGCTAGAATTAGGGTTTGGAGTAAAGAGGGGAAGAAAGAAGCATGAGGGCATAGTGAGGATTTGGTGGGCCAAAAAGGTTAGGGGAGCCAGAGGGAGAAAATGGAAATGTGGGCACCGGACAGAGAGGTTGCTTGTGCAAATCTAGCTAATCAGGGCCTTCTGCTACAATTGAAAGAGTGTTATTATAAAGTTCAGAAAAACCATAGTAAGTTTGTTTATAAGGTAAATATGTTTAAAAATCCAGACCCAGGGTTCGACCCGACTACGACATCACCAAGGTGGTGACCCGGAGGATGTTTCTCGTCATGACAAAAATCCAGATCAAATTTCCTTTTGGCTTGGCTTGATTATGTTTTGAGCAACTCAAGTTAATAATAATTCAGCAAGCTGATAAACATGACCAAATAATAGTAAACATATGTGTAAATGAGATAAGATAGAGGCCCAACTTTGGAAATCTGTCACAATCCCATTTAACATAAATCAAATGTACCTTCTTCTTCTCTCTAGCTACTTGCTTTTGTTTTCCTTTCACCACTCTTGCCTTTCCTTATTTATTGCTTTGCTTCACCAATCCTCTCTTTCCCTCCTTTGGTCTCTTCTCCCCTACTCTCAATTTTCCCCCCTCACTCACTTTCCATTTTGGCTATGTGACAAAAGAGAAGAAGGAAACCCATCAACAAAAGCAAGAAGAAGGAAAGGAGAAAAAAATCATGTAGACACTCACAATCATTCATTCACACCATTATTTCTCCCTCTCTTGATCTCACATGTGTCTCTTTGCATCACCAAAAACCTCTACACGATGAGTTGGGTTCGAGTCTTCGTGACTATCTCATATGCTTCTTCCCTCCCTTTCCCTTTCCCTTTCCCTTTCCCTCTTCTTCTTCTTCTCCTTCTCGAATGTCTCTTATATGCACTAACGAAAGCTTTCGAGAATAATTTGGATTTCGAGAATTTCTGACTTTTTTGTTTGCATCTTTGTAGCTCCTCCTGATCGTGGTGATTCCTCTTCGACCGAATGGGCGATATGGTGATGAAGAGGAAGAGGAAGTTATCCAAAGAACATGGCTACGGAGGATTTCGAGTTGAGAAGAAGCTTCTCCTTCTTCTTCTCCTTGTTGTGGTTGCTTGAGCTTTTGGTGATAATGGATTTTGGGGGGAAGGAGGAGGTGAGAATTTGAAGGGTGGGTGGTGGGGGTGATATTGGCTGGACGGCTCAATCTCTTTTCAAACATTTTACTTATTTACTGTTGTTCACATTATTATGTTTTCACATAGTAGAAAAGGAAGAAAGTTCTCTCTTTTTTTTCACCTTGGGTTATTATTGGTTCTTGGGGCTCTCTCTCTCTCTCACAACATGATATGTTAATATTGGAATAGTGGTTTACAAGTTTGAAACTGTCCATTCCCCATATGTATCTATCTCTTTCCTTTCCAAGCTTTCTTTATGTTACTTTTCTATGTTGTTGGTTTTGTGAAAAGCTTGAAAGGGAATTGTGGCTTACCACTGCCTCAAGCAAACTCTGTATTTGCATAGTTTGCGAAGTGGTAGTTAAGCAAACTCAAAGCCATCTTCGAGTTATTGAAATAGACCGGTGTTGACTGTAAATGAAAGTGGGTTTTTGTAGGTTTCTTTGTTAAATATGTTGTAAGGTGAATCTGCCTTTAGTTGATTATTTGGAGCCTTCAGAAAATATCTAAGTCAGGTTATGTCTTTCGAGTTTTGAATGAAGTGAGAAGTTAAAAAATAAGGGAGTGATAATGTCTTGAGATGGTGCATAATCGATTCCTCTCTATAATTTGACTTCGTACCATCGAAACAGAACTTTCGTTTAACAAAATGTACATATGTGTCAAAACTCTATGATCTTAGTTTTGTGGTGATAATCACTATCGATTGAACATTATTAAAAAACACAAATACAACACGAAGTTCATATTTCAAACGAGGATGGCCGAGTTTTCAAATTAATTGAGCGATATAACTATCACCACCGGCAACAATTTGGGCCGACTCATGGGTTGACACCCCCCACTCGACCTAACAAGTCGGAATTGAATGCAGGGGAAGGTTGGTCAGTGTCTTGGTTCAGTCTCATTTACTAGTTTTTGAACTACTACTACTTTACTATCATCACATTATTTCCATCTGTTACACCTTGGGAAATGAAGTGTACAACAAAACTCATTCAAGCCCACGTGGCCAAATGTTCAAACCAATACTATCACTCTTATCAGTAACCCAAACAAGCAAAAACATAGTACTCTGCTCTGCAGTAAAAATTTGCTTACTGCATGCAATTTTTTACTACAAATGATTGACCTCGATCAAGGTTGTCAACCCGCGGGTCGATTCCCGGGTTGACCCATTTTGACTCTGACTCGATAAGAAAAACGGGTCGCACGCATCCGCCGGGTCGACCGCTACAAGGTATCGGGTTGAAGGTCAAATTGTGTCATTTTTTTCTTTGGTTTGTGAAATGCGCATATTTTCCGATTTTTCTTTTCGCCTAACTCAATCTTTGGAATCCTTAGTCGAACATTTGAATATTGATGTCATATAAGTGTGTGTGAATTTTCGCTCAATGTTGGATTTAAGTACGGTATGTTACTTTGGTGTAATGTTATATGGTATTACTCATATGTTAGATGACATTTGATATAATTTATCAGGATAAGTACAATATAATGACTCATTTCATATTTCCGAGCTGGAAGGGCTAAAATGGGTGACCTGTTAACCCTTGACCCACTAGCTCGACCGGGTTCAGGTCAACCCGCAGGTTGACAACCTTGCTCTCGATCGATCCCTCCCTCCTCTTTCCTTCTCACCCTTTCGCAATTAATTACTGCCCCTGCTGGTCCAGATCAGTTGTGAGGACAGTAAAAAATCCATGGCATAGATATGCTTCACTTAATACATGATTTCATCTGGGTCAGACTGGGGACCCTTGAATGAGGATTGGACTGCTGGTTTAAGGACCACCCCTCCCCCATAGTTTGATGGCCAAGGGCACTCACTGTCCAAGGTCCTACAATATTTATATGTTTTCTTTGCTTTGTATATTGGATAGAAATGTGCATGGTGGGTTGAAAAAAATCTTTGAATCCCAGATTTGAGAGTTACTATTTCTTGTACATCTCTGATAGATAGGGACTCAAATCTAATGCTTACATGATACACAACATTAGATCTCTCGATAATACGAATTTATCAGTATTCCTAAATGATGTCATACCGAAGATTGAATTTGGAAGAGTTGCATTTTTTTTTTCTGATTCTTTATCGTTGCTTGTAAATGAACAACACTTTGAATCAGGATAATCAATCCAATGAATGAATGGTAAAAATCGGTACGCGTAGATTATCGTGTCTTTTTTTTACATGAATCAACTGAGAGATAAATAATTTTATATATAACTCTCGACATTTCCTTCTCATTTTGGTTATTATTATTATGCTGGTATATGGCTGGGTTCATGGAAATGTCACGTCATTGATCATCCTACTGCAGACTCCTTTTTTCACTTGTTTTTTTTTTTTTTTTTTTTTGTTACTGTGCATGTGAAGAAGGGAAACAAGAGGGGCAATGGAGGAGAGGCTTCTTTTTTTACTGTGTTCTTGTTTGGTGGCCAAATTCCAGTTTGGCCACTCTCCCTCTCTCAACGTGAAAGAAGAACAGAAGGAAAAGGAAATGCAGAGCAGTGGGTTTCCAGGAAAAGAGGGCATAAGACTTCGCATTCAAAAGAACACATCAGATGATTCATGAATTCATGTTTTCTTCGTGGACAATAATTAGACGATTTCGCCTCGTATCATGCCTTACATATTCATGATTCTACCATGCCAGATTACCTTAGCTTTTAGTCTTCACCAATTCGATCCGGCGTTGTTCATATCAGAATCGTTTCGCAACAAGCATCATAACATTGTTGCGCGAGTCCTGGTAAGACTAGAGCCTACCCTCTTACTCATCAGTCAGCTCAATACCCCCAGCTAGCCACCTCTTGTTCATGAGACCAATGACCCAACCCTTTAGACTTTCATCACAGCACCTAGTGACCCGATGATCGAAGCTTCGATCAAATCATTCTCTGTGACTTCGTTTTCCATTCACAACTCTAACCTAATCATCAGGTCCATGCCCCTATCCCAATGTAACTTGAAATCCCAGAAGTTGTTAGCCTGATAGCCTCATACCATGATGCCCTGTAACACTTGCAATATATCAAAAGTGATACACCCAACTTCTACAGTCACAGACAGACAGTTGATGCATTCATACTGTCATGCAGCAAGACAATGGACACACAATTCTTCCTCCATAGAGAAAATAGCAGATGAAACATGCCAATTTTTTATATGGTAATTCATACAAAACTTTTGCTGTTAAGGAAGGGACTTACTGATGCAGTCATGAACCGAAAACTGCGATAAACTTAATCACTTGCAAGTACAAATCCTAACTAAGTTCAAGTTGACTATCTAGGGACTAATTCTAAGTAGAAAACTGCAAGTAAAGCTCTGGATGTGGCCACAGAACTGACTCACCTCCACCATTAACGCTCGATCTGGATTGTGACATGGCTGATGTTGTATTCCCTCTTGATGTAGTTGATAACATTGTCCAGCACCGTGTCAGCATTTGCTTCAGGCCTGATTTTGACATGACAAGCCAAGAGGATCTTCCCAACCGTGATGGCCCATATGTGCAGCTCATGGATGGCCACCACTTCTTCCATCTCAAGAATCCCCTTCTCCAGCTTCGTCGCATCGACCTCCCTCGGCGTGCTCTCCATCAAGACTTCGAGAACGCTCCTCAACATCTTGATCGTCGTGGCCATGACTATAACCGAGAAGACCAGGGTGCATATCAGATCGACTATCTTCCATTCAGGCTTGTACCATATCACTGCTCCTCCAATCATTACTCCTATGCTCTGGATGGAGTCCCCAAGGACGTGAAGATAAGCTCCCTCAACATTAATGTTCTTTTTCTTCTGCTTCTTCTTCTCCTCCCCCTTTACCCTCTTGTCCAGCAATGGCTGCTGCTTCGCACTCTCTTCATCAACATGATGTTGATGCCCTTCTTCTAAATGATCATGATGGCCCTCCTCATGACTGTGATGGTGTCCATGATCGTGCTCGTGATCATGCCCGTGATCGTGATCATGACCATGTCCATGTCCATGACCGTGATCATGACCATGTCCATGTCCATGACCGTGATCATGACCGAGCAAAAACGCCATGATAATATTCACCACCAGACCAAATGCTGCAACCAAGAACATGAGGAACCCATCCACCTCCCCCGTGTTGTAAACGAGCCTAACAATCGCTTCGTACACGATAATCCCAGTGAGCAGCCATATGATCTGCATCGACACCAGCGCGCCAAGAATCTCGATCCTGAAAAACCCATACGACTGCCGCGGAGTGGCTTCCCAGCTAGCAGCCCACAGGGAGAACAACGAGATGGCAAATGCCGCCACGTCCGAGAGCAGATGCGCCGCATCGGTCAGTATAGCCAAACTGTTCGCCTTGATCCCTCCGGCCACCTCAACGGCCATGAAAATCACACAGAACCCAACCGCCATCAGCAGCTTCCGCATCGAAGCCGCCCGCTCCCTGGCCTCCTCGGAATTGCTACTCAGTGCATCCGAGAAACCACAAGGCGCCTCTGCACATATCTTGCTGTATCCTCCCCCTCCAACGTTACCGCTACTACCTGGAAGGTGTGCATCGATTTCGATTACCTGTCTCCGCCTCGGACTCTGGTCTTCCATCTGTGAAAAAATTTAGCGGGCAGCAGGGAAATCAATAACCCACAAATCTCCGATGAAAACCCACAAATCTCCTATCAAAATCTCATGCTAATAGCATCCATGAATTGACTCCGGAGAGGGAGAAATCCCAAACGATAAAGAAGGAAAGAAAGATCTTACTTACAATACTCGACTGAAGATTGGATGGAGAAACCGGAGAGGGGATTCTTGATGGTAACGCGAAACTGAGAGAGCCGAACGGCGAGAAGAAGATAATGGTTGGGGAATTGAGAGGCGATTTATAAGGGTTTTGGGAGTTGGCAGAGAAAGGGGAAGAGAGGGGGGGAAACAGAGTTTTATAATAATAGAAGGCGGAAGGAAATAGGAAAAACAAGTAGGAAGTTTTAGATGATCATATCTCCTCCTGGTATAGTGTAGTTTGTGAATTGTGAGGCTATGAAGAAAACAAGGGCAACTGATTTTGGTGGTTATCGAATTGATATTTGAATCGACCAAATTGGATCAAATGTATTTTTTATTTATTTTGCTTTCGAAATTATTATAAAAATGCGAAATTAAATTGGAATTGAAGTTAGTTAAATAACATGAATACTAGCCTATTACCCGGCCTGTTGGCCGGATTAGTGTATGTTGCCCACTTGTGGAATAGGAAAAAAAGCAAGTGAGAGAAGAAGGAATTGGGATTCCACTTGCTTAGGACCGACCCACTAATCCGATTCTTCCCGACCCGCCCCAACCTAAAGGGTCAGAAAGAGTCAATAAGAAAATACGAACGGAGAGGATTAGTCATATATCTTGAATCTTCATAAGTGGGTCAAACAGGATCAAGGTTGGGTGAGGGGAATTTTTAGCGCTAAGCAGAGTTCTGGTTGAATAACTTTACTTAGGCCTAGAAATTGGTGCTAATGCAGACTGCAGTTTTTATTATACCATCATCAATCATCATTGAATTAGTCCTGGGCATCCCTCCCCGTTGTCGGTCTGAATTCTAATGATGGCTTCGTTCCTTGCACCAGCCATATCGGCGAGTTGTCATCTCGAGCATGATTTGCCTATGTACAAATGATACAATTAGAGTATGAAACTGAATTCAAAGAAAGGAAAAGAGAATTCTATCACATGACAATAAATACACGCATAATAGTGAAGCTAAGTGAAAGTCATTACTCGCAAATCAATTCTCAAAAATTACAGACTAAACAATGGCTAGAATGGCACTGAAACTACCAAGAATCATGGACGAAACAACTTGTCAAATTAAATAATCCTTATACTCAAAACTACCTTCTAACTTGAAATAGGACATGATCACAGTTCATAGCTCTCTTCTCACTATGAATTGGTTGCAGCTCGTCCTTATCACTGCCTCCCAAGCTCAATTCCAACAGAATAGAGACAGTTATGTAAGATAACCATATCCTTACTGATCATAATTCCTTTCTTCACTCCATTTTTGTCAGAGAAAAGAGTTAACCCCCTCTCCTGCATTTCCCTTTCCCCCCTCTCTTCTCCCTCTTCTTCACAAACCGATCCCTAAACCAGCAACAACAACACAAAAATAGCCTTCGCCTCTGCCATCTCCATCTACTGAACGCGTTGGTGGCAAGACAGGACTGCAGAAGCAAAATTTTCTAAAATCAAACTAAATTTTTTGAAGGAGACCTAACCACGAAAAAAGAGTAAAGCAACAATGCTAATAGTTCAGATGGTTGGTTTTGATGTTATACATTGCTTTTGTTCTGGTCTCCAGTATATCAACTGCACGATTTAGAAGCAAGTCCTCCTGTTTGTGTCAAACGAAAACATTCATGGGTTCTTAACTCCCCTGTTAGTGTAAAAGCAGCAGCAGCGGCAAAGAAGTTTGACAACACAGCAAGCACCCAGGCAAAATGATACAATGCAGTAGGTGATATGTGTCTCGAAGGTTTTGAGTTACTAAAGTTCATGTTAAAAATAAACATGAATTAAAATGGATTATTCTATTAAGCAAACATCCCCTCTAATCATACAAAGATCATATATCCAATTCACAAACAATTAAGCCATAAAAAATATCATACATCCACCACCTTTGATTGCCTAAATTTGGTTTTTCGCAAAGTTATGGACTCTTAAGGGTAACGTTCATGGGTAGTCTGTTTCATAACTCTAGAGAGCACAGTAAGCAGCCACCAGCCAGACACAGTGCGGTAGCCGAATATGATTCTCAATTCACAATTTCTCACCACCGGAAGTAAGAACGGACCATAATAAGCGTAACATTCATGGGTGGTCTGTTTCATAGCACTACCACACAATTTGTTAAAAAAGAAAGAAAGGTATTTAGCACCACGGTGGAACAACTTTTACAGGCCAACAACGACAACATGCTGCAACCACCAGAACTGGTATCACAACTCATAGGGAAAATCAAAAGAGCAATCGTCAAGCACATACACCATCACAAAAGTCACGGAACCTGATTCACAAAGCATTCAAACATTTTAGGATATTTCTGCAAAGGTACAACTTATATGTCTTTTTTCCAAGCCATTTCCATCAACATGCTAATAAATTTGCAATGCATAAAACAAACGGGCCAAAACTTGAAATTCAGCCTATTCGATCGACCCATGCCAAATTCTAATTATTCTTTACTTTTAAACTTTCTATTTGAAAATAAAAAAAATAGTGAAAGAAAAGAGACGACTACAATTCGCCATTTGCACATCACTTAATCGAGATTAAAACCATGGAAATTCAAAAGGAACTGAAAATGTTTAGGATTGTTATAATGTTTAAAATAACCAAATAGATCGTTATGTTTAGTTTTTTACTAACAAATACCAAACGATTCCCTATAAAATACACTATAATTTGATCATTGTGATATCAAATAATTATAAAATATATATTTGAAATGATAAAAATTGGACTAATTGTGTTGGTCGAGGTTGAACCATTGAATAACTTTAAAATACATTATATTTTAGCCACTAAGATATAAAATAATAGCATAATAGAAAATAGCTTGTTTTAGAATGACAAACCAATGATGTTCATTTGTTTTACTTGATGGCCAAATCCCATGTAGGTCAGGCCCATTCAACTCTTTTATTTTATGGTTAGCGGTTAGCCCATTAGGTACCATGCATTAGTTTATTGTTAAATTTTTTATTTTTAACAATAAAAAGGAGTATTAGTTTTTCCTTTTCATATATATTTTATCACCACGGAGAAATAAAAGGGTTTAAAGAAAAAAAATTGACACTCCTGGACCCGTTTAAATTCGCATGTGTACGGTAAGTTGGCCCGTTCCACAGAGGAAAGAGAAAAAAATTGACACTTCCTATTCTACCCTTCCTACATACACTCATGGAGCAGGGAATTTGAAATGGGGGAAGGGTTTTTTCCTCCCTGCTATTATATGTTTTTAATTTAAAAAGATACAACAAATGTGCTTAGTGTGATTGGTTATTATCCTTGCTTTTCTTTAAAATGGTCATGGTTTGAATCCCAGTACGTGTCTTTTTAATGAATAAAAAAAAGTAATTGTGAAGACCAAAATGTCCTTCCTACTTTCACTCTCGTTGCAGGAAATTTGAAATGGAGCTCCCGTTTTTCCCTTCGGCGTATTATATTATGTGTAGATGTGGCCAATTTCACTCCCTACTTGTTTTGTTTTTTTGTTCAAATTCTAGTTCTATTCCCAATTCTAACATGCTACTACTTAACAAAAGCCAGAATTTCATGTCACTTTCTTTGTCGCTTCTCCTTTGAGGTTGTGACAAAATTGGCACTCTAGCATCTTACTACCTGCCACTGTTGCTTGAAGCCCAATGAGACTTGAGCTTTCTCTGGACCCCCTCTAGTTTATGGGCCTGAAGGCCCAATTTTTAAACTTCATAGCACATTGTCTTGGATGGTCCAACCTTCCATCTCTTCCTTTTTTCCCCCCGCAAAGTCAGTGTTTAAAAGAAAGTCATAAGGAGGAAGAAAGAAAAACGCGAGAGTCAACGAATAGTCGAACTCCCGATGAGAGGGCCTTTTGTGCCACATAATGAGCAACCCTATTGAGTTGACGGGACACAAAACAATAAGAAATACTGTTAAACGATGAAGCCAAGCTGTTAGCATCCGCCAAAATAGCACCTCCCCGATCATGAGGCAAATCACCACCATCTCTTATTTTGCTACTAATTCATGGTTGTACTATACTATATTGCTACTTACCAAATTCGAATCCCATGGCGTTCGATTAGGGAATAGGGTCGGTGGAGATAATGAATTTGGTAGCTGTTATTATTGCGCATTTGGAAGGCCTGGAATCGAGTTGTTTTCAAAGCCACCTTGTTTTCCATCTCGGTCTTGTTGGGCCAGCTCCATAGTCAGGTTGAGGAGTGGGAGCATGTGCCAGGCAGTAGTATATACCCTTTCTTGGTGGAGTTGTTGGCACTTCGGTACGCGATCCATTGAAGTCTAGTTGATGGCTTCCAGCACAGTCATTTTTGTTGGTGAAGCCAAGAAGATTTTTTAGATGGTTGCGCGTGGAGTGACTATGGATGTAGTGAGAAATGAGAATATGATGGCTCATTTGGTGGCCGATAACTATGGGGGGATCGATTTTGGAAGAAATTCCATTGCTTAGCCAATAGTCATAGTGAGAATAGGGTGGGCAATTTGGTAATAAAAAAAGCTCTTTCTTGTACTCTAGTTTGATAGGGTCTGATTATTGTTCTTAGTTGTGATTAGCCATACGACTCTACTGTAACTTTTTCTCTCTCGGTAATACTAGAAATCTTCTCGCAATGGAAACAAGACAATTCATTTTCCAATGTGATTCCATCCAAATATTGATTCGGTATATTATTCGATAAAATGTGACAGAATGCATTCCAGGTCAGAACCTTCTCTCATTTGATGATAGATCATAATCGAGCATGCATTACATAGTCATTGTTTTTTTTTTTTTTTTATAAATAATATCATCACTAGACCGAACCATTCATATCACCTTATTATTGTTGCCTTCGTTCAACTATTTGACAACCTATCTTGTAATCACAAACAAAGAATAACAATACCTTTCTACCAAAAAAAAAGAATAACAATACCTAACTCTTCATTAATGAAAGACCACGGCACATACAAACGAAGTCTCAACATCGGAGTTACATACTATAGATAGAACCCCATAAAACTAGAAACTCCCACTTGCCACGACACTAGAGAACAAACCAGAATGAGAAACCCACCAGCCATGGGCCATGGCCACTTGACAATTTATTTATTCCCATAGCCCACAAGGCCACAACTCGGGCCGACTCAGCCAACCTTAGCAACAGACACCCACGGCGGGCGAACCAACACGATAGCAAATATTTAATAATTAAACGACATATATCAAAATAAAGCAAAACGCGACACAGAACAAGAACAAGCTCCCGGATCACCAAATCAACCCGCCGCCGCCTCCGCCGCCGCCGTCCACCAACCCGAAGAACTGCTGTCCCCACTTTTCCTTCATCTCATCACCGCCGCACCCACCACCACCACAGTCGACTGCCTGCTGCTCCTCAGCCTTCATCGCCACCACCTTCACCACTTCCTTCACAGCCTTCTTAATCTCCACAACCGCCGGAATGACAACCTTGGTGGAGTCGGCAGTGTAAGTCTTGTAAACAACGATCCCGCCGACGGGGAGCTCCTCCACCGCGACCTTGCCGCGGGAGTACCCTCCCACGTCGACGAGCCCCATGGCCCACAGCTGCGCCCTCGCGCTCCTGCACGTGACGGCCACGGAGAAGTCACGCGGCGCAAAGCAGCTCAGCACGCGCCCCACTAGCGCGTCGAGGGTCGTCTCCCCCGCGTCGAACCCCATCGCCTCGTAGCTGGCGTAGCTGAACCCGTCCTCCGGTGTGACGTGGACGGTGGAGTGCGCCGCGCCTTCGATCCCGTTCATCGAGTACCCGCAGGGGTCGAAATCGAAGTCGCAGATCGTGTGGCCGGGGATGATCTCGGAGATCCCGGAAAGTTTCGTCATCTCCGGCGCGGTCGCCGCAGGGGAGCCCTTGTAGAACACCGCCGCCTTATTCTTGTCGAGACCGGTCATGCACATCTCGAGAGTAATCACGTCGTTCTGGTGAGAATCGGTCTTCTTCCCGGCGGTGGTGGCAGAGTAAACGTGCCAGCTGTGCTCAGGACCGCCGAGCACGTAAGCCTTATGGTCCAGATCTCCGAAGAATTCGTTCAGAGCAGCGACTTCCTCGGAGAAGCTGCGGTGCGGAGCCGGCTGGACGCTGGGGAAGATGAAGCTGCCGCGGGTGTATAGGACGTCGCGGACGGCGAGGGAGAGCGAGCCGGCCAGATCCAGAATCGGCTCGACGGCGGCGAGGAGCTTCGTGGTCCCGCAGGTCTTGATGACGAGCTTCAGCGGGTAGATGAAGAGGCTCGACTCGGAGAGGACGTACGAGTCGAACTCGTCGTTGGAGAGGTTCGAGACGATCGTGCACTTGGCCGCGTCGAGGAACGAGTCGATCTGGGGACGAGTCAGGGCGCGGAGGCCGAGGCCGTTGGGATCCTTGAAAATCGGCGCCTCCGAGAAGCAGATCTCGAGGCGCTTCTCGAATCCTTCGAATCCGATTGGGGATGTGTTGACCGCCATTGCTTGATTGAGAAATTCCGAGATCTAGAGAGAGGGGGAGTTCTTCTTTTCGTCCTTGTGAGAGCTTGTTCTTGAGAGATTGAGAGAGAAATTATTGAAAGTAGACACGATACTGAAATTGGAAATCCTACTCTACCGCAAACGCCATAAACGATTGGGGAATATCAGGATGGCTTCCTCACGCACTGCAGAAGATGAAAAAAGAACAGATTCATCCAAACAGAAATCAGAACCAGATCGGAATTGAAAACCGGAAATCAGAAAAACACCGGAATCTGAATCGAACGCAGGGAGAAAGAGAACGTACGTTGGAGTAAGCAGCAGAAAACTTCTCGATGCCACCGTTAGGTCGAACGTCTTCAATGATGTATCCGAGGGGAGCTTCGTACTGGATGGAGGAATTACTACTACTGCTAGACTTCTTTTCCCCACCTTTCGTCTCCATTACAACATTCACGCTTCTCTGCTCGCGCAAAATTCAAAAAACCTCCGATCAAAATCTCAACACAAGAAATCAAATCGGCGACGCCAATCGTAAATCGATGGAAAACGAAAGAAAACAGAGGAGATGTATAACTTACATAATCAACGGGAGATTGGATGGAGGAACCCGAGGCGGATTTCTTTGACCGGAGCAGGGAGGAAATCGACCGGCGGGAAAGCAAGAACAAGATAACGCTTCTTCGGAATCGAGAGGCAGGAAACTGGCGCAGGGAGATAGAGGCGAAGGGTTTTGATGTGGGAGAAGGATGAGGAGAAAGAGAGTATTTATAGGGGCGGAAGGGAAATAGAATTATAGGGTAAAACCTTCGCCGAGTATGAATAGGAAATTTAGGTTTTCTTTGGCTACGTATTCTGGGAGAGGTTATTGGGCCACGTGGCGGATCGGCATTCTCAAGGACAGGCACGTTGGGCTTTTGCATGGCCCAAAATCCAGGTCTTTAATCTGGCTCATCGTAGCCGTTGGATTAGCTGAAAAAAAAAAAAAGAATGGAAAGAGAGAGAGAAACGGTCTTGGCCAGGAGTTTCGCCAGCTCTGTTAAAGGATTTTCATTATTTCTTTTTCTAATTTTTTTTCTTACCTACCGTAAATTATGTAAAAATTGTTACCCTAAAAGTAATTATATTTTTACGGGAAAGTCGCGGTGGCTGTCGTTTGGCAGCTATAAGACTTGTCGTTTTCAACGCTCCATTGTCACTGTTTTAGGAGTTTCGATTTCGACCCATTTTTCTGGCAATTCCTTCCACCTCCATTGTATCAGGAGGATTTCGTGTCGACGTCTGTTAGAATTAGATCATTTAAGCACATTAATGATGTTATTGAATTGTAATATTTTAAGGTTCACGATTGTTCGACGTGTTTCGTTACTGTATTGATTAGTGCTATAATTGAAACTACAATATGTGATTTCATTGTGTAATCCACATTAGCAATGACAAAATCCCATTTTGGTTTTGCCATATCTTGAAAAAGAGTCCAAAGCAAAAGGTTTGATTAAAGAAAAGTGCATGGAATAATGTTGTGTATTGAGAGAATATAAGCTCCAATTTCACTACAAATTGTTCACCAATTCACCAATGTTGGTTGGCAATGTTCCCCCTTTTTTACACAAATATAGTGTTCTCTTACTTAGTGGAAAAGTATTCGGATGAATGCTTTGCTTTGGACTATATCTCTCTAGGAATGTACATCAGCAGCCCCCGTGCTAGAATCGTGTGACCAGTGAAAAGATGGATTGAAGGAGGCATGCATGCACCAGGATTAGTTAATTGTTTACTTTGTTGCCATTTGCTCGTCAAACCAATAATGATTGATATTTCGATATTCATATTTATAAAAATACCAATTGATTCATGTTGATTAATTTGTATTGAAGTGGGATGGGCGGGAAGACTTGTACCGGGAAAGGTCAGGTCGAGCATCCATATTTGCTTCAATTCAAAGCATATCAGAGAGATTAAGTAGGAAAATTCAAATTGAAATTGACATCTCTAGATTATGTTTTGGTGTTAAAATAAAGAACGGTCGAATGTTGAACCCTATTAATTAGAATGAGAAAGAAGGTGATTTGTATGAATTGAGATAACTCTAGACGGAATCAAGAATCGTATTTATTCAATGGTCTAGTAATATCGCTACAACAGGATTGTACTTAAATCTCGCCAACCCAGATGATTTTCCTTCATAGCAATTCTTGTAGAGAATTTTTTTGACATAACAAAATATCAGCCTTCCCATTTCATTAACCTCCAAGATTAGGTGGGAGATAAGATAATTAGCTAGATATATTTGCCGCACATTGTTTTTATAAGCGTGATGTACACATTAGGGTTAATTAATGTATTAGGCAGTATATTAATTAGAAGGAGTCTTTGTCTTCTTCGATTCGCTTTCCTTTATTTAATGAAAATTTCGATTTGGGTTGTTGAAAATCACCAATGCTCTAGCTAGCTAGTTCAAAACAATCCATGGTTAGTGAATAAGCAAGTGGCTAGTGATAAAAATTCATTGAGTTGGGTTTGCTCTTTTCAAACCCAACAAGTATTTCACGAATTGATGCATCCGCTTAGTTGATTTCGAGTTCAGAGAAACTCGATCCAATTCGACTCATTATCGTCCCAACTCGTTGCCCTCCTTCACATTAAAGTACTAACCTAGAGTTAGGTTAATATTAGAATGCAAATTGGGTTTTGCTTTTGCACACAAATTAATTGCATTTAGACGCCCAAAAGTGCCGCTGTTGAGTGTTTTATATTGTTTGCTTTCCGCAGTTGTGGAAGACTAGCACAAAGAAAGGAAAAGGCCATACGAAAGTAAGTATTATGTATTAGGGGGTTTCTTGGAAGCCAGATCGGGAATCAAATTTTGGTTGAAGCTAAGCCACACAAACTACATCTATTGTCGGATAGCATATCCCAATCTCAAACATAGTTTATTGGGAAGATAAGAGGCCGAAAAACCAGCAATAAATGAAAGATAGGTACATTGGCCAAGAGTTAGGATGCTCAAGTCACAACATCATTTGTGACTACGTCCTCACAAACTCGACAATCGTGTTCATCCAATAATTGTAGAGCGCTCGATGAAATGATCTAATGGTTGTGAATTAATTGATCAGAATAATTTAAATTGTTATGAGATATTTTATAATGAATCTTATACACATACTAATTAACATGCCCCTTAAATAGTTGGAAAGAGATTCAGTAATTGATTTCATAACATGCACATACTAACAAAGATATACTCGATGTGAGGACCGTAATTAGATTGGGGTCGGTCAACAAATGAATATGGATACATAAATGTTTCAACTACTCCCTCTTGAGATTCTGCATTATTTTCCCGACAGCAAAATGGTCTGCTCCACTACGCACAGAATAATAAATTTCGAGCCCACGAGTCCAATAATCCATGGCAGTTCCACGACTTCTCGGATTCGACTGTGCTACATGTGAGGAGATGTAACTACTCGATCGACCTCGTTCTGAATTGTGGAAAATCGGGGATGTTATCATGTTGAAATCGGGGATGTTATCAAGTGTGTTAAAAAGGTTAACATTCTCTCATAATATCGTACTTTAAGTGGTCTAGACGTTGAATGTGATTAAAAAATAGTGTAGTTTGATTACATTCATGGGCAGCTTATTTAGCGTCACTTGTCTCAACGTTAATTAAACAGGGGCAGGAATACGAAACTTGATTGATATTGTTGGGAGAAGTATTTTTCATTCATGTCATAAGTACTTCATATACAAAATTCCACTAGGGAAAAAAAGTATAAGATCATTCCTTATCGTGATATTTTATAAATTATTACAGTTATCTTGGCATCCACTTCTAAAAAAAAAAAACGATCGAATATAGTTTCAAAGGATATGATGCATGACACGTTCGAGTTACGAAGACGACCAAATCGCAACATTTCGATGCAAAAAAAAAAAACCCTTACCATTCAGACCAACCCAATTTTGGTACCACGAGTAGCTTAACCTACCCTCACCTAAACAATAAACGAATATTCCTTCTAACAATCATGTATATTTTCTATGTTGTAGATATGGATTCACGTGAAAAAGAGAACATTAAGTATTTGGAGAGAGCATGTATAATCTGATCACGATCTTAATTATTGTAATTGAATAATGATCCCTTGCTTAACCTTGGCCTCCATGAACCTTGGCCTGGGAATAAATAAATAATAAATTGCCATCAATTATTTTGTGACGAAGTTTGGATGCACTATATATACCCATCCTCCTGGGAACATAGTCAGCACTCACTAGTCAAACTAATCTCTAGATTATAAAAAGAAAACATTGTCTAAGCAAAGGTTATCCAATAATCATGCTGATGAGTTCTAACATGATCAGTCACATGAATGGACAATGGTACATTTAATCTGTGCATTAACAAGTCAATTTAAAATAATACCCACAACATTAGTCTCGTGAATGGACAATGGTACATTTAATCTGAAAATTAACAAGTCAAATTATAATAATACCCACATTGATAATCAAAGTTGTTGGATGGACTAACCATGACAAGTTGATGAAAAGGAGACACCAAAATCGACTTTCACTTAACATGTCAGGTTGTGCGAGTACTGGACGACATGTATATATGAAGAGTTTGGTATGTATGAAATGTGCTGTTTCCTAGATCCTCACTCATAACCGATATTTTGACTCCCGCCCACATGTTCTAGGAATTAGGTTTAGGGTAACTTGTCTAACCGGACGTTTTGTTGTGTACGTCTATCTTGTTGAAGCACACTAGCCAAATGGACCGTTGTCTTATTCTTTTTTTTCTTTAACCATTACGTGCATGAGGCAACTCTATAATGGCAAAGCATCGGTCTAGCTAAAGTATGTTTTTGTAAGTGGATAATGATAAGTATGTTTCTTAGAGCGGGTCAAACGGTTTTATGTTAGTTGCAATAGTATAGGATATCAGGAGTTTTCAGGTATTCAGAGATTTACATGAATTTAAGCGTTCATGGCTCGATTATTTGGATTTCGAATTACTTAATTAGAACATTCACAGAAGCTCACAATGATGGTTTGTGTAGCTTATGGTGATCACACAACATGTGCATCACATTTGAAACAATGATTAGTGTAAAAGAAAGAAATTCTGTACAACATAGTAGTATTCAATGTCAATAAATCTCTCACAAAGTCATGAAAACTATAATCGTAGGGTGAATCTTAGGGATCGTTTGGAGGTTAGGATTCTAGATGAAGGATTTAGCCAATACATGCATTGAGAAGATTAAGTCATTTTTTTGGTCAAATTTGTAAAATAATATATGCATGACCTTTTTGGGAGCCCACTCACAATCCCTCAAAATGAATTATTGTGAATCTCTACCTAAAGTTGAGATTCTAAACAAAAGATTGTGTCATATTTTTTTATTCCATTTTTGTCCCTGCTATCTTTTCTTTATACCAACAATAACCTCATCCTCCACTACTCTTCTACCCTTGTCATCAAAATTCTAGGAAAGCCAAAAAAAGGAGAAAACTTCCCTGCTCCTCCCTTGACGACAGTCGTCGGAAGTCCATCAAAAGAAAAATCATTGAACTCCCCTGCTCCTCAGTCCACGCTAATCCTTGAAGTCCCACAGGAATTGCTGCCTCCTCACCATCATAACGGAATCGGCTTGGTAGTTGTATCTCGCCATCGAAATTCGTGGGGAATCGAAGAAGAAGAGTCGGCTTCTGTTGCGAATTACTACCTCACAAACCCAGCACCATGCCCTCTCCTCTCTTTTTCTCTTCATATCTCTTAGGGTTTTCTGAAGATCGGGCCAGGGGGATCTTGAATTAGGCGGTAGATCCAACTCGTATAGAGAATTAGGGATTTTCCCCCTCGACCCAGTTCTTCTTCAATATTGTCTGAAACAGGGACTAACGTACTTCCTCCTCTTGTTTGGCATTTTTAATTGAGAGTGGATGGTGTCGGTGGGGTTTCGTGTTTAGAGGAGATGGTGCTAATTGGTAATTGATTTCTTGGCGGGGATTTGAGTTGGGAGGGATATAAGCGAAAGTAATTAATTGTGATGGCTGGAGTTGATTTTTGAAATCAGGGAAGCTTTGAAGTTTCTGCAATCATAGCGGCAACAACGTGGTAGCGGCGAGACTCTTTGCTTTTTTTTTCTTCTTCTTTCATTTGCAAGAACATAAATTTGAAGGGTAAATGTGTATTTTTCTTCAAAAAGGTGTGTTGCTTTTTAATTTATAAAAAAGTAGAATCATAGATACCAAACAATGTATTTGACAAATACATTAATTTGCACAATACATATAATTACAATGCACCAATTTATTGAATCCATCAATTTAGACAATCACAACCTCCAAACATGCCCTTATACTTTCTCGTATTATCGCTATGTGTAACTAGCTTCCAATTATTGTTTCTATCCTTTTTTAATCTTCATGTCTACTTTTATTACTTTGATATTGGCATGACTAGACCTTCAATGATTTGAGCATCCATTCACAAGACTTGTACAAACTGTGGCATGCCATCATTTGGTACATATTCGATGTACTTTTTACCAAGAACTCAGCTTCATGATTCCCAAAAGTTCAGTAGGTTCTCAACCCAAAATGATGATAATGATTCCATCACTCAGAAATGTTTGGTTAAATCTATGGCATCTTGTTTTCCCCACATTGTAAAGTATATAAGCCACTCGTGGGTGATGGGACCAGTTTGATTCTCACCCTTGGTTTTATCTTCTTTCTTTGAATGATTATTGATTCAATATGTTAGTAATTACTTTTGTGACAGTCTAACTTATATGTGTTTCATGTTAAGGTGAACTTGGTGTCGAAGGGCAGGGTAAAACGAAGTTTGTCTATTGAGATATGACTTCATTATTTAGCTTCATTCGTTAGAGTGAACCACATTTGTCAGATACACCAACTTATTTCGTATAGAAAGACATTTTGATGATTAGGTTAAGTGGGTAAATATCTTCGAGGGTAGTAAGGAAGAAAGAGATAGAAAGAGATGTCACAAATATATAGTTTGTGTGCTCTCGACGTGGGCTAGTCCGTATTATATAAGGTTAAACTGAACTTTACCTAACGGTTTTCCTTGTGTCTACACGAATCTCTATAATGAGTTTTTCTCTGCATATTTGAATCGTAAATATGAGGTTTAAGCTAGTTGGATAACTCTCCTCATCAGCAAATTAACATAAATCGAGATGGTTGATTCCATTCGGGTCGAAAGTTTTGAATTATTGGACGATGTACCGTTCATATTGAATAGTTTTGAATTATTGGATGTTGGATGGACAATGTCCTAGTACTTGAGCTCAATAAGTGAGGTGGGGAAGAAAGCAACTAAGGAGGAAAAGTACAATATACACGAATGCAATGGCACCTTGCATGAAAACGAAGTGGAGCACCAAAACTGCTCCCAATTAGCCTGAGATTAGTACATTATTAAGCTACTAATCACCATCACAAATTGAATTGTTAAAAACTAGTCGACGGATGTGGAAGAAAGGACGAAGGAATAAAGATAATTGCTAAATCTTAAACTGCCTTTTCCTGTCCAATTGTCATTTTCATCCAGCTGCAACCCACACAATTGCAAAATATAATAATACACAAATTGACCAAATAAAAAAACAAAGAAAGCAAGCTCCACTTATGCAATGCTTCAATTTGCCTTGTTCCAATTCCTAATGCTAGTGAACTCTTTTTCATTTATGATCAAAATGTGTTCTTGTCAAGGTTTAACCCAAGAGTTGGAATGTGAAAGATCACTGGGAGGAACTTGAGCTCCTGAATTCATGGTTGAGGTACAAGATGATCAATTACCATAATAACTTGGATTGGTGTCCATGAGACAGTACCGGGAAAGTCAGCGGTATGGTATTTTATGGTAAAACCGTGGTTTAACCGTAGTTCAATCGTTAGTACGGTAAGTACCGCCTACCAGTTTAGCCTCTGATACTGATATTTCGTGGTTGAACCGCCGATACCGTACGGTTTCATGGACCATTTGGTGGTTCAATTTCTTTTTTTTTTTCACATACTGTGATTCATATTTTGCTCGATTGGGCTGGGCTGGGCTAATATTCGTAACCATCCAGTTGGGCTGCGATGTGGATCTTTTTGACAAAACAGATCCATAAGCAATTTTGGACGTTTGGCCCATCAGCTATTTTAAAAAAGAAAGGTTTATAAGAGGTTATGGGTTCGAAGCGGGAATTTTTTCGGTCGGATCACTTTTCTTTGCGGGGTCCCATTCTTCACTTTTCAATTCATTTTCCAGTTTCGCAAACCCTCTCAACCAAATCTCCGATCGACTCTTCCCTCACCTCGCCGCCGTCCTCCTCCCGCCTCCGTTGCCGCTGTTACTGCAAAACCCAGCCGTATAACAAGGTTCTCCATTTTTCTAATCTCTTTCTCAATCAAGCTTGTTCAATTCAATAGTTTGCGGTGTTAAGGGCTCTCAAAGCTTGGATCTTGATGTTGAATTCCGTTCCATTTCCAGCTAGCAAATTAAGAGATCTGTTTCTTAGTTTTGTCAAGAAGTTGCTTACCAGATTTGTATATTTTGATGCTTTGTTCACCTAGGAACTGAGTGGAGAGATGGATCCAGATTCAGTTAAATCGACTCTGTCGAATCTAGCTTTTGGGAATGTAATGGCGGCAGCAGCTCGCAATTACCAAAAGGTTTGGCCTTTGAAAATTTCGATCTCTCTTTACTTGTTCCGATTGCATCATTTCAAAGTGGTTTATTGGTTGCATTCCAATAATCGATCTTTGGTGGTTCTTCCATCTTAGTTGCTGCAGAATTCTCGAACTTTGTTTGATTATCCGAAAGTTTTGAACTTTAGGCTTGACTTCTCTGTCCTAAGGCAATGTAAGCAGAGCCTACTTGCTCTTATCAAATCGATTGGGCCAAAATTGAGCTGGCTTCTTTAGTCCATGATTCTGGACAAGCCTGTGCACTACTTAAAAGGACTAATTCAAAACCTCCATTTCCCTATTAGGGTCAATGACGGCTCCCTCGTGCTGATTTTTACAGGAAATACTTAAGCAAGAGAAGGCTCAGCCTTCTGCGAACCAAGAGATTGACCTGGATGAATTGATGGACGTAAGTTCAATGCTGCATGTATATATACCTTCTGTGGCTGTCTTCCCATTGTCCCGACCCAAACTCGCTTGCATTTTGTAGGATCCAGAGCTAGAAAAACTACATGCTGACAGGATCGCAGCACTGAAGGTGAATATGGCTCTCAGAAATCTCTTAAAGCAATCATTTACCTTTTTCTTGATATATCATGTGCTCTCTCAAGTTTGTAAAGTAATCACAATAGGGTTGTGCTTGAAATAGAGAGAAGCTGAGAAGCGTGAATCCCTAAAGAGGCTAGGACATGGAGAGTACAGGGAGATAACTGAAGGGGATTTCTTGAGCGAAGTTACGAAGGGCGATAAAGTGATCTGCCACTTCTATCATAAGGAGTTTTATCGCTGCAAGTACGGTCTTGTTTACTTCACACCCTTGACAAAACTTTTTCTGAAGGGAATTTGTTATATTAGCTTTTTTGTTCATTTCTGTAGGATCGTGGATAAGCATTTGAAGGCTCTTGCTCCGAAGCATGTGGATACCAAGTTTGTCAAGCTGGATGCCGAGGTCTGTTTGCTAATACCCTTGTGGTTTTCTCGTTGATACAAAGTTAGCATCTCAAATGACCTTGTGCTTTGGATGGTTGCAGAATGCTCCCTTTTTTGTTGCTAAGCTTGGGATCAAAACTCTGCCTTGCGTCATACTTTTCAGGTGACACATACAGAATGCTTCCATCTTTGATCTTATATTGATTGGCGTCTTAAAATGTGCGTATGATCCTTCCTGTACTAAAAATCGCAAAAACTTTCATGTATTAGGAAAGGGATTGCAGCAGATAGACTGGTGGGATTCCAAGATCTTGGCGGTAAAGATGATTTCCCAACTACAAGGATCGAGAACTACTTCATAAAGAAAGGTGGGAATTTTTTTTCCTACTATGTGTATCCATTCATGTGATTCAAAGTTCATAATAGGCAAGTACATGAAGTTCAACTCTGCTTTCTTGTGCAGGTATCATTAGTGAGAAGAAGAACTGTAACGAGGATGAAGAGGAAGAGTATGATGAAAGCCGTCGCAGGACAGTGAGATCGTCTTTGGATGCTGATTCCGATTCGGAATAAGAGAGAACTATGCAGCGGATCACTTCTTTCTGCTTCGTAAAATGTATTTCTTTGTTGTAATGTTGATAAGTGTTGAAGTTCTTTCCTTTTTAGAATTTTGAGTCCAGCTTCTTAGCAGTAAAACCCTGCTTCCGGTGATTCTGATTGTGTTTCCTGCCTAGTTCAGCTGCTGCGATTGTTGTTATTCAGAGATTCTAGTTTGTATGGTTGACAGAGTGTATGGCATGTTTCATAGTAGTGAAGTGCCTAGCTGGTACAGACACATACAGAGACTGAATTCAGTATATGTATCAGTCTAGCTCGGTTTTAATCGGGTTTGTTTCTCTTTGCTTTGTCAAATCACGTCAGATCGTGAACGTTGCATGTATTCTTTATGGTTCGATTCAATCCACACGTCAATATATTCCAATTCAAATGTTGATTCTCTTTTAGAAGGTGTACGTAGATCGAATCGTTGCCAAAACAGGAATGGGAATGAGGAAGTGGAAGATTACATGGAGTTCCAACTTGCCAAAAGTGAGCTATGGATATGGAGAATACATTCCCAAGTAAATTGTAAGCTATCCGGTGAGGTCCCATGTTGAAAGGAGAAGATGATGATTCAAACCACATTGCTGTTCTTTCTCGATCCATTCGAGTTGCAAACAACTTCATTATGATTACTTTATAGGACACCACAATGGACTATTTGAGACGTTGGAAACTTCTATCATGACAGACAATGAGTGCCACTAGTAATTCACTCGGTAACAAAAGGTAATTGACTTTAGATTTTATTTATAAACGTTGGGTGGGACAGACACTCACATCTATTCTCTATTCATATATCCTAAGCACGAGACGAGCCATAACACAAGGGGTGAATGGAAGTACTTCAAACTTCACACTCGTTGGAAACATAACTCTCAGGCTTTGAGGTGTTCTACAGTAATCGGGGATCTGTCTATTTTTTTGGTATTTATAATTTTCATAGAAGGAAAAATCGGACCGCATTATATTCGGTTCGATATGATATAGTCCAAACGTCGATTTCATCAAATGCAGTATGGTACAGACCAAATCGTTGCACAAACCTAATCATATTTCAATTACCAACAACCGTGATTAACTATTCTTTTTAGCTCAATTGCACTAAGCCATGTAGAGTTCATTTATATTTATTTAAACTCTAATCAATTGGATATTCTTTCTCTTTAGTGTCAAAATAATTAACAAGTCACTTTCTTGGGCCTGAAACATCCCAACACAAAGAAAGTACCTATCTTTTCATATAAATCTTTCATAGTTTCCATAATGGCTAAATCAACTTTATCCCCAACCCTTTCGTGACAAAATAATTCATGAATATGATCCACAACTCGAGTTACGAAGATAAAAACACTGTGTTTTTACCATCTATAATTTGATTGGATGTTGAAAATAGGTTGCAATAAGTCTTAGTCCAAATATGATCGAACTGACTCCTCACTTCAATAGAAGAAAGCATAAGCAATCACTTACATCTTTTCATGGATCAAAATACAAACTCGCTGTAATCACTCAATTTTTCTCGTGTTCTGCATATACTATCATAATCGCGAGCTGTTATTCTAACATCTCGCCATGAACATAATGGTTAAATTCGAGTAATTCAATACCTTTTCATAAAATATCAAAAGAGGGTTGAAAGTTGAAACCTAGAAACAATGGCAATCCTGATAGGGAAAGGAAAAGATGCTGAAAATGGCATTGGGAAATGGTGATAGTGGAAGGCCAAAGTGAAAGTGAGTAGTGGCCCAAAATCTTGGTTGGATTTCGGTTTATTCTTCATGCGTGTGGGACGAGAGAAGAATTTGATTCTTCCCACGATGTGCTTTCTTGTATTGGCCTCTTATTATAATGCAACAAACCATCCTTTTAGGCCATTGATTCATGATTACGTGCATACAATCATTCATCTAGTTTCCATAAAATGTACGAAAGTTCATCCTTTTCAATGATCGCAGAGATAGATAAAGAACCTGGCCGATGAAAGTTTAAGTGCCAAAAAACACATTAATTAACCTGTATCGAGGACTACACCGTTAATTTGAGAGTCTGTTTCATCACTTGCGAGAAAACTTCGAGAGGTCATTGAAGGTGTCCACTGGGCCTGATAGGTTGAACATCGGAAGATGAGTCTACATATGGATTCGATATCAACACTATTCGTTTTGCAAGTGACAAAGGGGTGCCACTCAAGCCTCGTGCTCCAGTATCATGGTCTCTTCTCTTATGGATTGGACTGATCACATCTCTCATCAGTATAGAGAAAGAGAGAGAGTGATATATATGCCTTTACTTTCGATTAACGAAAATCTTAACTTGTATTACATATCGAACGAGATTCAAAGAACCCAAAAATGTGCACAATTCTATACACAGTTCACATTGTACTTGTGTCAAGTGTGTGCTATATATGCCTTTGCAGTTTTGGTGGATTCTGGTGTTGGGAGAGAAGGAAGACAAGCACGTGGTTGTTTTAGTGTTAAGTACGACCGAGGACGACGACTAAAGATTAATTAATGTTGTTCTGCAGCAGCAATAGTCGTCTAGGTAGTTGAATCACCAATTGAAGCATGCACTTTGACCGTGGGAATCATAATCACGAATCATGGTAAATGAAGATCGGTTGAGATCTTAATTATTGACCTGATTCAGGGCAATCTTCAAACCTAATTATTAGGGTCTTGTTTCAAACTTCTTTGCATTGATAATCTCATCTCTTTTTATAGGCTGACTCGCTTCTATTTCTTAACCATCGATATCACGAGTATAGTAATTTGAAAAGAGAAAAGGAAAAAATGAAAAGAAGTTCATAATCTAACGAAAACTCTTCCGCAGCCGCTTTGTATCTTGCTCACATCCGTCCTATGAAGGATAAACTCTCTTAGTATGATCTTATCAAACAAACAAACAAGACGAAAAACCGTGAAACCGATACCTAAAGAACACCGACTAAAAAAAAGCTATAAGAGAAATCAATAATGAAGACCCGACGACATCTCATATCTTTTTACGTAATTGTCGCGTCCTACAACAATCATACTTAGAGGTCGTTTGGAAGTTGTGAATGTTAAATCGTTGCATTGTAATGAATCACAACAAAATAAATACATGTATTGGTAGAATGTATGCATTTTAGGGGTTGTTTGGAAGTTGTGATTCTTCAAATTGATGTATTGGGTCAATTAGTGTATTATCATTTGATGTATTGAATCAATTGATGTATTAGACAAATACTTTGTTTGGAGGTTTAGATTGTGTTTTTGTTGTAAAGGCATAAAAGTTAATTTGAGTGATTGTGAACAATCTCAACAAAAAGTAGAGATTCACAATCCCTCAATTTTGAGTGATTGTGGTGGGACCTCCAAAAAGTGAATGCATGTATTCTAGTTCAGTATAACCTAAAAAAACGACTTAATCTGACAAATACATGAATTAGTTCAATACACCATTTGAAATCACAACTTCCAAACCAACCCTAAATAATACATTGCACAATGAAATAAATACATGCATTAGTACAATGTATGCATTTTAATAATACATTGTTTGGTTGTTGAGATTCTACTTTATGTATTGACTTGCATAAAGTTATTTTATGGGAAAATGTCACATTTCTCCTCAACTTTTAGTCATGGTCCATGAAACCGTACCGGAAAAGTCAGCTGTAGGGTATTTTATTGTAAAACCGTGGTATTATCGTAGTACCGTTAAATACCGCCTACCGGTTTAGCCTCCGATACTGGTATTTCGTGGTTGAACCGCCGGTACGGTACGGTTTCATGGACCATGCTTTTAGTACAAGACAAAAACTACTAGGGATTTAAATGAAAAGAAAAATTGGACAAAAATCTAAAATCAACAATCTCAACTTTTGGTGGGACCTACCTAAAGCAATACACGCATTGTTTTACACTTTGACACTTCCAAACATTCTATTGTGCACAATACATATATTCAATAAACACAACTCTAACAATCACAACCGTCAAACAAACCCTTAATTAAAATATAAGATAAAAGAAGCCTTAATGATGAGATGAGACTTCTAAACCTCAATAATGGCAAAAGAGGGAGCGGGGTAGGGCATATCAAAAGGAACAACATGCATATCTCAACTCATCCTTTGATTGAAAACTCATACAAAAAAACAGTTCCACATACATAAATACATAATTTATTACCACTCAATTTTTTCCCCATTATTACAATTCTTTTGCTCCTTTTCCCCTCTCTAGTTGATGAATAATATGAATGAAGCCTTTGGCCTTTGCTATGACAGGACCAAAGGGTGCAAAGCAGCCCTCAACTCAAATCAAACCATCCATAAATAGATCTTTGATTCCCTCTTTGCTCTCTGCTGGAACCCTCCACCATGTTCTGGCTTTAACAAGTAAAAAAACACAAACACACACATTGCTCAATGACTATTTTCTACTTTCTACAAACAAAAAAAATCCCATTTTCAGATTTTCACTTCTGGCATCTGCAAATTTGTAGGTGCAGGTGGTAGAGCTATGAGGCTATGCTACTACTAGAGCCCTAATTGGCCAAGAATGGTTGGGTTGCCAGTCTTCTCTTCTGTTCTCTTATCCTACCAACTCTTTTATCTCATCAATTTCTGCACTTCCATGAGATCTTCTTTGGGTTTTCATCTCTCCTTTTAATTCCTTTGTACTTTGTGCTCTTATGGAAAGTGTTGACACTAAACCACATGCCTAATACTAGAACAAGACACCATTGTTTACTAGGAAATCAGGGATATATACTTTAAGGATTGCTAATGTAGCACAATATGTTATGCTTTTTGGTTTTAGATAATGATAAATTTGGGTTGTTGGTGCATCTGTCATCTTATGTCACTCTTATCTTATAATGTGGTCTATTATTTTTTTTATATGTATAAACTAACTTTATAACGTGAGATAGAACTCGTCTTACATACTATATCGGTCATGTTGAAGTAAATGCACATAAAAACATTTGTATGTATTACTACGATCTTAGATCTAAGCGGTCTCCATTTACTAAGATTTAGGTTCATTAGTTATTCTCCAATCGGTTTACCTAACTTGACAATCTTTGCGTTGTTCATCACTTTTACCCTTTTCTTTGTAACAAAACAAATATTGTTACGATCATCTTATAAATTAGCTACTCGAATGCTTGTCTTCTCATTAAAGAAGATGGTAAAATAGCTCGAACCCATGACCAACAAATTGTGGATAAATACTTTAAACCATATGACCGACGATAATTTGGTCTCTGTTTTGACCCTAAAATTACTACCGAAATGTAAGTTTTACTTACTCAATTGGCACATATCCATAATACTTAGCCATCACACCATAGAGTGTTTTACCAGTCAAATGCATCACTCTTGGAAGATAAATCTCTAGGATAAATGATACATATTACTGTATCACGGATTAGAAGCAGATTCAAAGTATTTTGGTACTGACTGGTAAATATATTTCACTGCAGGTCTTTCATCATGTTTTCTTTCCTTTGTCCATCTCTGCTCTGCTCTGATCTCTCTCTCAAGTCATCCCTCTGTGTCCAATTCTCCAGTCCGACCTGACACCCTCTCTCTCTCTCTCTCTCTCTCTCTCTCTCTACATTTCCAATTGTTAGTTTACTCTTCCAATCTAAAAAGACCCAAAGAACCCACAAAAGAAAAAGAAAAGATCACTCACTCCACAGGAAAAGAAAAGAGATCACAGAGCTGGCACAAAAGATGGAAGGTGACGGACTGAAAAAGAGAAAAGAGAGCAAAAGTAAATAATTTTAAAATCGTATAAAAATAACACACAACGGTTTCACCCCCCTTTCCCTTTTGTTCTGCCTGCTGCTCCCCTGCTTTTTACTGGTTCTCCTCTCTCACTCTTTCTTTCCCTTTTCGATTTCTCTCACCCTTCAGTTTGCACCTCTTCCATGGCTGTAGATGATAATCACCACCATCATTGATCAAGCCTTTTAAGTTTTAAACCTTTAGTTCCAGCCCCAAATTATGGCTGCTTCTTCTTCTTCCAACCAGTTTGTTCTTCCTCTGTTTTTCTTCTTCATCATCATTTCCCCTGTTTTCCTCCCACTCTGTTCCTCCTACGAGCCTCGCAACCACGAAGGTAAAGAAAAAAAATTTCAAAGTTCGAATCTTTTCACCGTTTCCCTGTTCCAAACCTCGATTTCTCATATGGGTTTCTGTTGCAGTGGAAGCTCTGATAAGCATAAGGGAAGGACTGAACGATCCCCATGGAGTTTTCAAGAACTGGGATGAAGACTCTGTCGACCCTTGCAGCTGGGCGCTGGTCACTTGCTCCCCTGATAATCTCGTCATTGGCTTGTAAGCGTTTTTTTTTTGTTTCTCTCATCTTTCTCTCACAGCTTGTTTGGTTTCCAAGAAAATGAAAACAACTCAGGAAGGAAAGTTTGATCCTTTTCATAATTTTTCTCTCCTTTTTGTGGTGTTGTAACGGCAGGGGAGCTCCCAGTCAATCTCTGTCCGGAGCTCTGTCTCCTGCTATAGGGAATCTCACCAATCTCCGCCAAGTGTAAGGAAGATTTTGATTCCATTTTCCTCATTCTGATAAAACCCCATTGCTACTTTCCTTGCTGGAATTCCAAATCCTTTCCTTTTTGTGTTTCAAGGTTGTTGCAGAACAACAACATCTCGGGCAAAATTCCTCCAGAAATGGGTACTCTGCCGAAACTCCAAACGTTGGACCTTTCCAGTAACCGGTTTTCTGGGTCGGTCCCTGATTCTTTCGGTCAATTAGTTGCCCTGGAATACCTGTGAGTGTGAATATATATAATAATCATTCATGAATTCCTGCCCTATTTCCCGGGGATTTCATTTGTTGCTTATAATGGTTTTTTGGGGATTCTCACGTTTACTGTGTTGTGTTCTGTTTTTTGTTGGGTTGTGTCATGTAAACGAGACTAGGAGGCTGAACAACAATAGCTTGTCTGGCTCTTTCCCACTGTCCTTAGCCAAAATCCCACGGCTTGCTTTCTTGTGAGTATAGATTTTCTTCCATTCTTTAAAAAAGTATATAATCTAGTTCTTGTTGGATGCCACTGTTGCACAGTAACTGCCCTAGTCCATTTGGTTGAAATATATCAGATTAAAATAAAGATAATTTTGATACGATTATGTTCACGGTTTGATAGTTACACTTTGAATCGCTCGATATATTAGTTGTTTGGACTAGAATAAAATAGTTTTCTATACAATTTTTTTTTACCATTATTTCATTATATGTTACATCGATGAACTTTTCGGTTCATGAGATTAAAATAGGGGGGAAATCCCAATACCGTGTCATTTTATAGTTCTATCATTGAACCTTAAAATTGTTAGACTAGACCTTAAATCATACTTATCATTTTTCAATATAAAGATGAAACGGTTGTGTTACGATTATCACGAGATTCTACGGTTAGATCATTAGGCTTAACGGTGTTTGGTACAATTTAACTAGCTTTTAATTCTGTTTGTCATTAAGTCATTTGTCCCATAGCCGTTTTTTTGTTGGTATTCTATGGCGTTTCAGTGCCTAGAGAAGCGAAACAGAAACATCTGATGAACAGAGAAATAAGGAAGGAAAAAAGTCTCCTCTGATACTCAGTAGCAATTTTGTATTCTATCTCAGAATTTCTGATCAGTGGGGGTTCTCTTTTTGCTTCCAGCTTTTGATAATTATTGCTTGCTGTGGACATTGTTTCAGGGACTTGTCTTATAACAATCTCACTGGACCAGTTCCCAAGTTCCCCACAAGAACATTCAAGTAAACTGTAGCAAAACATTGTTTCCTTGGGCTTAAAACATGTTTTTGTTTCTTTGTCCTTGTTTTTTACTGTTTTGGTAAAACATTCAATGCAGTGTGGTTGGTAACCCATTGATATGTGGAAAGAGCAGCAGCAGCAGCAGCTCTAGTGGTGGGGATGGATGTTTTGGTTCAACCAGTTCTGGTCCTCTTCCTTTCTCTCTTGGTTCATCTCCTGGTAAAACTCCCAATCCTTGCGTAAACGGTCGATCTAACTAATGTAACGGTCATTTCGCGTACGAATGATATGATGTGTCCTTCATTTTTCAGGGAAGCACAAGTCCAAAAACATTGCCATTGCTGTTGGAGTCAGTTTCAGCATTGTCACTTTCTTGATTCTGGCTGTTGGAGTACTTTGGTATAGAAGGAGACATAGAAGCTGCCAAACTGTGCTCAACATTAATGGTGAGATAGTGAAAGAGCACAATTCACCCTGATTTTGCTACTACCTTTCAAACTTTCAACAAGACCTGAAATTTCTTGGTTGTTTTGTTGCATTTAATGTTTTCAGACAGACAAGAAGAGGGGCTAATAAGCCTAGGCAACCTGAGAAGCTTCACATTCAGGGAGCTCCAGCTAGCTACCGATAACTTCAGCTCGAAGAACATACTTGGATGTGGAGGGTTTGGCAATGTCTACAAGGGTAAGTTGGGGAATGGGACATTGGTGGCAGTGAAGCGACTCAAGGATGTGACTGGTAGCGCGGGCGAATCACAGTTCAGGACGGAGTTGGAGATGATCAGCCTTGCAGTTCACCGGAATTTGCTCAGGTTGGAAGGCTATTGTGCTACAAGTAATGAGAGGCTGTTGGTCTATCCTCACATGGCTAATGGCAGTGTGGCCTCAAGGCTTAGAGGTATGTAACTTAATACTTGGAATACTATGGTTCATTGCACATTTGGTTGTTCGTGTCGTTTTAAACGCGGATTGATTCCAGAGGAATTTGATGATCACTGATTATGATGCAGCCAAGCCAGCATTGGATTGGAATACAAGGAAGAGGATAGCAATAGGGGCAGCCAGGGGACTTCTCTACCTCCATGAACAATGTGACCCTAAGATCATCCACAGAGATGTGAAGGCTGCCAATGTGCTCCTTGACGACGACTACGAGGCTGTGGTGGGAGATTTCGGCCTTGCAAAGCTTCTCGATCATGCTGACTCACATGTCACGACTGCTGTACGTGGCACGGTGGGCCACATTGCTCCTGAGTACCTCTCCACTGGCCAGTCCTCGGAGAAGACTGACGTGTTTGGGTTTGGTATCCTTCTGATAGAGCTCATCACAGGGATGAGAGCCCTTGAGTTCGGGAAGAGTATCAATCAAAAGGGAGCTATGCTTGAATGGGTAAGCCTTTTACTTAGCTACATTTGCCACATAACAAACCCACATTTCTGTATAAACTGTAAAAACTTATACATGAAACCTTACTTTGCTTAAACTAGGTGAAGAAGATCCAGCGAGAAAAGAGAGTGGAAGAGTTAGTGGATAGAGAGCTTGGAATCAGCTACGATCGGATCGAAGTTGGTGAGATGCTACAAGTAGCCCTTCTATGCACTCAATACCTCCCAGCCCACCGTCCGAAAATGTCTGAAGTGGTCCGCATGCTTGAAGGCGACGGCCTAGCTGAGAAATGGGCAGCTTCACACAGCATTCTTCTAACCACTGATCATCATCTTCCCACCATGAATTTCAACCACAACAAGAGGCCCACGAGAACATTATCATCATCATCGAAGAAGCACGACGAAAATGGATCGAGCAATGATCGTTCGAGCAGTTGTATGCTTGGTGGCATGGCCATGGCTGATGATGACTATGATGACGATGATGATGAACATTCCTTGGATTCCTATGCCATGGAGCTCTCTGGTCCCAGGTAGATAGATCAAAGTTACAAAGAACATGATGACTGCATATGTGTTTCTCTTCATTCTTCCAGCTCTTAGTCTTTGGGATTGATCAATTCTTTTACTACAAAGATCAGATCATTCTTGCTTAACTAGATGAAATTGTATGATATGTAGTGTGGGGTTTGGTTTTATATTGTAAATATGTCATATTTTGCGTGTGTGTGGTGGGGAAATGCAAGAACATCATTGGCTAGTGGTTATTAGTACTTGGTACAATATTTTCTGTCGTTCTTTTTGACTGAGAAGAGGTTTCAAATGTTTGTTGGGAGTACACTGTTCTCTTGTTTTCTGCCTTTCTTTCATCAGCAAAAGCCCTTCTCAGAGATTCCACTAGTCAAAAGGGGTTCTCATGACTATAAGGCTAAGCTGTTATGGGTCGTTTTCTCTGTTGCTTCTGCAGGCTTGCCAATGCAAAGTGTGGACCAGTCTGTAATTTTTGGTTGGACCTATTAATCAGTTGGCCAATTTTGGTAGATCTCAGTCACAGAAATAAGATTAAGGATTCTAGTAGGTGAAAAGGTATATGTAAAATTTGTAACAAACATGGAAAATAAACTTTAGAAAATTTGTAACAAACTTGGCATAGTGGTTAATCCAAGAAACCAGTCATGATTAGAGGATTAATCGCAGCTGAAAAAGTTTTTCTGCCTCTGCAATTCACAAATCAATCCACCAGCAAGGTACAAACTTAAGTTTTAGTTTTGATTACATCTTCCCCTTTCGCCTCAAAGCCCTGTGTTTGTAAACGGTAAAGATTGCACCTTCTGGCTACAAACTCGAGAACCCATCGAGCTTTCCTTCATTTCTGAAGCATTTCAAGATCCAAGTTTTACTCAAAACATGGGTTTTCTCAAAGCTCAAATCTTTCAATCAAGACAACAGGTCAGGTGAGCTGAATTGACTCCCCTCCACCATTAACGCTCTATTTGGACTGTGACATGGCTGATGTTGTATTCCCTCTTGAGGTAGTTTATGACATTGTCCAGCACAACGTCGGCGTTTGCTTCTGGCCTGATTTTAACATGACAAGCCAAGAGGATCTTGCCAACCGTGATGGCCCATATATGCAGCTCATGGATGGCTACCACTTCTTCCATCTCCAGAATCCCTTTCTCAACCTTTGTTGCATCAACCTCTCTGGGCGTGCTCTCCATCAAGACTTCCAGAACGTTTCTCAACATCTTGATCGTCGTGCCCATAACTATAACTGAGAAGGCTAGGGTGCATATTAGATCGACTATCTTCCATTCAGGCTTGTACCAAATGACTGCTCCTCCAATCATTACTCCTATGCTCTGGACAGAATCACCAAGAACGTGAAGATAAGCTCCCTCAACATTTATGTTCTTTTTCTTCTTCTTCTCTCCCTTTTCCTTATTATCTAGCAGTGGCTTTGCACTCTCTTCATCAACATGTTGGTGCCCTTCTTCCAAATGATCATGATAATCCTCATGACTGTGCTCATGTTCGTGATGGTGATCGTGTTCGTGACCATGTCCGTGATCGTGTTTGTGACCATGATCATGATGACCATGGCCGTGATTATGGCCATGATCGTGACCGTGATCATGGCCCAGCAAAAACGCCATGATAATATTCACCACCAGACCAAATGCTGCAACCAAAAACATCAGAAAGCCATCCACTTCACCTGTGTTATAAACGAGCCTAACAATGGCTTCATACACGATAATCCCAGTGAGCAGCCAAATGATCTGCATCGACACCAGCGCGCCAAGAATCTCGATCCTGAAAAACCCATACGACTGGCGCGGAGTGGCCTCCCAACTAGCAGCCCACAGAGAGAACAACGAGATGGCAAACGCTGCAACATCTGTAAGCAAATGCGCAGCATCGGTCAGTATAGCTAAACTGTTCGCCTTGATCCCTCCGGCGACTTCAACAGCCATGAAAACCACACAGAACCCGACTGCCATCAGCAGCTTCCGCATCGAAGCTGCTCGTTCTCTGGCCTCTTCCGAATTGCTGCTCAGTGCATCAGAGAAGCCACAAGGTGCCTCTGCACAAATCTTGTTTCCCCCAACATTACTATTGCCATCTGGAGGAAGATGAGCATCTGTTTCGATGATCTGTCTCCGTCTTGGACTCTGGTCTTCCATCTGAGAAATTCACAGCAGCAGGAACATCAGTACTACAAGAACTCTACATCATCATAACCATGTAACTTCATTGGTCTCTTCAAAAGAATACACAGAAACTAGTCAAGAGTGACTGTACGGGTTATGGAAGCATCCCAAACCCACATTCAGCATAAAAGAACAAACACAAACCACGTTTTAATTTCTCCTCGCTACTTATATCTACTGACAAAGATCACAGGTTGAGGTCCAACAAGAAAAGATCACAGCACAAAGGCCAAACCTTGGTGGAACATGCGGTAAAAGATTTTATAATAGAATGCAGTTCAAACAATCACTAACAACAAGACAGTAAAGCTCTAAACTTTATCCGCTACAGAGCAAATTGTCACCAACCCTCCACCAGAGTTCAATCAATCACAATCCACCAGCCGTCGCAGACGACGAAACCCAACCACCGTGAAAGAATACACACAAAAGAACCACTGAAGCAAGCAGAAAAGGAGTAGAAAACAGTTGGTTGAAACGAGAAAAAGGGGAAAGTCCTTACGGTGAACAGGACAGCAGCAGGGCTCTCCGGCTTGGTTGACGGTGGAGCAGCGGGAAGAAGACGACTGCGGAGTCTCCGGAGAGTTGCTGAAGAGATTTCGGACGCGGGCTCTCAAATGATACAGAGGAGACTCCGTGGCGCAAATGGACATTAATACCTGGCATTCCCAATTCCCACTAAAATAAGGACTTGTACTGGCGGAATGACTGTCCTGCCCGTGAAGGCGTGAACCTAACCTCCTCATCATAAAGGGAATCTTCTTACGAAATATCCTGTTGTCTTTTTCTCTAGTTGATGGTTCTTCTTTTCCTTTCTAGTCTCATTCATAGAATATTGAAAAGTGTATCCAAATTCGACAAGGAGTCTTGATGCAATGATCCAATAATTTAGACCTACAAATGAGGTCGAGCTATGTATACATTTACGGGCGATTTGGTGACCGATTATTGGTGGAGTTATCTCGAGGATTAGATGAACGATTATGCTCGTTGAAGAAGTTGAGAGTCAGATAGAGGACCTTACGCGACAAATACTGGAATTGGCTCCCGATGGGAAGAACTACGACTAGATTCCTCGTGAAATCAGAGACATGTTCTGGCAAATCGGTCCAGGTGTTCTAATTGTTTTACATGAAGGAGGATCTGTATCATGCTCATGCCAACACCAAACTGGTTGAACTCGTGGACTCCGTTATCAATCAACAGCAAACTGGGTCGATGATTGAATGATCGGACCAGAGCTAGCTGGAGACGACGTCGAAACCATCTTCATTTTCATTTGAATAAATGCGAGTTTTCATTTGAACATTTCGTTTATGGTACCAGTCAGAGACTAATGGATGTGTACACATTCTCATGCTATCCCAACACTCTTAAGAAGCAAACATCAAGGGTTCTAAACAACCCCTGACATGCATACATCCCGAACCAGAAGTCACATGTAATTTTCAGGGGTTTCTCCCTTTTGGCAACATAACCAGGAAACAGAAAGAAAGTAGCTTTACCTTCTACCAAATTCCCCCCCTCTTTAGCAAACATAGACTAGCTTATGCAGCTTCTAATCTTCTTTGCCTAAAACTGCCAGCCTGTCCTTTCCATGAGGGACTCAGCTTCATCAAATCTCACCTGGTTCTTGTCTTGACGAACTTGCCTCTTGAAGCTTTCCTCTCCATCTTTTCTCTCTTCTTACGAGTCTTCTCATCCTCTTCAGCTCCCTGAGCACCAAAACACAGACAAATTTCTCACTACAGATCCATTTGTGCTTTGAATAATGGGCTTTGCAATTTTAGCAAAGCTGGAACAGAAATTACCCCTGAGCCTTGTGGCATGAATTGTGACAGTAATCCTTTGATCAATCCAGAAGATTTGTATGCTCCAAATGCCGGTATCTGGACAGTAATAAGGGATAACTGGATAGATTAGTACTCTGAATGGCTTTCTACCATAAACACAATATGAACTCATTTGTCTGCATGGTAAATTGGTAATCCTTGGTGTGGAAGTTAACATAGATATTCACCAAAACCCAAAATGAACACTAGCACTGAACATGCACTAATAACTAGCAAGTTCATTCCAACGCATTATGTTGGCAGGACTCATAATATCTCGATTCTCGGCCAAGTTGGAGTTAAAGAAGCTCTTACCACAAGATAAGTGTACCAAAACTTATCAGACAGTATGGAAGCAATCTGCACAAAGCTGGTGATGTAGATAACATCGTGAAGATAGCTGCAAAAACAAAAAAAGACATGAATCTCATGATTACTCTTAAAACTTGTTTGAGCAACCAATTTTAACATTTGCAGCATCAGGAAGCAAGAAACCGAGAATCCTTAATAATGCTCTTCCGAAGTGCTTGGTTCATAACTGAGAATGCAACTGAAATTAGGCATGCATACATAAATACATACCCACATATCCCACCAGTGCTCATATCAAACCCACCATCGAAAAGCTCCCCATCATCTCCATAACTAGGCTTCGCCATTGAAGCAAGTTGTTGGTAGGGCAAGTAATACGCAAGAGATGTCAAGGCCAGGCCAATCCAGTGCTTCCATGTGAAGCTCGAATGGAAAACAAGCAGCCTCACCACAATATATATGGCCTAAAAAAACACACCCACCAGAAATTCCCCAATTCCAAAATTCAGCTACTGCAATAACGTAAATCAAGCAAATCCCATTTCGAAAGATAGGTTCTTTATCGTGTGTTCCTTACATTGCAGGCGATGATGATGCGGAGGAGATTAGCCATGTGGCGGGCGTTCTCTTCCTTGCGCTTCTTAGCTCCCTGATTCGCCATTTCCTTCCTCTACTACTCACCAAAACCCTAAGATTACCCCCTTTTCTCCTCTCTCTTCCCTGATTGCAAGCTCAGCGCGACTGGGTTTTGCTTCTTCGAGCTTACTTGGTCGTTACCTATGGAAAAAGCCGTCGGAAAAGCGGGACCGGAGTCTGTATGTGAGTTGGGTGACTGAAAATTTGAGCCGAAACTGTTAAAAGTTTAGAGCTTTTTTCCCTCTCGATCTTGTTGTCTGAGCTGAAATTTTTGGTAGGCGGAGACGACGAGAGATTGAGAGCGCGCGCCGCCGTGGACTTCTGGGCTGGCGGGTACGAATTTTGGGTCTGAAAACGGGCCAAACCAGGCCCAATGTACTTGAACCCATATCCACCCTTTTTATCTCCCATTTTCACCCTCATCCTATAAGGGCATAACTATTAACTCACATATCACATTTCCTCTCTATAGGGGAGTAATTCATTTTTCGAGATTCACTGGGATGGATGATTTTTATGCGATTACGAATGAAAATAAAATCCTCTTACTGTTGCACTTAGTTACCCACAAAATTCGAACTCTTTTCCAGTTCTATATTAGATATAGCCTAACTCTTATAGATACATTCTAAAACGTTGAAACTTTAATGACGAATATCGTGCTAGACTTCTTATGCCGAAGTTGTCATCCTGCAAATTGAACTGGTCAAATCTTTTCCTAGTCATTGTCTTCACCTTGAATGGACCTATGTTCTCTATGTCACTTCAAAATTTATGCTTGTGCATTCTCCATCTTTCACAATTCTTGCCCATTGTTTTCCCCATCGAGCATCATCATTGTTATTATTGCCATTTGCCCACTTGGTTACCAAGCCTTAGTGAGGAATCTATATTCTAGATAATCCCACGGGAATGATTCTCTCCCAAGATAGCACGATACAATTGGAGTAAAGGTGGAGCCACGTGTAGTACAAGAGACATCGTAACTAAGATACACATAATACGTATAGATCTAAGTTCATAAAATATTTTTAGGTACTACCAAAGTCCAAAGCAACAGCACATACAAGATTTTGTCTATAAATAGACCATCGGGTCTTCCAAGTAAGAGGCTCCTCTCCTCTCTTCCCTCGACAGACTATGCACCTTTCTTCATTGTCTCTTGCTATCTTTGCACACTCTATTTTCATAACACTTGGTTGATGTTGATCGTCGGGACATAGATAAGGTGAGACATCCCACATTTCTATAGATCCGGTGTGCTCTCGAAGAGTTTGGACCAGCGGTGCTCAAATTAAGACTATGGAGCTAGACAATTACTTATAATAATTAATAAGATAACAAGTTCAACATACTATTGAGAGGACGTGATCTTCAAATATGAAGAATCTAGAATAACATTGAAAGTCATTATCGTATTTGTGTAAAAATATATCCTTTTTTCGGTTTGTGATTGATGAGTTCTCTTCCCATCATATTTTTCGTAAAACTACAAGAAATAAACTTTGGATTGGAATTTAGAAACTAGGGTTGATGTTTACAAGTTACAACCACTATCTAGCTAGTGGAGATGAAAGGGTGGTGGTCCGTTTGTGATATGGATTCCATGTACATGTCATGCAAAGGCTACAACCTTATAACAGGTGTCCCCTTTGACGAAAGAAAAGATGTCAATGGAAAATCATTATCGAAACACAATTAAAAACATTTGAATAATTGGCTAATTCAGAATTTAGTGTGACGAGTGCTGAAAATAACAATTTGTAACCGTTTTTCACAATTGAACATACATTTCAAAGAAGGATACTAATAACTCACATCATACAACTTTCTAATATTGTTTCAAGATATAAATATATACATATTATAACCTCATATTACAATTGAGTGGGTTGTAACCCTTCCACAACTATACGTAGCTCCGCCACTAATTCAAATAATCCAAATACAAATGATCAGAATGATGTTAACACCTAACCCGAACAATCTTTTTTTGTTAGCCTTGTTTGTGTGTAGTCTTACTATTGGGTTAATCCCCACTCTATACACTACTAGTAAAGAAACATGGATCATGGATGTATTAGTTACGAAAACATAATACAAGGACTAAAAATGCTATTCATAATTCATCCATAATATACAATTAAGCAGTGGGCATGGGCCCACTTGGAAACGCAGAGTATCTCTTCTTTTGTGGCGACCAGCCAATGCGACTTTTGGATGTGGGCTTCCAGCCCGTCATCAGTGGGCCCCAGCCTTTTGCTTTTCGCCATAAAGACCGGACTGGCGGCAACATTCATTCATTAATAATAATAATCACGTAATTAGTCGTATAATCAAGAAAATTACCATTTACCGCCATAGAAACATGGCGTCGCCAAACAGTAAACGAAGTTAATAAACAAAACTGGAATTCCAGCGCAGGCAGCCATTCCTCAAACAAACTTGGAGAGGAGCTTCCTCGATCGATTCCCTAATATTCAAAACCCTTCTCCCTCTCTCTCTCTCTCTCTCTCTCTCTCTCCCCATTTTCTCTTACAAAAGCCCCATATCTGATATCTCTGTCTTTCACCAATTCTCAGGGAATCTCTCTCTCTATCCCTTTTCTCTGAATCGTCACAGCTACTACCCGATTCGGAAGAGATCAGGTTTCATCCGGTTTCTTCCCCTATTGCCGTCCGCCCCAATTTCGGATTCTCTCAGGTGCGTTGTTTCTTTACCATTTCTTTCGTTTCCGTTTGCTGGGCGTAGGCAAAGTTGCGAGCTTTATTGTTTTAGGAAAACAAAGGGAGGAAGGAAAATGGTGTATTCATTTCGTTGTTTGATGTGTCCATATCGTGCATTTTTTGAAGCTTTTTGGCAATTGGGTATGTTTTGATTCTATGGTATTTCGTATTGAATTTGAGCTACCCGATTGATGAAAACCATAACCTTTTTAGCTTTTCATTTCCCCCCCTCAGTGCGAGGGAATCGTCTTTTTGTATCATTATGCGTTCGTGGGCGAGTTTTTGAGGAATTCTGATTCTGATTCCAAGTTACTGGAATAAACCGAGCAATAATTCAACCCATTTGTCTGGTCTTATATTAGTCTGTGGTCATCATTTTCTGGAGTAGTTGGTAAGCTTGCTTTTCTTGCTTTCTTTCTTCTTTCAGGAGGGCCTTTGTAAATTGTACCTCATTCTTGGCCTAAATCTGGGGGAACTTAAGAGAAAAGAAGGATGAGAAGAAGTGTTCGATCGATACGCCACTTAGCTTCTGCTTTTCAAGAATGCAGTAGTGCATCGGCTAGATTGGTTGGTGGAAGAAGGCACATGATTTTGATACAGGCCAACTCTGCCTCTCTGCATACATTACTCACTAACACAGACATTAATAGATTTCTTTCAGACCCTAATAAATTCGTCAGCTTTAGAGCTTTGTCTACTGATGCTGTTGAACGAGTTCCTAATTCAGGTGAAATTTCCACCTGTTCTTGGTGGGTTTGCTGTAATTGATAATTTACTTGGTTCATTGTTGGAAGAAGCGTTTGGAATTCGGTTTCTCATTTGCTTGCGGAATTGGATTGAACTTGTTTCAATTGCAGATGGCCACAAGGCAGGGCCGCTTGTGGAATATGAAAGAAGGATTGCCGCTGGAGAACTTATGGATGGCGATAGCTGTCAGGTTATATCTCTTGTTCTGTATTTGTATTTTGAGAAGAATGAAGGAACTTTTGTACCAAACTAGGCCTAATCATGTACTTTTTTTTCTCTATAGTTAGGAACATTGACAGAACTGCAAAGGCTCTTTGATGAGATTGTTGAGTCGGCTGATGCCTGCAAGTTGGATCGATATTCTACTTCTGATAAATCGGGAAGGTTTGCTGAACATTCTACCCTACTTTCTGGTACCTACATACATATGATGATGAGCATTGTTTGATGTTGGTTGCTTTCTTTCGGTGAATCAGGAGCCGGTGGTTATGGTCACGCTTCATTCCACAGTCGACATATTCGCCTGTGAAAGGACTCTATCTTTATGGAGGTGTAGGCACTGGGAAGACCATGCTGATGGATTTGTTCTATGATCAATTGTAAGCATCCCACAGAGTTGTCCCTTTTGCTTTGTACATACTCAGCCATTGTCAAGTTACTGGATTTAACTCTTCGTGTGTTCCTACATCAGGCCTTGCAGTTGGAGGAAAAAGAGGATCCATTTCCATGACTTTATGCTCAATGTCCATAGTCGCTTGCAAGTAAGAATCTGAGCTTCTGATGTAATTCTGTGGTAGAGTGAGGGACTCAGAGGGGTTGTGACTTTGCGATTTGTAATTGATGATTCTTGTTTTGGGTTCGTCAGAGACACAAAGGTGTGTCAGATCCACTTGAAGTAGTTGCAGGGGAGATCTCTGACGAGGCAGTTTTGTTATGTTTAGACGAGTTCATGGTATGTTTGGTTTCACATGATCACTAGTACTACTGATGCTGAGTTATCTAAAAGCATACTTGATTAGTGTCAACTCTAAGTACGACATTTCCATTTACAGGTGACTGATGTAGCTGATGCATTGATACTGAATCGCCTCTTCGGACATCTATTCAGCAATGGTGTTGTAAGTCACTATGCAGAAAGACTTGAAATTGCTTTGCTGGAAAAAGTTTGGAGCTTCAACTTAGAACTTGTTTGTTTATGCATGATGGAGGCAAGTACAGATTCTTGTTGCCACTTCAAATCGTAACCCTGATAAGCTCTACGAAGGTGGACTACAAAGGGATCTATTTTTGCCCTTCATCCAAACTCTGAAGGACAGATGTGTGGCTCATGAAATTGGCTCATCAGTAGACTACCGAAAATTGGGCTCGGTGAGCTTCCAGTTGATTCTATGTTAAGGCATTCCCTTTTGTTTCTCTGGATGTTCATGTAGAACTCTGAATGGTCAGCAGGCTGAGCAAGGATTCTACTTCGTCGGCAAAGATATATCCAGCCTCCTAAAGAAGAAGTTTCAGGAATTGGTTGGTGAACACAAAGTTGGGCCCGAAGAGGTGGAAGTAGTGATGGGAAGAACACTGCAGGTTTGTAGGGGTTTTTCCCCAATTTGCTTGAGATCATGTAAAAAGGAAACCTTCTTTCATTCAGCCTCTTATGTTCTTTCTCCATGGTGGTTAGGTTCCACTCGCTGCTGATGGATGTGCATACTTTCAGTTTGAGGAACTCTGCGATAGACCTCTTGGAGCTGCAGACTACTTTGGATTGTTCAGTGAGTTTATCTTAAACCAAATTAAATTGCATATTCATGTCGATGCAAACAATCTAAACAGTTCGATTTGAGAACTATTTGATGTACAAAATTACACCTGATAATCTGCATGGATCTTGGAAAAAATCATTGAACTTTGATTCTTAACGAATTTAATTGTGACAAAATAGTCACTCCTCTGTCCATCACCTTCAAGTTCTGTTGTCCAAATTGTCGATACTTGATAGCAGTGTGTCAACTCACCTATGTCAATGATGAAAAACAAGGTCATCTGGACTCTCTTTCCTTGGATAATTTCTTGCAGCCAACATTTCCTGTTACTTCTTTCAGAGAATTTCCATACACTTGCACTAGAAGGTATCCCAATCTTAGGACTCAACAACAGGACCGCAGCATATCGGTTCGTCACATTAGTCGATGTATGCCCTCTCGACCTTCCTCCTGATATCGTGCTCGCATATAATATTTAAGAACACTAAACTCATTCTTACATTTCCAGGTTATGTATGAAAACCGGGGGAGACTGTTATGCACAGCAGAGGGAACTCCATTGGAGCTCTTCCAAAAGATAGTTACGATATCTGATGCCAAACAAATGGCCCCTAGAACCTCTACCCGATCAAGGAGGAGCGACGAGGCTGATCTCTGTGTTGATAATGAACTCGGGTTCGCCAAAGATCGAACCATAAGCAGGCAAGTACTTTGCATCCTATATCACACAAATCCCACTATTCTGTCTCTGATTTGGATCCTGAACTTCGCAAACGAACAAATGCAGGTTGACTGAGATGAACAGCAAGGAGTATTTGGAACACCATGCTACCATGATAGAGGAGAAGCAGCAGCAGCTATCACAAGAAGCTGCATAAGTACAGCTATGAGGTTAAGATGATGGCGAAAAAAGGCGGTTCGTTTGTATACAAAATACACATAAAATACTGCCCTTGTTGGAGCTCTGATGTTATTCGTTTAGATGAATAATGAGCGCATGTATCAACTTACATCAGCTGTAAATTAACAATTGTAGCATATCAGATTGATTGTGATAAAACCCTTGTTCCTCACCTGGCTGCTGTATTTTTTTTTTGTAGGAATTAAGACGCCAATGGCGTCTTAATTCGTATTAATTAAACGTTCGTGGGCGATGCCCATTACATAAAAAAAAAACCAGTGGCTAAGCCCCAGATCAGAAATATCAAAATGATAGGCTCCAAAATGAAGGCCATGGCCTTTGTGAGCTAAAAAATCAGCAACGTTGTTGCGCTCCCTAAAAACATGGGAAATCTGTACATTCCAATCCAAAGACAGAAGTTTGTTGATCTCGAGTGTGAGAATACCATGTCTGTGGGTTACATCATCCTTATGCTTGATGAGGTAGACTGTTGTGCTATCATGCTTCTTAATTCTTATGGAACGGGAACAAGACTAATGACTGTCAATCTGGCAAATTGGCTCCATAAATAGGATGAGGTGTTCCAAAAGGCACTTTTCCCTAAATCGTAAATCATGAATATCTATCAAAATCACGAGAGCATGTGAGTAGGAGTTTCTCGAGTCCTTCAAAGGAGAGATCAGACAGAGATTAGTCTATATGTAGTTGACAAACTCATAAACATATGTTTATTTGAAATCTTTCACATGTAACTGCGGGTTGCGACTCAAACCCTCTTCAATACTCTTAACTTATATGGGGAAAAAGATTTTTACCTGTTTGGTAACTAAGAGTAAGACTGGAACTCATTTTAGTTATTGAATTGGACATAAAGAAAGTTCTCTCTTTAGGGGTCCAGTTTTGATTGGGATCAAATATGTTAAATTTTAGACCCTTATTAAAGACATGGAATATATTATTGAAAGAAAGTGAGAAAAGTCGTACTTATGCAAGAAATCTAACTCCAGCAAGTCACACAAGACTCTAGAAAATAGGATCAGTCCTTCTACCTAAAATAAAGATCCCTCAATTCCGTCCAATGATTCTGTTAGGTCACAAGCAAAACAAAATGTGTTTTGATCCTTTTTGATATTCCTAATTGTCTTGTTGAACTCTGTTTTGCTGGTGTTTGTCCATTGTTTTCTTTATAATTTTTTTTTAAATGCCTTCTTTGTTTGTAAGAGGGAACAATTCATTAAAAACAGGATCAAATTGGGCAGACACTAAGAATAAGTGATTTAAAAATAGTAAATTACACTATTTAATTGGTACTTCTTAATTGTTATGGTAAGTATTCTTCACAATGGTGAAAATGACATTTGAATCAGTGGTTGATCTATCCAAACCCAATGTTTCCATATTTAGGATCCACCCATCATTGCCAAATTCAACACGTTCGCATATTTATCGTATGACGAAATGATATCGAAATACCAATAGTCTCCTTAAAAATTCTACTAAAGAATAACTCAAATCGCAAGATATCAGAATTCACACGGTGTGCTTTCGAGTTCGATCCACATGACCTACCATTTGAAGGAAAAGCACTTGTTGACCATCAACGAAGCTATAAATATGAAATACCGCTTTTATAGATTCGTCAAGTATTCGTACAAGCTGAAATTCTCGAGCTTCAACCATAAGTTACCGCCCAACAAGAAAAAAACCCAAAAATCCTTGGTTGTATAAACATACAAAAACACCAATGAAAAGTATAAACATATAAGAACATACAAGTAAGCATAGATTGTAAAACTACCCACATAAAACAATTTTAGGTGCATGTCAAGACAAACATAAGTAAAGACCTAATGAACACTAACTTGGCCATATATTTTAAAGACCTTTTTAAGAATCAAATACCATATGAAAAACGGCTTTATAATTACACAAACAAGAAGCCTATCTATATAAATACATCTACACATCAAATTGCTTTAAGAAAACCGGTGAAGCTAACTAAGGAGTTCATTTGCCTCTTCCGATCATCCTCTCTTCTACTTAGTTTGTTCTCATCTCCATCTCGAGGTAATTTTTCCCCCATCTCTTAAGTATATATCATGATAGACTAATACGCAAGGATTGTAATATCGTATTGTTAATCAAATTGCATTTTCTGGATTACATGTTATTTTTAAGGGTGGTAATCGTAGTGTGTAATAAGGGGGTTGTCTTCGGTTCAGGAGGGTACATCGTTATGGAAAGAAACCACTAACCGAATTTCCATGAAATTTATGAAAGATTGATGATAGATAGACATGGATGATTGCATTTGGAGATGATTAGGGCAATTTCTGTATTTTCAATTTTCATGTGATGTGTAGAGAATGGCAAACGGCAGTGGGAGCCAGAAGACGATAAGGAAAGCCATTGGGGCTCTGAAAGATACAACCAAGGTTGGATTGGTGAAAGTAAATAGTGAATACAAGGTAACTAAAATTAGTTAAGAACATCACATTTCATTCATCAAATTCTGTAATTAGATCATATATGACTATAATTGGATGATTTAGTGGTCGTAAAATTATGAATAGAATGGCGAAGTGAGTTTTTCTAACTTATTTTCACACCCATTTCTAAAATTTATTCGCACTCTCCTCATACCCGCGATTGTGGTTTTTTTTTACCCTCCGTAATTAGCACGACTTTCCAATTGTTTTTTTTTTCCATGGTTGGGCAGGGAATTGATGTTGCGATTGTGAAAGCGACGAGCCACGACGTCGTACTACCAAAGGAGAAACACATTAGGAGTGAGTAACTAAGAGGGGATTGATTAAGAATTTGAGAAAATATAACTAATAATCATTTTGGATTAAGTATATGATCATTGATCTAATCATGGGTCTCTGTTCTCTTTTGTATTATGCAGCAATTTTTGGTGCTCTTTCTGCAACTAGCCCTCGTGCCGATGTCACACGCTGCATTCATCGCCTCATCAAGCGCCTCTCCAAAACACATAACTGGACGGTACTAAAATCTGAAACATGAATTGTTTCATTGTATCGTCGACGACAACAGTAACTGACCCTTGATCGAAAAAATACACAGGTTGCGTTGAAGACGCTGCTAATTATTCATCGAGCAATTAGGGAAACTGATTACAACTTCCCAGAGGAGCTGATCAGTTACAGCCGAGGGAGCAATTTGATGCTCAACTTGTCTCACTTCCGAGATGTCTCCACCCCAGAAGGTATACACTCTAATTAGTTCCAACAAATCACTCGTTAATGCCATCACATTATAGTGAAAATGATCAATTTTTTTTACAATGGTGGATTAATTAAGCTTGGGATTACTCTGCTTGGATCCGATGTTATGCCCTGTACCTCGAAGAGCGACTCGAATGCTATCGAGTTATGAAGTACGACATCAACAGAGATCAACTGGTAAGTGCTTCGGTAAACAATTTGTTGATCCACTTTCGGTTCAATACATGCACGTATTATTTATATATATATAAAAAAGCACCCATTCGATTAAGTTTGAATGTTTTGATAGTATATATCGCAATTATCTTATATGTCGAGCGGTTGTGACATCGGGTTGTTTTTTATAAACTTACTAAATTCCTTTTTAACTAGGGAACCAAAATGCTTGACACCCCTGGCTTGCTTGAGCAACTGCCTGCCATGCAGCAATTACTATTTCGCCTTCTTGCTTGCAAGGTAAATGAATACTTTGCATAAATAACAAATTCATAAGCCATGCCCATGCATAATTACCTCTAAATCTAATAAATTTTTTCTTCAATTTATCATATGATTTTGAGAAATGAAATTAATATTCAATAATTGGATCGTCTTGAATTAATGCAGCCAGAAGGAGCAGCTTCGCGCAATAGCTTGATTCACTATTGTCTTTCGATAGTAAGTAGTTAATTAACTATAATTAAAATAGTATTTAGTTACTATATGATCCGTATTTAGTTTTTTATTAGTTTTAATATCGCAATTAATCGATTTATTTCGGTTTGATGCAAAAGATTGCCCGTGAGAGCAGTAGCTTGTACATTGGCATCAGCAATGGAATTCTCAACTTGGTTGACAGGGTGAGACTTTTGGCTATATGAAATTGATCTTCAAGTAATTAATTTGGTGTAGTTCTATTAGTATTTTAGTAATTGATTAGTAAGATTGTTAATGAAATTGAAATTGTTGTGTTATAGTTCTTTGAGATGCGACATTCTAATGCCACTAAAGCACTTGAGATTTACAAGAGGGCTTCAATTCAGGTAGAGTAATATCACTAATGAGCACAATGAATCATTGAGCTTGATTCATAATGGATAACAATTAATTAATTTTTTTATAATTTTTTTTTATGTTTAGGCGGAAAAATTATCGGATTTCTTCCAAATATGTAGAGCTTATGATTTTGGTCACGAATTGAGGCTTACGAAAATCGAGCAGGTATTCATCCATTTTCTTTACTCTTCATTTTCTAACGACACTCGAGATATTCACATGTATTTTTATGAAACTTCTAGTTAGTTTGAGCATTTTGTAACTTCATCTTTTTTTTTTCTTTAAAAGCTTAATATCCTACACGACAACAAGGTGTAGTCTAGTTGATTCCTATGCATCCATGAAATTTTCATAAGATCGTATTTGATTATTTCGTAATTCTCTGTTTGCCCTTCTCTCTTCTTTATGCGTAGGAATCGATATTATATTTGTGTGTTGAATTTTGTGAATTGCAATTTCTTTCGAGTATGTTTGGTTTACTACTAAGTAATGAGAGAGTTTTGTTGGATGGATGGATGCAAATGCAGGCTCCAAAATCATTTGTGACCGCCATGGAGGATTATGTAAAACAGAGTTCACCAAGCTCTTCGTTACAAAATCGAACGGTAAGCACTTTTTTCTTCTTCTTATTCTATCTATACAAAGTTCAAAATTTGGAACCAACATCGTTAATAAGGAAAGGTACCACCTTTTCTTTCTGAATTTTGATTGGATTTTGCTCTATCCTCCATGAAGAGAACTGATGACCGTCAAGGAGTTAGCCCAAAATCAATTGTCTCCACTCCAGAATCGGTTTCCCCTGCTGGAGATAATTATAAGCAAGAAGTTCCTACAAACCTTTTCGACTCAGAGCCTGATTCCCCAACTCCCCAAAAGCAAGAAGAAATTGCTGCCAATAATCTCATGGTAAGTAGGCCACTAATGTAGAACATCTTATAACTATATTTTTCAACTTCATGAAATCTAGATAATGTGTGTAACTCTCTCTCTCTCTTTTGGTCTATATCTACTAGGATGATCATTCAGACGACTCGACTCAAGGAGAATTCAAATCGGAGAAGCTAGCGGTTAAGATTGTTCGCTTCGAATCTTCATTTTTCGGTATTGTTTCCCTTTCTTCGTGCACAATTGACTCTCGCGTACGTGAGGCTAGTTCGTACCAATAATTCAAAGTCTCACCTAGATTTAAAACTGGGTGTTATACCATACTCTCTTATAATTGTAGAATGATTTTTTTTTGTTTGTTTTTCGAATTGTTTGCAGATAGTCCTCGTGGGAAGACGGAGACCAACAACAATAACACGAACAACGCGACGTTGTCTCAAGCAACGAGCTGGGAGCTAGCTCTAGTTACAGCATTCAGTTCCGATGAAACCGATACTAACCCGGTGGCTGTTAGTGACACATTGGTGAGTCTAATCTCTGAATTAGCTAACTCTCTATAGAAATAAAACCCCATTTTTAACATATCCTTAACCATCATCATTTCTCTCACTCCTAGGCTGGTGGATTTGACAAATTGACACTTGAAAGCTTATATGAAGCAAGCCCACCTGAGAAACCAAATCAAATCAGTAGTTCCTACAATGTGGGGTGTGATCAAATGGCATTCATGAATCCTTTTGGTGATTCCATGAATCAGGCCTACAACAACAATGGTAATGTGCAACTTAAGCCAATGGGTGGTGGTCAAGGGGAGGCTTTCAACATGTTTCCACCATTGCCACAACAAGGTGAAGAGCCATTGAAGGGTGGTGGGATTGATGGTGGCTCATCATCAGTTGATTTCCTTGGGAACCCTTTCCTTGATTCACTTCATGCTCCTACTTCTTACCATGTTGCTCCTTCACAAAGCTCATTTTCTGCAATAATGTAGGGTTTGCACATGTAGTGGGGGGATGAAATTATTCTATTACTTTGTGACTCATTCTTTTTAGTTTGTGGAATGTTGTATGTAAGAAAGTGGATATTTGTATGATGATATAAGAGAAATCATGAATGTCATGTAAGATTATTGTTACTTCGTTATCATGTTGTATCCTTCTTATTCTTGAGCAAGTGTTAAATCATGCGAGTTGATGTGACTTGAATACATATACGTATATCTATATATAGATACCTCTAGAGAGAAAGTAGAGAGAGGGCGGCGCAATTAAGTCAATAGCTTTTTTTTTACTGCATTCGTTCATTTTTTAGAAGTTGGTTTACATGACTTTACTAATACTTAATTGACCAATGACAATCTAACTCATATACATTTTTGGGAAACGAAAAATGGTAGGATGACAATTTTGACACAACTCATGAGTAATTAATTATCTAATGGTATGAAATTCAAATACAAGATAAATGTGTATATATTTATGGTTTTATACACATACTTACTTATTTGGATTGGTTCGATTTTTAAATCATGGATTTGGGTTTCTACTAAAACTTAGTACCTAAACTTATATTTAGGCATAGAAGTCCTAGAAATCAATGAAAATTTTTATTTCGTGAGTAAAGTTTTCATCCTTACAATTTTATATCTAAACATTTTAAGGTTTACAAATCGGTCACATTTTTATATATTGTTTAAAAAATCTCATATAAATGTGTAAACTCATATCCAAATAGAATAAGTATGAAAAGGAATTGTCTAAATGGTCAGGACTATTTGTTTTTCTCGATTCCATATGTAGCATATGCCCAATCAAGTGAAGTACCCTACTAACATTATAGTTGACCTCATTTTGTTTGCAGAAGCAGAAAAGAAGCAGCTAGAAACTATTCGGAGATGTTTGGATGAATTGTGCAGCAGCTCTGGTCAGCGGGTTAATCTGTCAAAATCTGCTATGTTTGTTTCTCCAAACATACCTAGCAATAGAGCCCAACAACTGAGTAGTAGAGCTGGAATCCCCTTAACCGCAGACCTTGGGAAATATCTGGGGATTCATACGATTAATGTCAGAGTTACCAAGGCTAGGTACAAGGAGCTCTGCCTGCGCATACAGAAAAAGCTTGCTGCTTGGATAACAAGACATCTCTCTTTAGCAGCTCGCTTGACTCTGGTGAGATCGATTTCTACCTCTATGACTTTCTATCCTATGGCCCCGCTTAGTATAGATTTTATTTTGTTGTGTTTTATCTAGATTGTGCCAACGGAAAAGCAACAACAACACCAACACAACTAAAATCAGCAACGTGTTCATCTCACAAAATTGAAAAATTTTGAAACACGAAAACTAAAAAAAAACATGTTTACTTCTGTTGTTTTCCATTGATTTGGAGAATAATAAAAAAATTTATTTAAGATCTGAAAATCTTGTTCTCCTTGGCTGCTTCTGTTCTTGGTGGAAGACAAGCGGCGACGGACTCCAAAGAAGAAAAGGAGTCGAGATGGGGAAGGTCAGCCCCGCTACGTCTCCTGCCGGGATGGAGAAGAAGCTGTCGGCTGACCCTGGAGAAGAAGCCGCAGCTTCTGTCCAACCGCCCGACTCCGCCGATCCTTGCCTCACTGGAGAAGAAGCCGTCGCTTCTGTCCAATCGCCCGACTCTGCCGCCTCTTTCCCCCAATCAAGCCGTCTAGATTTCCCCTGTCTCACCAATCAACATTGCGGCACAAAGAAAGGAAAGAAAAATGGGGATTTCGAGTGGGATTTGAATTGGGAAGATTTATCATCCATTGAGATAGACGGCGGCCACTGATTTGGGTTTCCTGCCGCCGATGGATTCGAGTTTCCAGTTTACATATCTTTGATGATGAGTCCGGCTTCCGGAGGCGGAAGGATGATAGAGGTTTACAGCAGCAGAGGGATGACGGGAGAGACTTGTCGAGATGGGAGATCGTGAGAGAGTTGAGAAGTGTGAGATGAGAGAGGGGAGGCTGCAGGCACTGGAACGTGGAATGCAGAAGAAGAAGAAGAAGAAGAAGAAGAAGAAAGGTCGCTGGGGAAAAAATTGGTGTTTAATGAAAACTTTATTAAAAACCCGTGTGCAACAGATAGGAGAAACACATCCAAAGCAATCTTTTCTTGTTTCTCTAATTTTAGCTTGGTTGTGCAAATCTGATTCACAACAAAAAATAGAAACCCAACTAAACATGTTTTTATTTCTTGGTTTCTCCAATCTTGAAAAACACAACAGAAAACAAAAACAGACAACAATACTAAACGGGGCCTATGTTTACAGAGGCACTTCCTACTTTGGTTTGCAATGATCTTGACAGGTGCAATCGTCAGTTCATTTGGGGAGAGGAGGATGGGAAGTCTAAATTTCACCCGATTGCTTGGTATCAGATGACGTTGTCAAGGAAGATGGGTGGTGCAGGGATCCGGCCAACAAGACTCACCAATCAAGCCTTGCTGGCGAAGGGAGTGTGGAAGCTAGTCACTAACGATCAGTCGCTATGGGCTAGAGTGCTTCGGGACAAATATGCTCGATCAAAAGAGGGACTTTCAGTTCTGCAGAAACGAAAAGGAAGTTCCATGCCCTGGCGAAGTTTTACTTCGATTATTGGTGTCCTTAAAAAGGGTTATACTATTAAAGTTAAAAATGGGATGACTAACTTCTGGCATGATCCTTGGGTGTCGCAGGTACCGTTGATTGATATAGCTACCGAGGAGATATCGAAAAGCAGACAAGCAAAAATGGTAGCTGATCTTTGGGACCCGGACGATGGATGGAGACTGAATGAATTTCAAGACAACCTGCCTCAACACATGATAGACAACATCCGATCAGTCTTGGTTGATCCAATGGCAGCTGAAGAAGACCAAGGCATCTGGAACTTGTCCTCCAATGGCCAGTTCACAGCAAGTTCCGCCTTCAAGGCTATCTCACCGCAGCATCAGAGCTCTCTCCCACCTTCCTTTTGGCAAAGAATATGGAAACTCCATGTTCCTGAGAGGGTAAGGGTTTTCATGTGGATGGCCAGCAAAGGCAGACTGACGACCAATAACATCCGGAAGTACCGTCATCTCACCCAGAACGACAAGTGTCCGGAATGTCCGGATGTGTCAGAATCAAACCTCCACTGCCTGAGAGATTGCGTTTTGGCTAAGGCGGCCTGGTTGAAAATCATCCCTGCTTAGCAGCATTCTCATTTCTTCAGCCTTGGCCATGAAAATTGGCTTCAGGAAAACATCTCTAATGAAGACCATGGTGATTGGATGGGTGATTGGGCGAGCTATTTCAGCCTCATAACCTGGTATCTCTAGAAATGCAGAAATGACAGTGTCTTCAAAGGAAAGAAGTTGTCTCCCTCATCTCTCCACAACTATGTCACGGCAAAGGCTAGAGAGTGGAGCAAGGCCTGGAGTGAGGGACGATTAGAAGCAAATGCTCATGACCAACATGCAAGAACCGAAGCACTGGTTTCCTGGAAAGCTCCTGTCGCCGGATGGGGGAAAATGAACACTGACGGGGCGGCTCAAGGCAGCCCGGGAATCGCCTCCGCCGGCAGAGCACTTCGTGATTCACAAGGCACGTGGCTGGGCGGCTTTTGCAGCAAGATGGGTAATGGTACATCCATTATGGCCGAGCTCTGGGGGATTCTTCAGGGACTTCAATTGACTTGGAAGAAAGGTATTAGATTCCTCATCCTCGAATCGGACTCTCAACTCGCTTTGGATTTGATTAAGAACAGGACGGATGCAGCTCATCCACATGCCACTATTCTTGGATTGATTCGTCGTCTTCTCGCTCAAGGCTAGGTGGTTCAGCTGGCTCATACATACCGGGAAGGGAATAGAGTCTCGGACTGGCTCTCGAAGCACAATCTCGTCTATCCCTTTGGTACGTATGAGTTAGATGAACCTCCAGGTGACTTAAAGAAAATTCTGCAAGAGGACCTTTTGGGAGTGAGCTTCCATCGGCAAGTCCGGCAAAGGTCCAGTAGTGACAATTGAAATTTGGTTTGAGCTTTGCTTGTTGTTCCTCCCTTCACCTATGTGTGCGTTTGGGTGATTCTGGTGGCCTTGTAGCCCCTCTGTAATCCTGGCGTCTGCCTCCTTTTTATAAAAAAAAAAAATCTAAACTTTTAACAGTATTTGAACACAAGGGTCGCACTCTGCTTCGTTTCATCCATTTTATCATTAATTTGACTCGGCACGTTAAACCAACTTGTTATGACATGTTGGTTGTTGCAACAACCAATCTAACTATAGATTGAACAAAATGAGATATGCTAAATGGCAATGTTGGATAAACTAACTGAAGTGGTGGAAGAGGACATCCAATTAACAAAATGTAAAAGATGAGCCCTAAAGAAGAAAACAATTAAGTAGATAACCAGAACAAAGCAGCAAATAAGGCTTTTCCTAGGTTGTCTTCCCTTTTCTTCCTTGGATTGAGAAGTGGTGGTACATACTTTCAAAGCCATTTGAAGCTGTACCTGTTTTCAGCTCTGAGAAGCAAGGTTCCGGGTGCAGCGGAGAGGCATTGGCAATAAAGCTCACGGGGGCACTTCTATGCAGAGGATCATAGTGATGAAGGTGTCGCCTTGAGGAAGATGGGCAGGTTGGCATTCACCCAGAAGATGACGCCATGGAAAATGCAGGAATTCCATCTAATTGGGGACAAGTGGGTAAGTATTTTTTTCCCCCTCGCACTGTTCATTGTCGTTGTTTTTGTGCCATTCATTGTCATTGAGAACCAAACTTCAGTTTTCTTATATTACTCTGCTTTTTCACTGACATAATTTTGTTTGGAATGGGAATGCGGAGGAATATCATGTTGAATGTGGTGTACTACAAAGATGCCAAGGTGAAGATGGTGGAGGATAATATAGGATCATCTTCAGGACTATAAGAGCAATGGCGGAGGCTATCATCAGCTCTCATCCGTTGCTCGATCTCCTCTGTTTCTCCACCTCAGTTTTGAAAGTTCTGGTAGAACTTGGTTGTTTTTATTTAGTTTCTGGTGATGTTTTAGCTTTGAACTATTTGCTTGTGAAGTATGATGTTACATCTAGCCACTTTCGTGAACTTGGGTTTGGTTGTGTCTAAGCTTTAATGATTTGGTGTTACTGTTGAAAGTGGATGGAAGCAGGGATAGAAGTAATATAAATTTGCAGAGTCCACTAATTTCGAGGGTATAAATTCGTTACTTAGTAGATCTGTATACTTGTAAATTTCATATTTTCATTCGTCGGTGTGGGATTTGGGACATGACCTTCAATACATGATGATAATTTACTTTTATATGTGTCATTAGAAATAAAAATGCTTTAGTTAGGATAATAAGGTTACTCATGTTTAAAAGTTATCAATTCATAACAACAAACTCCATGAACAAATCTATCAAGTCCATCACAAATCTTGGATTTTTCAAAACTCACAAATTATAACCAAAGAGTCCCATTTTTAAAATTCAACAAGCAAACAACCCTCCTCCAGTCTGGCGACGCCAAACAGCTTTGTTAGGAGCTTCCCGATGGAGAAGAGAGTTCGGAAAGGAACGGGAGAGAGCATCGAAGTTGAGATCGGCGAGGCATCGATTGGGAATGGAGGCTAGAGAACTGGAGACTAATATCGAGAAACATGCAAGCAGTAGGGAAGGAATGTCCCACGCAAAACTGAACTGAGGTCGAGCACCAACTACCGGGCGCAAATAAGAGATGCAACAATCCTAGGGATTGATGAGTAGCTACGGTGGGGTTGCGAGCTCAAACCCTAGGGAAGGATGCAGGGAAATTAGGGTTCGTTTATGTGGTGTGGATATGTGATTTGTGGAAGGAAAGAGCTAGCCAATTAGTTACCGATGCACCAATTTCGTATCGGTTTGTAAACCGATAACCGCCATTAGCTAATTACCCAAAATAGCCAACAGAAATACTACATCCAATTTTTTGGTTTTCGAGCAACCGACTAATCGACTTTTTCGATTCAATTTTTCGGTTAATAGACTAACCGACAAACCTACTATCACCCCTGTTTTCGCATATTTGGACATAACCCTTTTCTTCATTCTTCCTTTCCACCCAAGAAGAAACCAAAATGAAAATAGCTAAACCTTTGGTATAAGTAGGTAGGAGGATGAGTTTGGTTAAATTTCAAAGTTTCTGGCTTATTCCCAAGTCCCAACCCCAAACCCATCACTGCACTGCAGGCAACCTTCACATCATCGTACAACAGCAATATACAAATGGAGAGAAGAAAAAAAGAAAAGTGTGCTTCCCAAAGAATACACCACTCCTCCTCCCTGCTCTGTTCTGCTCTACAAACCCACCACCAACACCATTCACACACTTCACTGTCCTCCCTTCCTCCATATCTAACTCCCCCCTTTCCTTAATGTTGTCGTCGTCATCCACCGGCGGCGAAGACTCCAGTCACCACGGCGCCGGCGCCGGCAACACGACTTCCTCTTCCGATCAGTACCCTGACCCCGCTTACCCCACAACATTCCCAAACCCCAGAACCATGGAAGAAGTGTGGAAAGACATCAACTTGTCCTCTCTCCACGACCAATGCCCCACTCCCGGCGGCGACCATCAGCACCACCACCACAACCATAACCGCAATCACCACCACCGCCGCCACCAAAATCAAAACTTTATCTTCCAGGACTTCTTCTCTCGCCCTTTCGACCAAGACCCACTTCCCTCTCGATTCCCTCCCTCCTCCCCTGCCTCCGCCGCCGCCCCTCCGCCATCCAGAGATTCTCCCCTGCCTACACACGCCACCGTGCTGAGCCTGCACTCCGGCTCAGCCGGATTACCGCCGGCCTCAACCCATTTGCAGCCACACCAGATGGTTTCCACTGAATACCCTATTCCCTTCAACAACACCCAATTCGACGATGGGCTGGACTGCTCTGCCTCGCTGCTGAACCCTTTTCAGAGGAAAAGGGTTCAGGATTCCGATGACGGCGGCGGCGGTGGAGGGGATCGCCGGCATAAGCGTATGATCAAGAACCGCGAGTCTGCCGCCAGATCCAGAGCTAGAAAACAGGAAACTTTACCTTTCCCCTTTCCCCTCTCAATTCCTTTTTCCCCGTAGTTTCCCCCCAATTTTAAAGTCTCTGTTTTTTGGGGATTTTCCCCCCGCTGTTTTCCTCCTCTTGCAGGCTTATACCAACGAATTGGAGCTTGAAGTGCAGCATCTGCTTGCCGAAAATGCCAAGCTAAAGAAGCAGCAAGAAGAGGTACCAAACCAATCTACTTATCCCTCTCTTTCCTTGTTGTTTCCATATTCTGCAACAACTGTCAATTTCATTCGGTTTAGATATGTTACACGAAAAAAGTAACAACCAACAACAACAACAAACACCCACATGGCCTTTGTTTGTTTGCTTGTTTTGGGCATATAGCTGCGGGTGGCGGCAGCGTCGTCTCAAGTTGCCAAAAGGAGCACCCTCTTTCGGACGTCAACAGCACCATTTTGAGCACAAGGGGAATGGATATTTACTATTTAGCTGCCCTGGCTGCGCGCTTTTGCATTAAAATAAGGCCAGATCGATCTTTTGACCTTATTAGCCAAAAAAAAAAAAAAAAAAAAAACAAAAAAAAAAGGGAAAGAACAGTTTGCTCCTTTTAGTAGGATTGATGGGTGGGTGGGCTTTTGTTGTAATGAAGGATTTCCAGATATGGGAAATCGATATAGCTGCTGCTATGCAAAACTTGTAGCTTGCTGTGCTGGTATGCTGCCCCTGTTCGAGTTTGGTAGTAGGTAAAAGAAGAGAAGGAAACCACGTGCATAGTATTATCATCTCGTGTTATATATGTCCAGTTCCTTTCTTTGCTTTTCATAGCTTTCTTTTGCGGAAGCATGGTCTTGGAGACTTTGACCTGAGTAAGCTGTTTATGTTTAAAGAGTTTGATGCAACAGTTCTGCTTGTAGTAAGTAATGAGGGGGGACCGGTGTTGGTGTATGAGAACAAAATGTTGCGCACTCTTTATTTTTACAGATGGGTGATAGGAATGGGGGAAAGGTAGTTGGATCGACACTTAATGTTTGATTGTGGTAGGTGCTCGTTGGGTCGGATAATACTTGTACGACTGAACGCGGATTTTCTTAGTTAACAAAAGGGATTAAATGTGGTTCGAAAACCTTGTTTTGTATCTATGTATTACGAGGTTTTACAGTTTTGAGCGACGGTCGATGAGATACCGTTGCAATTAAACCGATGAGAAATGGGTAGAGAGGATGATGAGGTATGCCAGGTAAGATGTAGAAATGGAGGAAGATGACAACATGTATTATCCCTAACACCCCTTGTCAAATTCTAGGTGGGGTATGGAGACACCAATTTGAGTTGGTCAAGTAGTTGTGATGAACCTGAGCGTGAAAAACTGGAGTGATAGAGAGGCGCCACAAATTAAGGAAATTAGGAGAGGATAGATTATAAAATATGATCACCTCCTTGGTGATAGAGGCGTGGTGTACATAATATACATACTGGACAATGTGAGAACTAGATCATCACTAGTGGCGGAGGTAGCCCTATTGGGCATTGTCACGGGACAGGGGTAAATTTTGGGAGGAACAAAAATACTTCATATATGTTTATACGAAAGATGGAACACAACACTATTGTACTTCGTTACTATATCACAACTCATTATTTATCATAAATTGACAATGAATTAATTATTATACAATAAACGAAATCTCAACTGGAATAGATATCTTTTCTTTATATGCCTATCCCATTATTTGCAAGCAATCTTGAAGCTGTCTAGTAGCAGCGCCGATTCCACTAGTTTTGATGGCAAGTGTCGATAAAATATTTTCAGCTTTGAGCTATCTGAAGAGCTAACTTTGAAGTCGAACTCACGACCACTTTGCTAATGGTTGTTTAGTGAGATCCATTGAAAAGGACTTACTTAAGTGTGTAGACAAAGAATGTATTGTGTGTTTCTTCCGAATATGAAAACTCGTCATGGTTGTTTATGAAAATACCGATTGTAATAGTAGTTATTTTTTATATATGAAAGTAAATTTTTAGATATTATTAATTTAATTATATCCATTAAATATTTATATATTTATAATACGAAAAGAGGACATGGTTAGTTTCAAATCCTGCCTCCGCCACTAATCATCACCTCCTCGATAAAAACATACAATAAAATAATAATGAAGGACTACAAATTCAATAACGGCATACATTGTATGTGGACTCACGGAACATAAAAGGACTAGATCACCATTTCTATGATAAGGGATAAATTATACATTTTGCTGGCCGAAAAATTTGTACAGCTTTCTAAAAGAACTTCTAGATTTGAGGTGTCATATGGTAGAACTGGTTTTGTATTCATATATACTTGTCTTCTTCGAGGATTTCCTCCATAGGAATCACATTCAAGCTCACATACGATGCTTGATAATAAAATGGATTGCTTTGGTTGGAAAGCTTGTGTTTGTATTCATGTATTACAAGGTTTGTGTACAAATAATTTACAATATTGAGATTGTTACTTAAGTACTTTGTCTATGCGTTAAAATATAACACATTCACATGTTAACATAATATAAGGCACAAGCAAAATTATAATGTACGTTGATTTCGTACGAGGCTCGCGAACTCTTATGGATGGTTGAAATGGCAACCGTTTTTCCAACGCTCTGTTTGGCAACAAGGGGGTGCAAATTTGAGGAGGGTGCAAATTGATAGGTAAGTTATAGGGGGGAGCAAATTTAAAAAAAGTGCAAATTGAAGGGTAAATTGTTGTTTGGGAAATAAAGTAGGGGGTGCAAATTTTAATTTAACAATTATTATTTATATAAAAAAAACTAAATCACTGCCACGTACCACTCTGCCCGGCCCCACCTCCTCACCATTCTCTTCTCCCTCCTTTTTATCAATGACGAATTCCTTCTTCTTTCTTCACTCCCTGACCCCACTTCTTTCTCATTTCTCATTCTCTTTACTCTAACTTGGCCCCACGTCTATTTCTTTTCCATTTTCAGTTTTTCTCTTTCTTCTGCACCCCAAATTGGGGGGCTTGCCATAACAGTGTTTTTGCTCCCCTAATACTCCCCCTTCTAACTGTTCAAAAGTATCCAAATGGGTGTATATTTATTGGGAATTGGATTTACCCCCCAATTTTGTACCCCCATCCCTTGCACCTCCTTCCCAAACAGAGCACAAAAGAAAAGTGTCATCCAACCAATGGGAGACAAAATTCTTGGTGGGTCTTCAATTGGTTTGGCTGGAAAAGTTGGTCATATACTCCTATTGCCACATAATAGAGTCCTAGCTCTGGTTGTGTCATAAAACAATTTGGATGCCACGTTTTCCCATTTTACTGTTCTTTCTTCTTACTCTGTTTTTTGGCTGTGGGGAGGAACGAGGAAGGAGAAAGAAAGAAGGAGCTTTGGTTTTGTTGTTGGTTGCCACTTCTGTTTAGTTGGAAAAGAGAAGGATGGGACATGTTTTTTTGTTGTTATTCAAAAAGCCTACTTTCCAAAGCTTCCAACTTTCAACACAGACACTCGAACCAGAAGGATTGCCCTCATTGGCTTTCCCTCTCTTTTATCTCTTCATCTTATGGGTCCAATCTTGTCCTTGCCATGTCCTCTTCCCTTTTCCCTTTCTCCATCTCCCCATCATTGTCATCACAAATAGTATAGGTGTACATACAATTGAATGTGGAGAGGTCTTCAACAAGAACATTAAGATGAAATTAAGTGGCGATGTCGCGCCTTGTCACGGAGCAAAGATGGCCTATTGACATGTATTATGTGGTCCGTTATGGTGTTTTGTTAGTATTATTAGTCTAAAATTATTTTTTGTTAGCCTAAATTTATCCTCTTATGTTATATTGGATTGGATTCATGAATTGGTTCAAAAGAATTGGTGGATTGAATTCATGGATTCAAGTGAAATCTAAACATTGGACCAATATGTAAATTTAAAAAATTGTAGGTACGAAAATCTCATAAAATTTAGATACCAAAACATAATTGTTCAATGATTTTACATTAAAATTAAAATTGGGGTATCAAAATATAAAATGTACATTAAAGTGACTAAGTTGTGATTTAATTAAATTTGGGGTATTAGGTACAAAAATCTCATAAAATTTATATACCAAACATAATTGTTCAATGATTTTACATTAAAATTAAATATGGGGTATCTAAATATAAAATATAGATTATAATAACTAAGTTGTGATTTAATTAAATTTGGAATATCAAAATGTAAATAATTATGCAACAATAACTCAACTTATATAGTAACTAGTAGTAGAAAACCTCACTCTCCTCTTTTTGTGCTGGAAATTGGATAAGTATCATACAATAATCATATATCGTATACATTTGCATCTTCTATGTTGTCTTCCGATCGATTTTATATGTTATTATATATAAAAATGTCATTAAAACTCGTGCTTAAACGTGTCCAGGCACCAGGCAAACATCTAAATACATTATCTAGAACCATATAAGCACTTAATTAAATCCCAATTTGTCCTACATATGAAACCATCAATTCATACATTCTAAGAGCAACAAAGGATTCAATCTTTACATAAACAAAATTGAATTAGGAATGTCAATAGAGTAGATCGAGGCGTGTATTTAATTTCAATACCTATGCTAATTTATGACGGAGTGTGTGTCAAGGCAGATCGACCAATATGCGTATGAAATCTCAATTGAAAATATTAGAGATGTTGATTTTTAATAATCATTAAAGAAATGAAATAACAACTATAGCATAATAAATAGTAGAGAATTGTGGTTCACAAGTCACAACGATTTACAAATTTCTATAATTAAAATATGAGGTAATAAAAATATTATCATAAGTAATTGAGTAAAATCACATTAAATTTAGACAAGAATAGGCCCATTTCCAGCCCACCATGTGTCGTGGCGTTCTTCTTCTTCGGCTCCAGAGCTTAGGCGCTTCTTCGTTTCCCATTGCATTTCCAATCTCCCTACGGTACAATCCTTAGCACTGCAACTTTCTTGCTATTCGAAACCCTAATATCTTCTGCTCTCTAGCTCTCTCGCCATGTCGAAAACGATCAAGGAGAATGAAGCAAGCTCCTCTGAAGAGCAGTCGACGGAACTGTCGCTTAGGCTGCCCGATGGCTTTCTCGAGGATGTGTCTGATTTGTTCTTGTTGTAACCAAAATATATACTACCAACTTCAGAAAAGCATAGACACGTGCAATACCAGCTAGTTTTTATAATCGAGATTCACCAATATCTACAACGGAGACATATGAATGGCGGATCCAGGACGCAGTAGAGCACTATGCCGTATTTCATTAGAAAATTAGATACCGAAAAAAATCATAATTTTTTTACAATATCAATTTTACACGTCGATCTTTTAAATTTTAATGTAGTAAATTCATCAATAATGAAGTCTACATCCATACCAGTATCATACTCTCTTTAAGATAAAATAGTTAACCAATTGACAAGAAATTTATCTCTCATTTTGTTGCGCAAATAATTTTTCACTTATTTCATTGTTGAAAAGGTTCTCCCTATAGTAGCTGTTGAAACGAGCAAAGTCAACAGCAGACAAATCAATCGACTAATCAATATATATTTATTTTAGTCTTGTACGTTTTAGACTTTTAGACTTTTAGGTTTCATTGTTTGTTTTTCTTTAAACGAGAATCATTAGAGGTAGAATTTTCAGGCTAAATTTAGAGTTTTGATTTGAATATGTTTATCTTACTTGTCCAAATTTGCTGTACACATGCAGTGATATAGTAAAAACTCTCAACGGGGGAAGATTGATTAAAAATCTAAATAGTGAAGGGGCTAAAACCTTACCCACCATTCCAATTTCTAAATTTATTAAAAGTTTACATGTATTTTTATTTATATTTTAAAAGTTGAGAAAGATAAATCCACCAAAATATTAACATAAATTACATGAAACAACCAACTTCGACCTTTAACCAAAGGATTCAGTTTTCCACGAATCACTAATGAATTCATCCCCTGTAGCTATTGATGAGCTGCTCTCATGGGCTTCAAAATCTGTTCCTTGATCGATTTCCCACCATTCCTTCACCTTGTAGATTTACGCACCACGCAGAGCGCAATGTCCTCCCCCTGCAAGCATTGCCACACCAAGTCACCAACCCACACAGCGCATGAACAAAGTAGATGTGATGTTAATATGGTAAAAAAAATCACGCATAATCTTATACTTAGTCACGTCTAGTGGCTAGGTAATGTCAAAACGTCTCGTTTAGGGGTTTCGTGCCTGGTTAAGTGTTTGGAATGACTAGATTTCTAACATTAGGTACTGGAAACACGTCCACATAATAAAGTGTATCCGCTAAACAATTGCATTGCAATGAAAAACTGGAAATGAAAAACTACTCACACTCGTCTTGTTGACGCCACTAATCAAACGAAATTCTCGCATCGTCCATGCCGTCTTCCTCCTCCCCTTGCGCAGCAGAGCCCCGTCGCAGTTCAACTCATCGGCATAAAAGCAATACAGGCTCTTCACCGCTATTCTCTCTCCACCGTCGATTCTGATCACGCTATTTGATATCAGTAACCAACTCCCGTTAGAGGTGTCCATGTCGATCCCTCTTCGAACCTTGCTTTCCGGTGGCGCAAACACGTACACCTTCCCGTCGTCGTGGCAATGTATGTTATCCTTTGTATTTGCTACAATAGCAAACCGCGCGAAAAAAAAAACCAAGTTACCCAAGATTTCTCAATAATAATCTTCGCACGTACTCAATGCTCTCGAGTGAAGGATTTCATTGATGACGAGGTCTACTCCAAAATACTACCAAACTTCTAAACAAAGATCAACGTAAGAAACTAAATTGGGTTTCAATTTTCTCATATATTAAACTAGAAAATTCTCCTACTCAAAACATTACTTCCTTCCCCATAAGGAAACAAGACTAAACAATAACCTAGAAAATTTATAAATAGGAGAGTTAATAATAAGGATAGATACCCGAGCCCAATAATTAGTCCAATTATTACGATGACTTGATTCTCGTAACAAAACGTTGTAGAAGAAACATTATTCGCCGGAGATAAGAGCTTTTGAACCAGCTTGGGGACATAGAAAGAGAAGCATACCTGAACTGAGATCCTCGGGGTCGTAATCGTAGAAATCGAAAACAGAGCCATCTCCGCCCGCGATTTTGAGCTTCAGCAAACCCAGCAAGTCGGCTTCGGTGGGTTCGAATCCGATTCCTAGGGGGAAGGACTCTTCCAATAAGTTGGTCATCCTGAAGGGTTTTCTTTTCTGGGTGAAGAAGAAGAAGAATAGAAGAGAATATGCATATTTATAGAGGCCAGGCGGATGACTGCAAAGGTTTTTCCTTGTACGTAATAGGAACGGAAATTTCACCAATTTGCGGCGATTGTCGTTAGTTGGGTTACAGAAAACTGGCCCTTGGGCTTTTTTTTGATTTGGAGCCCACATGGCGGGTCTCTTTGATGGTCCAAGCTATGGTGAAGAGAGGGGCCCATTTCCAAGCCCACCATGTGTCTGTACTCTGTACTCTGTTGTCGACTTGTCGTTCCTCGCGCTGATGCGCTTCTTCGTTTTCCATTGCATTTGCATTTCCAATCTCCCCCAACGGAGATGGCTCTCTTCTTGGAAGACTCGCTTCTTGGATCCCAAATTCATCAAGAAGTTTATCTTCCAGAACACCGACCTCTGGAACGATCCACAGCTTCTAATCCAGCGCCGCCAGAAAGGCAGGTCAGTTTACTCTCTTCATTCTCACCGCTCGCTCCGTCTCGTCTCCGGCCCTGCTCAATTGGAAAAACCAGAATTGGTTTCCGGCAACTTCGAGGTTCGCTGCGGCTGTAAGGGTCTCTTCTGCCTTGCCGATGGAGATGGCAGCGGCTTCTCGAATATTGTTCTCTGGAATCCAGCAACCACGCAGACGAAGCTTCTGCCGGTTTCCAACCTCGATCAAGCTTTGGATGGGTATGCCCGGATGAGCGAGGTGATCGGGTTTGGTTTCGACCCGGAAAAGAATGACTACAAAGTCGTTCGGACTGTGGTTCGCTTTACAGCTGACGAGGACATAGAGGAATCTAGTGAGGTCTACAGCCTTAAAAGTGATTCCTGGAGGACGATTTACATAAGGCCTCATGATTTTCCGGGCACCATCCATTACTCGGTGCCATCTGAATCTGATGATGGCAGATTGTTCTACTGGTGGGGACCATTGTTGCATTTCATTTCGTTTGATATGAGGAGTGAAGAGTGTGAGGGTATGAGATTGGGATATCCTGATGAATCGATGAATGCAGCTTTCTCTGTGCGATCCGTTTCCTTGGTCAAAGGCTCGACGGTTGTCATATTTTCCGATGGAAGAATTGATCGTCATGAACCCAATGAGTTGCAGACATGGGTGAGGTTGGATTTTGAAGATAGAATGACCGGCTGGATAGAGTTGTCCACCATTAAGAGTAACAAACTTAACATGTGCATGCATCCAGTGGGAATATGGAAGGACAAGAGGTGTTTCCTTCAGAGATACGATGATGGACAGCTCGTGGTCGTCGATCTTGAAAAAGGAGAATTCCTTCCCATTGAACTTCAGATTCAAGGAGATTGGGAATCATTCAAAATCTTCCCTTATACTCCATGTGAAGTTTCATTGGAGTAGTTGATCTTAGATTCCCTTCTTTGGAAAGAAACCATGCTTTCAAGCTGCTCTGGCTACAGTAATTCTGCTCTTGGTAACTCTTGACGTAGCGGACTTGTCAAAGAAACTCTGATCTCAGTTCAAGTTTCTAGATCCAAAGTCTTTAGATTTTCATTTTGCATTGTAGTAGTTAGTGTTGTTCTAGTAAGTCTTGTCTGTGGGTTGTTAAGCCTTGTAGTAGTTAGTGTTATGTTAACATCAGCCTAATTGTAGTAGTTAACATTGTACGTAATTGTCGACGTTGCTTAGCAGATGGTTAACACTGTTGTAATAGCCTGATGAAATTGCTGACCTAATTTGGTTATCGAATGCAAATTGCTGAAGTATTATCATCAATCTAGCTGTATGTATGTTTGGTTGAATTAGTAGATGTGAAGCATTTGTCTGAAATTATGTATGTGCTCTAAGAAAACAGCAGAGAAATCTGAAGCTGAAACAAGCAACAAGTTTTGAGTCTTGAGATACTAGGTGTGATTGGAGAAGCCTTGGGAATGTGATTGTCGTGGGCTTGGATTGCTATGATCTTCCTGGTCATAGGAGACATGGAAGGAGTATACCGTATTAAGCAACATACTTGCTAATTAGAAAGGAATCCCTTGATGGGCTGCGTCAAATTCTTGATGGTGAAGTTGTATACTGGGTGAGCACTACCTTGCTTAATACCCTGAATATTGTAGGAGTGATCGCAAAAAAGTTGTGGAGATTTTGGTGAAGGACCTGAACCTGTTTGCTGCATCTTATGAGTTGTTTAAGGAAATTGCACAGTTGTTTGGTTGAAGAACTTTAGGTGTCCTTGCTGCTTACTATCTTTCGTGGTGCTTCCGTCGTTTGATGAATTACTGACAAGGATGCATGGAGATTGTTTTCTTACTTGTGCTTCCATGTGTATTCCATCCCATGAAAATTGAGCTTCTACCTCCGTTTCAAGTCATGGAGTGCTACAATCTTGTTGCTATTTTTCAATTCTATTAGGTCAATAATCTGCCTGTTGCATATGCCGGCCCCAGCCACGAGCTTAGTTCCCTCCTACTTGTCCGATGATCTGCCTATGAATGTGCTATGGTTTTGAATTAAGGCTCAGCATAGAAGAGTATATGTACTTCCTTCCATTGCTGCAGATTTTACTTCTTGGTAAGCGTCTGTGTGGATTGGGTAAACTTCAGTATTTGCTTGTATATTTATGGAATGTGAATCAAATTTGGATACCTTGGATACTGAGTCCTTTTCCATCTGAGCTGCTGTTGACGGTACATTTCAAGTCTTTGATGGAAAGAATGACGTTTCAGGTTCTTATAATGACATTTTTGTTTCTGAAGCTCGACATACTTCTATGTTTGAGAAGATTCTGTTTGGTTCATATGTTGCTTGCTTATTCAATGCACTTAGGACTTTCCAAAGCCAAGTGCTTTTGTCACATCTGTTGGCACAAACATGGGTGCTGAAGTCATGATATGAGATCTTGGAGCATGTTCGATAGAGTTACCGATTTGCATTTGTAGGAATTTGTTGCTAATGATCATACAACACCAATGAACCGCGTCATGTGGAGTCCTGATGGAGCTCTATTTGTTATATTGTCGTTCCACTTCTGAGGATCTAATGTTGTGCTTTTATGATATCCTTCGCTGTCTTATATCATTTAGGTTAGCTGAGTCTTCGAGTCATGCTAGTAGAGATGCCTTGTGAATCGTTGGTTAGCTTGTTGAATCCTGTTTGCAACGTTTGGCACTGTGTTTAACTGTCTTTGGGGTCTTGTCATTGTTTCATAGGGGTCTTGTCATTTTTATAACATGAGTATTAATCTTGTGATTACTTGCATGAAAGAGATTTTATTATATTTCTTAACAATTAAAAAAATTACAGTTTGATCTCTTATCTTGCATGATTAAATATTAGTTCTGGTTAGAGGTGGCAAATAGATTGGTGGATTGTGATTGACGGATTCATAGATCAAGTGGATTGGACTAAATAGATTAGTGGATTCATTGATTGGAGCATATGGATTAGTGGCTTGATCCATGGGTCCAAATAGCATCCAAGCCTTGGACCAAAATGTAAATTTTAAAAAGTTTAGGTACTAAAATGTCATAATTAAAAATTTTAGATACTAAACGTAATTTTCCAATGACATTTTTCGTATAAAAATAAATTTTAGGTGCCAAAATGTAAATATAAAAGATTAGGTACTAAAATGTAATTTGCCATTTTGAATCCATGGATCAATCCATGAATCCACCAATCTAATTGGATTTTGATAAAATGGATTGGATTAGTTGGATAATTAAGTGGATGGATTGGATTGAGAATTGCCACCTCTAATTCTGACGATTGATATACATGTTTTGTTATTATTAAAAGCATCAAATATACTTTATCCTAGTGGTTGAACACTTGAAACGATAATAGCCATGATGATTGGTATACATGTTTATTTAGTTTTATTTTAATGTAATTAATAACTTAAAATGTTAAAATCATAAATGACATGGGAAAATGCGGAGCTTTCTTTGTCCTACGTGACAAAAACTTTCTCCACAATGGTCATAATATAAGTTAGGACAAAGGATAGATACACGTACTAATTTATCAAAGAGCGTGGGTCGAGGTAGATCGAACAATATGAATATGTAATTTCAATTGAAAATATAAAATATAGTTAAAATATGAGATAATAAAAATAAAACCTAATTAAATTAAGTAAAATGTCATGTAATTTAAGTAAAAATAGTTGAGAATGCAGGACGGGGGAGACCGAAAAATGTGCTCCATGCCCACCACATTCAAAACTAATCAAACAAATTGAGTGAAACGAATCTGTAGAAATTGACATCCCTCTGTCTAACTAAATCTCGAGTCGAAACAAAATGTTAACATAAATTACATGAAAACACCTAACGTAACTTCGAACCGAAAAAATTTCAGTTTTCCATTACTCACTAATGAATTCATCCCCGGCCGCCATTGATTGAGTTGCTCTTTATAGGCCTTCAAAACACGTTCCCCAACCGGTTTCCACCATTCTTTCACCTCGTCGATTTACGCACCACGTACAGCATAATCTCCTCCCCCTGCATCCATTGCCACCACAAAACAGAGCATATACATATGCAATGAACAGAGGAGATGTGAAACAATGATCAGAATCATCATCAGAAAGACCATGTATCAATTGTAATGAAAAATTGGAGGAAGAAACAAACAACAAAACTCACGATCGTCCTGTCGACGCCATTAATCAAGCGAAACCCACTCATCGTCCATGGCGTCTTCGTCGTCCCCTTGCGCAGCAGACCACCTTCACCATTCATCTCATCACCACAAAAGCAATACAGGCCCTTCATCGCTACTGTATCTCCACCGTGGTTTCTGATCTCGCTATTTAATTTTAGTGACCATCTCCCGTTCGGGGTGTCCCTGTTGATCTGAATTCCTCTCCGAACCTTGCTTTTCGGCGGCCCGAATACGTACACCCTCCCATCGTCGTGGCAGTGGATGTTCTCCTTTGTATTTGCTACAACAAGTAAGCCCGCGCAACGGTAAAAAAATTCCTCATGGAATTCCAAATTTGGAACAGCATTCAAAGAGTTAGCACGAAAGTGTTTACCTGAGCTGAGATCCTCTGGGTCGGAATCGAAGAAATCGAAAACAGAGTCATCTTCGCCCTCGATTTTGAGCTTCAGCAAACCCAGCAAGTCGGCTTCGGTGGGTTCGAATCCGATTCCTAGGGGGAGGGACTCTTCCAATAAGTTGCCCATCGTGAAAAGGGTTTTCTTCAGGGAAGGTTTTTCCGAAGGAAGAAGAAGAACAGAGCATATGCCTATTTATAAATGCGGAGGGCTGTAAAGGGTTTTTTTGTACGTAATAGAGAAGGAAACCTCACAATTTGGGGCGATTGTCGTTAGTTGGGTCGGTTACAGAAAACAGGCCCATGGGCTTTTTTTATTTGGAGCCCACACGGAGGGTCTCTTTGATGGACCCATCTGTGGGGAAGAATGGGCCCATTTCCATGTGTCTGTCGTGTTCTTCCGCTCCCCTCCCGCGCTTAGGCGCTTCTTCGTTTTTTTTATAGGGACATCTGTGAGATTTTTCTAATAATAGCACCTTTAAAAAAAAATTACAAAAATAGCACCCATTTTTTTGGAACGCACCTCTAAGATGCGTTTTACATGTAAAACGCACCGAAAAGATGCGATCTACATGTAAAACGCATCAGAGGGGTGCAATTCATAAAATAAATCGCAATACGTCAGTGCGATTTGGGGAGGAAGCGGAACGATCTTCAAGATCGTTGGATGGAGGGACGATCGAGCGGCTCAGCGCATGCCAGCGGAGCGATCCGCACCGAGGATCCCAGATCGCTTGCCAGCGGAGCAATCCACGCCCAAAGAAGCACAAATTGCATCGGAAGGGTGCAATCCGCGCCTAGGGAAGCGCAAATCGCATTGGAAGAGTGCGATCCGCGCGAGGGCAAAATTACCCAATCGTCCCTGGAGCGTGCGATCTGATGGGTATAAATACCCCCCCCCTTCCCCTCTCATTTCTTCACACCACAACCCATTCTTCCTTCTCTCTCTAGGTTTTATCTCTCTAAACCCTCCCCCTCCCAAAAGCCTAGGAAATAGTGGTCTGTTGGTTGCGGCTAAGTCCGATCTGCCATCAGAAAACATTTCTTAGGTTTTTTCCTCAAAACCCGCCGAGCCGAGCCGAAGCTCTGTCCGAATTGCGCCGAAAAAATGGCCGATTGGTGGCAAGGAGAAGGAGTTTTTGTTGATGAATTTCAAGCGGTACGTACTCATTATTCGGGTTTAATTTTTGTTGTTGTTATAAGCTTTTTAATTAATCTATGTACTAACCTCGTTGTTATTTTCTCGTAGGTTGGGGAGGACGTGGATATTTACAACCAACGGTATTATCTCGAGCAAGGACCGTTGGATCCAACCGACTTGTACGACCAACCCAACCATCGGTCAAGGGATGTTTGGAACGCTCATCCGGTACATACAATTATTTACCATTTGTCCTTCTTTTTTTTGTTAATGTATTTAGTGGAATATAAAATAAATTTATGTTGAATTTTTAATCGTGTTGGTTGTTTTCAATAATTTAATCGAATACATAGCGCCACTTACTTTGACTCTTTATAAAGAGATGCACGTCATGGGGTTTTAAGCGATTATCATATCCTCTCATTCCCTGGGAAAATCGGGTATTAAGAGATCCTCGGATCCCCCCTTTTTTCTGTCAACAAGACTGCGTTTCTAAGAAGATGTATACCTCTTCTAAGAGTCTAACGAGTGTTGCTTTGTATTCGATTAAATTATTTAAAACAACCAACACGATTAAATAATTTACCAAACAACCCTTACGATTTATTTTGATGTGTACAAATGGAATTTTATTAATTAAAACAATTGAATATGTATGTTTCTCTTTAAAATATTGATTCATTAACAATGTCATTTAATTTAGTTAATTTAGTATGTTTAGCTTACGATAATATGTATGTATCTCTTTAAATTATTATTCATTTAGAATGTTATTATGTTAATTAATTTAGGATGTTCGTTTTATGATAATATGTATGTATCTCTTTAAATTATTATTAATTTAGAATGCTATTATGTTAATTATATGAAATCTCTTTTTATGATAATAAAATTCTGCTTGAAGTTAAATAATTTAATTTAATTAATTTAGTTATAAGGAATAAACCCTTACTAATATATAATAATTAACGTGTAAATTTTCCCTAGGAGGCACAAACAATAATCCGCTACAGGGGTACGACCAATGTGCTCCCATTCCACCCAGCTATCTTGCCCTTTCTCAAAAGGGCACGATTGGACTCGATTAGGCATTTTAACGACATCAAAAGGGCACGATTGGACTATGAGCCTTTTAGTGTTGGAATGAGTTGTGTGCCATTCAAAATGCCGGGTCATTGCTTCTGTCTCAATGGCGTGACGCACCTCCTTCTTCGAGCCAAATTGTTGGCCCTTCATAAACCCAGTGAGTGGACCCCATATTGGGACCTCTGGCGGCTCCATGTCGCTGTCGACCATCCAATTGTCGTCTGGAATGTGATTGTAGTAGGGGACTGGTACACGGTCACGAGCCCCCTCATCATCATTAGCTGAGTCTGACTCTGGTCCTGAATCATCGGTACCTTCAAGAGGGTCGGAGCTGTCTGCACTGACGTTGTTCTCTCTTTCTTCATCGGAGGGGTCACTGACTGGTGCTGGCATGACATCCTCCATCTGATCCAGCTCATGAAAGGCACCTTCATCAGCTCCATAATGGTAGTTGTGAAAACTACCGCTGCCTGAGAGGAAGTTGTACTGAGGTTGGTTGGGCCGGTCCGGTTGAACTTCTTCTTCATATGATTGATGATGACCTTCACCTTGCTCTTGGTACTGAAAATATGAATGAGGATCATGGTAACTTTGGTAGGGATGATCGCCATATAATTCACCTCCACCATGGATACCAGATGTTTGACCGTGTCCAGAATGACCTCCAACGCCTACGACCGGCTCGGTGTAAACGAACATCTCGGCTTTGGAAAGATTGTTGGACCTCATGAATTCGAGCATGGCGTCTACCTCATCCTGAGTGGTTATGAGATATTCCTCATGCCACAATGACCCACTTTCTCTGTTTGGATTTCGGTACACCATACGATCAACTCTTCTCGTGCCATCCATGCAAGTAACGTTAGTGCACATTTGATGGAGGTCTTCAAGCAGCGGTCTGGTAGCGACCTTTATCTTCTGAAAATTGCCACCTACGTAGGTGGCACCCTTTCCGGTCTCTTCCGTGTAACCATTCCACCGTAAGCCAAGCGTGAACTTTTGGAATGCCATCTGCGATAAAACCGTAGTTCAGTTAATATCATAAAAATAAAAAATAAAAAATAACAATAAAAAGTAATACTAAATCAACTTACGAGTTAACGTTAATCGCAAAACCACTAAAGAAATATAGAGCTACATCAACTTACGAGTTAACATTAATCGCAAAACTACTAAAGAAATATAGAGCTACATCAACTTACGAGTTAACGTTAATCGCAAAACTACTAAAGAAATATAGAGCTACAACAGAAAATTGAAAAGGGAAGGGAGAAGGAGAGGTGTGAAGAGAAGTGGTTGTCCGGGAGGCCTTTTATAGGCAAAATCACTGATGAAAACCGCACCTTAGAGGTGCGATTTTCGTCTGCCATGCATGCCCATGCAGACCCACGTCTGTTACGTCTGCATGGCATGTCGGAAATTGATTGACCAAAACCGCACCTTCAAGGTGCGGTTTGTATGGCAAAATCGCATCCTCATGGTGCGATTTTGTTTGGCAGAAACAAATCGCACCTTTATGATGCGATTTTAATAGGTCAGACCTAAAATCGCACCTCGGCCATGCGATTTCAGTAGGTCAGACGTAAATCGCTTGGCTAAAGTGCGATTTGAGTCCAGATAATTGGAACGCACCTTACCAGTGCAATCTATTTGTAAAACGCACCCTTAGGGTGCGATTTAAATATAAAACGCATCTACAAGGTGCGTCAATTAAAAAGGGTGCTATTAGTGTAAATTTTTACGGATGGGTGCTATTTTTGTAAATTTTTTAAAGGTGCTATTTCTAGAAAAATCCCGACATCTATCTGTATGATTCATTAAAGGATCAAGAAGAGTCCACAAGGTCTCGGCCCATATCGGCTACCAGCAAACAACAAATAGACAAAGGAGGGTTTTGTACCCAAACAGTGTGATGACTGATGATCCCACTTTGATCCAGAGCGAGCGTCCGGCGCTTATTCGTTTTCCATTAACGGAGATGGCTCTCTAGTCTCTAGTCTCTAGTCTCTGCACGCTCCTTTGCATTTCCATTTCTTCACCCGCCTTTCTCTTCCCTTCCGATCTCTCTCTCGGATTCCGTCGCCGGCCGGTTGTTCGCGTGCTTTAAACCCTTACAACCCTTAGCACTACATCTTTCTTGCTGTTCGAAACCCTAATTTCTTCTGGTCCCTAGCTCTCTCGCCATGTCGAAAAGGATCAAGGAGAATGAAGCAAGCTCTTCGGAAGAGGAGTCGACTGAACTATCGCTTAGGCTGCCAGTGGGCTTTCTCAAGGATGTGTCTGATTTGTTCTTGCTTTCTCTGCCTAGGGCTTGCTTTCTCTGCCGATTCCGCGCGGTCTCCAAGTCATGGAAGACTCGCTTCTTGTATACCAAATTCATCAAGAAGTTCATCTTCCAGAACACCGACCTCTGGAACGATCCTCAGCTTCTGATCCAGCGCCGCCAGAACGGAAGGTCAGTTTACTCTCTACATTCTCATCGGACGCTCAGTCTCATCTCCGGTCCGGCTCAACTGGAAGAATTAGAATTGGTTTCCGATAACTTCGAGGTTCGTTGCTGCTGTAAGGGTGTCTTCTGCCTTGCCGATGGAGATGGCAGCGGCTTATCGAATATCATTCTTTGGAATCCAGCAACGGCGCAGACGAAGCTTCTGCCGATTTCAACTTTGGGTGGGAATGCATATGTCCGGAGGTGTGAGGCGATCGGGTTTGGTTTCGACCCCGAAAAGAATGACTACAAAGTCGTTCGGACTCTGCTTTGCTTTACCGCTGACGAGGACATCGATGAATTTAGTGAGGTCTACAACCTTAAAAAATGATTCATGGAGGATTCTTGCAATTCAGAAGGCTCATAGTTATCCTCACACACTCAATTACTCGGTGCCATCTGATGATGGTAGATTCTGCTACTGGTGGGGACCATCGCTGGAGTTCACTTCGTTTGA